TCCCACGACGAATTCAGCGAATGGTTCTCCAAAGATATTGAATCTCATGCGCAGAGCAACACAAAGCTCAACGAAGACCAGTTGAGGCGTCTTCATATGATCCTGAAGCCTTTCATGCTCCGTCGTGTTAAGAAGCATGTTCAGCAGGAACTCGGAGACAAGGTTGAGAAGGACGTCTTCTGTGACCTCACCTATCGTCAGCGGGCCTATTATGCCAACCTACGGAACCGTGTCAGCATCATGGATCTTATCGAGAAGGCTGCCGTCGGTGACGAGGCTGATAGCACAACCCTGATGAACCTAGTCATGCAATTCCGAAAGGTCTGTAACCACCCGGACTTGTTCGAACGCGCCGAAACAAAGTCACCATTCTCCACCGCGTACTTTGCCGAGACGGCCTCCTTTGTTCGAGAAGGTCATAGTGTTGATGTCGGATACTCAACTCGCAATCTGATCGAGTACCCTATGCCACGCCTTCTCTGTGGTTCGGCCGGTCGAATTGATATGGCCGGTCCTGATAATGCATACGCTGGGTTCCGTGAACAGTGCCTGAACCACTTGATGAATATCTTCACTCCGGAGAACATCAAGCAGAGCGTCCAGGACGACGGGGCGTTCTCATTCCTACGTTTTGTGGACACCTCGGTTGGTGAGGCATACGAGCAGTCGCATCTTGGCGTCTTCGAGCGAGCGGTCCGCCGCCGGGGACAAGCCAACAGGCTGTCCCGGCTCAACGCCGCCTACGATACCGACAAACAGCAGGCAGCGTCTGCCCTCCCGCATACTCTGCTCAACATTGTCGACCGCAATGATCGTCGTGCCGTCAATGAGATTGCCGCGGAAGGGTATATGCGAGATTTGATGACAGTCTCGCAGTCTACGTTCGAACGTGAGGGCCTCAACATCATCGAGCCTTGTGCCAGTCCTGCAGCATCGGCGCCTCCGATCACCGTTGTGTCTTCGAGCCGGGTACCCTTGACCGAGACCAAGGATACCCTCTTCAATGTCACGATTCGGCACGCGCTCCTCAGCACACCTTCGAGACAAATGGACGAGCAGATAATCGAGAAGAAGGTGGATCCTACTCCATACTCTCTTTCCCCTATGCTTCCCAAGCCGATATCGAACAAAGGTCGTTACACGCATATTGAAGTGCCATCCATGCGCCGGATTGTCACGGATTCCGGTAAATTGGCCAAGCTGGATGAGTTATTGCGAGAGCTCAAGGCGGGTGGTCATCGTGTGCTGTTGTATTTCCAGATGACACGCATGATCGACTTGATGGAGGAGTACCTGACTTATCGTAACTACAAATACTGCCGCTTAGATGGAAGCACCAAGCTGGAAGATCGCCGCGATACCGTGGCTGATTTCCAGCAGCGTCCTGAGATCTTTGTCTTCCTCCTGTCCACGCGTGCTGGTGGTCTGGGTATCAACTTGACTGCGGCTGATACTGTCATCTTCTACGACTCGGACTGGAACCCCACTATCGATTCCCAAGCCATGGACCGAGCGCATCGTCTTGGCCAGACGCGGCAGGTTACGGTATACCGTCTCATCACCCGAGGCACCATAGAAGAGCGAATCCGCAAGCGTGCCTTGCAGAAGGAAGAGGTCCAGCGTGTCGTCATCACGGGTGGCGCTGCCGGTGGGGTCGACTTCAACACGCGTAATCGGGAAAGCCGCACGAAAGACATTGCCATGTGGCTGGCCGATGATGAGCAGGCCGAGCTTATAGAGCAGAAGGAGAAGGAAGCCTTGGATCGCGGTGAAGTGTTTGGTGCCAGCAAGGGCGGAAAAAAGGCAGCCCAGAAGAGGAAGAGGGACATTACGCTGGATGATATGTACCACGAAGGTATGTTTGGGTTGGCTACGCGCTTATGTTATGTCCTATCCCTGATGCTAATTCATCTTTTGTTTAGGAGAGGGCAATTTCGACGATGTCAGTGCCAAACCATCCGGCGCAGCTACCCCAGTGTCGACGGCGGAGAACGTGGCCACGCCCTCGTCCACCCCAGTGCCCAAGCGTGGACGCGGACGCGGGTCTGGCAAGGGAACGTCGAAGCGCGCCAAGACGACAAAAGAGCGACTGCGTCTCATTGACGGAGATGGGGGTCTGGGGGCCAGCTGATCCGACCTGACGCATGCACTCCCATTAACCCACATGATTTGATGGAATGGCGGCGTTAGGATATCTTACTCTCTTTTCTTCCCTCTTGATTTCAAACTCCGATGGCCCTCTATCATTTCCTTTATAATTCCGATTGAACCTCCTTTCTTACTTTCCCCCCGGCTGCGGGCCGTGGTGTCTGTACCATGTATTAACAAGATGCATTCTGATACACGAGGTGTGGTGTGGTAATGTGTGAAGAACCGACGGATGGGACACGAGCTCAGTCATTGATGAGGCATCCAAAAGCAGTGGCGAGGTTTGGGGGGCAGCGGGTGGATAGACGGGCGGTTGCTGTATGTTGTTGTTTTTTTTTAAACTGTTCTACATCTGATTGGATTGGATCTGGGATACATGTTGCAAGTTTCGACCGGATTGATCACACAATACCTAGTATGGTACCTAACGTAATCGGTAAGCGAGTGGCCACCCTTCCCGCGTATTCCGATCAACATACATTTTTGAAGCCGTTTTTCAACATATTGAAGTCATTAAAAATGTTTTTTTTTAGTTGATTTCTCTTGTAGGGCAGTGTGTACGTTTATGGCCTAATTGATTACAATCACTGCACCGGGGTGGCGCGCGGCGGCGAGGTTGCTCCTCATAGTCAGCCGGCCGGATCACCTCGCCTCCAGGTGCTTCGCCGGCTTGACGAGGCTGTTGAAAAGCCTCAATTGCTTCCTGTACGGTGAGACCGTCAAGACCAGTCATTTGGCGATGACTCCTTTTCTTCTTTCTTTCTTGGCGCTCTTTTCCCTCTCGGAGTTGGCGATTTTCGGCTTCAAGAAGGGTTGTCTGATTGATCGCAATCTCACAGCCTTTTATTATATATGATAAAGCAGTCTTCATCGGTGTAGACGGGCTTTTCGAGAGCTCGCGAAGCACCTTTTTGATAGTAGATTCATGCTTCTTTAATTGGCTCACGTTATTAGGAGTCTTTGGTATCGTTGAAGCTGTACTTGGCCGGCTGGGGGGGGGTAGTATCACGAAGGCAGTAAACAAGCTGGTTAACCACCTCGGTAGGTGAGAAAGGCACTATTCCTGCAGCGCGAAAAGCACTCTGTATAGTTACTTTTTTAAAAGCGAATAATCGAGCATCTGGATATGTATCCAAGAAATCCTTCTTATCAACTTTGTGGATTCCCGCGCGGATCAACTTCTCAATCAGCCCGCCGTACGCCTGTTTTAATGGCGAAAAACACATAACATCCAACGGTTGACACAGGTGCGAGGAGTGCGGAGGCATACAGACAGGAACAATATTATTTTGATTACAGATTTCGTCAAATTCAGGCGTTAAATGGGAGTCATGGCCGTCGAGTATTAGGAGGCTATATTTCCCAGTTCTTTGACTTTGAATAAATGGAATAAAGTGTTCACGCAACCGAAAAAGGCCTATTTCGTTGGTAGTCCATCCATTCGGTGATATATGAAGTCTCCAATCAGGAGGTAACTTTCTACCTTGATACCATGACTGTATATGAACCTTGTCTTTAAGAATCACGAACGGAGGCAAGGCCCAGCCAGCTGCGTTAATACATTTGATTGATGTTACCCACTCGCGATTCCCAGGCTGTATAAGGAACGGTCTTCCAATGTAGTCAGATCTGGTAATAACGTGTGCAGTAGCCACCATTCCCATAGCAAATCTAGTTTCATCAAAGTTGTAGATATCTTCATCTGTGATGCCATACTCTGATATAGTAGCTTGAATATGAGAGAACCACTCACTGATCACCTTTGGATCCTCACAGCGAGCGCGCTGATAGTTATAACGGCGGGAAAAGCGAGACTTCAAAGTATCATGTCTTTTGATGAAGTTATATACCCATTTCTCTCCTATATCTGTACGGTAGTTCAGATCATGCTTTTGGATTAAGAGAGTAGCCATTGTACGAACGTATGAAGGCCTGGGTGGAAGGCCTCGCTGATCCAAAGAAATTATCCATTTCTCTAAGGCTTTCTCCTCTGCAGAAGTCAATTTTAATGAATTTGCGTGTATTTCTGTACGCGATTTGATTCCCTGCAGACGATGCCGGAGAGTTGATCGAGGAACTTCAAAATCGCGGGCTGCTTGGGCCACGTTAGGAGTATCGCCATTTTTTAAAGCTTCAATTGCGAGGACGATCCGGCCCTCTTGTTCAACACCGTTTTTTAACGATTTGGACATTTTTTGGTGGTGATATCGCGGATTCAATGCTTTGTGGTTGAAAAAACGCGTGTTTTCGGAACGCGGGTGGCCACTCGCTTACCGATTACGTTACTGCAAGACGGTTCTGGGCCGAGGTGATGAGTAATGATAATTCCGGAATAGATCACGGTGTCCGGCATCTGCCAAGAAGCCCGGGTTTTGCTCCGCACATTGGCCCATGTCGCTTGTACCGGCTGTCACGGAGTCATCCTGTACTATGCAGGATGTAGATTGATCCATCATTGGCTGTGTGCCGCGACGATCATCTCCGCACCAGGGAGGGGCAATCTTCTGTGCCAGGGCTGGCCAGGCTTTTCCAGAATTCCAGGCATCCCAGCCGAGTTCCGCCCAGCTGGCCTGAACCTACTCTGTACTTGGGTGAACTCAGTTGCGAACTTACTCCGGACTTGCTCCGGACTCACTCCGGACTCTGCAGGGGTGCCGTGTGGCCTGATCTCCGCCATGACTGGCCCGCTTGCCTTAGTCACATCGCTGTTTCCCGAAGCCGCTGTGTGTGCGGGCCAATCAGCAGGCCCCCGATCGTCAGCCACGGGGCTGAAGTAAGCCGACTAGGCCCCCGGGGGGCAAGCGCCGTCGATGCCCCCTGCAATACCGATTACCGATCGGGAGCCGTAATCTCGTAACGGCGAAATCTTTCGGTGCCTCCTCCCAGTCTCAGCATCAACCGTTCCTTTTCTTCTCTTCCTTCTCTGCCTGTCCCCTCATCATTCCTCCACTCCCTCTCGTCATCCTCGTTCCCTGCCTGACTTTCACTTCGGGACTCTCATCCTACTCGCGTTTGTCTACTGCGTCTCGACTTATTCGCCCGTCACTTGGCCCTCCATGGAGTCGCTTCTGCAGCAGTCTCGGGCTATGTGCCCGTTTCTCAAGCGCACCTCCCCCAATGCCTTGCGCTCTCTGGCTACCGCTACGCGTCCGAGCACCAGCCCTGGTGGCGGTACCATGTCTAACCTCCAGGTTCTGGCTCGTCGCTGCCCCGTCATGAGCAAGGCTTTGGCCGTGCAGAGTGCTCGCCTGGCCCACACCAAGAGGTTCACCTCTTATACTGCCGGTGTGGCGGGTGTGAGCCCCAAGCATCTCCGGCCCACTGCGGGCAAGAGAGCGTTGCATTCGACTGCTGGCAATGGCGCCGATGTGACCCCCAATGTCTACAAGGAGTCTCAGCGAGGTGGGTGCTTTTCTGGCGGATGACCACGACGTGGTCTATGCTAACGGCATTGCCACAGTTCATCCCAGTCTCTCCGGTGTCAAGCAGCGCTTCGAGCCTCCCGCTGCCACCACCGCGTCTGGCCTTCGTCCTCATACGCCCGCCACCGCACCCTTTAACTACAATGCGTTTTACCAGGGTGAGCTGGAAAAGAAACACAAGGACAAGTCATACCGCTACTTCAATAACATCAATCGGTTGGCCAAGGAGTTCCCCCGCGCCCACACGGCTTCCCCCGAAGAAAGAGTGACTGTGTGGTGCTCTAACGACTACCTCGGCATGGGTCGTAACCCTGAGGTGCTGAAGTCCATGCACCAGACCCTGGATACCTACGGAGCAGGTGCCGGAGGTACTCGCAACATTTCCGGACACAATCAGCACGCCGTGGCTCTCGAGCAGACCTTGGCTAAATTACACAACAAGGAGGCGGCCCTGGTCTTCAGCTCGTGCTTCGTGGCTAACGATGCGACTCTGGCGACTCTGGGCAGTAAGATGCCTGACTGTGTTATCCTGTCTGACAGTCTCAACCACGCCTCAATGATCCAGGGTATCCGCCACTCGGGGACCAAGAAGATGGTGTTCAAGCACAATGACTTGGTCGACCTCGAGGCCAAACTAGCATCTCTGCCTTTGAATGCCCCGAAGATTATCGCTTTCGAGTCAGTCTATAGTATGTGCGGATCCATTGCCCCCATCGAGCAGATCTGTGATCTGGCCGACAAATACGGGGCCATCACCTTCCTCGATGAAGTCCATGCCGTCGGCATGTACGGACCTCATGGCGCGGGAGTGGCCGAGCATCTCGACTACGACATCTACGCTTCTCAAGATACGGCCAACCCTCGTGACACTAAGGGAACCGTGATGGACCGGATTGACATCATCACCGGCACCCTCGGCAAGGCGTATGGCTGTGTGGGTGGCTACATCGCGGGATCGGCGGCGATGGTTGATACTATCCGCTCCCTCGCCCCCGGTTTCATCTTCACGACTTCTCTACCTCCTGCGACCATGGCTGGTGCTGACACTGCCATACAGTACCAGGCCCAGCACCAGCGCGACCGCATCCTGCAGCAGTTGCACACCCGTGCGGTTAAGGAATCACTCAAGGAGCTGGACATCCCCGTGATCCCGAACCCGTCCCATATCATCCCTCTCCTTGTCGGTGATGCAGAGGTGGCTAAGCAGGCCTCGGACAAGCTGCTCGAGGAGCATGGCATCTACGTGCAGGCTATCAACTACCCAACGGTGCCCCGCGGCGAAGAGCGTCTCCGTATCACGCCCACCCCCGGTCACGTCAAGGAACACCGGGACCATCTGGTACAGGCTCTGCAAACCGTATGGAACGATCTGGGCATCAAACGTACCAGTGACTGGAAGGCACAGGGCGGCTTTGTCGGTGTCGGCGTGGAAGGTGCCGAAGCCGCGAATCAGCCTATCTGGGAGGACGCGCAGCTGGGCCTGCAGGCTAGCGAGACTGTTGAGGCTGCCGTAGCGCGCAAGTTCCAGGACGCCGCCGCTGAGGCCCTCTCAAAGACTGCTTCGCGCATGCAGACCGCCACTCCGATCCGTCCTGCTGCTGCTGCTGCCGCCGCCTCTATCCCTGTGGGAGTGGTTGCTTAGACCCCCGTCCAACATACGTCACGATATGGTAGGGTTATGGTATGATGTGACTATCACCTTGATGGCACACCACGTGAGATCGTTGTTGTTAATTTTTCTATTCGCTGCGGGAAATCAGACCCAGCCTGGCCATGTGACCAGCCTATCGGACATTTGCCAAATCATAATTTGAATACGGAGGTGGACAAAAGACACAGATGAACCGGCCTGTCGTTACAGATGATCACTGGGTTCATGTCTATGCCCCTCCCTTATCCTCTTTCTCCCAAATATTTCCTAAATTTCTGTCGTAGCTGTAACTTATTGTAATTCATTGCGTGGGTTAAATATATATTCAGATCCAGTAGACATGATAGCAGGTATCTTCAAATTCATTTGATGATTCGCGTAAATTGACAGTATATATCTTTTTATCTTGATCATAGTATTCACATATCTCATATACTAGTAGTATGTTTACCGATATGCCAGAGTACCACACAACAGTACGCATTAACACATAGCCCCTAGCAATTAGATAACAGAACTGAATCTAGCACAATTTTTTACACACCTCTGTATTAATGTGTATTCATTTTTGTACATACATATGTAACGTACATGTCATATGAATGACCTCTGCCCCCCCGTTCTCATGTGGGAAAGAAAAGTAAAAAAGCCGAAAAGAAGCAATCGACTACCTACCTATTGAGGAAAGTGTTATACCTCACTTACCTATGTACTCGAACTAAACAAACTGAGCCAAAGAGGAAGTAACAATAGAAAGAAAAAAAAAATAAAAAACAAAGACTTCTTTTCCGATACCTACATACATACAGAGAAAATATATGCTAACGTACAATCACAGTCACAATCACATTCCCTCTCGGTTTCTTCCTATCTACCTCCGTCCACCACCGCGACTGACCTTGGGAAACTCGACAGGGATCTTCAACCTCGCGACACGTCTAGCCGCGGCCTCAGCCTTGCCGCCCTTAATACCCCATTTGGCGAACTCCGACTCCCTGGGCTTATCGACCCGACAACCCAGCTCACGGAAATACTGCGTGATAGCCACGTTATCCAGACGCAGATCGTCACGGAGATCGGACGGGTCGGTGGCCAGCTCGTTGGGGGAGTTTCCGCCGGCGGAGCTGTTTCCGCCGTCCTTAGCCGGTTGGGGCGGGATGTGCAGCGAGAGGGCGCAGATGGTGGTGTGGAGGAAGGTGATGTCGTTCTTAGAGAGGGAGGCACCCTGAGGGGCGAATTTGCGGCGGACGGCGTCGATGACGGGGTCGGGAAGTTGGTCGCCGCTGGCGGCGTTTTCGTTGGTCGTTCCGCCGGAGAGGATGCGGCGGAGGTCTTCGCGGGGCGGAAGACGCTTGCTGCCGGGACCGGAGGACTTGTCGCGGCCGGGACGGAGACAGCGCGCAAGTTCCAGGAGGAGGAGGATGAAGCGGAGGATCTGGATGTGGGTGGTGTTGCCGGAGAGGGCGACGGCTTCGACGCGGCGGGAGACGTACCGCGATGTAGTGTTGACGGCGGCGCCGGAGTTGACGGTGTCTTGCCATTCTTTGATGTTGGGGAGTTGGCGCAGGGTGGCCAGGCCATTGGGGACGAGGACGTCAATCGGGTAGACGTCCGAGGGGTGTGCGGCGTCCAGGTTAGCCTGGGGCAGAGGCTTCGCGGCTTGGACCTGGGCCTGCACAGCAGCGGTCTTGGAGGCGATATCTGTGGCCGCATCGGCGGGCATGGCGGAGAGAATGGCATTTTCGGCAGCGGAGGCGGCGCCCGCGGGTACATTGGAGAGCTGGGCGTTTTCGGCAAGCGATTGAGCGGCTTTGCGGGATTGTTTGGTACCGAAGGTGTTGGTGAGTTCGGTTCTTTGAGCGCGCATGGTTTTCTGTTGGGTTGACGGGTTAGCTAAGTGATGGATGGATACAGAGAGGGAAGGGATGGTTCTAACCATCTCTTCTTCTTCACTCTCCTCCTCTTCCTCTTCTTCAATTGCCTTCATCTTGCGAACGGAGCCACGCAGGGTCATCTTCCGCACTTCCACGAACTGCCAGGTCTTCTTCTCCGGGTCCACGATTGCGACATAGTGCTTCAACTGGGAGTCGGCGTCTTCCTCAGCCTCGCGGCCCACAAAGTCCAGCTTGGGGTGCTCGGAGGACTGGAGCAGCAGTTCGGACGAGACGATGCCTTTGTTTCGTGAGGATGCGGAAGAGGTTTTGCTGCGGGTCTTGAGGTATGGGTTGAGGCGGAGGTTTCGCGGTGCGCTGAGACCGGGGGTGGTGACTTGATTGCATTGTCAGATGACTTTACTCCTCGTAGGTCAAGATATCTAGGCAAGAAGATGGTGTAGAGGCATATAGTGGGACATACTGATCACCGGAGCTAGTTCGCTATCATCTTCCACGACGCTGGAGGACAGCGGAGGCAGATCTTGCAGCTCGAGGGCGGGCTTCTTGCTGGGTCTCTCGTGGCGATCAGAGGCGCGCTTGCGCTTCTTATCCACCTTGTCAGACGGCATTGTGTGCTGCGCGGGCAATCTCAGGGAAATGCGACAATGCGGAGAGAGAATGGGCTGGCAGGGCGTGAGGTTATCGGGCAAGTGGAGGGAAAATTCCACGAAAAAAAGTTGAAGGCGGTCAGGCGGGTTGCGAGCGGAAGGCGGAGAAGAGCCCAGCCAGGCGGGCATCACGCGCCACACAATCGCGCCATCTGATGGATGATGATCTACAGCTTCATGTCAGATCATCACGGTTATCTGATGTCTGAAGTCCAGGCGAGTCTCCAGACGACCACCAGCGTTCTACAGTACAATTGAGGGCTTACGAGGAATATCAATGCGTCGTAACTTTTGGTATTTAAAAATCAATTCTCATGAACCTCTCCATGGCCTGAACCCCGTCGGATGAACCGAACAAAGCCCAGGACACGAGTAATTGACCAGTCACCATGCAAAACCCATGAGACCGATGGAAAAAGAGCAAGACAGTACAGGAATACAGGAGACCATTTGACTCTTCCACCATGCCTTCCAACCCCAAACACATTCGTACCTCCGAGGAAAAGATACGTCGAGCGCATCCCCACTGTCTGATTCAAAGGAAATCAAGAGGAAAAAATCGAAACCGTAAACGAGCCACGTGGGATTGGACGGAGAAAATCGCTTTAATCCTGCTGAACGGCGGGCTCCGAAATCGACTGCACCGAGGAAGTGTTCCAGACCAGACAGGCCTCGATCGAGATACCGAACCACGTAACGACCATAACCGGAATCATCGTGACGTCGTCGCAATTGTCATGTTTAGCGTTCAACCTGAGCTTTCACATGAAGAGCTGAGATGGAGTGGGCGAGTTGTTTATTTTCTGCATTGAATTGTTAGTTGGCTGTCCCGTCCGGCTGGTTTCCTGCTCTTGCAATGAATGCAATGGGATATACTCACGATCTGGCACGCATCTTTCTGCGCTTACGCTTGAGGCGACGGACGCGCTTCTTTCTCCACTTGGCTCTCATCTTCGTAGAGAATTCGAAACTGAAGCCAGTCAGTCAGTCACCGTAGACACAAACACAAAGCACTGCAACCAGGCAGGCTGGGGTGGTATACTCACACTTCTGCGAGGATGAAGAGATGGTTGCAAGAAGGATGGAGAGCGGCCGCGGTTGAGCTTCTTGTGTGCGCCGTGGCTGACTCAGCATCCAATGCCGCTAAGGGCTCGCTAGTGTTGCGCCGGCCCTGATTGGCTGGTGGCCCGTCACCCACTGCTTTACCGAGCCTGGCGATTACCGCTTTGGGTCTGCCCGTGACATCAACCCTCCCGGTGCGTGTACCTCCAGTACCGTGGCATGCGGTGGGAACCCATTACGAGGAGAAAGAAAAAAAAGACTCATGGCTATGATTCAACGATATGGCACATAGTTTAATATTCCTGTTTCACTTGTTCGTGTGGCTGCATCGACGCAAGCCCTAGCTAGCCCTATCTACTGCTGAAGAACAGAGCATCTCCGGTCTCTATACTCCGTAGACGTCCGGGAACAACCATTGTGGGATGTTGGTATGTTGAAGACGGGATTCCTCTAGTACGCATAGCGGTAGGTCACCGCCAGATCTCCCAGGACCTCTTCTTCCTCACCTCGAAGCTCCGCTGGCGCCCCATTGGTCATGGCTCGGTCCCGTCGCTTGTTCTCAGCCCAGATAGCCACAAAGTACGCAATGCAGCAGGCAGCGGAGAAGCAAAGGAACGACAGACTGATAATGTAACCATTCCGGTAGAGAGGCGCATCTTTGGCTAGGAACGAATACGTGGAGATGATCCCTCCAACTGGGGTTCGGGTCAGCGGCGTAACCAATATATGCTTTTGGTCGACCGGCGTCGACGTCACTTACTGTTACCAAATCCGATCTGCCATGCTGTGCCCACGCTGCGTCGGCGATGACCTCCCAAGTTCATGGCAAACCAGCATACAATAACTGGCATCGCACTATAGCTGCCACAGGTGACCATGAAGAGCGCGCCGTACTGGACGTGCCGGTGAGCCTGTCCGTGTATGTTCAACAGGATTCCATATCCAGCCATGGCAACCATCATGGGAAACAAAGTGAAAGCAAACCGATGTCTAGCTTGGTCCGAGAGAGCGGCGATAATCATCGAAAATGCAAATGCAGCCGCCCATGGTGGGATCGAGTACAACTGCGTTTGGATGGCTGTAAAAGAGCTTAGCATGCAACGTGCTTAGGTGACTTGAACACATACCTCCATAGCCGTAGGTTTTGATGATAGTAGGAGCGAAATAAGCATAGCCTGGGCTTGTTAGCCTCTAATTTTCACTTGACACTCGCGACCTGGAAGAACAGTCAAGCCTACCATATGCTGTGACAACCTGGCCGAAATACATAAACCCGCCAATAAATATCTTGTCTATAGCCGTGGTCAGAGTGCATGAACGGCTTATGCTGGGGACCATGGGGTACTCACAGTCTTTAAAGACAGACAATACGTCGCGCAAACCCATATGAGCATCACCCCCGGCCTTTCCTACATCCTGAGCCAGCTTGGCTCGGATGTATGTCCGCTCTTCCTCATTTAGCCATTTGACATCCTCTGGGAAACCTGGGATCACGAAAAACCAGATGACAGCGACTACAGATGTGATAACGCCTTCGATGATGAAGACCCACCGCCATCCTCCATACCCTCGAATCCCATCCATCTTCCCTAGTCCACTTGCAAGCAAGCCACCGAACGCGCCTGCCAGCGTAGTAGAGCTGAAGAAGAAGCTGAATCGCTTCTGCGCCTCACTGCGCTTATACCACATACCCAAAAGATAAAAGCCTTACAAGTTCCCGATCAGCATAGTTTTTCAAAGCACGAATAAGGGGCCCACCTACACCCAGGGAACATGCCCGTTTCAAACATCCCTGGGTCAAGATTAGCTGCACGTCGCCGGATCGAAGCGTCTTCATACCCAGGAACCAGCGTGTAGTCATCAGTCCACCCCAGTTCGAGACCAGCCCTTGGCAGATCATGACGACGCCGAACATGAACATACACATAGACACTGGCATGATCAGCAACCCATTGACTGGTGCTCAACAGGGATCATTGACATGGAGACGTACACCATACATGGGGCTTCAACATTTTCAGTAAGATGTTGGACGGAATCTCGAAAATGACGTAGGGGACGAAGAATATAGTCAGCGCAGTGTTGTATTTTGTGCCGTTGACAATATCGAGGTCCTTCTGGAGTCCGAGTACGGCCGCATTGCTGATGTTCACACTGTTCCAAGAAATCGGTTATTGGCCTGCCGATCCCCTGCCAAAGACAAGCATTGCAGCCACATACCGATCCAAGAAAGCAAGCAAGTACAAAACACATAAACATGGAACGATGTGCCAATCAATCTTGGCCATAAGCTTGCGCTCCGTGGTTGTGGTGAGAGGAGGAAGGCCCGACGTAAGCGCTTCTATCTGGTCCTCAGCTTTAAATCCGGGCTGGGGAGAGCGATCTATGTCTGTTCGCGCAGCTTAGGTTATTGCTGTTCTTGGTGGAATAGTGAAGCGCATTTTCTGTACCTTCGGAGAACCCCATTTTTGAGTGATGATTGACAATACCAATGATATTCTATGTTCAGATGCTGCTGGGCTAAATCATGGCACAATGGATACAACAGCTGTGGCCGAATTAACTCGTGGACACAACTAAGTAGTCACTTGGTGACTCTCACTGTCAGAGCCGAAAGTTTCAATAATTGACGGCCCAGAGCAAGGGGTGGATGACGAGGTGTGAACGTCAATAGCAAAGATATGGATCCGAACCACTGGTTCAACAAGAGAACCGGGTGAGAAGAAGAAAAGTAAGCAACAGAGGAAGGCTGAGAAGGGAGGGGGTGGGATATGAGGATTGTAGTCAGTGACTGCTTCGATGGCTGCTGACGATTCCAACCTGCCAAACCAATCGCCTGCAGCGGCATTCACTCGCCAGCGACCACGGCAATGAAAGCGCACCAATTAACTCATCGACACTGGGGGCCTTACTTTAAGCCAGATAAGTACCCGAGTCCTGCCCATTCCGGCCTGATCAGTAGGGTACAAAACAGCTTGACAGTTCGGCCATTGCTTAGCTTGCTCGTCCGATCCATCCGAGGTTCTCGACCGTGTCAGTCAAGGTTTTAGTTCGGAGTCCCGACCAGAGCTACTATGTAGATAGCCCACGCACTACCCCGATCGCAGAGATGGGAGATGACAGTTTGAGTGGATGCAACGTGCCAAGGGGGGAACTCTACTCCGTACCAGGAATCTGGAATGGATCATGGCTCATGGCTCCTGGCTCATGGCTCAAAGCTCCAGCCAGTCTGGAATTACCCCAGAGTTAATTTCGGGGCTAGTGAGCCCACTTTCCCCACATGTCGCTTAGCTAATCTTCCCCACAGCCGGCAGTCCTTCACCTTCACCTTCGACTCATGGAGGTCCAAAGTCTAGAAAATGGCCAAGGATCAGACTGAGTGGCTTTGCAGTGTGTCAAGTCTGATCATATTATAGGAGAATTGGCTGGTTTGGGGGTCTCTCGAGACTGCGGGCCCCGGAACACAAGATTGGCACCGAGTAGCATTAATACTCGAAGGTTCGTGTTGTGCCGATAAGCACGAATGGAAGAGCAGGGAAAGACGGACCAGGTCGCACAACCAGCACATCGCGACAAATAGAAGCATCCAGGTCTATTGCATAGACTAGCAGTGATTGACCACGTGCTGCTTGTTGTCTGTCCCCCACAACTAAGCCACGTCATCATCATTATTAGCTTCCACGAGCTATCATACAATCGCCCCATACCACACCGGCCCGCGCTACGTCTCAAAAGACAGTGTATATATGAGGGATCATTCACATTCCGAGATTATAAGAATACCCCCAAAATTTGCTATAAGCCCGCATTACATGGTTGAGCCACCCGATGGTTGATCTTCTACTGCTTTCCCCCACGCCTTCTCAAAGGCTGAGTCGTCTTCCGCTGCTACACCTGATGCTTCGGAAGCGAGTTGCTCCTCATCGACCTCATCCTTCTCAATCATCACTGGGGCAGGAGAAACAGAGGTATCTGAACCCGTGTCTCCTCCCAATGGCTGCGTCCTCGAATCAGATCCAAGCAGCTCCGAGTCGAAATTGGAGCTGTATACAACAGCCGCAAAGGCCTCCAGCTCGCGTACCCCCTGATCTATTGCTGTTAGATACAAGTTTGGTGGAGCTGTCCCATTTCCAATCACGTGGGCTTGTCGGGCCAGTACGGCCAATACATTCGCCAGTTTTGTTTTCGGGTCCGAGATGTCAGCTACCGGGACAACCGTGGCAACTGATGTGAACGACTGAGGAACGGAAACAGGCCCCTGCGAGGATGACTTGAATGCGTCTGCTTTGCACTGATCAATCATGGTTTGAAAGCATTCGTTGTTGAGAAGTAACATCACACGAGTGAAAGTCGGAGAGTCAATCAGATCGGCCGTCTCATCCAGGAGATGGCGCAGCGATGCTGTTGTCTGAGGCGTTGTGGGTTCCGTCACCCCGAGGACCCCGGACTCCTCTAACAGATGTTCCTCCTCTTCCCGCGAGGGGAGCAAATAAGATAGCCACTTCCGGCGCCTGGCAGGAACGGTCAGCAACAGGCTACTAAACCCCGCGCAACGGCAACGTACTTCCTGTCCTCCTCGGTATTGCCCTCTATTTTCCTCCGGGCTTGCAGAGTCAATTCCGACAGCTTAGCCAGCGAGATGTCTTCTCGGGGATTCAGAGGGCCAAAGACCTCCGTCACGGCGGCCTGCACCTCGTCCATCAACTGCTTCCAGCCCCGGTGAAGCAGCCACCAGCTGAAGGCAAGGTATCGCCGGTTTGTTTCAAAGTCGTTCCCCAATGTCTGCGTGAGATCGTCATCATCGTGGTCCTCTAGTCGGATAGTCGATGCATCTGCGGGTGGCGTAGCCATGGAGATCACGCTGGACAGGTAGTTTCGACGGCCGAGAAGGTTGAGTTGGATTCGGGTGAAGATGGTCAGCAAGGATAAGGTGTAAATGAGGGTAACCGATCTAGTGATGGCTATGGTGGTATGTTAGAGCCCATGGCGACGACAATAGAGTGACATGTGACGACTGACAGGTTATCTTGACCTCGTTCCAGAGCTGAGTCTTGTTTCGCTTCGGTCGTGGTGGGCCGCCACCCTCAAAGGTTGATTCTCCTAATTGACTCGTACGGACAAACCCATCGCTCTGGAAGCTAGACAAGCTCCGCCGATCATCGTCCGTTATACTGGGCGACACTGAGCTCAGATCCGAGCCTGTCCCTTCCCCGGCGTTGAGGCGAGCCAGTCGCTCTGCACGTTTCTTCTGTAGCTCCTTAGTCAACTCCTCCACAGGCAGTGCCTCGAGAATATCCTCTGCCGCAGTCGGTAAGAGGGCTAGGACGGTGTAGGTACAGTCGGTCTGGTTTTGCTCGAAGCGTCGCCGTAAGCTGTACAAGAGGCAATAGCCGTCAGTCACCGTCCCCAAGCACGCGAGCACGTCACGTTGTCAAGATAAGAGGTAAGGAGGCCCGCCACTCACTTCTCTCGGGCAATGCGGTCACTGCTCATGCGCTCTCGCGCCTCCAAGATCTTGGACAGCAGGTACTGTCCAGCGAGATAGCCCGCTCCGATAACGCCAGCTCCGATCGCAAGGCCCTTGCGATTGCGCCGGAACCAGCGCTTCGTAGCACTGATCATGGTGGAGCAGAGAGGGTCGGGGGGGGGCGGATGGTCTTCTAGATGTAGGAGGCAGTTCAGTGCATCGTATGGAGCCGACCAAAATCAATGAAAGTGAATTGTCGTAGGGAAGAATCACAGGGAAAGGCCAAGAGGCAGGGTGGGTGATGGGAGAGCGACGGGAAGCACGGTCGGGGAACGAGGGTCCCTGGCGCGGCCTCGGCTAAAGAGCGCAGCAGCAAATGATACCCGGCAACGTGAATGATCGTCACCAGCGGGTCAGGTCATCGCGGATGCGAAGGCAGAGAGCGTATGGAGTATGGAGTATGGAGTAGGTATGGGGTATGCTACATAGTAGACTGCCATAGTATGCAGCTCGGGGGGATGACAAGCCGTGTAGGACGTGCCACTTCATCCCCCCGAACGTTGTTGCATCATCATCGTCATCCTGTCCATCTCGGCCTGATTCTGTCTGACCTGGGCAACCTTAGGCAGGTCATGCCCTGTACTGCCAATACCATGGATACGCGCGCGGATGGCCCTATCAGGGCTATCTGTCGGTCTCAGGGACGATAAGGATACGGAGGACGTACGGTCACAGACGAGGGGCAACGAGCGGATTACATACACCCCATGACTGTACATTTCCTCATTCCACCTCATCATCCATTATCTCACTACTCCGTACCTCTCTTCCTCTTCTATCTTCTTCCTCCCTCTTTCTTACGATTCAAAGACACATGGATTATATCCTCAGCAGATCATGCCTCCCTCATGATCCGTCCTCCATGCGAGACTCTCCACATTGGTCCTAGACAACCCGCCTGTCCCCTCCCCAACGCCGTCGTCATCGCCCCCCCGTACCCCTTCAACCCCAGACTTGATTCATCTTCACCCACGCATCGGAACCCTTCTCCGCTGCACCACTTAGCTCGGGATCCTTAGCTGGGCAGTTACTGGTACCTGACGATTGTTGGGCTCCACTATCTTTGCAGCTTCTCGCATACAGAAAGAAGGTTGGCACCCGGTCGTTCCCTCGTTGAGATGGAGCCCCGCAAAACGCCCCCGGAGTACTTCCTGGAGGTCTTCGCGGATACCACGACCGTTCGGGATGTGTTGAAAGGTCAGTCTCTCTCTCCGCTAAATCCCAACTGTGGGTTTTAATATTACCTCGACCATATGTGGCTTACATATTTTCCTTACCAGGCATCCTCAACCTGATCTTCTTCCACCGATACTTCCCCTCCATCCGCCCAACCACCTTCGAGGTCCTAGATTTCACCCTGCCCGCCATCAACGATGTAGACCTCGAAACCCTCATCGAATCCCGTATCAGCACCCTTGTTCGCCAACACTCCTCCGTAACTAGCGCCCCTGATGGTAGCGGCGGCGGCGGCGTGCGCGGCCGAATCGCAGTGGAATTTTATGAAAAGCGACGCCGGCGTTCCGGAATCTGGTTTGGCGGTCTCGCAGGAAAGGGAGAGGAAGAAGTATGCTGGGAGGTGTGGAATCTGGATGTGACGATAGCTACACCTCGAACAGAATCCGGTATGGACGAATGGCATTCTGCGCCCCCCACACGCGCCAAGCTTTACCCCCCCTGGCTGACATGTGATCTGGTCTAGAACGCGCCAAAGTGCGCAAAGCAATGGAGAACATGCTTCAGAAAGCTGCCTTGAAGATCCTGGCTGTCGTCAACCGCGATAAGGATCATATCCCACCGATCACGACTAGCGATTCGAATCCGTTTCCTTATCGGATCGTGTTGAACCCCCGGCCTGATGGATGGCAGAATCGCTTTGGGTTGTACTGAATCACTTCGGGCCTCGAAAACATCGCTGGGCTACGGTACCTGGATTCGATGTGAATGATTCGCAGGCTGTGGCGCGCCTGAGATTCGCAAGGAATGTTACGTGCTCATTGGCCGCACTTTTGTTTCGTTGATTGTACATTACCCGCTCTCTTTTCGATCATAGCGTCGGCCTCATTCAGAAGAAACGTCCTATATCATCTATACCCCTCCCTCCCCTCGGCGAAACGAGAGCAATCAGGAAAAGAAGCAATCGACAATGCTCAAATTACCAAGAAGAGGCATAATGCATCAAAGTATAGCTATACCACCCACGGAATAGGAACAGCCAAGTTCTGCCCTTCACCACCAACAAACATCACAATTCTACTTAATCAAGTCATGGCAAAGGAACAACATAAACAGAATGGCCCAATCTCGCCCGACGTGGCTCAAGTATCATATCACCGCTCATCCAGTACATCGTTTTTCCAACGTAACCCCGAAGTCTCGAGATGACTCCGTTGCTTTGCAAATTCCCCAAACATGGCGAGAAACGACCGACCCGGTGGCTGATCGAGACCAGGCCACAGATCACCCGAACTCACGGCCAGCTATTTACTGCTCCTTGGCGGCAGCCTCGGCCTGAGCGCGGAGGTTGGCCGAGGTGGAGCCGCCAACGAAGAAGCGGCCGAGCACGGGCTGGATAAATGAGTGGAAAACAACTTGGGCACCGCTGCAAGGGAGTCAGTCATGTCATGTTCCTTGATGAGATGCAGGTCCGCAGAAGTGGGTAGCTTACTTGGTCTGGGGAAGAGACATCCAGAGGACAAGGGCGAACTTGAAGATGTAGTAGAAGGCTGTTTGGGCGCACAATCAGTTCATGTTCACTGTCCAGAGCTCAATTGTCGCAGATACTTACGGAACCAGTAGGGGGCGCTGATGGCGCTCTCAATCACGGTGAAGAAGGCATAGACAACCCAGTACTAGAGAATCACATGTCAATCAGTTACCGCTGCTGACGAACACACGTTGTCACGTGCGTCAAGATAACCTAGGCGTGAACACCCGGGTTCGAGATAACGAGATCACGAGAACATACCGTCAACCACTAGAAGCAGGACACCATTGTCAGCATATCTGTTTAGCTCATGAGATCAACGATGGGGAACGGAACCATGAACATACCTGCGTGTCATCGGCCTTTCCAGCGGTGAAGAGGGCGTTGAGCGAGTAGTAGCCAGGGATGAGGAAACCGGCGAAATTGACGAGGAATTCACCCGCGATGTTGAAGAAGACCAGGAAGAAGTAGATACCGACCAGACCCAGGATCACGTAGACCTTGGGAACGGAGGTCTGACGCTCCAAGTTGTTGAGCACAGGGTATTTGGAGAGCTAAGGCGTACCCACAAAGGGGATATGGTTAGCTCGCTCGCGGGCTGAGAAATAATCCAAACAGGCAGAAATCAATCCACAGTCCCGAGTCCAAATTCTGCCCCTCAAAACACGTTACATTGACGATGCAGATAGGATAAACTGCAAAGCCAATGCAAGCAAAGAGGGAAAACCCAGACGGTCAATTTCGCTGACCGACCCCGGGGGGTAACAGGACGGACACCAACACCAACACAAAACGCACACACGACTCACCTCCTTGTCGAGCTGGGCAATGGCGTGCTGAGCACGATCCTGGAAAGAGGCCATTTTGTGTGGAAAATGGGGAAATAACTGTGCTGCTGGAGAAGCTGGCAGTGTTTTTGGTCTGTTAGGGGAGGAGGTGGAAGCGAAGTCGGACGGAGGGTCGTTGTTATCAGGGCGCGGCAAAGAGAAGAAGGACGAGCAGGTGAGATTCGAAAGGACGAGCTGGCGGTTACGGAACCTCCAGCCGGGATGACGGTGGGGTCACGTGATGACATCATGACGTCGAGGGCTGGGACCCGGGATGACGGCATTCCTATCTCCCCTGTCGTGGTGAATCAGATGGAGGTTGGTCGTGTGCTTGATTCCTCTTTTCTCTGTGTTTACTTTGGATGGCTAACCGGTCCTTGATGGATAGGTATAAACATCAACCCTGGGGAGCTCTCGAAGGATTCCTCCCAGCCAGGGCGATGCGGTCGGGGGTATTGTATCATTGTATCTACTGTATGCTGTATGTACGATACCCGCGTCTGATACGGGCTCGTCCGGCTGGACTGGGACTGGAACTGGAAGGGCCCGGCAGGGTTTTGTGTTGCAGTTTTGGCTCCACCGCTCAGCAGCTGCTGCGATATCCCTCACCTTAGCAGGCGATACTATTCCTCGTAGATATCCTATTATATATACCTAGATACATAGGAGAAAAAGTCATACTCTGTACGGAGTACTCCCCTCCTTTTTCCGTTTTCCATAGGTATATAGATTTCAACTTTCACCATTCCTACTATATGGAAAAAGACAGATGAAAAAAAAAAAAAAAAAAAACAAAATACCTAACCAACCCTACCGGTCGGAATTCGGAAATGGATCTCTGGCCCTCTGCAGCCAACCAATTACCGAAGCCCGACCCCTTCTATACATAGATCCAGCGCATTTATAGGTCCATCCAGGATCGAACCAAACCCGATCGCTTTGCCGCCGGGAGGGAAAGATACTACCTATCTACCTACTATGTAGTACGTATGGTATGTAGATAGATACAAACTTAGATACGTAACAGATCTGCGTCCTTCCCTGTCGAATCCAGGTCTGGAGATTCCAGTTTCTGTTCCTGCGTTTCGTACATGAGATGTCTAGTACACATTCAAGTAGATACCTAGATACCTAGATACCTGTTCATAGATATAAGTAGGTAACCAGGCACCTACTTTACTTTTCAGAAGCGTAAAGAAGTGCTCTTGGTAGAAATAGAATTCGGGTGTGTGCGGAATTCATTTCCATACATACATACTTACGACTTGCGACATCCACCCCGAGTTATCTAGCGAGCCGGATATGCTTCAATCCACTCATTCTCATACATACTGAGGGCAGACAGACTTGGGAATGGAAATGGAAATGGTTGGGGATACCTCTATAGCAGTACGGACATCCCTGGTATCTTAACCAGGGGACATCATACTGCTGGTTGGGCTATCTATTCGGAGTTTTGTGCGACCGAGCTGCACTCAATAATGGGGATTGAGGTGGTGTGGCGGACCTGATTCGAGTGGCAAATCCATCGGTCGCGATGTCAAGCTGTATGGTATATCGAACATGGTACATTACGTAGGGCTACATTTAACCATCGCTAATATATCACATCTGGGACGATCCAATTACAACCAATGTCATCTTCATAAAAAAAAAATCGCCGGGCGGGCACCCCAGGAACATCCGAAGTGACAGTCAAAAGATCCTCCACCTGCCCCGTCTAGACATCGGCAAGCAACTCAGAAAAGCGGGTGTAATAATAGAATATCGAAGAGGAACGCGAAGAGAAGTGTAAAGGAGAATCGCTCGTCTTCTTCAGGTCGAGCATTGCGCCATCAGCCATCGTCCTTCCCCAGCCACCAAGGTCACATAACGCCGTTCACGGAGCAAAAGTCGGTAGGGGCATATCAAGAAGAGATCAAAACAGCATAGAATGTAATGTGCAGGTAATCGAAGTTTTGGCAACACGTAAACCATGTCAAGAAATCACAACCACTATGTCTTCACCAACGTCTATTAGCAAAGTCACTCGTTCTCATTTACGCCGTTGCCGGCTCCCGCCGCCGCCGCGCTGTCCCGGTTGCCACTGTTGAAGGTGAGCTTCAACTTGGGCGTCGCAACGGCAGAAGGCGTCTCGGCCCCTGATGCCGCGGCGGTGGACTGGTCATGTCCAGCGGGGGCTCCCACGTCGTCGTAGTTGGCGAACTGGGGGTGACCCTCGGTTTGCTTCTTCAGCTCCGTCAAACATTTTGCCTGTGTACGGTCAGCAACTGCCTAGGGCGATCTCATGCAACGTGTCTACTCACCTCGATATCATTGGCATCCTGGAACAGGATGCTGCCGTCCTCGTTGTAAGTTCGGGCGTTCTGGCAAAGGAGATGGATGTCATTCCGGAAATCCTTCAGGTTCTGATACTCATCACGGTTGATCTTTTTCTTGATCATATCCATGGCGATCGGGTTCTGGATAATCATGTAGTAATCCGGGTACTGCGACTTGGGTGGCGGCTTCATAAAGGGTTCGATGATGGACCGCGTCACCGGCCCATCTTCGCTGTCGGATGAGTCGGCCGGCAACTCCTGCTCCATGTCCATCAACGCCTGATACACGTGGTTCACAATCCGTTGCAGAGTAGCACGGTCCTCGGGAGTCAACGTTTCCACTGGCTTAGCTTGTCTTCCCCTCTTCCGCTTCGGCTGAGGCGTTTCCTCCACGATCTCCTCGGCCTTGCGCTTGGGGGCAGGGCCTCTGCGGCGCTTCTTTGGCTGAGGTGTTTCCGAGCTCTCGCGGGATGGTTCCGGTGAAGAGTCGCCCACCGTCTTCTTTGTACGCTTTTCTTTGTTGACCCGTCGGCGCTCAACCCTGGCCTCTTTCCGGGCGATTGCATCCTCAATCGTATCATCATCGGCATCCACAGCCATAAGCCACTGTTCTTCGGTGAGACCGTCATCGTACCGGGTAACCTTGCGTTCACGGGCACCGCGACCGGCATATTCAACGTCGGCCTCTTCAGTAACCGGGTTATCCTCGGTGAGATAGATATCCGGCAATTCGTCTTCGCACATCAAGCGAGGATACTTGTGGCCAGGTCCATACTGACCGTTCTTTTGTCGTTCTTTATCGATCTGCTGGAATACGACCAACTCGTCGTCAGACCGCGCCATGATGTCATTCAGGTCATCGTCGTCCATCTCTTCTTGGTCTCCGATCTGGTCCGCAGCCTCAGCAGTCTCCAGGAGCGTCCGCAGCAACGCATCTCGCTCCTCATTAGTGGACTTGTTATCGAATTTTCCGGCCTGAATAACCTTGCCATCCATATCAAGCTTGAATTGCGCACGCTCCAAGATCTTCTCCTCAACGGAGTTGGAACTGATCAGACGCAGGATACGGACCTCGTTTTTCTGGCCAATACGATGGGCACGATCCTGGGCTTGCAAATCCTGGTGGGGATTCCAGTCAGAATCGAAAATGATGACGGTATCGGCGGACTGGAGGTTGAGACCCAGACCTCCCGCACGTGTGGATAACAAGAAGCAGAAATACTCCGAGTTCGGCGCGTTGAACAATTTCAACAGATCGGATCGGTCATCGGATTTTGTAGATCCATCAAGACGGAGGTACTTCAATCCGCGCAGACGCAAGAAATCTTCCATGATATTCATGATCTGAGTCATTTGAAAGAACATCAGAACTCGGTGACCAGTGGCCCGGAACTTAGGCAAGATCCTGTCCAGAAGTTCGAATTTACCGGCAGTACGCCAGAGCAGGTCGTTTGTCCCGCGTCCAGGGTTCATCTGATCTTCCACAGGCTCGAAAACAAATGGGTGGTTGCAAAGTTTCCTCAGCTGCATGAGCATGTTACTAAGACCGCGCATACCGGTCTTGCCGCCCTTGCCGTCGCTGACGGCCATCTTGTTGTGGGTGACAAGCTGCCGGTACAGCTTAGCCTGCAGAGCAGAGAAGCGACACTTGATAACTCTCTCTTGTTTGTCGGGGAGATCTTTCTCGACATCCTTCTTCAAACGTCTCAGCAAGAAGGGACGCAAGACCTTGTGGAGGCGACGGATCACCAGGAGCTGTTCTTCTTCGCTCAACTCCATACGATCTTGTCCACCTGTATTGGCAAACGGTGTGTTGAACCACTCATCAAACGACTTTACCGACTTGAAAATGTTGGGCAGAACGAAATTGAGCAGTGCCCAGAGTTCAGGAAGATTATTTTGCAAAGGCGTACCAGTCAAAATGAGGCGGTAACGACTGACATAGTACTGTGACAATGTACTACTCAGCTTGGACTGCGTATTCTTCATACGATGGCCCTCGTCAACGATCATGTGAGTCCACTTGATCTTGCTCAAAATCGGTCGGTCCTTGATGATGTATTCGTAGGTCGTCAACAAGACCTGGAAGTTGCCCCAACGGATCTGTTGCTGCTGCTGCTTGCGAGCATTAGGAGGTCCCTTGTAGACCACTCTGTTAACCGACGGCGCCCACTTCTCGAATTCCAGGTTCCAGTTGGTGAGGGTACTGAGGGGAACAATGACGAGAAAAGGCCCGTTGTTCTTCTTCCTCTCGATAATATATGTGATCAGACTGATTGTCTGAATAGTCTTTCCGAGGCCCATCTCATCGGCCAAGATACCATTCAGATTATTGTTATACAGGGATATCATCCACTGCAAACCCTTCATCTGGTACTCCTTGAGCGTACCACCCACAAGGATATTTGGTTGAGTAAGGACCTCCTCCTTGATGCGATGTGCAACAGCGTAGTAATCGATCTTCTTCCTCCCGTCACCTTCATCTTCGCTTCCGGAGACAAGTTCTTCTTCTTCCTCCTCTTCAAAGAACTGGTCTTCCTCACCATAACGTTCTGCCAGACTTCGTTGTTGCTCTCTAACGGAGGCGGCAAGCTGCTTGAGGAAGTTATCGGTTTGTTTGAGAAGATGGGAGATACGAGAATCTTTGGCCTGTCCGAGCAGCTTAAGATACGTTTCCTCATCGTTAGCTTTAAGGGCCTGGAGACGTTGCTTGGCAGTACGCTCAACACGCCTCTGTTCTTCGCGCTCCATGTGCTGGTGATGCTGAAGCATCATACGGCCCAGCTTCTGCATACGAGTGCGCTGCTGGTTAGCCGCGTTCTGCAGCTCAGCACCATGATTGAGGATAGCCTGAAGATGATCATATTGCTTCCGCTTTTCTCTTGTCTCGCGAGCATCGCGCTGTTGCTTCTCTAGCTTCTCAGTAATTCGGGCCTCCCGTAGTGATTGTTTCTTCATACGGCGATGGCTCGAGCGATTCGCAGTCATGCCCAGATTATCAAAGTGGAACATCTCGTTTTGAATCTGCTTCCGGAAAAGTTTTTGCTTCGGTAGGAGATTTAGCATTTTGTACTCAATGAGAGCCTTGAGTTTTAGAGAGTCATCCGCAGTGGCGGTGTCGCTTTGGCTAGAATCCCATGCGCCGATATTGGCCGGAAGCTCGGCTAGTTCCGCTTTACGCGCGTTGATCCTATTGTAAAGAACCAGTTCTCTTTCTTCGCGTACCTGCTCGAGGTCGATGCCAGGTGGCATCAAGGCGGGAATGCGCATTCGATTAGCGCGAGAGGCGTGATCGGTAAAGCTGACGGTCTTGGGTAACTTGTCGTATGGGGACTGGAAGGTCTCGTAGAAATCTTTGGACTGGGTTGCTTCTTCCGTACTTGCAGGCTGCTCGGGCTTTCCCTGAGCAGCGCCTTCCAAAACGCCTTCCGCTGCCGCAACATTCTCGGACGGAGCAGGAGTCTCGGGTTTCTTCGAAGGAAAGAGTTGTTGCTGAACGCGAGCCGGTATGGGAAGATTCTTAGAAAGCATCTTGAATGCCAGGATTTGATTCCTAAGTGTTGTAAGCTGCTCAGAAGAGAAACTATTGCTGGGGCCAGGCGCGCCCTTTTGGGATGCAGTCTGGCCCCCGGGTTGTTGACCACCTGGAGTAGCAGTGGCATCCGGAATGGCATTTGTAGCGCTGGTAATAGAATTGTTGCGGCCTATAATCGCCCAGGTCAGTCAGCGAGCGAGTCTAACATGCTACACATGGCCAAGTCACTATCATACCATTCATACCGTTCGCAGTGACAGCATCTGGGGTCGCGCCATTGAGCTGCTGCTGACGCTGCTGCGCCTGCAGGTGCTGCTGGTGCATTTGCCTTTGTTTGTGAAATGCTTGTTGACGCTGAAAGGCCGAGAGAATATTATGGGCTTTTAGGTACTCGGGGTCGTCATGACGCACGCCTTGCTCCTGCATTTGCTTGAATTTCTATCATTGGGCGATGTCAGAGTATTGCACATTACATGGGTTGCAATGAAAGCGAGATAAAGATATAGTGGTTGTGCCGGGGTAGTGTTCCCCCAAGGGAAGACCAGCATACCTGGAAAACCTCTTGGATTTGTTGCTGCGTGATGTTTGGCGGCAACGACATGTTTCCAGCCGCCATACTGGGTGCTGACTGGAGAGAGGCCATGGTTTAGCGCGTGGTGAATGTACTCATATGCGAAAGGACACGCTTGGGGGCGGCCTGAGGGCGGCCTGGATGCGACGGTGCACGGTTAAGCGCTTGGGGAAACACGTGGGAATTGAGTATGGCAACAGTGAATGACGATTCGCGCAGGGAAGGGCGACGAAGTGCGCTAATTTACTGACGTGGAGAGATGGGGGGCTCTTTTTGTCGATGGATGCGACTGGTAGCGGCCTGTATCTGGACCTTGGCAACAGGTTTCGTGATGTTTAGGCCGAGTCGGGGGACACACAGGGCGGTAGGCGACAAACAGGAGAATCAGGAAGAAGGGGGAAAGGGGTGTAGACACGAAGATGTAGGGGTGGAAAGGACCCCAGACGGAGGGGCCGCGTTGGAAAAGGCGCGTGGAGGGCCAGTCTGGATGAAATGGAGATGGAGGGGACGGGGCTTTCGCGACTTTCCGTGCTGGTCGGGGAAACTGGCAGTGCTCAGCCTGTGCCTGTAACGAGGAGAGGCAGGCGGCGAGACGTTGGAAGAAGATTTCGTGCCGGGTCACGTGCACTTCCCGCGGTCTCTGCTGACTCAGCCCCCAGCCCCAGGATGCCCACCTTTGGCCTAGCGCCCCCGTCCAGGCCTCGGACTACGACCTACTCCGTAGTATCCATGCGATTCGAATCTGCTTGCTCAACGCCATTGAATTAATTCAAGACCTAAACCCAGGGCAAAACAAAATTACACTATCGGACATTCTAGTTTCCCGTTTCGATATATCAATACATCAGCGAGGCGCCTGGCCTGTGTTGCGTGGGGAACCACCACCGCCACCACCACTGCGGTTGCGCAGGCCGCGACTCGCCGATTTCGTCGAGACTACTAGCAATTGTGCGAGGCTTGCCAGCTGAGCCATTGGCCCTTACTCATCGCTCGCCAGTAGGATGAACATGGCACAGACATGGCTAGTATTAAACGAGTTTGCCGGAAACCCGTGAGCGAACGTGGATCCTACGGACCCCCAAGCTCCAACTTTTCAAGATGGGCAGGATACACTGAGATTAGAAGACGATTCCTAGTACTCGCCCCCACTGAGAATAGGACGCTTCATCGGGGGCGGGGGCGGGGCAGGCTTCTTCGAGCGGGGAGGTGGAGGTGGAGGGGCCTTCTTGTTCAAGTTCAGGGGCGTGCCATTCAAGGTTGTCGAGCTGGATTTCCTCGAAACTGCACCCCCGTATGACGGCCCTGGAGACTGGTTCCGCCCCATGTATGATCTCTCGGGGCTAGTGCCGCTAGGGCTAGCATCCTCTTGTTCCATGTATGGGTCAGGGTATGATCGGCCCATGGTCCGGGATTGCACGCTATTCCTCCGGCCGATATAGTTGTCGCTGGCTGCCCGAGATGGCCATTGGTACGGGCCAGAGCTTTGCTCCTGGCGCAACTGGGTAGGGCCCTCAAACGTCGAAGTCCGATTCAAAATGGGCCTCTGGGAGTAAGCATCCGGCGGATAGACCTCTCTCGCAGCAGGTTCAATTGAAGTAGCCCTGGTCGATCGAATAATCGGTCGCAGTTCGGCCGCATTGTCAACCTCCTCATGCAGTGGTTCGTAGCGTTCGTGGTATGAATGCGCGGTGTTTGAGCGAGGACGTCCTGGACGACGGGCACTTGGAGCTTGGGATAGCGGTTGTCTACTGATCTATTAGCATCGCGGTAGACTCAGCATCTCAATTGACACTCGCCTGCTAGGCCACTCTGTTCTGAGTTGAAGAAGCACATCGCGGCATCGCTCGTGGTAGTCAAGTTGGGCCTCCAAGAACGCTTCCAGGTTCATTATACCTTCGACTTCGGAATCTTTGATGTCCTGCATCCGCCGAGACACGTCATCGTTGGCCTCTTCATACTTGACTTTCTGAGTCCGGAGCTCTTCCTCCACACGGAAATCTTCCCGTTTTGCTTTCTCCATCTTAGAGAGAGAGGTATCGTAGGCCAGACGCCGGCTATCAAGCTTCCTGCGCGCGGTCTATGGAGAATCCAATCAGCGCTCCACGCCATGTGCCTGCACTCGTCAAATTTTCTTACCTGGTAATCTTTCATCTGGGTCAAGGAATGCTCTAGCGACTCAAGCCAGCCCGAGCTCACCTGCGAGGTGTAAGCGTCCTGGAGACGAGCCAAGCGCTCCTCAGCCCTTCCAAGCACTGTGTGGATATCATCAGCATTGACGGCGTTATTGAGAGATCAGAATAGCTTACTGGTCATGCAACGGCCGTACTCGGAGTTCGCATCGAAGTCCTCACCATGACCAACCATGCTACTACCCAGATGAGCGATAGGCAAGGTCTTTTCCTTATCCTCACCTTCGCTACGCTTCGAGATAGACTTGATGTAAGAGCCTGTTGCCTTGTGGATACGGTCAACTCCTAGAAGAGAGCGCGTGGGTCAGTCAACTAGAAACGAGAAGAGTCCAACGGTATTGGGTGTCATGGTTCTCACCCTCGTGGCGCACATTCATCTCCGTCTCCATAGCTTTGAAGTCATCGGAGAGAGTGGTCTTGACCTCTCCTCCCATTCTCTCCCCCGCCCATTGCTTAAAGCGATCGAATTTGCGATTGACGTTCATGTCGACAGATTGCTGTGATGAATAGAGATGGAGTGGAAACGACTGTTGGGTTTATTTGAGGATAATACACTAAAGAACGAGGTTGCGGTGCGACCAGCAATAGGCTAGCTAAATTGTCTCGATTATGGGTTCGAAATCGAAAATTGCAAGAATGGTAGTTGAACGAAAGAGACACGGTTCGTAAGAAGCACGCTGCTGCGTATGGGACAAAAAAGAAGGCGCCACAGCCAGGAGGCGAGTTGGAGAAAGAAAGGCAGAAAGAAACCTAGGTTAGGTGGGAAAAAAGAGTAGCCAGTTGCGACAGACCAGGAGGGACAGGCTGGGTCTTAAGGCAAGTCCCGAAAAGGGTGACAGGGGAAATTAGTCGGGTGGAATTATTATTACTCGATAGTATGGATTTGGTCTTTATTATTTTAGTTTTTATTTTCGAGCGATCGTTTGCGTGAATATTATTAGTAAATCCGGGGCTGCTATTGCGACCACCGGCAGTGTTTATCGAGGAATGACAGACAGCAACGACCACAATGTTATTGCCAATCGCAAGCGGGCCAGACATGGATGGAGCTGGTTGCACGGAAAGCGCCACATTGCCTTTACAAGGTTCCCAGCAGAATGACCCCCCACCAGGAGAAAGAATTTTGGTCGCATGACGATACAATTACATTTATCGTTGTCCCTTCCCCTCCTCCTCCTCCTCGTCCTCCTCCTTCGGATTCAATCCGGTTCTCGCTTATTACTACTCTGAACCCTGGAATTAACTCAAGACATGATGGAGAGAGGCAGAAGTCAATCCCTGCGATGGACGGAGGGATTGATCCATCCAATGGGGGGTGGAGGCGGGGCCAGAACCGCCATATTGAGTTCGGTTGACCCAGCAGGATGAGGTGTACCTGAAACCTAGCAACTCCCCTAGGGAGATACTAGACAGCCGGTCAAAGTACGGACACCCCGGTGGCACAGCCGCCTGAAAAGTCGCTGGGGGGAAAGCCTATCATTATCATTGCCGCACCGCACTTCAAACCGGGTTTGCCAAAGACCCAGGCGGATCTTAAGGTGTATCAGAAGGTGAAGCGTCATAGGCCAGAGGAGATTCTGGATTGCCGCAAGTGACACGCGTTAGTGGGCCAGTCAGGTGGAGATCCACCGCCATCGATTGGCGGTCGAGGGCCAGTCTCAAACGTGGCCCTCGATTGGAAGCTGTCTTTGCCACCCTCTGGGAGTCGTTCTATTTACGGAACTGAGGGTGGGTAGGCGAGGGAGGGAGGGAGGTCTGGTTTGTTCAGAATGCTGAAGTTTAAACAGTGTTGAGAAGATCGATTATTGATCCGGGAAAGATTATCAGTTTGGAGTAGATAAATATCCTTGATAGTTACATCAGGCCCCAGTCTTACATGGTGGAGGCACATGTAGGGACTTCATACTACGGAGTACTGATAGATAGCACTACTACTTACTACCTAGGTAGTAGGTACTACTACCTAGTACTAGTAGGAAGTACTAGTATTGTCAGACTGGCCAATGGCACAAAGCCCAGAAACTTCAGTCGAAGCCACTGGAGGTTCAGGCTTACTACTGTTATGATAGGTAGGTAGGTTCAATCTTCACTATTCTCACACTGACAGAGGATACAAGAAAACAGCATTCTCTCTTTCCTTGGGTGATCCTTCTCCATGGCAATCCCTAACGCGTCAGGGTGGGATGTTGTCCGCAGATCGTGATGCAAGCCCTGGCTAATGCATGAGGTCCGTATCCATTGTATCTATTGGTTGGCTACGGGAGCTTATCTGCCAAAACCTGTACTGTGTATCGATCATGGGCAAGAATTACTGCAGTCTGCAGGGGATAATAATCTTAGCATCACATCACCTGCATTGCTTTACCGAGGGTACGAATTTATGAAGACATCCAAGCAGCATTTGTATCATGTGGCACACTTACTCGTACTCGTGTTAGGTAGATAGTGTTACTGACTACGGAGTACTGTAGATAGATAGTGGAACTCGATCTGAAACACCCCCCTTCGATGCGGAGGTCATTGTCAAACAGGCAAAGATCGTACCGTGTGTTTGAGGATGATTATTGAAAGAAGACCCCTACTATCTACTATGGAGCCCAGCACAGGCGGGAAAATATATACTCCCTGAGTCTCACCCCCATTCTGCTGACGGCCCCAGCACCAGCAGCACCATCAGCACCACCACCACCGCCCTTCCTTCCCCTTAATAATACGTAAGTCCTAGACATCGCCAGTTTAAGGCACCCCGTAGATACCGACTAAGACAAGTTGCAGCTAAAAGGTCCCATCCAGGCTGTGCATGTCACGCGACAGTCGCTTCATGTAAAAAAAAGTCCACCCACCCGGGGGTTTCATTTCCGTTCACTCCCAAGGAATCCCTTTTCTTCAAGTAGACTTCCCATCCGATAAAGTAGTTTCATCCAAACCCCCATCGTAAGAACCTAGTACTCCACGCCAAGCAAGCAGTTCATCTACAGGTTGTACATCCTGCATCGCAACGAACCCTGCCTCAGCGGCTATCAAAACATCAAAGTCGTTCCACAGCACGGCCCCAGCCCCATTCTCTTCTTTGTCATGATCATTATGACTACCACCATCCAGCCCGACCGAGACCCACCCATCGCATGGGTTACATCCAGAACTACTAGTATTTTCGGGCTGAATCCATAATCCCTCCAATGACTTCCCAACAACTGCATCGTTCCTCAACATCTCCGCCACATATTTCCCCGGTGTAACGCCCATGACCTTCTTAAAGACACGGAAAAAATGACTGGGCGTCAGGTTCGCCTCTGCCGCCAGCCTTTGTAGGGTTGGTTTTGATCCAGACTGGATGGTAGCTTTGATAGTTTGACAGGCTCGGTGCACTGATTGGCCCTGGGGGCTTTTGTCCGCCTCAGGGGAATCAGGCTTGCAGCGCTTACAGGGCCGGAAACCTGCTTGCTCGGCTTGCGACGGATTGTCGTAGAAGCGGACGTTGGCTCGTCGGGCGAGACGCGCCGGGCATGCGGGACGACAGTAGATTCGAGTGGTGAGGACGGCGTAGACAAAGGAGTTGGCTGTGGCATCTCGAGTCACTACGGCTTGCCAGCGCGCGCTGGCGCATGTGGAGGAGGACTTGGGTAGCCGAGGAAGTTCCTGCGCTAAGGCTTTGGGTGACATCACGGAGAAGAAAGAGGCTTTGTTATTGAATGTCGGGATCTTTTCAAATCCGCTGCGTGATTTGGTTCTCAGCCGAATGGACGCTTGATTCCTCTTTCCTGGGGTTGCTCCCACTGCCTTGGAGGGTTGGGGTAGACATTATCCGCCCGTGATTGGTCACTTTGAGAGCAAAGTTTCGTGTCTCGGCTGCAGGCATCCATGCCCGTCGATTCACATACTGCATCTTGTACATTCCCCGAGTCTATCTTCTCCGTACTTGGGGATGATGGAAGTGCGGCTTGGGCTTGTGGGCTTTGCTTTTTACTTGGAATGAGGAGTCCGCGGAGCCACCTGTTAGATATGTAGTGGTAAGGAATATGGTTCAAGCTGACAACCTAACATGAAGATAGATATATTTCCATTCGGCCACGCACCAAGACCAACACAAAGAAGTATAGCCACCATAACCTTGTATATGTCCGTTATTAGTAGCCCAAGCGATTAATTCTTGGACACCTGGTTTGGGTATGATGCCTGGGGTACGGTAGTATACGAGACCGGTTAAGTAGGCGATGATTGGGTGTTCTTATTTCCACAAAACCTACATACTATATATAGGTTAGGAGGTGCACTGACGCCTCTGCATTGGAACACATAGATCAAAGGACTAGGCTAAGAGCAATTCCGCAACTGGTTGATGTAGTAATGATGTCGGTCTGATATGCTTGACTTAGTACCAATTGCACGACGAACAGCCCGATAAATACAATCGTGCCCTGAAATACAGGACCGCAGGCACATACGACTAGGAAAGTGGCTTCGAAGTCGTCTCCTGAGAACTGAGACGCTACGTAGGTGTGATATATCAAAGAATGCACCCGGACTTGAATTTTTGAACCCATTTCTTTTGCTTTGATCATCATGAAAATATTTGGTGGCCACGACCTAGATTCGCTAAGGACGCGTGGGAGATCATCCGCATTCGCCTAAGTACATATGCCTCATAGCAAAAGAGCATTTTCAACCCGTCACAAAGAAAACTCCACAGAACATCACGCTTAGTCCTTGGTCTTCTGGGTACCGCGGAGCAGACCAGTTCTCCGGGCAGCAATAAGACCGGCTTTTTGACCGTGGGCGGCGTAACGGGAGATGGTCGAAGCCTTACCAATGTGCTGGTGGTTACCACCACCGTGAGGCTGCAGAGAAAATGCATGTCAGAATTCGACTCGACGCAGAAAACCAGGGGAGTGAGTCTTACGTGATCCACGGGGTTCATGGCAACACCACGAGTCTTGGGCCAAGAGTTGCGCTTGACAGCGAACTTGTGCTTGGCACGAGAAGCCTTGAGCAAAGGCTTGTCGGTACGACCACCACCGGCGACGATACCGATCATACCACGGGAGGTGTTCTTGACGACCTTCTTGGCACCGGAGGGAAGCTTGATACGGGTCTTGCCCTCATCGGGGTTGTGGCCGATGACGGTAACGTAGTTACCGGAGGTACGACCAAGAGCACCACGGTCACCAGACTTCTCCTCGACGTTGGTAACGACGGTACCCTCAGGGACGGAGGCGAGAGGAAGGACGTTTCCGACAGTCAGAGCGGCGTTCTTTCCGGCGTAGATGAATTGACCGGTGTACATGCCCTCGTTGGCGATGAAGGTCTCGGTGATGTGCTTGAACTTGTAGGGGTGACGGAACTGGACCTTGGCGAGAGGAGCACCACGGCCGGGGTCGTGGATGATCTCCTTCACAACACCACGAGTGTATCCATGACGCTCGGCATAGTCGAGGGTACGGAACTGGGCAGGAGCCTTGTTGAGACGGGTGTTGGCCGCTGTCGGCGAGATTTTGTATCAGCAAATTTTTGATCTGGTGCAATTTCGCTCAGGATATCTGCGGTCGCACTCACTGAAAATGGATCCACGACCCTTCCTCTGGTTGCGGATCACACGACCCATGGCGACTTTCTATAGAGGGACCTGGACGTTAGTATACAAGAAAAGTCCGCCTGGCGACCTGGTGGTGGGAGAGTTCGAGTTCTCGTACCTCAAAATCTAAGATGGGCTTGTCGGGTTGGTGTTGAGAATTCGTCGGCGAAGGGCTGTGTGGGCTTTAGGGTGGAAGTCGCTAATCTAACCGCGCTGGGACTAGTGCCGTTGTGAGCGCGGCTGCGCTTTGAGCGTGGCGCGGGTCGCTCTTACTAAGTAGGGTAGACTACTGTAACGTATGGACTTGGGAGGGAACGTCATACCTTCCCATCCCTCCAGTCGTGTTGGCACATACTTGTGTAAATGACGGCCAGTAATCACCCTGCACTCTATATAGATACTCCCCCTATCTACTTATCCTCCAATACTACTACTGCTACTACTACTACTCTATCCAACTTGTCCCTCCCTGGACTGTCGCGCTCCCTCACGGTTTATTCATGTCGGATGCCGTCCCTTAACAAGCAGTCTTCCCTGCGATTTCCTGAGGGGGCCATCAGTGTCTTGCAGTTGGGCTATTATTGATTGGCACCCTCACCATTTATCGTCCTAGGCTGACCTGGCTCGGTAGCACAACTGTCCTACGGTTTTTCCGACCCTCGGGTGTTCCCCGTCTGTAAACGGAATGACTAAAACAGAGGACTGCATTGGTCAGAACCATCAACATCGGACATCCATCCCAATCAACGGAGTGTTGTTGGCTGTCCTATCGCGCGTAGGATGCGCGTTGGGTTCTAGATGTCCTTGAGAGCCCGGGCCGCCTCCAGAATCGTTCCTCGGTCCGCAGTCTTAATGGGACAAAGGGTACCGGGTGAATCATTTTGACGCGCTTGAGGAGATAGTCATGCTACCCAGTGACTGTCACAAGCTCACCCTTGCAAATGTTCATGTTTAGGGTACTCCACGCGGACACATGAACAATCATTACCGCCATCGATCAACTGGGTGTTGAACATTTCTCACGGAATCCAGCGTCAGCTTGGGCGCCGAAAACCAAGTCTCTCCTTAAAGGATGAAAGAGCATCTCCAGATATTTTTGAACCTCAGTTGCACTATTCGGCGACTTACTGCACTCGTTCTTACCGGAGCGGGTGGATGGGTTGTATTTACCTAGTTAGACATCTCAAATCCACGCTTTGGAGCTGGGTTTGCGCTTAATGAGATCTCGCGATGAAGTGTTCTGAATGTATGCTGTTCCGCGGACCTCTGGCGTGTTTGACGGAGTCGAATTCGCGATAACGAATGTGTTATCCTGATTGGGTGTGGATCATCCCTGGATAAGGGCTGCTCTTGATGATGCCAGACAGGCCAGGCGCGTAAAAGCCGCGCTCCAACCTAAGTAGGGAGCAGTAGCCTAAGTAGAACTTCTGCCGCGGACTCGCCCGCTCGGTCTTGCCTCAACCCAACCCCCTGCGGACAGCAACACGAACATGTCCAACATGTCCCTATCAGACTCAGAGCTCTCGTCGCTCTCATCGGCACCCCCGTCCGACGAAGAAACGGGCTCCATGGCCATCGATGAGCCCGTGGGCATCGCGAAGTACTTCAAGAAGGAGTCCGAATCTCCGCCGCCGAAGCGGGAGCCCTCACCACCCCACGAATATGTGTTGGCGGATAATTCAGATATTGCAGTATGTTACCCAGCGGTCCTGTGAAGCTGGAAATTTCTGAGTACCCGTTTGACGCGTTTGTCACGCTGTCTGGACATGTTCGCTGACCCGTCGCAATCTGAAGTTCATTGTAATGTTCCGTGCGCGTTTTCATGATGCGTTCCCGCGATCAACACCACACTTTGGACCACAAGATATTGAGAGAGGTGTTGCGGAATCTCCCCCCGGGGATCATATTGAGAGACTGTTATGTGCATTTCTTGGCTTGGTATTGAACAGAAAGAAGGATGTGGAGTATGACCGCCGCCTACAACCCCGATCCTGCGCTCTTGGAGAATCACTGGAGAGCTCCCTTTTACCACATACGGGCCAAGTTGAGGGATTCTACATCAAAAGCTAACTCGCCTGATCAATGCGCAGTCGGAATCATTACCAGCGTCCGTTGGAAGAGGCAATCCAAACCCATGCTTCCCAATGGCCCAAGGCTTGGCAAGGGAAGAACCCTCTGCACGGGGGTCGCACTTTCGCAACAATGTCGCCAGAAGAACGCGTAGGTCATTGAACTTGGGTTGTGATAACTGGAATTTTACTTACTGGCCCTTTTAGTTGCAACTACTGAAGTCGTTGATCCTCTGGTCCCTTGCCTCGTCCGATGCCGTCCAGGCTAAAATCAAGGAGTCCTACAAACAAGCACGTCACGAAGACGACTTGAACCAACCACTATCCGTCCAACCATGGGGTCGCGATGGCCTCAAGCGCAGATACTGGCTCGTTGAAGGTCTGGATGATACACACTTTCGGCTATATCGCGAGAGTAACCCGTCTCTCAAAAACGTCTCTTGGTGGAGTGTGGCGGGAAGTATCCCTGAATTGAAGGCCGTTGCAGACAAGCTTGACACGGAGAAAAGTATGCACTCAAAGAAACTCAGTGAGAAGATAAGAAACTCAATACCCCGTTTTGAGGGCTCAGAAGAGGTATGCTACAGTTGTTGGCTAGTTGAATTTCTTCCCCTCCATGCTTACCAATGGCAGAAACGCAAACGCCGAGATTACCGTATTGCAAGGAAAGCAGCATTCGCGCGCCCAGAGCCTGGTTTCTCCCTATACGAGGGACGTACACGCGGAAAGAAGTTGAAATACACCTACTCCGATGACGAGGACATTTTCTCTGATGGCCTCCCCTCAACACGGCGTTCGACACGTAACGCATCGGGTGTTTCTACACCCCCAGAGCCGACCGGGCCTAGATTTACGGCCAGTGGGAGGCAAATACGTTCACGCGCAGGTGGCTTATATGGTGAGGCATTGCTGAGTGGTCAACGTGAGGACGTCAACGCCGGTGAAGATGATAGACCTTCAAGGACTCGGGCCACCCGAGCAAATGGGTATACGGATTATGACGTGGACGAGGAGATGGATGAAGGATCAGAAGGCGCACAATCAAGCGGAAATGAGTGGCAAGGGGGCGAGGAGGAAGAGGACAACGATTTTGAGGGCGACGACGAAGAGGAGTTGAGTGGTGATGAAGCAGTCTTGAACGGGGAAACTCCAAGCCTCGTGGTGCAGCTCAGATACAACAAAGACAAAGCACCAAGTAGCCCCAGTGGTCCCGCGGATGAACACTTAGCGGGGAGGCTCGAGAGCAAGGACGAGGACATGGCTAAACCAGCCACAGCGACCAACACTGAGGATTCATCACAAGTCCAACCGCAACCCGAGTTGAATGGGCAATCAACGGCGGCAAAGTCTCCCCCCGATGCTGCAGTCAGTGCGACCGTACCTGCCAGCGTCGAGGTGTCTCAATGGCCTCTCATGCAGGCACAAACCAAAACAGATTAAAACATTGGGGTTCACATGCTAACGCGCCGAATAAGTAGCTAGTCCCTTGGGATTAGCCATTTTCTGGCCTTGATAGAGTTGTATGCCCGAGTTTTCTTGTCAAATGCAGGACAAAACCTGGATCTTTATCCAAGGCGTTCTGTCTGTGGGTAGAATGTGAGGGGACAGCAGCCTCTAGGAAAATGGTGCTTTTATTAGAAGTGTGATGCTCGGTCTGGAGTTCTCTGCGATGGCTATATGGTAGGATGGCCACGCCGTGGATTTGAATTAGGATGACGGATTACCCAAGACAGGAACTGTCTTACAACATGAGATTTGATATAACCGCTTGCTGGGGCTATGCGCTATGTACATTACTGAATTTGCAAGCTTGAGATAAACGGCAGGCGCCTGGAATCTCTCAGGATCCAGCGAGACTGGAAGAGTGTATGAAAGGAAAGCCCAAGCTAAGATGGATGCTTGCTGTTCTGAACGCCGTACGCTGAACACCCGAAATGCAGACCTACAACCACATAATATATTGAGTAGTAACCAAATGATTCAAAGACCAGGGAACCTAGTCAGCACCTGCATTTGAGAACTGGGCCGTGTAGAACTGCAAAAACTCCGGAAATGTCAGTGTCTGTCAGCCTCGCATGCATACAAATCCACTCATTGTCGACTTGGGGAAGAAGCTGAGGCATTGATTTGAGAAACGCGGACAGATACGGGGTATGCACTCACGTCTTCCACGTTCGCAGCCAGGCGATCGTTCTTAGCTGACCTGAGGAGAGGAAGCTTCCAGTCGTTTACATCATACCACCATCTCCGTATCTTGCTACCGAGTGTCTGTCCACTGAGGGACGCGTTGCGGTTCCAGAAACGCCAGCCAGAGAGGGCTAGAGTCCAGACGGTACCTTGGATCAGAGGAAGGAGGACCTAGGCAGTTTCGTGTAAGTCTGGGTATTCCGGGTATTATTTTCCGTCGGCTCTCCAATAGGAGATTGCATAATGTCTGGGGCAAGAAATAGGTACCTGGTCTCTAATCGTGATCCAAGCCACTCGACCCCAGGTATCAGCCCCCCGCAAGCTGGCGAGATAACTCTGTTCAAACCGCAAATCAGGTAGTGGGGGGAGTTGGTGCCGCCGTGAAATGGGCCTGATCATTCTGTGGGGGTCAACGACGTCGGAAGGAATACTGCCTGCCTCTGAGGGCGCATGCTCCACGGCGGGTTGCTTCTCGGAGGCCGCAGTTGGAGGATTGACGTCGTGTTCCGGAGACGGTTCCGGGTTGACAGAGGCCGTCTGGATGACTTCGGGAATTTGCAAGGCGGGATCAGTCATGGTGGAGGACGCTTGAAGACACACCCCTAATTGAAGAGGTATCAAGGCACACCGTAATTTGAACGGCGGAGTGGTCAATGGAGGATGGGATGCGATGCAGGGAGGATCGGAGCACGGAGTAACCTATGGCACGGTTGACACCATTCGGCCAATCAGTGGCGGGCAAGCATCACGGCCGCCTTTTGCATTCTGCAGCAGCCCCTCCTCCGCTTCCCCTCGATAGATCTCCTCCTTCCCTCCTTCTCCTTCTCCTTCTCCTTCCTCCCTGTTCCTTCTCTCTTCCTTTCTTCGCTCCTCTATACCTTCGATTTTCCCTCCCCTGTCTCCTAGGATCTTTCTCACTGCCCCTCACAATGGCTGCTCCTCAGGGATACCCTCTTCTGTGCTTGGAGAACCCCCTCCTCGGTTCGTGAGATTCCCTACCTCTGCTGCTTACTCTACCGGTCTTACATCGTTCAATGAGCTGACATATTCATATAGACATCCAGGCTGTTGGGTATGTCCTTTAATCTAGATCCTTCACTTCTGGACCATCTCTTGCTGCTCGAAAGTATACTGACCTCCTGTGTAGTGATGCTGCCCTTCTCCAGAAGTATGGCCTGAAGGACAACGATGCCATCCTTGCCGAAGAAAAGCACATGGATCTCTACGGAGAGCTGTTCCAGAAGCAGGATGTGAAGCTGATCGCCGGTGGTGCTGCTCAGAACACTGCCCGTGGTGCTCAGGTACATAGACGATTCAGACCTCTCGGTGCATAGATGTTAACGTGCCTTGAATCAGTACATCCTCCCCGACAACTCTGTCCTCTACATCGGCTGCGTCGGCCGTGACAAGGAAGCCGAAATCCTGAAGGAGGCCTGCGCCAAGGCCGGTGTCCATACCGAATACCGTATCGATGATGCCCAGCCCACTGGCAAGTGCGGTGTGATCATCACTGGCCACAACCGCAGCATGTGCACCCACCTTGCTGCGGCCAACGAGTACAAGATCGACCATCTGAAGCAGCCTCACATCTGGTCTCTCGTCGAGAAGGCACAGTTCTACTACGTCGGTGGTTTCCACTTGACTGTGTGTGTTCCTGCCATCGAGGCCCTTGGTCAGGAAGCTGCTGCCAAAAACAAGGTACGGATTGCTCTCATGCTTGGTTTTATTGAAAGCATGCTGACTGGGAGTTTTAATAGGTCTTCATGCTTAACCTCTCTGCCCCCTTCATCGCCCAGTTCTTCAAGGAGCAGCTGGACACTGTTCTCCCCTACACCGACTACACCTTCTGTAACGAGACTGAGGCTCGTGCTTTCTCCGAGAGCCACAGCTGGGGAACTGACGATGTCGTCGAGATCGCCAAGAAGTTGGCTCAGCTGCCCAAGAAGAATACCAGTCGTCCCCGCGTTGCCATCGTGACTCAGGGCACTCTCCCCACCGTCGCTGCTATTGGTAAGCCCAGCGGTGAGGTTGAGGTCAAGGAGTTCCCCGTGCGCGAGATCCCCAAGAGCAGCATCAACGACACCAACGGTGCCGGGTAAGTGAATACGCTATAAATATTACGATTTGAACTGAAGACTGAACTCTGTATAGTGACGCTTTCTGCGGTGGTTTCTGCGGTGGTATCGTTCAGGGCAAGTCTCTCGAAGAGAGCATCGACATGGGCCAGTGGCTTGCTTCCCTCAGCATCCAAGAATTGGGTGCCTCGTAAGTTCTCCCTTGAAGTCCACACAATTGTCTCTGCATGCTCGAAGGGCATCACCGTGTACGTGGTTGACTGACTTGGCTGTCCGTTGTCTAGGTTCCCCTTCCCCAAGCAGGCCTACAGCCCTACCAACCGGTCCTAAGCATCTTCACTAAATCCCCCTCATCGAACACCCGCCATTCGCGAATCATGGGGCCATAGCACTTTCCACCCCCCCCCCCCCCCCCCCCAAAATTTCTCTTCTTAGGATTCAACCTTCTATACCCCGTCCTAGACTTAACGTCTTAGACCATGCTGTTTTCATCAACGGTCTATGCGGAATACGCTCCCACTGGGTTTTATGACGATAGATTGGAGTCGCAAATGACGTTCTCAACAACGATTTAATGATGACGCTTTTCTTTTCCGGTTGTATATATACATACAAACAGATCTGATTCTTTCCCATAATCTACTTATTCTTGGGACATTTATAAAGAAAATAACAAATAGTTTCGTATTGATAATATAGCTTCCTATCATGATGAGGGAATGAACCGCAGATAAGATGGAAATTCAAGTCACGCAACACGACTAAAACTCAGAGTAATAAGACGAATGAGAAGATAAAGGGACGTATATATATAGATTCATCTCGTAACGCTCGCGCGCGCACCGTTCATCCATTCCGTGGCCTCATAAACACTGCATGCATGCTTCTTCTTCCTCGGCGGACAAGCGTCAAGATCTTTAGATCATCATCGTTATCATCATATCTCAGGTTGAGCCGAAATCCCATCCTAGCTAGCTAGCCACGCATTATGATATAAGTAGCAGTAAAGGTCATTGAAACAAGATCCTCTTGTCCGGCCGCCATGTGGTTGGTCACGACATGCTTTAGACCCGAACTGTTGCGATGAGAGAGAGAGAGGGAGAGGCTGCAAACAACCCCACTGTTTCTCCCCCTTTTCTTCTTTACCGTGGAGACCTCCTTTTTCACCAGCCGGAGACGACTATAATAAGCGAGATCGGGGATAGAGACAGGCAGACAGTCAGTCGGTCGGTCAGTCAGACAGCCAGCTATGCAGTCTATCCATCCCATGGTTTTGATGACACATTTCTTCATTTCCTGCTCATGTCACTGCGATGTAGGTGCTGAGACAGAGGAGTAGCCACACTCACTCATATACTCAGAGAACCTGATTAAAATGAGTTTTGGAATCAGCCTCCGTGTCCGCAGGGAGGAGTCTGGCCGATGGCACCGTATTGCGTGGCGGATTTACGACTGTTGCCGAAGCCTGAAGTAGGGTAGCCTGCTCCGGAGGGAAAACTGCTGGCAATGAACGCGTCGTTGGCCCACGACGTGTTAGATAAACCGCTGGATATGGGTTGGCTTGGCACTCCAAGGGATGCGGGAGTGTTTGCGGCGGCGTCTAGGTGTCGATCCCATGACATCCCGGAAAGACGATGATGCGATATCGAGTGTGACGAGGGCATCCATGAGGAGGATATGGCGCCAGGGCCGTTGAAAGCGCTCTGCATCTGGGATTGATTTACCAGACTTTTACGGAGCATGAGCTCGTTCGCAATCGAATCCTGAGAGGGATGGCGGTGACTGGGGCTGCCGATGTTTCCAGACAGCATTGAAGCCGGATATTGTTGTCCCAGGCCTGGTGGGGTCCGTGGCGAAGGCGCGTCACCAAGTTCTGGCGATAGAGCTGTATTCCAGATGCTTGGGATGCCGGGGAGGGAGGGGCGTGGGGTGTATGATTGGGACGACGACATCCGGGCTAGAGCTGCAGATCCTGCCATCGGTGCCACGAGCCCGGGAGGAGCAGTTGGAATCTGCCGAGGAAGGAGGTCCTCTTGAAAAATGGAGTCCGCACTGATAGGATCAAAGAACTGGCTGGACGGTCGCTGTTGATTGCTGGATTGTGGGAAAGTCAGATTCTCTGGCACGGCCGGGGCGTTCTCGTAGGTGTCTGATTCGACCAATCGCTCTACACCTTCGACGATGCGATGCATGCTGGCTGACATGGATGCAGAGGCGGATTGTGACCCGCCAAAGACACTCTTGGTGTCTACATTATGGTGGACATCGTGCGTCGCCTGTTGGATATCGTCCCGTTCGATACTAGCAGAGGAGAGCGTATGGTGATGACCCGATGGGCTGGCGAAGAATTGCGATGGAAGCCCTTCTTCTTGGTAGATGAATGTTTTCTTGTCTTCGTCATCCACCAAGGCGATGGGAATTTTCTAAAGCGGGTTGTGATTAGCAAAATGATCACAGATGCTGATAAAGAGCATCAAGTCCCCGTACATTGCTCACAACAAGGTCCAACCCATCGATCACGAATTCGCGGATTCGGTAGAGCATCTCCATATTGGGATGATTCCTTTCCACTCCTGGATCGTTCATTCGAGGCTTCTGCTGGCCAGTCGAGCTAAAATATCTCCGAGTGGTTGATTCCTTGGCCAGGGGCGCGAAACATAGTGTCTCTTCATCCTCTTCCAGTAGATAATCGATCTCGGGAAGATGTACCACATCAAACGTCGACGCGAGAAGGGTCAGAGTGTTGGCATATATCTTCCAGAACTCAGTTATCTGGACAGCGAGAGGAGTGTCCTTTTCCCCTTGGTACGAGACCAACAGGCTGCTGGCCGTAAGAAGCCAAGAGCTGTAGTTCCGGAGTGCCGGCAGGATACGTCGCGCGACGACTGTGACCTTGTCAGGTCCAGACTTTGCGTCTTTGCTGCTCGAATCTTCAACCGCAAATCGTTCCACTTCGGCTAGGAGTATCTGGAGTAATGTGAAGAAGGTCTTCACGTTGATCCGCTGGAAGAAGAGACGCGCATTTGGTGCGTTTTCTTCTATGCTGAGGTTAATGAACGGTTTTGTCACTTGCAAAGACAGGAAACTTACCAGTGGTGCGTGTGCGGGAGAAATCCTCGGCAGCAATATTGATCAGGCAAAACTTTTGTAAAGTACCTTCGAGTGAGCGCTCCTTCAAGTCCACAGCAAGCTGGTTCAGGACTTCACTCTCAAGCTCGTCATGTTCGGGAAAATCGATCCCTCTGTAACATTGTGCGTGGAGATATACGAACCAGGGGGCCAATGCTCTGCCAGGAATACCTGCATCTTCGGGTCGAATCAACTCGCGTTTGGTCCATGCAGTCATCACCTTTCTGAACTCGATCTCCAGGTTGCCCTTTGCTGATGGATGGGGCTCTTGGGCCCCCAGCGCTCTATAAAGATGATAAGTGGCCCTTAGATGATTTCCGTCGGCCAAAGCAATGACCGCCAGCTGGTTATGGGGCGCACCAGAAGCCGGATGGATCAACGTGGCCAGGTCATAATAACCGATGGCCGGGCCCCAATTGCGGTTCTTGCTTACCAGCTCGGTTTCGCGGTAGCGCGAGAGATCACCCAGACGAATAAGTGTTGCATGGCACGACAAAAGAACGAGCCTTCTGAGAGATTCGGAAGCTTGGATCGGAGGCTCCGCAGACAAATCTGAGGACACACGGTCTTGCTCAATGAGAGCCCAAGGGGTAACGGGGACGGTATTGCTCACTGTCAGAATTGAATTTCCGCGCAACCTTTTCCAGCTCCGGGATGCCTCCGAAATGGGAGGATAATTGTTGAATGTAGGCTCGATAGAACCGTTGACTTGATTTGATGAACTCGAGGTAGTGTTTTTCAAGTTTCCGCTTCTCTACCGGCTTCTTTTTCTTCCCGCTTTCATCACGGAACTAAATTGTACGTCACGGATTAGACACCGACGACCTGCGATAGAGTAGGGCCATGCGACACTCACGCGGGAAAGCAGTTTGCGGAACCGAGTGTTGATCTTGAGATGCGCGTCCCAAAGGCGACTTTCGACATCAGCGGAGCGGGCGGTTTCGAAGGCCTGGAGAACAGCATTTTGACAAGCGGAGCGGAATCTGCAGCGGCAAAGAAGACAGTGAGTGTCAGATGAATGGCGCGCAACCAAAGACCGTAGATGACAGGAGGGAAGCAACTAACTCCGAAAGGAAATGAGAAATTTCAGCAAACGTTGGCTCTTTCTCGGCAAGGCTCCTGAGGAGCTCCTTTTCGACTTCGAGCGCAGTTCTGTACCATGTGAAATTCATTTAGAGACACGGGTCCATATATTGAATAATAAAAAATTATCAGCTAGGATGCGGAGAATACTGACTGCCACGTATTCTGGAACGCGGACGCCATGCTCAGGATTAAGAAGATCACACCCGCGTCAATCCACCGATGACTTCGCCCGTCAGATGGCTATGGCTGGCTGGGAGTCTGCGGGCGACAGGGAGAGTGAACGAGCCATCAGTCAGTAAGACTAGTATATACAAAACGAGCGCAGACGTGAGGGGCGGTCAGGACTTCGGAGTGACAGCCAATGATGCAAGAGAAAAGGGGGCTGATGATGAGGAGATGAGGATGGACTCCGAAGCGCGAGGACGAACAACGGAGGGGTTCGCGGCCGCCGCTCGTTGGAGAGAAAATCCCATATCACGGGAACTTTTCGACGCTCGTCCGAAAAATGGTTGAATGGGTCGGGATGGACGGCCGGCCGCCTGTGGCTGGTGCGTGTTTCATGATTGGCTGGATGAGCTGTGGCTGATGCCTGGTTCAGGCACCGAACCGTCCTCCGGTGACCGTACAGTACAATCCATACCTTTCACTGCGGATACAGACATACAATTTGCAGAAATGCCATAACTGTGCAAGTGAGCAGGGCTATTGATCCTCCGCACCTCAAACATATTAGCATGGCGTTCACTCGTGACCTCGTATACCTACTAGTAGCTTCTCGCCTTGAGAATGTCTCAATCGGGTTGAAGTCTGAGGGCCCACACACTACTTGGCCACAGGAGATAGAGCATCCTATTCTTAGCTATCTGCATACGCATCTAGAAATCCCTTTACACAGCCCTTAATGCCATCTCGCGGGAACTTGACTATTTACTTACTCCTTCACTACTTACTACTAGTATCTCCAATCCACCACCCAGTAAGCTTTCAGTCCTTTGGACCACTAAGAAGCTATGACAGCCGCTAAAGGCTCCAACGTTCAGTCTAAGACTAATCCAGCCTAGTGGGAAATGGTCGCCAATATTTGATGGATTCGTCCATACGGAGTACTACAAGAAGTAGTAGATACGGAGAATGATATCCCCTCCATTCTAATCTGTAAGAAAACAAGCTTCCACCGTCCACTAACTCGCCTCCAATGATATGCTTAGACCCAGGCAGAAAAACATCTTCATCATCAATGGCCATTCCCACCCACCCAGTTGTCACGCCATCATCTGCGCACTGCAGGCCAACCCACTGAACTTGACCTATCACAGTCTTGAGACACCTCAGCATCACCGCAAAAAGGTCAGCTCCAGCCCACCGCCACCACAAGATGTCGAAACGCTCTCGCAGCACATCCCGATCTCCATCTCCAGAGGGCTGGTCCAGATCCATCTCCCCAGCATCCTCGAATACGCCATCTCTCGGCCGGCCCAAGATCCATTTTCTTGATCCCACGGCCACGGCACCAATGGCGGAAGTCATGCATTGCTCGTTACCGCCGCACCGAGAAACGCTGTCTTTTGCCTCGTACGAAGACTACGAGGTCCATTATATGCAAGCGCATGTGAATCGATGTTCGCAATGTGCGAAGAATTTCCCCACGGATCGGTTTCTGAATCTCCATATTGAGGAGAATCATGATGCTTTGGTTGCAACGAGACGGGAGCGGGGAGAGAAGACTGTATGTTTTCTTTTTCTTTTTTTTTTTGGCCATAGTTCACCCCATTTTCTTATTTCACTTTCCTGAAAATTTGCTAAACATGAGGCATATACAGTATGCATGTTTCATCGAAGGCTGCGAGCGAGTATGCTCTACGCCCCAGAAACGCAGAATGCATTTGATAGACAAACACATGTTTCCCAAGGTGCGCGCCACACGAGCTGATCTTCTCAGTCACTACTCAGTCACTTCTCAGTCTCTGACTAATCCACCATAGACCTATAACTTCTATATCGTAAATGATGGCATCGACAAGCAAACGTCTCTATTGCGATCACCACATAATCACCGACGACGCATATCGGCCGCTCCCACTTCACCACAAGAGGGACGGTTACGGAATCGACAGACGTCCGTATCTCAGGTTGAGTCGGGCTTGAATGTTCCAAAAGGCTCCGCGCCTCGGAAAGACGCTGACGATATGGAGATTGCTGAACTTGAAAAGTCAATGTCTGCGTTACGATTTGTTCCGGCCAGTGTAGCGAGAAGTCGGGGTAAGGTTGGGAGTAAGTCTTGACTTTGACTATTGGATTTAAATCGGGACGTGAAGCCGGCGTTTGTTTCGCCGAGGAACAAGTTTTGGCTCGTCTCGTAATGTGGCTACTACGGGGGGTACTTTTACGGTTTCTGGTCTTTCCACAGGGTTTGGAAGATACTCAGTACACGCTTTCCTTTCATTACCGGCCATTGGAACGCAACATTTTTAATTCTCGATTAGAGGGCAGCCCGTGCACAAAGGGGCATGGAAGGAAGGGAATGGGGTGCAAGCCATGTCTGAACACGTCAGCAAAGAAATGGGTTTCAGTGACCCCATCGCTTCCCTGGCTGCTATAGACTTCCAGCATCTCTCATGCTGGCCAGCAAGCCTCATTAGCCTACCATATACCCTGCCAAATATGACGACTAGTACACACAAGCCGCTCTCCCTCGAGAAAAGACATAAAAAAACATAGTTTATATACATGGAGTAAACTGGGGAAATAAAGATGTCATATCCGTGAAGACATGGGTATACAACAACACCAAGCAACATCCTAAAATCACAAAAAGCCCAGGTGTCATTAGCAGGATGGTAGGCCATTTGACCAAAGTAAGCAATCAAGCCAAATAACAGGTAGAACAAAGACGGCGCTTGAGTCACTGGTGCTGTAAAGAGTCATTCATTGGTTGGAAATGCGGCGTCGGACTCAAGCGGGGCCCGACAGAACGTAAAGCGAGGTTGGCAGTTACAACTGCGTCTCCAGGAGATCGGCATAGGTATCAAGGCTCGAACCAACCAGATCTACGATCGCCCAGCTTGTGTTCCCCTTGAAGGTTCTTGCCCAAACGCGCACAATGGCAACGCTCAGCTGCTTCGCTTTGTAGGGATTAGTTATGAAGTCTAGATCTGGTGGACCAGGCGGATCGACGGCCATGTCAGTTTCATCCATCATGCTCTTGATCCACAAAAGTAGCTTTCTTTCATGCTCCGATAGTCTCTGCTCGGCCTGAGTTACTGGTATGGACAGCAGCCACCGACTTAGTAGAAAAGCACACTCCAAGCTACACAGTGAATGCTGAATACTCCAGAAAAACGAATGGGTCCTGGCCACGAAATCAATACCGAGGCGCACCGGAATCGATAGTGCATGGGCGGAATGCAAGAGGGCCATGATCAGACGAGGGCTTCGTGCTACAGGTGCCGATTCACCCAAAGCTCTTGCTATTTGAATCGGATCTTGGGTGATGAGACGACGGCAAGGTCCCAAGTCAACATGTAACCTGATATAAGCGAGGCCAAGAAGGGCAGTGGACGTAAACGCGATCGGCCCTGCCGGATTTTGAGGGTCAATGCTAGATTCCGGAGTGCGTTTCCACAACGCCTTCCAGGCACTCAAAGAATTGTCCAAAGCGGAAAGGTCTTCTTGGCGTAAACTGGTCCCATGCATACTTGGGGCAGAGAGACACAGCTGACGCGCGAAAAAGATTTGCTGGATGAGAGCGTGTATCAGGATATAGTTCCCAAGAGGGGATATCGGCGCTGAAGACGTCGAGATACTGGATCTAAGAAAAAGCCTGGAAAAAGCCTCCTGGAAAGAAACGTCTGGGCCATGCCTCGCGCGAGCCACACGGCGCCACTGAGCCGCATTTGTAGCCTTCCAGACATCATGAGAACAGGGCATATTCAACTTCAGTTCGGCGTTGAGAATCAAAGGAGGAATGTTGTACATGATGGAATGGAGGTTGAAGAAACAATAAACAATGAATTTGGTGCGCCGGTTGCCTTCTCTTCGTATCCAGTCTTCCCAGTTGCTCGGGTCGGGACTAGGAGGTGGCTCGATGAGACCATGTTCTCTTACGAGCCTCGCTAACGTGCTTTGAAGCGAGAGCATCTCTCGTAGTAACTCAGGATGCCTTTCCCAAGATGCAAAGACCGTGAGCAGGAGAAAGGTTCGGATCACTTCCATGTGAGCATCCGAATCTTCAGGTGCATACCCAGAAGGGTCTGCTGGGTACGGCGTGGGATGATGTTGCTGGAACGGGCTACTAGCATGGTTTGAGGTCGCGGACGACCCGCGAGAGTTGTGAAAGCCCGATGCCGGGGACAGGAAGTTCCATGTCGGACAAGCCACTTGCTTACTGTCTCTGCGGTGGAGGCGTTGAAGCAGGATGGCCTTCGCTGCATGGAAAAGCTCTATTCCTCGATTATTTTCAAATCGATAGTGAGACCCTGCAGCTGCCAGCGCAAGAGTGAGCTCGGGGGAGCATTTTGCGACAGAGAGTGTAGGAACATGAATAAAGGGAAGATGCTCGTTTAAACCGTTTATGTAGCCGGCAAAGAAACGAGACAGGGCGTGTCTCGAGGGTGGGACGAAATTTTTAGGGAGGATGTAAGCAAACTCGTCGAGTTTCGATAGAAAGACCTGACGGTCTGTGTTGGATATATCCCAGGCAGGGCGAGGTCCTTCATCAGCGAACCCGAGGCGATCGTCTACCTCATGAGGTTCCGGTTGTAGAGATGGTAATCGTGATCCAAAGTTGGAAAACGACGGTGGCTCATCAGCTGCGTTTCGTGGATCACTCATAAGTTCGGGACCGAGCCTCCCCATTTCACGGACGGGTGGCTTAGAATCCATTGGGAGAGTCGTCGGTAAGATCGGATCTTCAACCGTAGAAAACACGCCAGAATCCCAGTCGGACGAGAGGCCGACACTCTCTAGGAAGACAGTGAAGTCTTGGACGGGATCTCCTAAGTCAGCGAGATCCAGGATGGAGGGTTCGACGCCATAGTTATCGGTTATCGCTCTTTCTGGGACATGGGAAAGTGGTTGCGAGGGGCCCACGTTTTGCGAAGACTTCCGGATCGACTCAAGACTCTCTTGTTCACCCTCAAGGGCAACATGGCTCGCCGCGTGGGAAAGAAGGTTCAGGTCATACCCCCAAGAAGGGTTGAAATGGGTTGTCTCCACGATCGGGGGAGGCTGCACCTGCACCTCGGGCGGAGGCGGCGGAACGGGCTGTGTGTGAATAGGGACGGCGTCGGCAAGCTCTAGCATACGGGACTCATGGTGGGTGGGCTGTATTATAGGAGGTTGTGTCTGAGGGAAGTCATGGCTATTCTGGGCACGATGTTCCCGGTTGGCTGCGGCCTCTGTTGGATGGACTAGCCGCTCGTGTCGTACGAGTAGATCACTATGAAGTTTCCCCCCATATTAGCGCGGGACGGCTCCGGTGATGCCACGCGGGCAGCAGCTTACCTCCTCGCGAAAGATTTGGAGCAGATATCACATGAGAATGGTTTCTCCTTGGTATCTAATCAACACACGTCAATATCGCGTCTGTGGGAAGACCAGTGGCATCCGCGAAGGGGTTCAGGGTTACTCAACGGGTGCGGAGATGGCGCTGGAGGTGTTCCAGACGCGCAAAAGACCGGCTGCAGTATTCACAGGACAGAGACTTGCGATGGGCCGGTGTGCTTTTCTTCCTCACTTTTCCAGGGGTGCCTCTGTCGTCCTCCATGGCGAATTGCCTTGGAATTGGACCATGTCCTTAGATGGGATAACAGGCGAGCGGGGAAGAAAAACTGTGGGGTCAACATGAGGGGGTTTTGCGAGCACCGGTCACGTGGATGGCTCTCCCGTCTGCTTCCGTCCAGCAACATTACTACATAGTGCAGCTTACAGTCTCAAGGACTTCGTCCACGACAAATCCATGTCGGCTTGCAGCATCCAGGAGTAATGTTGGGGTGGTGGTGACGGCTGCATTGCGCGCTGGTTAGGTCTCTACGCAGGATTCCTGCATCCTTTGGACGAGAATCGACTCCGCCATCCCCACCGGTGCGGAGATGTTTACTTTAGGCGTCAATATCACGAACATCTCCTCACTAAGGCCCGCATTTCATGGGGAGTCGATTGGGGTTACGATAGAGCCTTGAATTCGAACCTGAAAGAGGGGAGGGGGGAAGGGACCTGAAGATCACTAGGGTCGTACACATTACTAACTGTATCAACATTACTACTATATAGTATCTACATCGCACTCATGTTTCGGAGATATAGTATCGTGCGCAACATATTATGTATGTCTACTCCGTACTTTGTACCCAGCCCAAACTCAATCGTGCCGACTTCACTGGTTATCGTTCCTCATTCTACAAGGTCCTCAACAGCTTCCACTGTGCCTGCTCCTCTGCCTTCCCCCGCTTTTCCCCTCTGCATACCCCAGTTGAGGACCAAATCAATGACACCCGCTGCATAAGAGGGAGAGGGTATGTCGAAGTCTGAGATAGCCTTTGTGACTTGGTCGGCGAGGGGTAGTAGGGGACGGGATGCGCTTTTACTTTTTTGCTTAGCAATGATTACTGCAGCAGACGAATGTTTCATCTTAAGCTAGGCGGATGCCGAAGCATACAGGGTGAATCGCTGTTTCCCACCCGTCCCTGTCTGTCATTTCTCTGCTGAGGAAGCCGCCGTCATGTTTGTTTGGTCAGTTGGCCCCTTCTCTTGCAAGCTCTTATCTGTCAACCTATGATCCTGCAATCCTACGCAGGTTGATCCTGAGTTGCTGCAGCCGAGATTGGAAGGGTGCCGAACACGGACGGCCGGATGGTTCAAGTTTCGAACCGTCCGACCCCACCAACCCCCAGAACTCGGTACCGAAACGGGGCCACCATCTATCTAGGCTATAGCATCATTTACATGCTAACAAAGATAGGAAGTACCTCGGCGGGATTACCGTAGTCATCACAGAATACCACTCGACAAAAGGTATAATAACCAAATCTAAAAGTTATCTATCTATCCATCTAATCTTCAAGGCCTTTTCTTCACCCGTCCTTGCGAATTACCGGTACGATAGCTATTATAAAGTCGAATGACTCCATATCCAGGACTTTTAGTGTGCCTTTGAACTGGGCCCTCTACCAGAGTCGTAAAATCCATCGAACTATCAGTGTAACTGTTGCGAGTCGCCTCGTCGATGCCCCGGTTAAAACGGGCACGTCTTGACTCTTGAGTGCATTGAAGGTTCATACAGTGCCAACTGCAATAATGCAGCTCAACCGGAACAATAATAGACGACTGCTCCGCTACACAGAGAGATCATCCTTCAGCGATCGGGCTAGTTCCGTCAGGCTTTCCCTAAATAACACATCGAATAAGGCTGCCGTCCACAGGGAGAGAAAGCTTTAGGGATGAGCAAAGTATCTATTGACTATTCAGTATTCGGACTGCGCGATCCACCTTAGGATCAGATCGATGGGTCCACGTCGAGTAAGACGCTTAAGGCTTAAGGGGATGGCGCCTCGTATTATTCTAACATCGGCAAGCAGCGACGGTTAGAGACAAACTAGGACCAAGCGGCACATACTACTCCGTACTTTACTTGTATCTATCTTGTCTTGATGGAGGTGATTAGACTTTGAATGGCCTTGACACATGGTCTCAAGGATAGCAAGAGTAGATATCTAATAGTTGTAGGCGGTGGTGCGGGCATATCTACTAGTCAGGTGCTTAAATACTCCCGACACTAAACTCAACTTTCCAGATGGTCAGCATCAATCCGGCAGGTCCTCAACCGACGTACACGAAAGGTGTCTCACTAGCCGTGATTGACGTCGTCATCTATCTATCTATCTTTCTATCTAATTATCCAGATACCAGCGAGAGGATAAACAAACCCAAGCATCACCAGGGAAAGGTTCTTGGGAAGAACCAAGCCTCCGCCAGGCACAAACCATGGAACCTGCCCACTCGGACGGCTCAACCGCCTAAGAATAGCCTCTGGAAGGGAGGGATAGTCGGAGGGGCCTTTTGGGTTCATTGTTTCAGATTGGGCCCCTTGACAAATCATACGCGGCGGCGTGTTTGAGAATGAGCCCGCTCTGAAGGACGCATGCCGGAGGAGCCCATCGTCCCCGACCGATCGGCCTAACAGGCTCCGTCAGATCCAGTCCAGTCTGTAAGCCAGAACCCATTCATTAGCCTCCGGACTGACCGCGCTAGATAGGAGGAGGCTGTCACTCTGGCTTTCGCTTTTCTCTTCCCTGCACCGTGATCGGTCCCTCCCCTCCTCCCCTCCTCCCCTCCTCGCATCTTACTGCCAGCGCTACCACCGCTGTCATCGCCTGTCACTTGCTCCAATCCGCCTCAACCTCAGCCTCGACCGCCCGTCTCATCCCCTTGTTGGTCTCCCTCGCTCCCGGTGGGAGGAGGACTCTATCGGCAATAGCGTCAGGTCGAGAACTTTCCTAGTGCAGCCCAGACCTTGGGCAGAGCGGCACAAAGGAGGACCTGGTCTTTGAAGCAGCAGCACAGATACCCACCACCTATCGTCTCCCCTTCCGGTTGGATGCACCTGTGATAGTGATTCGGCCTGAAGTGTAAGTCGTCATATGGTCCCTCCACAGGCGCCCCCCCGCGGGTGCCCCCAACCCGGTCTTTGTTATCAACGTGGACGCCGCATTTTGGACTGACAGTTACGCGACAATCCTAAAGGTACGGTTCTGGACCATGCATTAAACGTCCCAACATCTCCGCCCAGTCCCTCTTCCTCCAGTCGGGGGTGGTTCCGAAGGCATCGTCAGGGTTATACACACACGGTGGCGATAGTCTAGGTTATACTATTTCCATCGCAGATTTTGTCGCCATCCTTGCAGGGTTCAAGCATCGGAAATAAAGACTAGGGTTATCTCATTCGCGACTTTCATAATTTGCAGCCATGCTTGCAAAAGCAACCTACAACCCGTTGGGTGTATCTGCAACCCAGACGCCAACAGCCTCCTACTACACTGGGTCATCGCAGAAGACTACCGCGGTCGGAGATACACAAAAGGGGATGATGTTCGTCAGCCCTACCGAGTCGAGTTTCTCCGACGTGTACGATGGGCTTGATGCTGTGCGGTGAGTCTTGCCCGCATTTGAATCTGACGGTGAAGGTTGCGGAAGATTGACCCCCACAAGGTCTTGGGATGAGAAACAAGTCATCGCCTGGCTTCACAGCATAAACTGTGGCCAATACGAGGCATTGTTCAAAGGTACTTACAACGACCCATCACTCCAGAGTTTTCCTGTGAAAGGTGCTGACCGACTCCAGCGAACAACTTCAACGGTAACAACTTGATTGAATGTGACCAGAAGATCCTCCAGGAGATGGGCATCAAGAAGATCGGCGATCGAGTGCGGATTTTCGTGGCCATCAAGCAGCTCAGGAACAAATCGGTTCTCAACCGCAAGTCAAGGAATCTTGTGAGTTGGATACGCCATCGGTCTGAGATAACTTGTACTCACCATTATGCAGAATTCATTGGCTACGCTTGAGTCCGTGTCTTATACGAACGCCTCGTCGGAACCCTCGCGTCCCCCTACTCACCGACAGACTTCAAATACTCGCCGTTCGTCTCGAGCGGCCGAGACTAACTCTCTCAGCTACTCTGCCAACAGGCCCTCATCACGGCCAGAGTCGCCGCTACGTCCTCAGCAGTATGTCGCCAACAGCCCCATGGAAATGGGACGGATGGAACAAGGGCAAAGCTACTTTAGTCACCCATCATCTAGTAGCTCGATGACCAGCCGGAAGCCAGGAACTCCCAGCGAAAGATCCGGGTCACACCTGAGGCAAAACCCTAGTTTGGATGGCATGACAATGGGCCAGCTGCCGACAAACTCGCCCGTCATCAGAGTGATTTACACAGGGGGGCAGACGAAGATGCTGGACATCAAGCACTGCAAGACCGCCGATGAGATCATCCTTTGCGTACTAAAGAAACTGCAGCTCCCGGAACATCAGTACCGCAATTATTGTTTCTATGTTTTGGACGGCCTGGAGCCAGATGCTGCCCATTGCAGAAGACTGACGGATCCGGAGCTTCTAGATGTATGCGAAAGCCCGCACAGGTCAGAACGGGGCCGTCTCATTCTTCGCAAAATCCATGCCGGGGAACCCGATCCAGATGAGCTTCGCCGCGCTTCTCAGCTGGCGGTAGAAGGAAGCCAGCTAGCCCACATGAATGCTCTGAGCAGCTCGAATGTGCGCAACCAGCTAAAGATCCAACAGTTGACCGGAGAGCCCTGGCACAATATTAGGCAACCCATGTCACCCGTCTCTTCGCGACACAACCAGACCCCGAGTGAGCATGATATACGACCACCCATGAATGTGGAGCGCCAGGTGGGTAAGCTGCGATCCTTCTTCGGTGCCCGTCCACCCAGCGAAATGATCATCCACGAGATCACATCCTACTTCCCTAGTCACCAGAGGGAGGAAATTGAAAAGACTATGCGCATGTCGGTCCGCAGATCTCAGCGCTTGAGCCGGGCTGCAAGCCGCTTGAGCGTCGTCAGCAACACAAGCTATGCATCTAGCTTGCGAGACGCTCCTCCTATTCCCAGTATCGCAGATACCTGGCTCAATACGGGAGGACCACCTTCTCGTGCCTCAAGGCCACTTTCAGTGTCCAAGTTCAGCCTTCCTACCGCGACATATAGGGATTCCATTGCCTCTAGTTCTCTTCAGCCTCTCCAGGAAGAGTCGCCTATTGAGCCAAATCGCAAATCCTATGTTTCTTTCGATAGTGGCTCAGATGACCCCACCACTTCGCGCCAGAGCGTTGTGGACGCGAATGTGGACGAAAATGCAAGTGTTGCTGCAACAGATGGAGGCTCTTTCAATGAGCGCTTGAGTATCCTCGTAGCAGAAGATGGGGAAGAGGAAGACGATGGTCTTAACGACTTCTTGGCTGGAAACAACTTTGCCCCCAAGAACTGGATGAAAGGATCTCTGATCGGAGAGGGCTCTTTCGGAAGTGTCTTTCTCGCTCTTCATGCTATCACTGGAGAGCTCATGGCTGTAAAACAAGTTGAGATCCCGTCCGCAACCAAGGGCACGGAGTTTGACAAACGGAAGAACAGCATGGTCACTGCCCTTAAGCATGAAATCGAGCTTCTGCAAGGCTTTCATCACCCGAACATCGTCCAGTACCTAGGCACCGCTGCTGATGACCAGTACTTGAACATCTTCTTGGAGTACGTGCCAGGAGGGTCCATTGCGACGATGCTCAAGCAGTATAACACGTTCCAAGAGCCCCTGATCAAGAACTTTGTCAGGCAGATTCTTGCCGGTCTCTCTTACCTCCATAGCCGTGATATCATCCATCGCGATATCAAGGGTGCCAACATTCTTGTTGACAACAAGGGTGGCATCAAGATCTCCGATTTTGGTATCTCCAAACGAGTGGAGGCCTCTACTCTCCTTGGAGCCCGAGCCAGTGGCGGAGGTGGCCATGCGCACCGAGTCTCGATGCAGGGTAGTGTGTACTGGATGGCACCAGAAGTTGTTCAACAGACAATCCACACCAAGAAAGCTGACATTTGGAGTTTGGGTTGTCTTGTTGTCGAGATGTTCACGGGCGCCCATCCCTTCCCTGCCTGCAGTCAGTTGCAAGCCATCTACGCCATCGGCAAAGAGAAAGCCAGACCTCCCGCTCCAGAGCACGCGAGCAAAGAAGCAGTTGCGTTCCTGGACATGACTTTCCAAGTCGATTACGAGAAGAGACCGGCCGCCGACGAACTCCTCAAGTGCCAATTCTTGGCCAACCCTCTCGCATAAAATTGCATAGCCCCGGACCTCCTCCGGGCAGTTTATTGACGATGAATTGAATCCCGATGCTTAATCGATTGGTTGGTTTGGAGAATTGAATACCCCCTTGATTTGCGTGCGTTTCGTTCGTTTTTATGTCCCCGCATCCTCATCATAATCACTCTACATTATTTGCCTTGCTACTTTTGACACAAAAGCACATTCATAGCGGCCGACTGCCCCCCCCCCCCCCCCCCCCCCAACCATCTCCTATCTGGCTTGTTAACAAGTCGCAATCGGAGTCGATTCATTCCATGTACAGAGCTGCAGCGTGTCCTGATTTCTCCTTTCAACTGTAATAAGCTTTGTTATGGCGCAATTCGCGGCATTAACGAATACTGTCATGCATTTTTACTGCCCCCAAAAAAGGGCACCTTCTATATCTAGTTGATAGACTAACTAATTGGACGACCGTTGATGTTGTCGATACTTGAGTACCTATCTGATTGAAATATGAGGAAATGTGAACTGTAATTGAAATGTGCAATTGAAGTACCAAAGCAGAGCGTATTTTACATAGATCTAACAACACCACAAATATATCCTTCATGTTACATATTCAAGGCCAACACGGAAGTCGGGGAAGATGATGACAAGAGTTTGCTCAATAAATCAGAATCGGAAACGACACCGTCTATGCCAATGACATTCTTAACGCATGTGCTTGGTGGTGGTATATTCTCGCTTTATTAGTTGACCATCTTGCCGTAGAAGGGAACACCCAAGGCACTGAGCAAGAGACGGGCGTCCTTGTCAGTAGCAGCGGTGGTGTGGATGGTGATATGGCAACCAGGGATCATCTTGGGGGGGTACCTATTTGACGATTGAATCAGTATTCGGTGCTTGGATGTATCACCGGTAAGAGTAAAGGAAGAGGGTGGGCTCTTACATGTCGTAGTTCACCTCAATCTCAGGGAAGAGAGCCATCTCCTCCGGCTCAAGACCGAAAGTGATGTTTCCACTGCTGTCACCACTGCTACCCTTCACACCCTGCCAGTCCTTGAGCTTGGGCATCACGATATCAACCAGCTTTCCAAAGAAGTGCTGCATGTTCTCACCGCGCAGCTCCGCCTTCACGGCAACGGTATCACGACCCGGTGCGATATGCCACTGGGCAACGCTAGTCTTCGACTTGAACGTCTCCACCTTGACGTTGCTGACGGCTTGCAGGGCCATACCGGCAACGTGCAGCCATGACGAGTTTTCCGTGGCAGCCTGCTTAACGTAACTGTGGAGAGTGATGCGCTCGATCTTGGGGATGTTGTTAAATGTGATCGGTTTGCGGAGAAGGCGGAGAACGTCACCACCACGGGGGCCACGGAGAGGTCTGTTCTTGTGGTACGGAGAACTTTCGTCCCATGTACGGAGACGAGGGGCCTTCGGTGGGGGCTTGAAACCCGGGGGGTTGTGGACGTAGAGGAGGGTCAGAATGTCCGATGCGACAGTTGATTGCCAGGTCTGCTCGACACGGGGAAGGGAGAAAGGGCCGGGGACGAAGACACGAGAGGAAGGATCAGAAGGTGGAGGAGGCCGGTGAGGGTGGAGAGGGCCACGGTCGTATTTGGGGGATCGGAATTGATAACTAGGTGTCCGTGTTAGCGATGAAGCCGGATCAATAGAAGGAGATGCTAGAGCGCCGGGCTATCTCAGGGGCAGACGTACCGACTCCGAGGTAGTTGGGTTTTGCGAGCTCTGGCTCTTTCAATAGGCTTGAAGGATCTCACCACGTCGTCAGACAGTGATGCGGACAGAGGGGTCGACTCCAGGTCGTTGAGGGCGGCGGACGGGGATGTCGACGATGCTTGATCGGAGACATTGCGTCGCCAGCAGAAGGCCTGGTGGCGCGAAGAGGGCACCAAGGCCCGTGGCAATGACCTTGCCAGGTATCTGGAGGGTTCACTGGCAGCCATTGAGGTCCACAGGGGAAGTGGTTTGCTGTAGACTGGTCGAGACTGGGCTCCAAAAATTGTTTCGCGGACCGGCGAGCATCGACTCTTTCGAGACAGCATCACGTGGTGTCGCCGGGGACCTGGCCTGAATGCCTGGGGAATCGAGCAATACAAATCAGGCAGCAAACGGGCGCTCCGCAGATGGAGATCCACATGTGATCAGCTTCGTCATCCCCGCCACCAGCAAGCTTATCGTCAATGCGCTGCGATCGCTACGATCGGCTGGGATGGTCTTCTGATGGGCGGCTCCTTCAACCACCTCACCTTTTCTCTTTGTTGCCTCAAGCAGGCTTCTTTTTTCCTCCCATCTGCCCTTGTGCGACTGAGACCTTGTGGCGGTGCATGTGATGTCACAGATCTCAGCTGGTGCCTAGTATACGAGGGGCTCTGCTAATTGGACGTCGCGGGGAAACCATCGCAACGAAAAATCTAGAAGAAAAATAGGTTGAAACCGGAGAAACCGTCATCAGTCTTAATAGCCATCTGATATGTGTTGTGACTCCACAGACAGATCTCTTTGCGTGCTCCATCGGAACTCTGGAGCCTGAGCAAGGATTTATATAGATCCCCAACTTATCGATGTGTCGCAGACTCCACACTTTGCACATTTGTCTGTCTCCCCCGTCGTCTGGTTAGGACACATGTGCTGTTGAGGATGAGTGGTATACACAGGTTTCTCACAAGGCGTGAGAAGAAAAACTCCAAAGAAGAGGTACGGTGCGAAGATTCGCCGATTGCTTTCCCTAGATTGTCTTACTCATGCTAACGATCCCCCTCATCCAGTCGAACCTTCTTTCTCGACCCCATTTTCGTGGGTTTTTCTCATCCGATAAGATACCGACCGGAGACACCAACGAGGAGGAAAAGAAGGTGAATAATTAATATGGACACGGTCGATCGTTGGTGTTGACGAGAAGTAGATCAAGATTTTGGAGCAACGTGTCGCACAGCTTGGTATCACCGGCTTGAAACACGAACACTTTAGCTATGCCCTGCAATCGGAGCATGCACAGGGCGATGTAGACAAGGCGTTTGACATGCTTATGATTCTTGAAGATGCGATCGAGGGCATCATAAGAGGATACACGCCAACAACGAAGCTTCTTGGGGCAGTGAACCGCGAAGGGGTCACTTGCTACCTGGATGCGCTGCTTTTTGCAATGTTTGCGCGGCTGGATTGCTTCGAGGCGATTCTCTACAAATCGTTCAATGATGAGCCCCGTCGGAAATTATCGATACTGCTACGACTATGGGTCAATCTGTTGCGATCGGGGAGACTTATCACGACAGACCTTGTGCGTATATGCTCCGTAAATCTGTCTTCTCCGTATTGAAGCTGACTATGAATTCGATCCCAAGACAAAACACCTGCAGGATGCCCTTGCAGAATGCGGCTGGGAAGACGCGGCCAAGCTTCGCCAGCAGGATACGTCAGAAGCGTTTACCTTCATCACGGAAAAGCTAGAATTGCCGCTCCTCACATTGAAGATGGACATTTACCATACCGGGAAAGAGGATGTGAGCGGTGATCACAAGTTTATCAATGAAAGACTTCTAGAAGTTGCGATACCCGAGCCCGTTGATGGTCAGACTGTGACCCTGGAAGACTGCCTGGAGTCGTACTTCAACAACAGGATTGAGGTCAAGAGATACCTAGAGCGGCGTTACACCGTGGGATCAACTAAATCCATTGATTCGTTGGCCAAAGGTTGTACGACCCACGTTGAGGCTATTGAAGTTGGCTCGCCTTTGTCGCCATGTTCGAGCCAGTCGCCTTCTCCGCTGGAAGAAATAACGCCGGTGGCCTCACTGACAGGGGTGGTCGACTCGGATCCTCCGCCATATCGACGGAGCAGCATCGTTCAGGAGCGTTTTTTCCCCGATGATATAAAGGCAAAGGACGGCGCGATCGTGTCTCACAGGAGAGGCTCATACAGGAAAGAAGTTATGATGCCCGCATGGCAGTTTTTCAGCTTAATACGTGAGGTCTACTGTACTATACGTGCCAGGGAAACACTGACCCAGTTGTAGCATGGTACACGGACAATACCCCGACAAATGACGCCCAAGTTGCCGCGCACTTTTCTTCGAAGCGACCGATTTTAGGCATGTGTCTAAAACGCTATTCTATGTCACCGAGTGGAAAAGCAGTCCGACTCGATACATTTATAGACATCCCTACTGAAATAGGGCTGCCTCATTTCATCCAGGATGACAGTATGCACGAAGAAGGCCCCATCTACGGGAATTTTAAATTATCTTTGCAGGCAATGGTGTGTCATCGCGGCAACTCAGTGGATTCAGGGCATTACATATCCATTGTGAGGGGTACGAGTGCTGGTGCACCTCCGGCCAGTTCTCATGGTCCGGACCAGGAGATGGCCTCTCCCGACGCGTCAAGATATTGGATGCGGTTTGATGACCTAGCAAAGGAGCGGGTTACGCTGGTCGACATTGAACAGGCCATGAAACACGAATCGCCGTATCTCCTGTTCTACCAGATCTTGCCCATCAACGAAGATGCTGCGGCAGCCAATCTTTTCGACAAGCCACCCTCTTCCGAAATGTCGGCAGATTCTCGAGAATCGGAGGCTGGCATTGCGCAGAGGCTACATAAACCGTCCGTAGACGAGATCGGTGGTGACGGCGCTGAGGGGTACGCTTCTGGACGGCCAAGCTTCGAAATCACCGGCCCGGATGGTGCAGACCCTGCGCCTATGGGCCAGAACAGCCGAAAGCAAAGTGTAGCGTTCTCTGAGGTTTTTGATCCAGGTTCGATGCAGTCTTATCCGTCGACTTCGCCGAGACTCACCCCACGAGATGACGACGGCCGTGGCTCGTTCTCATTTTCCCGGCGCAGTTCTCGAGGCACAAGAAGCACTCCGGGCAGCCGCGCGGGGAGCCAAGCCAGCGAGAGCAGGATCAGCACTACCTTCTCACGATTCACCGGGCGACTTAGCCGGGATAGGTTCACCGGCGATGGACTCACTGAAGGCGATGGCGACGAGTTGACGGAGACTGAGCTTGGTCTGGGCGAAAAGTTCGCCCCGCCTAGCAGCGAGCGCAAGGGCCGAAGTCCCAGACGGACGAAGGATTCGGAGAGAGTCAGAGATAAGTTGAAGGACAAATCGCGGGAAAAGATTGGGCGGAAACTAGACCGGGAGTGCGTTGTGATGTGACCACGTTGATGACGATGATGACTCAATCTTCATGTTTCGCATAGCTTTCCATTTTTAATACCTTGACGCGCTATGATCCCAGGTTGCATGTGTGAAGGACAAGGGAATGGATACCCAAGCAAGGTGCATGTTGTGTGTTCTCGTTGAGGATTTGCATCGGCGTTCTGTAGACTGCATTGTGGGGTAATTAAGACGTGTAGGTAAGCTATTGAGCGTGTGTGGCCATTATTATAGCACCATAGCACCGAATTTATATTCCATATGGTTGGGTAGTTACATGGTATAGGGCCTGACCGGTATAGAGAAGGCAGCTGCCTCAGGCACACGTGCCAAGGCATGCCAGCTCCGCCTCGGGCGAGCTTCCACCCCCCCATCTTCATCATCGCCTATCTCCAGCTTGCCTGGCTGTTTCAAACTCGTCCGGGCAGCTCCACTCAGGCTTCTCCGTGCGGTCAAGCTATGAAATAGGACCTTCCTCGACAATTGGCGCATCATGGCGCTGGAGACATCCAGCGGATATGTTGCTCCCAGCAACCTCACCGAGCCTTCTCCGGACGCCGCTCTCTCCATGTTTGATGTCCGACATGTGCAGTTGCAGTTTCCGCTGGCTGCGGACTTTGTCGCAGCGCAGGTCGCTAACAATGTGTTGATCCTGGCGCTATCAACAGGACGCATACTGCGCATCGATCTAGATACCCCCGAAGACATCGATGGTTCGTGGATCCTATGACGGAATCGGCTTCCTTGGGTGGATGGTTCCGCACTCGTTGTGATACTGACTCAGACTCCCTAGATATCGACCTCCCCAAAAAATCCTCGGAGATAGGCGTCATCCGCCGAATGTTTCTGGACCCTTCTGCGTCTCATCTAATCGTTACCACCACCCTCGGCGAAAATTACTACCTCCATACTCAGTCCAGGCAACCCAAGCCACTTTCGCGACTGAAGGGCGTTTCGATCGAGAGTGTCGCATGGAACCCTTCTCTCCCGACGGCTTCGACAAGAGAGATACTTCTGGGAACAACGGATGGCCAGATCTGGGAGGCCTACATTGAACCTTCGACTGAATTCTACCGTCGCGAAGAGAGGTATGCGCATGTTATCTACAAAGCGCCAGATGCTTCTCCGGTGACGGGAATTTGGGCGGAGGCAATCCCCTCCAAGCCTGAGCTGAGACGAGTGCTAATTGCGACTCACGGCCAGCTACTGTGTTTCTCGGGACGGACAGGAAGATACGGGAGAGAAGGGGGAAGTCCCATCTATGCGGACCTATTCCAACGTGAAGCACCTGTGGTCCATGAGATCCAGAAGCCCTCTGGCGCCGCACCGTCGACGCTGGCTATTTCACCCATTGTTCCCGAGGGCCAGACTGTGAGTGGACAACCGGAGAATGAGTTTGCATGGCTCAGTTCACAAGGTATCTATCATGGACAACTCCCGTACTCGACGCAGAAACTCACCCAGCCATTCGAAAGCTCGAACATGCTGCCACGGTCGATGTTTCCGGCCAGTGAATCTTCGCGAGGTGGCAAGAAGCTCATACAGGATCCAATAACTGCCATGACGTTATCCCAGTGGCACATTCTAGCCCTTGTCGAAGGAAGGGTTATCGCTGTCAATCGGATGAATGAGGAAATTGTCTACGATGAAGTAGTACTTGAACCGGGCCAAAGTGCTTTGGGTCTTTTGACGGACGCGATGCAGCACACCTACTGGCTGTTTACCAGCCAGGAGATCTTCGAGATCGCTGTCGAGGACGAGGATAGAGACGTTTGGAAGGTCTTCTTGCAGAAACAGATGTTCGACGAGGCTCTGCAGTACGCCCGTACCACGGCGCAAAAGGATGCCGTTTCCACCGCTTCAGGTGACTTCCTCGCCAGCAAGGGTCGTTACCTCGAGGCGGCTAATGTCTGGGGTAAGAGCAGTAAAGGGTTTGAAGAGGTCTGCCTGACACTGATCAACCGGGGCGAGCATGATGCCCTGCGAAAGTACCTTCTTGGCCAGCTTTCGACGTACAAAAAGTCCTCATCGATGCAGAGGATAATGGTTGCCAGCTGGCTTGTCGAGGTATTCATGACAAAGTTGAACTCGCTCGACGACAACATCGCCACCAGAGCTGAACTGGCGGAGGGAACAAGCACGGAGGAGGTCAAGGATGAGCTGGGCAGTGTGCGGGCCGAGTTCCAGGAGTTTGTCACCAAATACCGCGCCGACTTGGACAAGAAGACCGCGTACAACCTCATCAGTAGCCATGGCCGGGAGGAGGAGCTGCTTTTCTTTGCCACGGCGGTCAATGACCACAGCTATGTGCTGTCCTATTGGATCCAGCGGGAGAAATGGTCCGAGGCGCTCAATGTTCTGCAAAGACAGAGCGAACCCGACGTTTTCTACAAGTATAGCAGCGTCCTCATGACTCATGCTGCAGCGGGACTCGTCGACATCTTGATGCGGCAGACCAACCTTGAGCCGGAGAAACTGATTCCTGCGTTGCTGAACTACAATAAGACGGTTAATGTTCCCCTTGGGCAGAACCAGGCTGTGCGCTACCTGAACTTCATCATTGTCAACCACCCGAAACCGTCGGCGGCGGTACATAATACCCTGATATCAATCCACGCATCAAGTACGTCGTCCTCAGAGGCAGGGCTTCTCACCTACCTTCAGTCACAACCGTCGTCGCCGCCCCCGTACGATGCCGACTTCGCCCTCCGTCTTTGTATTCAACACCAGCGCGTGCAATCATGCGTCCACATCTACAGCGCCATGGGACAATATCTCCAGGCGGTGGAGCTGGCTCTGCAGCATGACGATATCGAGCTGGCCGCCATTGTGGCCGACCGACCGGAAGGGAACGACAAGCTCCGGAAGAAGCTCTGGCTCCTTGTTGCGGAGAAGAAGATCCGCCAGCCTGGAACGGGCATCAAAGACGCAATTGAGTTCTTGCGACGATGCGAATTGCTCCGCATCGAGGATCTCATCCCGTTCTTCCCAGACTTCGTCGTCATCGACGACTTCAAAGACGAGATATGCAGTGCGCTGGAGGACTACTCCCGGCATATCGATGCTTTGCGGCAAGAGATGGATAACTCGGCCCATACGGCACGTCAGATCCGGACGGAAATCGCGGCCCTGGACACGCGGTATGCCATTGTTGAGCCCGGGGAGAAGTGCTGGCTCTGCTCGTTGCCAGTGCTCAGCCGGCAGTTCTTCGTCTTCCCGTGCCAGCATGCCTTTCACAGCGACTGTCTGGGCAAGGAGGTGCTGGATGGTGCCGGTGGCAAGAAGAAGTACATCCGCGACCTGCAAGCGCAGCTGAACAAGGGGACGGTAGGAGCATCGCGACGAGAGGAGATTGTGCGGGAACTGGACGGACTAATCGCAGAGGCCTGGTAAGCCATCTATCCATCCATCTTACTTCGCATATGCCCACCCACTAACATCATCTACAGTGTGCTCTGCGGCGACCATGCAATCAAGCAGATCGACAAGCCGTTTGTTTCGGAGGCAGACGGGGCCGATGAATGGGCATTGTAGTTTGGCATGTTAACTCAGCATACTTACGTGCATGTCTTTTTTCCCGGTAGCTAAGTATGTACTCTGGTCGTACGATATGGCGCCTTGCATTATCAGCGTGAACGAATCATTTCTCTTGCTTTGATTGCCCGGTATATAATATGCAATATCAACATGGACATAGCCTTAGCTTAATCCAATGGCCGTACTGTGTAGCAGCCGAGCACTAGGCCCCCCTGTCTAGCTCCAGAGACCAAGATAGTAAACACTTAACACACACAGTCCAGTAGCAAGGAATCCACCCCCACCCCCTGTCCTGTGCAACCCCCCCAAAGCACCTTTCTGATCCGCTCCACCTGAGCGTATCGCCCACCTACGTACTTACACCGATTACCCACTTTCCTGCATCTCGACACTCGACAGGGCTGCAAGCCTGCAAGCCTGCAAGCCTGCAACCAGCACAGCACAGCACAGCATAGCCCACACGGATAGACATAAGTACAGTAGTCAGTAAGTTATACGTACTGTATGTACGGAGTATGTATGTATTGGTGTCTGCACCCTTCCTGCAGAGTCGTGACGACCACTGTTGCTACCTACCTACCTACCTGCCCACTTGCTGCTGCAGCTGGCTTAGTGTTGTTGGATGCATCCAAGCGCCCGCTATCCCTGTCTTGTCTTGTCTTGTGCGCCACGCTGACGAGAGGATCGGGCCAGATCGTTTAGTTTGTTATATGTGTGTGTGTGTGTATGTGGAAGGGTTAATGTAGGGATGAGGACTTGATTCGGGTTGGTTTTGTTCTGGACTGGACTGGACTGGACTGGACTGGACTGGATTGTGAGTACATATGTAAGGTAAGGTAGGTTTGCTGGGGTGAGGAATTAGATAGGCAAAGCAAACACAGTACGGAGAAGGTAGGTAGACATACTATGTAGGTAGGTAGATAGATAGTTAGCTACCTGGGTAGTTACTTCTGGTGTGGAGATATGTAGGTAGGTACCATGCTGTGTTCCGGAGGTACATATGATCTATCCGTATCGTATAGATAGGTACCAAACTTACTGTTTGGTTTGGTGGCTGTTATGCAGTGGGGAAAGTGGATGATGTATGTAGTGTGTCCGATGGGATGGATCAGAATTGTCTGAGACAGGACCAGAGGGAGAGGAGGGGTAGTACAGTGCGGGATTATCTTGCATGGATTTTGAGTCTGAATCTGAGTCTGGAGTCTTGGGATTTTCTGGGGTTGAGGTTGGAGATGGATTGTTGTTTGATGGAGATTCTGAGATTTGAGATTTGAATAGTAATACAGATACATGATTACTACGGACGGAGAGTATGGGTCGTATGGGCTGTATGGGCGTTGTATGGATAGGTGAATAGTATAGAAACTATCGCCCGTTGACGAAGAAAGAAAACGAGTCGCCCTCTTTCGGTAACGACCTAGAAACCCTGAAGAACCGGGGTAAAGAACATCTATTCCAATTCTGATGTGAATGTTGTTAGGTAATTCTTCATCCCTACAGCTTTAGTTAGTCCCGGTTGTTACGCAATCCCCTCAAAAATGAGTCTCCCAACGGTCGGCAAGGAGGTCAACTCTCCCTTCCCGAACTTTATCCAGAAATCCGGGGAACACATTCCCTCAAGGGAGGAGAAGAAGGAGGATGATCAAACGACCAACCTAAGTTATCATGTATGTAACTACTAGTATAGCCCCTAGCTAATATTCTCGTTTGTCCAATCCAGTTGGCTTTGTAACCGCGGAAGAAGGAAGTCAATCCCATTAGTTGATTTCGATTGTTGCTGGATGGATAATTCTGGATGGGGCTGGGTTGGGGATAGCTTGGCCTATCGGGCGGAGAGATTCAGAACCGGCCTGCAGATCGTGCGGGGTAAGATTAGTTCTCGACTATTGTTCTATCTCTCTATCTCTTCTATCAACTTATCGGGGCTGGGTTCTAGGTTTCTGGGTTGAGACGGGTCGGGAGTCGGGAGGGGGATTTTGACCGTTGGGACTTGGTGATGGTCGTGATCGGCTGTGGAATGATGAATCATGTCGCGTGCTCTGGTGGATAGATTGTCTGCTCGATGGGTAATTAGGTAGTGTTGGGATTTTGGGGTCGGTTTGGTAATTGGTTGGTAGGGGGGATGTACATTCAGAAGAGAGAGTGTGAGTTGTCCCGTACTACATATGTACAGTCCATCCCTCTTTGTGTCATTATGATTGTTCTCGAATATCACTATCAAGGATGTTGTTATACGAGATATTGTACGGGTTGCTCTTATCTCCCTGACACCCTGAAAAATGGCGAGATAGTCGCCTTCCATGGTGCAACCTCCCGCACTCAATTCCCTTCCTCCTGGTCCCAGAGATAGAGTTTCGAACCTTACTCCGATCAACTCACAGAGCCACTGGCTATCTTCATGTTCCACCGATACGCCCAGACGGGCTGATAGACACCTCCTCTATCATTGGCGTTCCAACCATCTACGCCGTGCTCCATCGGCTGATTATCGTCGCCTCCGATAAGGGGCAAGATACCCAAGGTTCCGACTTCGTTTCGACCCCAATCCCAGATCCTAGATAGAGAGAGAAAGATAGCAGTCACGTTGATCCACCGGGTCACGTTGCCGCTGGGCCTTGCGGTTCCATGGGAGAGAATGTTAGCCAGAACTCTGCTGGCGAGACCGAAGAACCAGGTGACCCGGACACCAGAAAGGCTAATACTATGCGGATGGATTCCTGGGGCAGGAAGAAACTGATGGAAAGCGATGGAATCGTCTCAAACAAATCGCGTGTCAGCCACCACGGGAGATTCAAAGGAACCGAGCAGGATGCTGGATGATGTGACCATCTGGGGGGTGGTGTGGTAGGGCCAGGGCCACGGTGCTTATCGCGTGATGCCGGCAAAACAGCCACCTGGCAGGATGGCCAGGAGGATCGAGGGTTCCTTAGTCAGAAGCCTCCACGATTCCACGATTCCACGATTCCACGATTCCACGATTCCACGTATGCCTTAGGTCTCCGATGACCACCTCATCGCCCTTGGCTGCCTACTGCCCGTCCGTCGGCGTCGGAGACAGGCAGCCTGCATGATCGAGACACGCAACTCGTAGCTGCAAGGACGAAACCTTCCCGACACCCCTCGGGAGGCGGTCAAGCTGCCACTAATGCACTGGCTCACCGCCAGCATCTGCCCATCTTCCTCCCAGTTGGGCCCGGCATGCAGCCCGGAACCATGCCAGCCACGGGGGCACCCTGCTGCCAGTGCTTTTTTATTTTATTTTTTATTTTATTTTCATTTTTGCGTGAATTATGTGCAGTTCAGTTGTTTTTGTCTTTTGTCTCCGAGCATGTCAACTGTGCCTGTGAGAGGCTGGCTGCCATCCATTCACCTCTTTCCAGTTGTACATACCTACTAGTACTCACTTGCCAGGACGGAGAATAACCCCATGGCTGGCGGTCTTCTGTGTACCTCCAACCTCCTCCTCCATCTCCTCATCTCCCCATCTCCCCCATCTGTCATATGTTGCCCTCGAGGTATCCACCGCGATCGATAGTACGATTAAAAGTTGGTCCCGGAGTCTGAGACGTAATCCCCAGCATAACCCCGCAAATCCGGTTACAGAAATCGCGCGCGGGAAACAGGATCAACGTGGATCACGCAGGTTGTGTAACAACAATGGACGTTGTTGACTTACATGGTTTCCCTGGTATCTGCTGGCCTGGAACCACCACCACGACCTTCTCCTCCACACACCGAACCTTAGGTACTGACTGGGAGGCTCCGAAGGTACCTGAAGCAGTGCTGACTTTTAGGTACTCTGTCCCGGTCGGGTAGAGACGACTGTCAGAGTCAGTTCTTTGTTGTTGACATGTTTACTTGTTGTTACTGCCCCGTATGACCAGCGATGGGGATCACCACTGCCGACGCTTCCCCATAGATACACCCTATCATCGAGGATCATCCATCACCCATCATCCATGCCCCCCTCCCCGGGCCTTTTTCAGACAGGCGACCCAACCGAATGGTCAATTATTGGCCACAACGCCGCCCACTCGTTGCTTGCTTGGGGCTGGCGTCATGCAGCTGGGAAATAGTGCCAACCGGGCCTGCCCTGATTGGCCCTGTCCCGCAGTAGCGTCACTCCAGGCACCGGAAAGGGCGTAGTCCTGCCGCCACCATGATTGCTCCGCCATCGGCCGAGGGAATTGTTATGAAAATGGAAACATGATAGCGATGCATCATCGCCCATCGTCATCCGGCATCGAACGGACCAGTCTGGTGGAGTCCGTCCAGATGGATTCAGCATCGATCTGATCTGGTCCCGTTTGAGAGACGAGGGAGGGGCAAGTCGTTGATCATTATTGACAGGAATTCATCGTATTACAATACCTGGGACACGGGCGCGGGCGCAACCAGGTCCGCAGGCGCATTATTCCGTCATCGTTGAATCAATGGATGTAGGGACCAGGGGGGAAGGAGAAGCAGTTGCTACCTCACCTCATACGGAGCATTTTGATTCTGTCTATCAGTATCAGCGATGATGTTGATGATGGGATAGCTCGGATGGGGCGTGAGACCCTGCCGGGACCTGCAGGAACTTACCTTAGCCGGTAGAGTCGGTGCTGCCTTGGTGCCCAGGCCGTATCTCCAAAGTCCCTGCTCAGCAGTAGTTTACTGGGCCGTCAGGCTTGGGGAAACTCTAAACAAGCCCTTAACCTGTCTTGCTAGAGCGTCTACTACTGGATATGTAGTACTACTAGTAGAATGCATCTTATTAACTTTCATATTATCTAATGACCATCTATTAGTTAGTTAGCTATCTATTCTGTAACACTTAAACGCAGTAGTACGGAGTAGTTAAGCTGCTGTATGATCATGCTGACAAAAGTGGCCGCGATCAGGACAGGTTACATGTACCTGAGGCCCGGGACGGGGGTGATGGTGATCCCCCCAACCAAAGTAGCTGTAAGCACGCATTCAATGACACATGCCCCAGCCCGTCTATCGCGAATCGCGAATTGCAACAGATCTCGTCATCAACAATGCCAATGACCGATTACTATTAGAAAGCAATCATGGGAATTGCGACGACCTGGCAACAATGGGAGGGGATGAGTCAAGGAGGGCTCCAGAAGTGCCGGTGGAGGAATGCCTGGCTGCTGAGGTGATTGATAGGCAGGAGGGACCAAAAAGCCTTCGTAATGACTGGAACGCTACTGAAACATTACTTTGAGCCATTAATGGCTGGGAGGCAGTGATTCCCGTGCTCAACAATCCATTCTTTGACCTTGCTGGTAGCCTGGTACCTCGACTGGACGACCCGATTTTGGGGAGGATGGCTCAACCAGAGTTGTCCCGGAACGGGCTCCATGACGATGCTGATGGAGTCGTCCTTTTTGCAGCGCGATGCTGAATCACCCATCGCGGAGTCTTCTGGCGACTGCCAGACGGTGATTCATTCAGGGGGGTGTGGAGCTGTGCCCGGAAGCGGCCTCTTCTCGACCTGCCGCCAGTCGCCAGCCTGTGGGCCCGGCCGGAGATCGCACGTACAGTATCGTTACCACTTACCACGAGGAAACGGGGGTTGCCGGTACAATCCTCGCAGGCACTTGGCCCGTTGAGGATGCCTGGGTATGCACGGTACCGTACCAAACATCCGTCATTGGCTGCTGGGTCACCCACCCTGGGCCAAGGCGACGTAGGAGGTTCTCGCTCGTTCGCCCACTTTCTTGCCATCGCTGCAGTGGGTGGGTTTGTTTCCCTTTCCCCCCCCAAGGTTCCGAGTGCCGACTGCCCTTCATTTGACTCTTGAGTCGCCCCTCCGACTAGCCGTGCCTAGGAAAGAAGAGTCCAGTCGTCAGTCCCCCCCCCCGTACTTTACAAATTAGTACCGTACGTACGTACCTACCTAAACCCCAACTGATCCCAACTGGTTGCTATCATCCGGAACCTCCTTATCCCTATCGCTCCGCCTGCTCGCTCGTCTTCTATCCACCTCACCTTCCGACCTCTACCTAACCACCTTCCTCTTCTTCCTCTTCCTTCGTCTTCTCTCCTCTACTCTCCTCTTCCGTTCCACCTCCTTCTTCTTCCCCCATCGACACAGTCATCCTTCATCGCTTCGCCCGCCGTCTTGCATCCCATTGCTCCTTCTACATCCGCGCTTCCCAATCACCATCCATCATCACCCATCGTCTATCGCCACCTTATCATCCTCTCTTCGCCTCACCTCCCATCGTTGCGACACGATATAGTCCTCTTACAAAGCTTCTGATTAGATCACATTGTGAAAAGCTTCCCCACCGGCTCTAGTTCAGAAAGTGCACTTGTCCTGTTGTCTACGGCCCAGTCTACTCTCCGCTGTCTCGTCTCCTGGCCTTCCGAACACCCTGCGTGACTCATTCCAAGCCAACCACGTCGAGAGCTCCGTCGGACCCACGAGCCTTCCCTCGAACCAACCGTCACCCAAAGCCGTGCTACGTTTCAATTGCAGAGATACGTGTGAGGGTTCTGCATCCGCTTTGAGGTCGGCACTGCTTAGCTGTCCATCCATCCACCGCGCAACCTGGGCCGGGTGCTGGTATTCGGTTCTTCAACTCGTCCAGTTACGGGACTGAAGACCCATCATACCAGTTGTCCAGAGCCCTCGGCATCTATATAGTCTCCTCTCCACTCAGGACTATATATCGTTCATCGGGCGACCTATGACTCTATAGCGTCGGACCGTCCTCGATCACTCCCCCTCCCCCCTGAGTCACGACCGCCCCCGGACCTTCAGCCTGGTGTTCGAAGGCCGCTTCAGTTACGAGCCTTGTTTTTTTTTTATACATTTGGTGTCAAAGTTACGATATCACGCAGCGTTCTTCATCCTTGGTTTTGTCCTTTGGTGTCCTATTGCCGGACATAGTCATTCACTTCGACACATTCTTTCCCTCGACATACTTTCGTCGCCTGGCCCCTGCGCCTCTACAACTCTGAAACGATATACAGATGCACCCATAACAGTCTCTACTATTTCCTAGCCGTCACACCCCCGAGGGTATTTCTGAACTGCGCTTCGCGCCAACTCGTCATCGCTTTCCTTTCGTTTGTCACCATATCACTTCCCGGTATTTATATGAAACTTTGAGCCTACCATCCGACTGTTTTGTTGTCTTTTCTACTCTATTCTCTTTCTCATCCCTTCGTCCACTTCTCTTGGTTCTCAGTGGTCGAGATCTGTTTGGACTTGCACACCAGCATTTGACTTGGTTGCCTGGTTTGATTTTGTTACTGCATCGGTCTTGTCCGAAGGCCGCTCTTCTCAGCGCCTCTTTATCTTGCCATTGTCCCATCGGGTGGCATCATCCTGCTATATCCATTTCACTGCGACGAACATCTCTGGGAGACCATCGTCCTGTTCGAGTAACATCAACAATCATGGAGTGTCTCAAAAACAGTTTCGTGGAGGGTCAGCTCCTGGATGGGCGCTTTCGCACTGTCGCTCCTCTTAACCATGGATCGTTCGGCATGGTCTTCCTCGCTACCGACAACACAACCGGGGAAGACGTTGCCATCAAATGCTTGACCAAAGGTGGTGCATCACCGTACGATGTTCGGTTCGAAGAGCTGGATTGCCATAAACGCCTTGCTTACCACCCCAACATCGTCAACCTCATCCACTCCTTCGAAACCGAGTCTCACATGTACCTGGTTTTGGAGTACTGTGCGAATGGCGATCTGTACGAGGCGATCAGACTCAACCGCGGTCCTCTGGAGACCGAACACGTGCGAGACTTTATGTTACAGCTTGTTAGCGCTGTCGAGTTCATGCACGCGAACGGCATGTACCACCGTGACATCAAGCCCGAGAACATCTTCTTGACGCAGGATGGATCAATGAAGCTGGGCGACTTGGGTTTGGCATCCCGGGAGGACGTGTGCCACGAGGCGTGTGTTGGAAGTGACCGATACATGGCTCCGGAGCAATACGACCCCCCGGCCGCTGGCTATTCCCCCGCTAAAGCTGATATTTGGGCGATTGGAATCTGCTTGCTCAATGTCCTCTTCGCCCGGAACCCATTCGCTACCCCGACTGAATCGGACATTCTCTTCGCCGACTATGTGCGCGACCGCCAGTCACTGTTCGACATCTTTCCCAACATGTCTCAGGACACTTTTGAGATTCTGAGGTTCGCCATGACGATTGATCCCGAAAAGCGTTCACTGTCTGGCATTCGTGATTCCATCATGCGGACCGTCACCTTCACCACTGACGACGAAGCTTTGGATGAGTTCTGTACCGACGACCGCGAGGTCGTCGCTGCAAGTGCCAACAGGGAACCTCTTCGGACCCCTTCAATCCAGAGCCCACACATCAATCAGGGCGACTCGTTCCCGTGGGCCAAAGCACTGCAGGCCAGCCCCCCTCAACAGTTTCGGCAGCTGTCGGCCATTCCCGACAACGAGAGCTATTCGGAGGATCTATTCCCTCCGTCCGAGACGGCTGGTACCTCGTGGTTCTCCATCCACCAAGGTACTCCCTCAATGGCATCCGTTCTCGATTCTGCTCTTGGCGATTCGTTCCGGTCTACTGGTTTCCGTAAACATGAGCTTCGGTTCCCTCCCCCTTCAGATCCTGTGCCCATCACCGGGTCCTTGCCGAGTCATCCAACCAAGCCCTTGCCCTCCCTTTCCATGGTTTTCGGCAAGAAGAAGGACGAGCAGATTTCCAAGAGCTGGAGCGACCTCTGGGATGAGGAGGAAGAATCCGAAACCGAGGACATGGCTTTCCACCAGCGGCGCCAGCAGAACTCTCGTAGCTGGAGTCATGAAAGCAGCAGCCCCGTGGAGATCAGTGTCCCTGAGCTCTGCGGTCCGCTGACGGGTCTCCGGGACGTTGGAAATAGCTCGATCCACAATGTCCACCCTCAGCCACAGAAATCTTCGGTTATATCAGATGGGATCATGGAGAAGCCTTGGGATGTTCCGACGGGTGCCACTGCCCTCAAAACCCCCCCTCGCACTCCCGATTCTCCTCCGAAGAATTCAAGCATGGACAAGTGGGCTGCCTTGGGTGACAGAAGGAGGAACTACAAGTCTCCAGATGCTTCCCTTGGACGCAAAAAGTTTCCTCTCAACATGAGCTGGAGGAAAGACTGGGGCTTGGGTTCCTCAGGCTTCGACTACGGCTCCTGGGCCGCTAAGAAAGAAACCAGCCCAATCCAGGACCGCCGCCGCCGCCCCCCCTTCCAGGAGAAGGGACGGCGTCGTGACGCCTGGGAGTCTCCGAAGGCCGCCAACGTCAAAGTTCCCCATGGTTACGATGGCAGTATCGACGAGGATCTCGATCTCGTCGGTGGCTGGCATGATCTTCACCTCTAAGGACCATGTCGCCTGCCTTCGGCTTTTCTGTCTGTATTCGACTTGACTCGTGTTTGTTGTACCGACCAACAACCCTGAAGAGAGTGGCAAATATCAAACAACTTTTCTACCAACAACCAATCCTCCCGCTTGTTTTCTTCTTCCTCTTTTTTTTTTTTTTTTTTCTACTTGATTTTGAAGCGTCTCTCCACTCGGCGTGGTCGCACCCAGCGGTGGTGCACCGCGACCTTATATTCAATACTCTATTTTCTCCTCTTTTCTTCCGTTCTATAGATTGTTTGTATGCGGCACCCTCGCACATCGGACATGTTAGTGTTTTGTTTCCTATTCTGTATAATATAACACTCTTCGAAGGAGCAAGCCTGGGGACGAGCGGTTGAAAAGTGACTCATCAGCTGAATGTGGGAGGACGTGGTTCTTCTTTCTCTTTTTACCAACTGTGCACAATGTCAACATTCGACTTTCTTCCCAAAAGAAAATGGTTCAACATGACGGGGCTGGGCGACGACGCAGGACGAGGGCGATGGCGGGTGGCCGGGGAGGCCGCCGGGAAACTACGATGTGACCAAAGAAAGCCATGGAAAAGCAACCCTCTCAGTCGTTTCATCTACACCTTGACGGAGGCTGCTGTGCCGGAAAGGGCCAACAATGCACTGGACTGGCTTCTTTGTACTGTAATTAGCTGGCATGGTGGAGTGGGTGGGACGCGGACTCGGGGTGACATGCAACCAGGAGAAATCAAAAGTGATTCTGGTGTGGATCTGACTTGCCTTGTAGACTACGTAGTACGTAGATTGCCAGCTGGTCTTTTTGGTCGATGACTCAGTGCTATACATAGTAACCAACTAACCCACTCTATATATCTACTACTGTGTAAGTATTCTATCTACATCGCAGGTAAATGAAGGCGGTGGCGGGCAGCTGGTTTCCCGAGTTCCAGACCGCCCCGGTGGAGAGAGCCACCGGCCACCGTAATCCTCCCCGACGGCGCCGTAGATTAGTAGTTAGTTGTTGGCCATTATTGTCGCGCAACTCAATCCCACTGACGGTGAGCGAAAGAGGCGGTGTCTTGGGAGCGCAGCCTTGTGGGCGACTCACGTCTATCGTTGCTAACCTCAATAATATTACCAAGGGGCTCGTCCCGTTGCTGTCCTCTATCCTGTCCTCTATCCTGATCGATCCCCTGAAGCGCAGTCACTAGATAAGGAGCTTGCTGTCGTGCGCGCCCTTCCTTCCCCTGAAATTCCCTAGAATCTTGCACCAGACCTAGCAGATCATGCTTGCGCGATGACCCCCGCCAGAACCAAGTAACGCTACAATCTACTTTCCGCCTCGCCACTCGTCCGTATCGTGATCACGGTCGCTTTGCGCCAAGGCGAAAATGACCGGGTGGACAGCAACACAATGGATCCCATGGATGACTCTCATCTCCACCTGGATTGAAGGCACCGCCGGAGACAGTAGCCAGTCTGTCTGCCCAGCGAGAGGCTGGCAGACCGTCGAGGCCGAGTTCATCCAATGGCCCAAATGCCCACAGACCCAGTGGGAGGGCCAGTCAGTCCTTGATACCCCAGCCATTCCCCCACATCTACTGAAGGACCCCGAAGAGACTGTCTCCGTCCCCATGGCATCCTCAAGCGAGACCACCGTCCCCACACCCGACGAACGCCCCGACCACGAGCTGGACACCGAGTCCCCGCTCGACAACGCCAACTTCCTTTCCTTTGAGGACTGGAAAAAGCAGAACTTGGCCAAGGTCGGTCAGTCGGCGGAGAACGTGGGTGGAAACCGACGGGGCGGTGCTGAGAAGGAGGATAGGCGACGGCCGACGGGTATCAATAACGCTTTGGACTCCTTGGGTGACGATGTAGAGATCGAGTTGGATTTTGGCGGTTTTGGCGCTGATACACCGGAAACAGCGAAGCCTACGTCCTGGGGAGCGCGCGTGCCCCCGGAGGCGAAGGCTGGCACGGTCCATTCTGCAGAGAATCGTGAAGTGGATGCTCTTTCTCAGGGTGTTCCCCAAGCAGGCGTGTCGCGCTCGAAGGATGCGGGCACGACTTGTAAAGAACGGTTCAACTATGCATCGTTTGATTGTGCAGCGACGGTGCTTAAGACCAACCCGGAGTGTACGGGGTCGTCATCGGTGTTGATTGAAAACAAGGACAGCTATATGCTGAATGAGTGTCGGGCAAAGAACAAGTTCCTGATTCTGGAGCTCTGCGATGACATTCTGGTGGATACGGTTGTATTGGCCAACTACGAGTTTTTCAGCTCCATCTTCCACACCTTTCGAGTCAGTGTGTCGGATCGATATCCAGCTAAACCGGACCAGTGGAGGGAGCTTGGAATTTTCGAGGCGAGGAATACGCGGGAGGTTCAGGCCTTTGCGGTCGAGAACCCGCTGATCTGGGCTCGCTATGTCCGGGTTGAGTTCCTGACGCATTATGGAAATGAGTTCTTCTGCCCACTCAGCTTGATCCGGGTGCACGGGACGACCATGCTGGAGGAGTACAAGCATGACGGCGAGGCCAGTCGGGTTGAGGACGTGGTGCCAGATGAAGTGCTGGAGACTGCGCCTGTGGCCGCGGAGCCAGAGACTACCCCTACGCTGAATTCATTGGCTGATGCCGGGTCGGCGGAGAGGGAGGCAAGCGACCAGATACTGGAGACTTGCCCTAACCTGGGACCAGACATTGACGAGACGGTTCTGATGAAGCTCCTGGGGGTCACCGAGACATGTAGTGTACATGACTCCCCGGTTGCTGCTGGGCCTGAAGGGGCTCCGACGCCTGCTAGTCGCCCGTCGATAAATGACGCAACCCCTCCTAAGGGCGATGATGCTGCTTCTTTGGCTGCTGTAAACGAGACACCGGTCAAGGAGCCCGGGGAGCCGAAAGCGACGGTGGCGGTTGGCACAAATGTCGACACGGCCCCAGCGTTCGCTACAACGGCTGTTCAAGAGACTGCATCTCAGGTCGTATCGGAAGCCGACAGTCGGTCGACTACGTTGGCGAAGGAAGAGCAAAGCGGTGCAGTTGAATCGACGCGGCCTACAGCGGCACAGCCGCCTTCCTCGAACCCGACTACGCAGGAGTCGTTCTTTAAGTCTGTGAATAAGCGGCTACAGATGCTGGAATCTAACTCTAGCCTGTCATTATTGTACATCGAAGAGCAATCGCGGATCCTGCGCGACGCGTTTAACAAGGTTGAAAAACGGCAGCTGGCGAAAACGACCTCCTTCTTGGAGAATCTGAACGGTACGGTCCTCCATGAGTTGAGGCAATTCCGTGAGCAGTATGACCATGTGTGGAAGAGCGTTGCACTGGAGTTTGAGCTCCAGCGGGTCCAGTACCATCAGGAGGTGCAGTCGCTGAGCACGCAGCTGGGGGTCCTGGCCGACGAGCTGGTATTCCAGAAGCGTGTAGCCGTCATCCAGAGCATCATGATTCTCTTCTGCTTCGGGCTGGTGCTCTTCTCGCGAGGCGCCGTCAGCAGCTACATTGAGTTGCCTAGTATGCAGAACATGGTGTCGCGGTCGTACAGTTTGCGATCGTCGTCGCCTCCCTTCGGTTCGCCGTCCGTGAGCCCGACATCGTCGAGTCGACGCGCTGGCGGTCACCGACGCAACTTGTCTGAGGATTCGCAAGACGGACCGATCAGTCCGACGCTGGCCTACTCCCCGCCGACCCCAGTGTCCGATGTGATGAGTTCGTCGGAGGAGGCTGAGAATCGGACGGGGGACTCGCTCGCATTGCCCGAGGTGACACCACCGACACTCCGATCGCGCAGTAGCCCGCCTGATCTGAAAGGGGGCGAGGATGAAACCCCGGAGGAGTCGTCTGCATCGGGGGAGTCACCGGATGAAGGGTCATCAGTTCCTGATGGGATGCGGAATGTGACGATGGAGGGATGATGGACTCTGGCTGGGGATGCATTCGTGGCATGTGGAGCCCATGACATGACATGGACCAGACCAGATGGCCAGCCCGGCAGGTTGCAGTCGGCTGCAGGGCTTCCGGCGGCTGTGATGAAGTCTCAGCCCGCCAGTTTCCTGGCCAACAGCTGCAGAAGTGCCGCCACCTCCGAGGGAGAGCTTATTTCCCCGACCAGCCACCATTCCTGGAGGGATGGTCACTGTGGCAGCCGGCGTGGGCAACGCAGCGCCATCGTGGAGGAGAACAAGGCGTGGATTGTCAGGATACCGAGCACACGCTATATGTATGTACAGTTAGTGTAGATAGACTGACGTGAGGCGATATGAGCCATGACGAGATGAATAATGTACACCATACTACAAGGTATCTATCTATTATATCATTCCGGCTCTTGCCTTCGCTGCGGGCGGCGATGACATCCGCGGTTGCCATGACAACAATCGACGGGTTTTTCTTCGCGGCTGCCAGTCTTATCCTTTGCTTTTCCCATCCTCTCCACCCTCTCTCTCTCTCTCTCTTTTCCTCATCTTCCAGACAACTGTCACTAGAACCCCCGAGAATACACACGCGTTTCCTTGTCTCACAGGAAAGAAAAGAAATACACAATGGACGCCCACCCGTTGACCGACCGCACCAACACCCACCTGGTCCAGGACAAGGACAAGCTCAACGAGCTCAAGGCGGCCCCCGCAAAGATCAACTCGATGGAATACCACCGCCAGGTGTTGCAAGGAAAGCTGGATAGTGGTGATGACAAGTAGGCTTCCTCTGTGTGCCGTGGTGTTTACACTGGGACGCCTCTTCTAACGGTCCCAGGAACCAAGCCAGTTACGTCTCGCCATCGGATGATATCATGAGTCCGTGCTCGAAGAAGCTCAGTGATCTGAAGGGCAAGCGCTTCAAGAAGTACGTTCTCTTTACTTATCACTCATGCATTCTATCTCTTCTACTACTTGGAGTTGTATCCAGAGTATTTGTTGCTTCTACGGCCATGGACACTAACTCGGTCTCGCAGTGTCGGCAAGCCCCAGTCATTGTTCGCCAAGCTAGGCAAGAAGAACTTCGAACAGTCGTCCGCCGAAGCCAATCGCCAGAAGGAAAACACCGAGGGTGTTTAGGGGACGGTGCGATGCCCGGTAGATGAAGGAGTGAGGAGTCTGCGCCGGTCGCAGGTGGCCCGACCCTTCGTTGCCGGCGGATATTCTGTTTTTCTTGGTTCATTGTTTCCCTGGGTTGGGTGGAGGTGTTGGGGGTTTGGGTTTGGGTTCTGGTTCTTTTGGGACGAGAAAGCATTGGTCGGACGGAAGACTACCGGCCAGGCGACCAGTTGTTATGATTGATTGATATTGATTCTTGCATGGCCTTACGAGACTCCCAATAATAACGTTCTTAATTCATCACCGCGACCGTCGTTGCTGACTCAGCGCCGGGGAGGGGGTTTCAGCCGAGGTCTGGCTTCGGCTGGCTGCTTCTCCGCAACTTGGCTCTCCGCATCGGCATCGTCTGATCCTCCTCCTGCCTTTAATAACCGTCCATCTCCAGTCCATCTCCAGTCCATCTCCAGTCCATCTCCAGTCCATATCCAGTCCATCTCCAGTCCCCCACCCTGTGATTTCTTTCCTATCGCATACCCTATCCAGATCTACACCATGTCCGCCTCCTCCCGCATTCCCGTCATTGCCCAGCCCTTCGTCAGCGACCGGGCCAAACAAACCCTCGACTTGGTACTTCCGTCCCTGATCTCCATCTAGATCGGTCCTTAGCCACTAATTATCCAGGTCGAGCAATTCGTCGAAAAAGAATGTATTCCCGTTGAGCCCATCTTTCGTGCCCAGCTCGGCGAGGGCCAGCAGCGATGGGCTACCTATCCGGCCATCATGGAGACTCTCAAGACCAAGGCCCGCCAGCAGGGCCTGTGGAACATGTTCCTGCCTAAGAGCCATTTCTCGCAGGGTGCAGGGTTCAGCAATGTCGAGTACGGCCTGATGGCTGAGTATCTGGGGAAAAGCACAATTGCGTCGGAGGTGACTCCCCCGATCGCTGTACGGCTGCAGACGGACCGCCAGCTCACTAAACGATCTGTATAGGCCACCAACAACGCCGCCCCAGATACAGGTAACATGGAAGTCCTCGCCAAGTACGGCAACGAAGCTCAGAAGCAACAATGGCTGGCTCCCCTGCTGGACGGGAAGATTCGGTCGGCTTTCCTGATGACAGAGCCCGACATCGCCTCCAGTGATGCCACCAATATCGAGCTCGACATCCGGCGTGAAGGGAACGAATACGTGCTGAATGGATCGGTATCCCTCTCCTCCTGCCATGCTTAACCCTTTGCCCCCCTTGACCCTCTATCATTAACAACTATATCATAGAAATGGTGGTCCTCCGGTGCTGGCGACCCTCGCTGCCAAATCTACCTCGTCATGGGCAAAACCGCCGCCAACAACCCGGACCCCTACAAACAACAATCCGTCATCCTCGTCCCTGCGAAAACCCCCGGTATCACCGTGCACCGCATGCTGAATGTCTACGGCTACGACGACGCCCCGCACGGCCACGGGCACATCAGCTTCAAGGATGTACGCGTTCCCGTCTCCAACATCGTCCTCGGCGAAGGCCGGGGCTTTGAAATCATCCAGGGCCGTCTGGGCCCAGGCCGCATCCACCATGCCATGCGTACTATTGGAGCGGCCGAAAAGGCACTGGAATGGATGATCGCACGCATCAACGACGACCGCAAAAAGACCTTCGGAAAGCATCTCTCCTCGCACGGAGTGATTCTTGAATGGGTGGCGAAGTCACGCATCGAAATCGACGCCGCAAGATTGATTGTCCTCAACGCGGCGATTAAGATCGACCAGGGCGACGCCAAGTCCGCCCTGAAAGAAATCGCTCAGGCGAAGGTTCTGGTGCCCCAGGCAGCATTGACAGTGATTGATCGCGCCGTGCAGGCATACGGTGCCGCGGGTGTGAGTCAAGATACCCCCTTGGCGTATCTGTGGGCGTTGATCCGGACCCTGCGGATTGCGGACGGGCCGGATGAGGTGCATCTGCAACAGTTGGGGCGGCGGGAGAACCGGGCACGCAAGGACGAAATCATGCAGAAGTTGAAGTGGCAGAAGGAGGAGGGGGCGCGGCTGTTGGAGGTAAGTGGGTTGAAGAGTCGCTTGTAAACATTCTTCGGAGCCCCTGAGAACAACGATCTATAGTATTTACAGTTATGTAATCAATCACCCATCTGGTTGCCATATGACTTAGAACAGTCAAACATGAATGTCATAGTCCAAGTCTAATGTTATCGACGTTGTTGTCGAGATCCGATGATGTTCCGCGATGATGCTGACTCATCCGGTATCGGAACACTCCGATCCCTGTTTAGGACTAGCGGTAGGTATAGTGGCTTCGCAGAGGATGAAAGTAGAATTGACGCAGGAGAGCTATGCTATGAAGGACATTATTGCAAAACGCATCACTGACATGGATGGTGAAATTATACGTCATGAATCATATTCATCATGCACACCATTTCAGAACATAACATCTCTAACAAGAACAAGAACGATAATGGATATACGAAACCACTCCTCCCCTCCCTCTATACGTACTTCTCAGTTCACTACTATCTCAGTAGTAGTAAGCAGTCAAATAAAGTACGCCACAACATAACATACCATAACAAAAAGATGAAACCCTATCCTAAGCAGACTTTTCAACCCCGCACCCAAACAGATATATTAAATGCAAAAGGAAGGAACATGAAAAGGTATCTCGCCCGCGAGCCCGCTTAATAGTCATCATCATTGGCGGTATTCTTGCGCACCTTCTTGGCGCGGCGTTTGTTGGCCTTGAAATGTTTCTTCGAGGACCCGCCGCGCACCTCGGAGACATCGACGCCGCGCTCGAGCGCGACCATCATACGCTCCTTGCGGCCCGTGAGCTGCTTCCGTATTTCCTGTCCTTGTTCGGTGTACTGCGCGTTGAAGGGGAGGGTGATACGTCCAGTGGTGGTTTTGGCGCCGGGACCGAAGAAGCCCGTATCGAGCTTGCGAGAACGAAGGCCGGGGATGGGTTTCTGGCTGGTGAGGAGGAGGGCGAGGGTGTCGGGGTCGACGGACTCGTCGTTCTGGAGGAGTTTGGCGAGCTGGGCTTGGCGGCGGGGCGGGAGATGCGCCATGTCGTAGAGGTCTTGGTTGAATTCAAGCGGGTCGATGGGGTCGGCGCCTTCCTGGGCGGGAGGTGGCGGGTGGCAGAAGAGGAGCTTGCCGTTCACGTAATCCTTCAGGACGTAGCGGGCAGCGCGCGACTCGTCGGGCTGACCCAGGCCTTGGGTGGCGAAGCCACGGGCACGGGCATAGGCGCGGAGGAGCTCGCTGGCGGTGGGAATGCCAGTACCGCCTTCTTCGAGGGGACGAGTGTTGATCTTGATACCGTAGACGTTCTCGACGAAGTGCTTGGGAATACGCTGAGCGATGAGAGCGCCGGGGCCGGTGAACTCGCGCTGCTGGTCGATGGGGAGGACACCGTTGACGACGAGCTCGGCCTTGGTGGTGGCGAAGTTGGGGAACACAAGACCGGGGCAATCGCAAAGCATGATCTCGGGGGACAGGTAAAGTGTCTGGAAGTGCTTGGTTTTACCGGGGGTGGCGGAGACCGACACCTTCTTGGCGCCGAGTAGGGCGTTAATCGTGCTGGATTTACCCACGTTGGGGTATCCGACCAGACCGATGACTGTCTTGGCCTTGTTCGGGCTGTCGGTCGTGTTGTTGTCGGGCAGCGTGTCGGGCGTGTTGGAGAGGAAGAGCTCTTCAAGTTCTTCGACATTGAGGATCTCCGTCCGTTGAGAGGCACTGGAGCTGGCGCCGGGGTTCAGTTCGAGACCTCCGTCGTGCTCTTCTTGGGGCTCCGGGGCGTCCTGGATATCCAAGGCCTTGGCGTCCTCGGCCAGCTGTTCCTCTGCGGGGACTTCCTCCTCCACATCGCTTTCGTCGTCGGATCCGAGGTCCTGCTGGAGGAGTTCGTTGCGCTCCTTGGCCATGTGGGCGGAGAAGAATCGGAAGCTGATGTTGTGGCGCTCGAAGTAGTCGGCCCAGGCGGCTCGTTGTTTCTCCGTCAGCATGTCGGCCTTGTTGACGAGCAGCAAGTTGCGCTTCTGGGGGTGAATCTCCTTGACGTAGGCCTCCAAATCCTCGGAGCGGAAGAGCAGGGGGTTACGGGCATCGACGATCTGAACGACGAGGTCGGAGCGCTCGATGACACGCCACAGCTGGCGCCAGACTTCCAGGTTGCGTTCGAAGGGGGTCATCAACAGATCGTGATTCTCCTGCAGCTCAGCCAAACCGCGGCGCCAGTTGAGGAAACTCTCACGCTCCATCAGCTCGAGCTGTTGGCGGGTGGTGGACTGGTCCCACTTGGGCCGTCTGGGGACGGTCAGGCGGTTCTTGTTCTTCTGGTGCTTCTTGACGGCGGACTTCTCCTCGGAGGCAGACAGCAGGTAGGGGTTCTTCTGGTCGGTGTGGATGATTTTGACGTTGTTCATCTTCTCGGCGGTAAAGTCGGTGCCGGCAAGTTCGGCGGTGCTGAGGAACTCATCGAGGGCGGCTTGCTCGGTAATACTGCGCATCTTGACCCAGGCAGCCTCGGTGGGGGCGTTGGTGATGTAAGTCTCGCCCTTTTCGTTCTTGCGGGCAATAGCGGCATTGTGGGAGGCCTTCTTCAAGGCGGATGCTTTGCCTTTGCCGAAGCGGTCGTTCATCAGGCTGTTTCCCAGCCCGACGGAGTTTTTGGATTTGGCTAACACCATGGTGGCGGAATTCCCTGGATGAGGGAGGGATGTGAGTATAGAGAGAGGAGGGAGGGAGGGAAGAAGAATGAGGGGGAGGGGGAAAGAAGGGGAGGGAGAAGGGGAGAGAGACGGAGAGAGAGACGAAGAGAAGAAGAAGCGAAGAATAATTATTAAGATTCCCGAAAGATTTGATAAAAACCCAATCGGGCAATTTTCAGTCGAACCCCGCGCGGATAAGATAAGGCTGACTCAGCAAGACAATTCCCTCAGCTGAACAGGATTCTAACGATGGATGAGGAGGATCATATGGAAGAAGATGAGGAGAGAAGAAAGGCAAACGAACTATCGCCTCTAGATCAATACCCTCACCCTTTTCTCTGCCATTGGGGGTGGTGAGGACCCCCCGCGATAATCAGCACGTGACCCCCACGATCGGCGATTATTTTTCTACCCTCCGAAATTATTGACTCGTTGCAATCCATTCAGCTTCACCACCTCCGATCCCACATCTTCCTCTCCTTCTCTCTCTCCCTCCGGAAAAACCGGTTACCCGCCAAAATGCCTCCCCGGAAGCAGTGGATGTACGTCCCCCAAACCTCTCAGCCCAACCCTATCTTTCAGTCCAAACTAACCAACTCAACTCGTCCAGCGACAAGAAGCACGCCACCACCTACCAACTCTTCCACCGTGCGCAAAATGACCCTCTCATCCACGACCCCTCTGCCGACGATCGCGTCCTGGCGCCCGTCTACGGCCCGGCCCCGACCTCCAGCAACGCCTCCGCCTCCGCATCTCAGCACCGCGGCCTGAACCTCGCGGATCTGAACCAAAGCTTCGGCGCTGCCGCCGTCCGCAAAAACGAGGGTGAAGCCGCCAACTACGGCATCTACTACGATGATTCCAAGTACGACTACATGCAGCACTTGCGCGAGCTTGGCATGGGCGCCGGTGATGCTCATTTCGTCGAGGCCAAGACCAAGGGCAAGGACAAGGGCAAGGGTTTGAAGTTGGAGGATGCCCTGCGCCAGGTGTCGCTGGATGATGGCCGGAGCGAGTTTGGCGGTGCCGAGAGCGTTTACAGCCATGACATGCGCTCGACCGCATCGTCGTACGTGCGCCAACCCACCTACCAGGACCAGCAGAACGTTCCCGATGCGATTGCAGGTTTCCAGCCGGACATGGACCCGCGGTTGCGTGAGGTCCTCGAGGCCTTGGAGGATGAGGAGTATGTGGATGAGAACGACAACGAGGATGTCTTTGGCCAGTTGACGACGCGGGCCGAGGAAATGGACCAGGGCGATTGGGAGGATACTTTGTTCGATGATGTTGAGGAAGAGGATGATGGCTGGGAGTCCGATGCGACAGAGAAGGCCCCCGTGCAGATGAATACGACCGACGCCAGGGCACGGTACCAGGACACCGAGCAGCCCGACGGAGAGCTCCCCGTGCATGACGAGCCCGCGCCCGACATGCACCCCGAGGATCAGGGCTGGATGCGCGAGTTCGCCAAGTTCAAGAAGGACGCCAAGGGCAAGCCTATTGCCCCCGCTGCGCCAGCCAGTGTCGTGCCCTCCGAGCAACAAAGCACCCTGGCTTCGACCGTCTTCACCGTCGGCGGAACCCCCATCCGCCGAAAGAAGCGCAAGGGTGCCCTGACTAACCCCTCCGCGTACTCCATGACCTCATCCTCCCTGGCCCGCACCGAAGGCCACCGACTCCTCGATGACCGGTTCGAGCGCGTCGAGGCCCTCTACTCCCTCGACGAAGAGGATGAGTTCGACGACAGCATGTCAGTGGTCAGTGGAATGACTGGCATGACCAACATGACCGGCATGACGGGCATCTCAACCGTCTCCTCCCAAGCACCCAGCCTCGTCGACGCCAACGGCGAAGCCGTCCGCCCCTCCCACAACTTCAACAACGTCATGGACGATTTCCTCGCCGGCTGGGACGACAAGACCAGCGCCCAGGCCAAGCGCAAGGGCGCCAAAGCCAAGCGCGGCAAGAACGGCAACGAGGCCATCGGCATCCGCATGCTGGATGAGGTGCGCCAGGGTCTGGGTCCTGCCCGAGTCACCGGGAAGGTCTCGGGACGGGCATAGACAGAGCTTGTCCTATGTTTGTGTGTGTGTATGTGTGTGTGTGTGTGCATGGCTTCAACGATTGCAACGATACCATTTTTACTTCCTTACTTCACTACCATACTGTTTTTTTGGTTTGGTTGGAAAACGCGGGTAGGCTGGCGTTTTGTGTGGCATTGCATGCATGGTGATAGACTTTTTCGTTATCATAAAAGTTCTCTTTCGGGTTCCTACTACGTTATTTGTTGTTTTGTGCTCGGTAGTGTACAAAGTGTACAGAGTAAGGTTAATGTAGTGTCGTAGATTACTGTACATTCATAGTATAATAGTACATGGGGTATACAGATTCTATCTCTATCACATCACATCACGTCATGTCGTCTAGAAAGCGCCCCCGACCTTCTCGACGATCCACATCGAGAGCCGCACATTCCATCCCACGCGTCGCTCCGTTCGCCGCAGGTCCTCGCGCGAAACCACCTTCGCCTCCTCCTGCAGTCGGTCCGTCTCGGCACCTAGCTTCTGCTTCAACTCAGGGTCGCCGGTCACGACGAGAGCACCGACTTCTAGATCGAGACTGTAGCTGCGCTTAGTGTAGTTGCTGCTGCCGACAAAGGTCAGGCTGGGATGTTCTTCCTTGGGTAGGGTGATCCAGAGCCCCTTAGCGTGGTAGGTCCAGCCGCCGGGCTCGCCGACGGTGCCGCGGCGCCATTCTTTGAGTTGAATGGAGTTCGTGCGCTGGGCCTCGGCGACGCGGTCTAGGAACCGCGCTGAAAGATGCGTGTAGGCTGCTGGGAGCATACCGGAGATGCCCGGGGAGCCGTAGAAGCCATTGGCCCAGGGGGATGCCGTGAGCACGGTGCCGCGCGTGGTGGAGTCCGTGTGCGAGGTGGAAGTGCTGGTGATGAGGAGGGAGGAGAGAACGGGGTGGATGTTGAAATAGCCGGCGGTGAAGAGCCAGCGGGCCCCCGAGAAGGCCGGCGAGGTGGATAGGAGACGGAGGATGGCAGTGACGGCGGGAAATTCGGTGGAGGTATCGGGTTTGAATAAGGAGGTGAACTGAGCCACAGGATATACGTAGGTCTGGTCGGAGGACTTGGGCTGCAGTACGGCTTGCTTTTCCGACGGTTGGATGAGCGGGTGCAAGACGGTGGACGAGTATGTGATGAAGTCCTCGGGGTTGTCGAGGGGCGAAGGTGCGCCGTTGGATGTCGGCCAGTTTAAGACGTAGCCGGCGGCATCCTCCGGGTCTGGAAGGACCTGGAAGCTGAGACTGCAGACGGCCTCTTGGATGCGAGCGTAGTAATCAGTCAACTCCTTGGAGTGGAAGACATGGTACCGGTCTAGGCGGCTCGTGAAGTACTCGTTCGAAAGGTTTGCCCTATGCTACCCGTCAGTGGCCATCTCAGAAGCTTTGGGCAGAGCTGCACACACCCCGACAGTATGATCTCCTCGTCAAAGCCGTAGAGCTTCATATGCTGGAGACCCCAGCCCTCATTGATCCGGCGCGGCACCCATTTCTTCTTGAACCCAGTCAAATTGGGGGTATGAAACATGCGAATCTCCACGCGATCCGTGCCATGTGTCGCAACTAGCGAAGCCAACAGCGATGCGCACGAAGGATTCGGCGTTTCTCGCGTTCCTCGTAGAGCGTCTGTGAGAATGGAGACCTTGAGTTCGGGATTGGCCCGAAGAGCCTGGTCCAACGTCTCGACCAGGTCATGCTCCGTCTTGCCAATGTATAACGTCGAAAGATAGATGCGTTTGCGGGCCTTCCTGATCTTGTCCTATATAATGAAACATGCTTGAGTTAGTCGCAAGTTCGCGGCGGGTCTAGGCCCGAGATATTGCCATACCTTGAGGGTATTATAGAAGCTGGTCGGAGAGTCCAGGATTGTAATCCGCGATGCCGGCACCTCAAAGCACGGCGAGATCCGATCCAGCTCGGTCGTAATAGTCCCTAACGGCGACGCAACCGAGGAGGCAGTCGAGCTGGTGCTGGCATGAGCGGTGCTGGCCGAGAATTTGCGCTCGTATAGTAGGGCCCTCCGGGCAGCTGGTCTGCGCGCAGCACATCGCAGGGTATTACCCCCGATACGTCCCAACATGGTCACAGAATGCCTCCCAGATTCTAAGCAAGGCAGCAGAATGACTGGCAAAGGATCAATGGGACCGTGTGAAGAGGACGAAGGAGATGCTGGACAAACTACAAAGATCCCAGGCGACCACTGCAAACACGGCAAACGGCGACCCGCGCTAGACCGGATCGGGGAGTGTTGCAACCGCCGGGCGGAAAGCGAGCGAGGCAAGACAGTCGAACCCGACCTGCACTCAGTTCGAAGCCATTGCTGCCCCCCCTGCTGCTCTGCCTACAAGATGTCGACCATCCTTCGCACGCTACGCAATCTGAAGCGCATTGGCTTCAAGGTGAGCCTTTGGCGACCCTTCCGGAGCTCCACGGACTAGCTGCTAACTGCATCCCCTCACAGGAATATGGCCACCAAATGCAGGTATGCTCTCGGATGCTGGGAGAAGAGGATGTCATGGTGAGGCGAGCCGGATACTGACAAGATGCCCTGTTCTCTGCGAATAGTACATTGGTGAGTGGCTTCTCGCCGGGTCATGGGGCTAGACTGACGCAATCGCGATTCCAGGTGATACCAAAGCCGGTACCTTGATTGGGGTGGACCGCTACGGCAACAAGTTTTTCGAGAACGTCGAGGAGGAGCTTCCTCGTGGGTGATGCTGAGACTTTCTCAGTGGACTCTACTGACTGTGCATAGTCCGGACGCGCTGGGTTGACTACAAGGACCATGAATACGACCCTTCGCACATCGAGCCCGGCTGGTGAGACCCTCATCGAGGATTGTTTGCGGTCGATGCCATTTGCTAACCTCGCTTCAGGCACGCCTGGATCTCCTACATGGTGGATGCTCCCCCCACCGCCGACAAGCTCATGCAGACTGGCATCCGCCGCTGGGAGTTGCCTGAGCACCGCCCCAACTTGACCCAGAGCCGTGCTGCTTTCAAGACCTACTCCACGTGAGTATCCCATTCCCATCGTCCTAGTTCGAGAGGCGGTGGATGATGTGCTGACCGAGCTCAGGACCCGTCCCAAGTACTCTGCCTGGACTCCCGTTGCGGCTCCCCGGTAAATTCACCGTAGTGCTGGTAGAATGTTGGCCTACGAGGACGGTATGGCTTGAATCAGACCATGTTCGAAGTTGTGTAAATAAAGATGCCCTACTTTTCGTTTTGAACCATCAAACCTGTTCCCAATCAGTATCCCCATTTACCTGCCATTTCTATACAGTAGCCCATTGTCTAATTATTCACACGAGGATATCGCCAAGGTATCGCATCAACCAAATGCCAAATGCCAAATGCCACAAAATCGCTCTTGCGACGAGATTAAATACAAGAATCAGAGCACGTATATACCAGAGCCGATGTTCGACCAGTGCCGGATTGGTCGCCGGTCCTCGAGCTCGATACACCACCACAGCACCTCCTTCAGTTTCTGGATCTGGCCCTCCGCCTCGTACGCCCGGGAGAGGGCATACCATGCCTCGCTGTTGTCCCAAGAACTGCCACGCTTGGTCAGCCCGGACAGCAGGCCAAAGGCTCGCTCACGAGCCGCAATACGGTTCAAGAGTCGGGGATCCTCGTCGTCCGAGTCGGCGAGGGGTTTAGCCTCCGGACTGCCCGCTTGATTGGACTGCTTCACGTTGTCTTCTGATGATGGCTTGTTTGGCATGCTTGCCGAGGACACAGACAATGTTGATATACCGGCATCGAGGCTAGGTTTTGGCGGTTGCAAGGGCATCTTCTGATCCCAAATGTCGAGGAGCAGATTCGACAGCCCGGCCGTCGCCTTCGGATGATCTGCGTCATGCAGAAGCGCTGCTTCGAAGCGCTCCATCGCCTCATGAGGACGAGCCTGGGCGTTGTACAGGAGACCACGCTCCGCATTAACATCTGCCCATAGCTCATCAGTGCTCTTAGGAACACCCCATCCACGCTCTCTAAACGCTCGAGCAGATGCCTCCTGCGACGCAACAAGAGTCTCGACTCGTGTCACTTGCTTGGCTGCCTCCTCGCATGCCTCATGCGCGTCTTCAAAGGACGACGCTCGGCGATACAGCCCAGCTATAAGCAGCCAGACCTTGACCAAGATGCACAGGGCATGCTTCTGAGCCTGGGCAGGCGGGACTTTGGTCACAGCCCTCGTGGGAGAATCGAACGCGTACGACGTGGGCAGTCGGATATCTTGCTCTGGCGGTTGTTTGGAATGGCCTGTAGGAGGGGGCTGTTGGCTGTGCTTCATATTATGGGCCATAGGTCGCAATGGCTGCCTCGCGCTCTGTGACTGAGCCGCGTCGGACACGGCGACCCCAACCACGTTCGGAGAGGACCCTGGCTGTTGCGATGTTCCAGACACTACGTCGCCAGCTCCAGGACCAGCCTGAGTCCCGACATCGCCGTTGACATAACGTGCGGCCGGATTCTGAGCATCTTCACCCTTCTTCAAGGTACTGCTCCTTTTGCGTAATTGACCGGCTGGACTGTCGTTAGAGGAAGGCTTTTCTCCATCTGTGACCTGTATCGCCGGCGCTGAATCGGTATTTGCTGAAGACCCATGCGACGCAGATGAGTAAGAACTCTCTAACTTGGATTCCTGGGCAAATTCTGCCCTCCGGTCAGGACCACGGGGTCCTCTGTGCCGTCCGAAAATGCTTCCGCGAAGGCTCTTCACAGTCCCAGCAGAGCTTTTCGGGGGGACGAGGTGCTCGGTCTTGGTGCTGCCCTTCTCATCACCTTCAAGGTTCAGAGAGTGGAAAAGAGTGGCGAATAGGCTGAGGAGTTGCTCGCTATGGTTGACAGCAGCTCCAGGGCCCTCAACAAGTTCAACAAACGCCAATTGGGTCATCCGAGTCTCGATGATGCGCTCTTTCTCGCGGTCTCGCAGCTTGTCAATCAGCTCATGAGTTATGCCCGTGATTTGATCGTGGGCACTCTGGTTTTGCTTTGGGGGTCGTCGGTCGCTATGAGCAAGGGAAGTCACGGTAGCGGGGAACTGCTCGAACGCGGCTTCACACGAGCGTTCGGCAATATCGAAATCCTGCTTCGCACTCAATAAAAGAGCAAGCAGATGCCACAGAGGCACGAGATCCCGCTCTCGGGCAAAGTCGGCCTGTCCCGCCTTATGCTGCGCGTCCGATGTCAAGGCCGACTTCACATAGTCGATAGCGCCATCCAAGTCTCGGTTCTCCGCAAGTAGAACAGCCAGAGTATAGAGAGAGGAGCAGTTGGACTCATCTTCAAGCTCCGGCGCCAGACTCCTCTCGAGATAGTCAATGGCCTCGGCCCGTATGTCATCCCGGTCCTCGCTTATCGGGGTCCAGTAGGCCCAATTGGCAAGCCCAATACCGATGCCCCTGTAAGCTGCGGCAATGTCCGAGGGGCAAACGGCTTGGGATAGGGTCGAGCTTGTTTCGGGTGCAATAAGAATTATGCCCTGCTCTCCATTTTCATCATCCTGTACATGCTTCTCGGAAAACTCTTTCAAGAGAGTCGTGAGTTCCTTCGCTTTCTCGGCCTCCTTCTCGGAGCCAAAGCAGCTCAGCATCGTGACACCCTCTGACACAGTGCGCAACAAGACGCCATCATTCTCGAGGTCCCCATACTGGGCCGCCTTCTTTGCCCTCTCTTTGGCACTGGTGACAATCTCAATATATGAATCAAGCGCCCTCAGAGCGAGATCGTAATCTGCAAGTGCACAGTGCACGTGAAACAAACGCCGGAGAATCAGATGCGAGTGATATGTCTTGGTTGCAGCACGGTAAAGGACCTATAATAATCAGCAACAATTCTCGTAGCTTCCCCGATCTTCCTATCCTCCATTGTGTTTGGGAACATACATCAAGTACATTTCTGCCAACGGCATTCTGACCACCTTCTCCGAGCTCTTCATCAGTCCAATTAGAGCCGCACAGTACCTCCCAATTTTGGATAACTTGCTCGACCCAAGCTTCAATTTCAGGGCTGCTCGAATCAGCCGCGGGAAACTTTGTTTCACGCAGGACGCTGGATTCACAAAGGGACTCAACGCGCCGAATTTCACTGGCAAGCTGTGGGCGCTCGGGGCCACCTGCAGGGGGGCTGTATGGTAGACCCTGTTGTAGGATATGCGACAGAAGATTGTAGTAAGACTTCCATATCGGTGATCTCGAGACGGGCTCAGTGGGGCCATCCATATTAATACCTTGGGGCAAAGCTACTAGCTTAACTTGAGGATGAGACGCCCACAGCCTGAAGAACCCCAACGCAGTGGCTATCGTTTGAGCATCAGCGGCAGCAATGTCTTTGGAGGCCTCTTCGCCAGCCAGTGACGCAGCTTCAGCTAGTAATTTCTCCGACCAGTGAAGAAACTGTGGACTGTTTGTAGAGGACTGAAGCTGACCGTTCAGCCAGGGTGTAAGTGAATGAAGGGTATCCAAGGCGCCGTAGGGATCCGAAGTCATGCGTTGTGCAGAACCTATGCATGAGTTAAACAAGAGAAGACCCCCGGCTGCACTAATGAACACACGCACCCTTGAGATAGCAGGATTTGACGAGACATGTCTTTGTCCATGGCGAGAGCTCTTCCCCTGCGTGCTCGAGCTCATTCAGGGTTTCTCCGAAGTCATGAGGAAACCGAGCTACTGCCAAGCCTAACTCGTTGACTGTCCAGTGTACCCATCCCAAGCAGACCTGCGCCTGGAACACATCTTGCTTAGGTCCTTCTGCCCTGTTCACAGTGGATAGGAGTGTCGGGATCAAGTCATGGAGACCGGTGGCGGAGGCAGGGCGGGGGGTGGACGGATGCTTCTGTAGGTGCGAGGCCACCTGGTACTCGGCACTGGCTACCTCGAGGAAACCTATAGCATAACTCAGTTAGCTCGTTTGCTGACCGGCCATCGATTCCGGGGAAAGGCAAGTTGGCATTACATGTTTTCTGAGGAGCATGTTTGGTCACCTTGCGGATCAGCTCGGGAACTTCATCCCACTTGTTCTGGCAACGCGCATTGTCCAGGGCCGTAACATAGCGATGCCCCTTATCAGAGTCTCGACCCTATAAGTTGGTACCTCGGTCAGCGGGGAGGGTGGCAGAGTGAGGGGGGGTGGAATTGTAGCTATGGTAATGCGTTTCCCAGGGGTTTAGAGAGGGAGTGGAGGGGAGGGGAGAGGATGGCGCAACGTACAGTCATGATTGAGGAAGGTCAGACAGAGACGGGGGTAAAACAGCACAATCGGGGGGGAGAGAAAGAAGCAGCATCCATAACAGGGACAGATGCCCACCCGAGGCAGCAGCGGAGAATCGAGATATTAAGACCGGAGGCCGTGACGACGGCGATGATCCGCCTTGGCCGTTTAGGGGAGACCAGGACCCGCCCCGTATTGATATTGGCGTATCGTACCGAATCCGGTATTTCTCGTATCGCCCCGAGGTTTCATGTGGCCCGAGCGTTTCCGCAGCCAAAAAATTTCCAGAAACTTGAAGCATCAACCCAAACTTGCGCCAGACCCGTCAATTGCTTCCCCGCGATTGTTATCACCGGTGTGACCTCGCGAAGATGGCGTACATGTCCATGTCCCTCCATGCGGTCAACCACCGCCTGACAAACGTCCCCGTCAAGCACCTACCGCATTTCGCATCATCCATCGCAACATCTATCAGCAATTGCGGGGAGCTGCTGTCGACCCCTCAGAGCCAGAAGTCCGGCAAGGCGGATTCGGACAATGCCGTCCAGGTCCACAAGCTCATGACTCGTTTGGGGAGTCTGTTGCAGGACAGGACGTATGAAGGCCGCTGGACCGCTGTAGTCCTGGTGAAGGCTCTCGTCGAGGCCGGTCAGTGGGAGATCCTTCGCGGATGCGAACCGTTTGTTCGCGGTCTGATTAGCATCCTGGCTGTAAGAGGCTCAATCTATGTTTATCTTGCTTGGAACATGCTTACTGAACTACCTCGGTGAATAGAAATCCGACCCCGTCTCCACGAAGAAAATGTGCATTATCACCTTGACTCGCATCTTCCACCTCACCTACCAGTACCCGACTCTCGTTCGCGAAATCACAACGCCGGCTCTGCCAGGCTTTATCACCGCCGCGCTGAACCTCATCTCTGTCAAGCCATCCTCTGAGCCCATCAGAAAGCTGAAACCCAGTACCCCCTTTGTGGAGGTTGTGCTTCAGGCAATTGCAGAGCTGATCGCAAGGCACCCGACTATCTTCCGGCCGTTCACGTCGCAAATCCACAGTATCCTCCAGACCATCATTGGCTCTACTTCGCCCACATTCTCCGAACCGGTATTGGACATCGCCCAGAAGTTATTTATCTCCCTCCACAATTGCGCTCCGAAGAACACTGGTGGAGAAGAATGGAAGAGTGCTTGTCGCATGACGATCACCTCCGTTCATGCGACGTCGTCTTACGTTCTGCGAGCTATCTCGGAACAATGGGAATCCGTTGATCCGTCTCTGCGTCAGATGTCGCAACCGCAGAACTACAGCCAGGAAGTGGGCAACGGGCCTGATGCTTTGGGACTCAGTGGCTGGCAGGGTCTGAACGCTGGCGTCAACCGGCTGGTTGTGCTCCTGCGGATGCTCTCCGGGTTCGTGGGTACTGCTACTGCTTCTACCGTGACCATTCCGGTGGGAGCAATTCTGGATCTGACGGCCCGATTGAACATGGTGACCGTACCCTCCGGTGACAGCGACATTCAAGCCAACCCGCAGATTGGCCGCGCTGAAAGAGAGCACCTGCTTACCGAACTCCCTCGCATTCACATTGCCTGCATGAAACTCCTGCTTCACTTGGTCGACGCTCTGGAAACCAGCGCCATCTCTGTCGCCCAGACAATCCTAGAGCAGGCGCTGTGGATATTCCGTGCCGAGAAGTTCAACCGCGAGGTTCGCACTGCTGTGTATGATCTGGTCTCTGCCTTGCTCACCCAGATCGGCCCATCCATGACCAAGCAGAGTGTCGCTTCGCTGACCGGTATCATCCGCACTTGTTGCCATGATCTCTTGCCTCCTACCGGCAACCAGGTCGTGGCCGCCGAAAAGCCAGACCCGAAGTCGAAGAACAAGTCAAACCAAGCCACTGTGAACGCAGACGCTTTCCTGAACCCTGGACTGAAACAAGTCCGTCAGACCAGCTCCACATCGTCCTTTCCCTACCTCAAGCGCGCTGCTTCCGAGCTCCTCGTCGCTGCGCTGGCGCACGCGCCGACTGAGTTCATCTCTCCGGCTCTCCGTGCGGAGGTCGACCGAACCATCATCTTGACCTCCGACAAGAACGCAATGCTCTCCAGCGTTCTCAACCCCTTCCCAGCCATGCAGGGCCGTGGCGTGGGTACCAGCATCATGCCATTCCTGGCTCGCAGCTATCCCGCTGAGACAGAAGTGGAATGCCTCATCCGCCCGCGCATGCCTGTGCTGATGAACGCTCCCGCAACCAACGGCTACGCCCCCATGGACGAGGATGAGGACGATGAGGACGAAGCAGCGGCTGCACCTCAACCCGCCCCCGCAGCAAGCGGATTCCTCAAAAACACCCCTACGCCCAGTCTGCACCACGACATGATGGACATGGAAGTCCCCTCACAGCCCACCCCCCAAAGCAAACGCAGCTATACTGAAGAAGTCGAAACGCCAGCCCCGGCACCATCAACCCTCCCTAGTCCAGGCTCACAAAGCAAAAAGGCCCGTTTCGCACCCGAGACAGCCACCCAGCCAGCCTTGGACGCCGCATCACCCGCCACTTTCACCGGCACGGCCGCTATCTCCGTTCCTTCATCATCCATCACCGGTCCTACCCCCGTGCCGACATCGAAGCCCGCCATGTCAAGCACAAAGCAGTCATCCACCCTACAGTCTACTTCTACTGCCGAAGCTGGAGAAGACGACAGCGACGACGAATTGCCGTCTCTGAACATCGATCCAGACACGGATGACGACGAAGATGACGAGTAAGCGTTTGATTCTTCCCTATCCGCAACACATGTATTTAGAATTTTTTTTCCCATAACCGATCATGTCGATTAATGCCGGGATATGTATGTACTATATGACATGGGTGGGTTTCATGTGCACAAGCATATGGCTATCATAAGTGTTGAAAGAAATATAATTAACAGAACCTGGAAATCAGTACTATGATACGTTCGGATCCATCGCACATGCACGTAACAGCTTCTGCACAAAGTGCGATCCAGAATACGGAAATTCCCTTGTATTAGTGTCTTCTTTATTGCGTACGTCTAGAAGGATACCACGCAGTAGGTAAGCAGGTAGGCAAATACCTTATAGATTCAGACGTGTCAGCGATTATGCCACAGCAGTAATTTCACCAGGAACCGCCAGCTGGGCAACGGTCAGTCTCTGTATACCAACAATGAATGATCTAACCCGACTAAACCCTATTGTTCTATCCTGTTCTAGAGATCTACATCTACATCTACATCTATATTGGATCTAGATCTTATCGCAAATCTAAGTATACATCAATCAAGCCCAACAGTACAGTCAATAAACCCTCACCCCTCTCTCCCAGAATCCCTCCCCACCATCCCAACTCCCAAACCATGTCCCTCCCCACCACCACCATCCTCTATCCGTTGGGACCACTCCAATGCCCAGTCCCCTGAGCACACTCACGGGCAATGGCTCTGTAAACCACAGCCCGCCTCTCGAGAAATCCTCCACAATGGACCCTCCCGTGAGAAGTAACCAACCCAGTGCGAACACGGCATTGCATATTCGGCGGATGGATTTGGGGCATCTGGACCATGAAGGTGAGATAATCTCCTGGGCGAGAATCCCCACAGCCTGGAGTATGAAGAAGCGAAATGCGCCGGTAAGTGGAATGGTTTCGCGGTACTGCACGTAGCTTCCGCTGGCGTGGACTAAGCCGCTGAGGGCGAACGCGATGATGACGGTGAAAAAGCGGCGGATAGTGCGGGTGTTGGATAGGCGGGCCGGGAGGAAGGAGAGGAGCCAGTGGGCAGTGGAGGTGAAGCCGAAGCGAAAGAGCTGGTGCCACCATTGACTCCAGCAGCCAGCAAGGCCGTCATCAAAGACGGAGGTAAAGAAGGGCCCGAAGGCGGGTGGGTAAAGCCAGGCAGCAGAGAGGGGGACGGATGTGAGGGTGCGGGCGGCGTTCGGGAAGGCGAGGGAAAGACCGCCGAAAAGGAGAGGGTTCAAGGAGCAAACGTATTTGAGGGCTGCCAAGATAGCGACGCCTGTGATTAAGCAGCGGTAAACGTGGACGAGAGCTGGGTAGGGGGCCAGGTGGTGGAAAGGAAAGGGCGGATCGGGGGAAGGATATACGGCGCCCAAAAAGTATTGATCACGGATCATGAGGAGCTTGATAAGGTCGATAATGAGGTAGGATTTAAGCCAAGTTGCAAATGCTGCGCGGAGGCAAGTGCGCATGTTGTTCGACTTCGGAATTGCATTATTGTGTTTGTTGTGCTTGGGGTTGAGCTGCAACTGGACTGAGGGTGGCAACGCGCCCAAGGAGGAGATGCGCCAGTTCCATTCGGGTCCGCGCATGTTTAAGACCAGGCCAAGGATCCAATTCAGGCGATGGAATAAAGTCTGCGGGTATGCCTGCCATGTGAGGGTTTCGGGGCGCTCTAGCGTGGCGTCCCTGCATCTCGTTTCTCTGGTATGGCCGTTCAGGCTCGCATCTCCGTCAGGGCCAGCCGTGACGGGAGGCAATGAGTGACGCTCGATGCGTTGGAAGTCACACTCAACATTGCGAAAGATGAGTAATGTTGCAGACCAGATGCACCCCCATGCGGGGACAAGACCTCCCATATATCCATTTCCTCCCAGTAGCATGCGCCGGTGGCAGATGGTATCGTAGGCGAGACCGATGACGCAAGCCATCACCAGCGGACGGACATAACGGGCGCCTTTCTGGTGCGGAACAAGGAGTGCAAGGACAGGTAACATAGCGGGGATGACTAGGTTCCACAAAAGCACGGGCTTCACTATACCAGTCTGAATGAACGACTCGAACCGGGCATGATTATCGTGCACCAGGTGGCGGTAAGAATCAAGCGGATAGGAAGAGGCGGCCATAGGATGGATAATCGGTCTGCTGATAAGGAAAAAAGGTGAGGATAGGAATAGCAAGAAGAGAGAAAAGAGAGTGTATGAAACAGGGGGAAGTTAAGAGCTCATACGGGGAACGACCAAAAGCTCACGTCAGGATACTCCATCGAAGTGGCGGCGAAGTCATCGCAATGCATCCGCGGCGGCGGTAAATATTTCCATGCAAGGGACCGTCGCTGCAGGATTTCGGGCCGCTCATGGTTGCATTTCGTTGTCCATGCATTGATCGCGGTGGAAGCACAACTCGAATAACATAGTTTCTCAGAACAGATTTTATCGGGCTTTGAGCAGACCCGGGCGAAACTGGGAGGGCCAACGCGTAGTCAGAGACACCATACCGTGCTCATATGCCCCGGGAGACATATGATCAGCTATCATCCCTGATTGTACGCCTTGAATAATCTTTCGTGTTCCTAGAAAATTTCAACACAGGGGAACCCTTTGGGAGAGGATTGGATAGTTGTCAGTCAGTTGCAGGGTTTGACCCTGTGAATAGCGTAGGCAATGAAACTCAAGAAGCATCATGACCTGATCGACATCAAGTCGGCAGATAACCTGTACAAACAGACAATAGATGGGGGCGTTAGGTTACACTGCTTCATAGTATAACAGCAGTAGGGTTGGAATATATAGATAGAGTTGATTCACCGCGGTTCTGAAGAGGTGGTTGAAAGAGAATAATCCTCAGTGTCGGGGACTGGGATGAAAAAGGAAGGAGGAAGGGGGGAAGGAGCGGCCTGGCCTGTCACCAGTCACCCAGTCCACCTCACTCTCTCTCCTCAGCTTATCCTCCTCCTCCATGCTCCATCTACCTGGTTGCGCCACTTCTGCAAGCCCCGAGTTGATTCGTGATTGGAGTAAGCATCCTCCTCATTCTGGTCATTCTTGTCAATTTGCTGGACTGATCTCATTGTTCTATTCTCACGTCAGGCAAAAGGTGGATCTGGATGGGTCTCCCGTCCGGGGTAGAAGAGAGGGACCCTCCTTTAATTTGGCGAGTCCCCGGTTCGTTATCTCCATCGAGTATCAATTATTCTCCATCATCCAGATGGATTTCAGACCAATACAACTGCGATGGAGTCTCGACGGAGAATTTGAAGAACGGCGGAAGTCAGGAGCACATTCCACAATAGGCGGAGAATGATTTCCCTTGGAGTGAAAGCGTCGTGGGCGTGGCTCCTCTGGATTCTGGAGGATTCGCGAAGCAGTCTCCGATCGGCTATCCCGCTAACCTCCCGTCGTACTCTGCCCAGGCGGACTTGCTTTCGATCGTATTCGATCTCCGCTCGGCAGCATTGAATGATCTAACCTTCCACGACCAGCCAGCCGCTAACGGTGGACTGCATCCTGCATTGAGGTTCCGCCAACCAGAGGCGGAGACCAGCCATGCTCTGACCCCCCGAACCAGGAATCGATCGTCGGATGCGTGCTTTTATGCGGCCCTCTCTTATGCACGAGGAGTTCACACAACCCACAACACATAACCGGCCGTCCGATCCTGTGTTATGACCGCCTCGACAATTGCTCCCATAACCTTGGACGCAAGTCCTCGTGATGATTGGAAGATGGACCGCTCTCGTGCTCGCTCAACAGCCAACCGGGTGGGCATATCGGGCCCCGTCATGGGTCTGCCGCGATCTTGGATCAGCTGCTCTACTAGCAGTCCCAGCTATTAGAGGCTGCAGAATCCTATCGGTGGCTAGCCCCTCGGTGAATTTTTCAGTATCAGTTTGCTTCTTCTACTCGTTACTATGATACCCCGTTCCGGTTGGGTCCAAGATAAATAATCGCTTTTTTTCCCATGCCTGGGCCGTGACTATTTATATTCTGGGCCCCCGTCTACCTTGTTCAGGTCAAAACCATCACTTAATCAACCCAGCATGGCAGGTGACAATATCTCGGCCGCAGGCGAGCCGGTCAAGCCCACCCGAATCTCTTATTGGCGCCTTCTGTTCGACCAGGGTGTGCTCACCCAAGAAGTCCTTGACTACCCATGGGCTGGCTCAGGCACTGAGGAGGACCCTTATCTCGTCACCTGGATCCCCAATGACCCCCGGAATCCCATGAATTTTCCTGCCTGGCGGAAATGGCTGTATACCCTCACTGTAGCCTGGGCCACGCTCGCTGTGTCCATGGTCTCGTCCGCCTACACGGGGGGTGTCGAGCAAATCATGGAAAGCTTCCATGTAGGCTCCGAGGTTGCCACGCTCGGGGTCTCCCTATTCGTGCTGGGCTTTGCCATTGGACCTTTGTTCTGGGCCCCTATGAGCGAGCTCTGGGGTCGCCAATACCTTTTCATTGGAAGCTATTGTGGTCTCACGGTCTTCAATGCTGGCCTTGTTGGCTCGAAGAACATCCAGACCCTCATCGTGTTGCGCTTCCTTGCGGGCGCATTCGGGTCCTCGCCCTTGACAAACGCCGGAGGGGTGATCGCAGACTTGTTTCCTGCGAAGCAGCGCGGGTTGGCCATGAGCATTTTTGCGGCGGCGCCGTTCATGGGTCCGACACTGGGCCCCGTATGCGGAGGCTTCTTGGGGATGAATGCAGGATGGAAGTGGGTAATGGGCTTTTTGGCCGCCTTCTCGGGTTGTCTCTGGATCATCGGCAGTCTGGTAATGCCGGAGACCTACGCACCGGTTCTATTGCGGCGACGCGCGAAGAATCTGACTAAAGTGACGGGGAAGGTACATCAGAGCAAGATGGAGGCGGAACGGGGCAAGGTTCCATATGCTACCGTCTTCAAGACTGCCCTCTCGCGTCCTTGGGTTCTTCTATTTCGTGAGCCGATTGTCCTCTTGCTATCCATATACATGGCGATTATCTATGGAACCTTGTACATGATGTTTGCGGCATTTCCCATCGTGTATGAGGAGCTGCGCGGTTGGAACCAAGGTGTCTCCGGCCTGGCTTTTCTGGGAATCATGGTGGGCATGAATGCGGCCGTCCTGTACAGCATTTGGGACAACAAGCGATACATTAGGACGGAGGAGGCCCATAAGGGATTTGCACCTCCCGAAGCTCGTCTGCCCCCGTGCCTGATTGCCTCGATAGCTATCCCTATCGGCCTCTTCTGGTTTGCCTGGACCAATTACCCTTCGATCCACTTCATGGCCAGCATCTCTGCCGGTGTGCCGTTCGGATTTGGCATGGTCCTGGTCTTTCTTAGCTTGATGAACTACCTGATCGATGCCTATACCATCTTCGCGGCCTCTGTCTTGGCAGCGAACTCGGTTTTGCGTTCCGTATTCGGCGCAGCATTCCCTCTTTTCACGACATACATGTACAACAATCTCGGTGTCCATTGGGCCTCCAGCATCCCTGCGTTTCTGGCCCTTGCATGCGTGCCCTTCCCATTCCTGTTCTACAAGTACGGCCCGGTGATACGATCACGGTGCAAATATTCCGCACAATCTGAGGCGTTCATGCGGAAGTTGATGGAACAGACTGGGAGAGACAACCGACAGACAGAGCCAGAAAAAGAAGCCGCTGTGGATGAAGAACTGCCCACCCAGCACTCCCCGGGCTCTACGCTTGGAGACCTGAAGGTGGGCGACCTTTCCGTTGAACGGGCAGACTCTGGTCGGGCACATTCGATTGCGTCGCAAAGCTCTCAGCGTCCGGCCACGGCAAAGTCTATTTATGACGGGAACCCGTATGACATTGACCGAGTGAACACTCGCGGCTCCTTCAAGGAATGAGGCTACTTTTGTATATCATAGATGGTTATCATGTTGAGAGCCAAAATGGTCCAGCCAGATGAAAAATGTGGAAGATGTTGTTGCCCTTCAATTGTTTTGGCATCGCGATTCGGATTTGCCGCATAGTTAGCGTTTGCCCAGTTGATAGAATAGTATAAATAGCATGCAAAATGTATGTACTACAAGTCGTTCGGGAGCTGCGCATTCTTCTCCATACGAGGTAGAACGACACCGGTTGGCCCTTGTTGTGGCAGATGGCATTGCCCAGACATCATAACAGCACATTGACAATGAACATTAAAGACCCAGCCAAAGAATGGGACCGAGCTCTGTGGGTGGAGGGGTATTGCCATCACGAGTCAGTGAACGTCTGCGATATGCCATAGGTCAAATCCCTGTCTATCTCTCCGCGCTAAAAGATGACTGGGAGCCGATCCGGGTCCTATCTACCCAACCACGTTAAGGTGTATTGAGTGGTTCTCGCCTCTTAATCTCGGCTATTTCTAAGCGTTAATAATGCGGGGCTGGAATCGCCATAAGAGGTCCATGCGATACAGCAACGGGAAAACTAGATAGTATATATGGGGATTGTTTGGAAGTGTTGGATGTCGAGATATGCTGCAGCTAAGGAAGTTGTTATGGATGTTGAGGAGGTTAGGAATGGAGGAAAGGGAAAGAGGCTGTTTCGTCGTTGGCTTGGCTTGACTGTGACCCGGTGCTCTCGGTTTGTGTCCTGGTATTTTGTATTTTGGGGAGGAGAAGTAAGGGTGGCTTGGATTAGGTATTGCAGTTGGGTTATTTGTATATGTCAATTTAGGTGGATCTAGAGAAGATATTGTACTAGTATAAACTATGTAAGACGGAGACATTGTGTTAAACAAAGCGATGAAGGTGAGTCCCCTGCAATGAAGAGGAGGGACTGAGCTGCCAATATATCCCTTCGCCCTCAGAACCTAGATGTTGATGGCTGTGCATGCAATAGATCATTTCTGGGCTCTAGATTCTAGCACGGGCTGCATCAAGAAGTCGTCATATGCAAGTTCCTCTGCTGTTGGTCGCTCATCTGGTGACCAGCGGAAGATGTTTCTCAAGAAATTCAAAAAGAGGATATTATCTTCTCCAGAGAACTGCCGTTCTCTCATTGATAGCGTTTGCTCTGGTATGGGCACAGCTCCCTTCCACTTGCCTGCAATGAAAGTTAAGGCTATGGCTGACCAGGAGGGATATCAAAAGGAAAAAAGAGAGATATACCTTGCGGAGTCCAAAACCGTTCTGACTTTTCACTTCTTTTGAGAAACTCCGGAGGAGGAGAACCCATAAGCGAGATCATTTCGGCGAGGTGTTGGTCATCATTGAGAACACGATCTTTCTTTGCGAAGAACAGATGAGTGTCTTCAACTAGATCCCAAGCCTGGCACAATTATCAGCTTGCGAATTTAGTGCAGCAAGAAACAACACAGCAAGTATCTGAATGGAGAAAGGTTACGGCCGAAACTGTACTCACCATGGCACCAATTGACCAGATATCAACCTTGGAGTCCCAATCCATATCTAATACCACCTCTGGTGCCCGGTAGATTCCGGGCATGCTATCTCCCCTTTGCTTGTCTCCTCCAATCCTAGCCTCACCGAGATCAGAGAGTACAGGTAAGCCTGTACTGACAGGCATTGGTCGGGAGAAGTAAATAATGCGATCAGGCAGAACCTTCCTAGCAATTGGTCTCTTTGTCTCGTCTTCTTCAATCTGCGAAAGGACAGACGGGTCCTCAATCCCGAAGTGTAGATTATTTGATGAGATATGTAAGAATGTATAAGCGTAACTTCTAGCGGGGAGTGATTCTATACTGGCCTGTATGGATGACATGATTCTCATGCATAAAGGCGAGCGCGATCAAGGTAAGTTGGATACTCCTCTGGAGAAGATTTTTGGGGAATTTCCTTTCAGGAAGCAAGTCACGAAACTCCGTAAATGTCATCCCAAGAGGCTGATAAATTAAACATGTGTGTTTGCCATGAGGGCCAACAAGCTCGAATGAATCCAGGACTAGACGAACTAGCTTTTTCCCAGAATGATCACTGCATTTCCTTAGATGCTCAGATGTTGCAATCTCGTTATTAGGCTGCTGGCCTTGAACGCACACTTTGAGTGTGTAGTAACCGCGTTCTCTATAATAGATTAGGCCATGCTGCACTCAATGTCCTTGCCCAAGTCCTTTTTGAGCGCTCACTGGAGATCTCGGCATAGCCAGGTTGTGGAAGATGTGCCATATCCGAGCTTGGAGACCACCTGGTACCTGGACGCAAATACTTCCCCGATATAGACAAGGTAGTAAGATTCTGCGACATAAAAGGGAAGTTGTTCCTCCTCTATTTTATTGGAGGGATCTAATTTCATGAATCCTGACACGGGGAACTGGCGCGGATGAAGTGGTGGAATTGAAACCATAGTCCGTATGGTGAAGTAGGGTAACGGAGAGGTGATAGAATGAGACACAGAGTGCCCCAATGACAGCAGGCGTCTTTCATTACCCCGGAGATATGGCAACATGATAGCCCAAAGGAATGGATGCTGATGAATAATTACTGAAGTAAGTGACGGTCACCCTAGAGAGACATTCGCATGGGTTCTTCGTAAGAAGAGGTACTATGACCTACTAGACAAGGAGAAGAAGGGAGGTTCATCGTGGGACAGCCCGCTGCCTTATAAATAAGGCATCGAAGACGTAGTTCCTTTACCCTTGTACTATTGGATATTATTAATTCTGACTTCAAGGTTCAGTTGTAGATATTCTCCTGAGTATCCTAGAATGTAAAAAGTATCATCAAAAAGGGTTGTGGAATGGATTGAATTGTGGCGTATGTGACTTTTTTTTCATATGGATTCCCATACCAAGATGAAAGTGACGTTGAGCCGTACTGTTAATTTAAAGACAGAACCCGACGCTCCGGTCACATGGGGCCGTGTCTTAGCGCGTTCCCCACCATCGCGACCTTAGAAATAAACGGTGGCATCAATCTACTCTGCCCATCCCCCATTGTCCATCGCCATTATGGGTCGGACACCAGCAAAAAGAAGAATTGAACAGGTCGACCTCACTGGTGATGATGATGAGAGATCTCCTCGCAACCTGCCATCCAAGTCTCCTCGTACCGGCAATGGCGAGCGGCTTGGACAAGACACGACCTTCATGCCCCTCAACCAGTCATCGCAGGTTTATGGAGGCGAAGATGAAGACGATGCACAGGCGGCAGATTTGATTCAAGGCAGTCAAGTTGTCGACGATTCATCGATCGGAACTTATATACATTATGGGGACATGCCAACTAAGATCGTGGGTGTCCGTTAATATCGAGGACATGCTACGATTGGCGAGCACGTCAGAATCCAGCGAGATATTGGGAATGCTTACGACTCAAATGCCATCCGCGTGAGCAATGTTATGGGAGCACAGATTGGGCATATTCCGCGGACGATGGCAGCCAAGCTGGCCAAGTACATGGTAAGCTGTTCTAGTTGGTTTGATCCGTATGCATTTGGAGCCAAATTAATCTTCCTTCATTGTAGGATGACAGGTCATTAATGGTCGAAGGCGTTCTGACGGGCGTGATAGGTGCATATGACTGCCCGATATCTCTGAAGCTGTTCGGCACGGGCCATCCTGAAGCCAGACAGGTGCTGAAAAGCAGGATGGAAGCCGATAAGCTGCCACTGGGCGCGTTCAAGCAGAACGAGCGCAACGAGAAAAAGCTGCAGAAGGAACGAGAGAAGGCGCAGAAGGATGCGGCTAAACTGGCGCGTTCACTTGCGAAGGGCAAAGGCCAGCAGTGGCAAGCTCAGAACGTGTTTGGTTATTCCAACCTCTTCACTGGGGAAGGGCTAGCGGAAGGCGAGGACCTTGAAGAGCTCATTGGCCAGAGCAGCACCTTCAATCCCCGGGATATTGGCCAGGTTGCGGAAGACTTTAGGATGAAGGAATCGGACTTGGAGAATATGCCGATGGCTGAGACGCCAGTGGCTCTGGCAACCCAACTTCTTCCTTACCAGCGCCAGGGTCTTGCCTAGATGATAGCCAAAGAGAATCCAAGTCTTCCTGGCGATGGCGGGGATGTTGTGCAGCTCTGGAAAAAGAATGGCAACAAATACACCAACATTGCTACCAATTATTCCATGTCCCAGGCGCCACCCTTGGCTAGTGGTGGTATATTGGCCGATGACATGGGATTGGGCAAGACCATTCAAATCATCTCGTTGATACTGGCCAACTCCCAGCCCAAGTCTCCGGAATCCTCCAGCACTACGTTGATCGTGTCCCCGGTCGGTGTGATGAGCAATTGGAGAAATCAGGCGCGAGATCATATCCATAGTGACAAGGCTCCCAAGGTGCTAATCTACCATGGTCAAGGCAAAAAGGAAGCAAGCAACCTTGACTAGTACGACGTGGTTGTCACGAGCTATGGTGCTCTGGCCATGGAGTACAGCCCGAATGCTAAAGTATCCCCCGAAGAAGGGTCTCTTTTCAATCCATTGGCGTCGTGTCGTCCTTGATGAAGGCCATACGATTCGCAACGCACGGTCGAAGGGGTCACTGGCAGCTTGTAACCTGAGGGCGGGCTCTCGCTGGACTCTTACTGGAACCCCCCATCATTAACACCCTCAAGGACCTGTACTCTCAGGTGCGCTTCTTGAGACTCAGTGGCGGTCTCGAAGATCTGGCTGTCTTCAACAGCGTCTTGATCCGGCCTCTCGTGTCTGGAGACCCCGATTCCCGCCTGCTACTTCAAGCTTTGATGACCACTATCTGCCTGCGTCGCAGAAAAGACATGAACTTCGTGAACCTGCGTTTGCCACCCCTCACCTCGCGTATTCTCCGCGTTAAGTTCCACCCTCACGAGCAGGAGAAATACGATATGTTCCAGTAAGTTTCGAACAATCTACCCAGATTCATACACTAACAACAAACAGGGCTGAGGCGAAGGGGATGCTTCTGAATTTCAAGTCCAAAGACAAAACCAATGCTACGTACTCTCACCTGCTTGAGGTCATTCTGCGCCTGCGCCAGGTCTGCAACCACTGGGCACTCTGCAAGAACCGACTCGACAAACTCGCCGACCTCCTGGAAAACAACAAAATCGTTCCTTTGACTCCCGAAAATATCAAAGCCCTTCAGGACTTGCTACAAATCCGAATCGAAAGCCAGGACACATGTCCCATCTGTCTGGACAACCTCGAACAACCCGTGATCACAGCCTGTGCCCACGCCTTCGACTGCGGCTGCATCGAGCAAGTCATTGAGCGCCAGCACAAATGTCCCATGTGTCGAGCTGAGATCCAAGACACTTCCACACTTGTCTCCCCGACTGTCGAAATGGGCGAAAGCATCGACACCGTCGTTGCGGACCCGGACAACCCAAGCAGCAAAATCGAAGCCCTGATCAAGATCCTAACAGCCCAAGGCCAAGCCCCCGGAACCAAAACCGTCGTCTTCAGTCAATGGACTTCCTTCCTCAACCTCATTGAGCCTCACCTGCAGCGCCACGGCATCGGATTCGCCCGCATTGACGGAAAAATGACATCCATTAACCGCGACAACTCCACCCTCCGCTTCTCCACAGATCCCACCTGCACCGTCCTCCTCGCCAGCTTGAGCGTCTGCAGTGTCGGCCTGAACCTCGTTGCCGCCAATCAAGCCGTCTTAGCGGATAGCTGGTGGGCCCCAGCCATCGAAGACCAAGCCGTCGACCGCGTCTACCGACTCGGTCAGAAACGCGAAACCACCGTCTGACGACTCGTCATGGAAGACAGCATCGAGGATCGTGTCCTGGCCGTCCAGGAAAACAAGCGCAAGCTGATGCTTGAAGCATTTCGGGAGACGGCTACGAAGAAAAAAGTCGACGATCGAGCAACTCGGGTTGCGGATCTGGAGAAACTTCTCAACTAAGTAACCATTTACCTTCTATTTTCTTCTATTACGATGTATCTGCTCTCATCGTTCTATTCCAATGATGTGGGGCAATGATATGATTTTCATCCTACGTTTCGGATCCCTTTCTGTCTGAGTATTAACACCACTTATGCTGATTATTTTTTTTCGGGTTTCTCTAATCTGCTCGATCTACGTTCTCCATGATAGTTTCTGTCACATTCTCGTCTATCGGATAGAGGGTACAGCCTGATCTCAGCGTTCAATGGATCAAAAGGTTCTCTTACCGTCTTTCTGCTGGTCAGATTATTGCTGTTCGTTAGAAAATTGAATGTCAAACTAGCCTAATTACTCTTCCTATCCAGCTCGTAGGTAGCCCCGAGGAACAGATTCAGAGATTGAGCTAGAACTATAGTACCAACCTTTATAACTAGATGTTATAAGGGAAATGTATTACGTAAAAGCATTTTCCTTTCCATCTGGAAGAATAGCAAGTTTTATTCGTGGTTTTCATCATTACATTAATGCATTTGAGTCATTCGTCATACCCCATTCCATAAGTACTGAGGGGTGAACAAAGAGAAGATAGCTGTCCAGTTCGCTAAGTGACGCTCCACATTGATGCAGTGGTTCAATTTATTCATGACCCGGGCAAGAGGGACGAGAAACAAGTGAAACAAGTAGGGTAATGCAAAGTGATATTAGGAATACAGCAGAGAAAGAAAGATTAAGAAAACCTCCACGGTTGGCCTTGGGATGCAGATATTTAGCACGGGTGTGGATAGAGTAACATGTGCAGATACATTCGTATGATTCTGTTTAGGATATTAAGCGGAAGAGGAGGAATGATGAAGATGGTGATGGTGGTAGGACAAATATTCTCTCTGGATGCATTTGATGAGGTGGTTCTCCTCACTGGGGCCTGCAACTAGTACTTTTGTTACTATCCTCGGAGGATTGTGGCGGCTCGGAGTGACCCCTTGTGGCGCCGGATTCTGGCTGTTCTGGGGTGGTGGGGTTGTTGTTGTTGTTTTGTGCAGGTGCAGAAGGTGCCGGAGCTTCAGTGGAGGTGTGGTCCGGGGTTGAACGGAAGTTGACGTTGTTAATGGGGGTCACAGGCTCACTTTGAGAATGAGGGTGAGTGTTCGGAAGCAGTCCGAGTCCCGGGATTGTTAAGGGTGGCTGCACAGTAGCTGCTGGTGTTGATTGCATGACGCTCGTGTCGGGGGCCAAAGCAGGAGGGCCAACATTGTGTGCGCTAGCTGGGATAGTTGGCTGGGGAGCTGGGGTCTGGGGAGGCTGTGAAAGCTGGGGGCGCGGAGGCAGTGCATGATACTGTGAAGACGACGGCGCCGAGTAAAGGCCTGCTGGTTGGTTCATGGAGCTCTGTACCAACAGTGCCCTTTGCCTTTCGATGATCATTCTCTGATAGGCTACTGGATCGGTACGTTTGAGCCGTTCATCACTGAGTTGCTGCTGGGCCGCATTTCTCTCCTCCTCGGTCAATTTGTCGTTCTCATCCTTCTGGAAAGTTTCGGTGAGGGTGATCTTTCGAATCAGCCTGTTGCTGGCGTCTACGTCACTCCGGATGATCTTGTCCAGAACCTCTGGGTCCTTTCCAAGGAACTCCGTGACGTCTTGCTGTTTCACTTCCTTTGCAGTGAACAAATAGTCCCCAAGGGACTTTGCCGCTGAGCGTACTGGATTTTTCTTGTCGACTACGCGGAAAGCAAGCTGGGTCTTGAAGACAGTCTTGTTGTACATGTTTTCTTCAAAGGTGCCACCTGCAATGAACCGGTAGACAAAGACGGGTTTCTTTTGGCCTAAGCGGTATGCACGCCCGACGGCCTGCTCTTCCCATACAGGACTGAATGAGAAATCGAAAAGGATGACACGGTTGGCTCCAAAGATGTTCAGACCAAGACCTCCGGCTCGGGTCGAGATTAGATATACATTCTCTGCAGACCCCTGGTTGAACTGCTTGGTGACAGCTTGTCGGCTGGCGATTGGTGTCTGTCCATCTAAACGGCAGTATTTCCACCCAGACTTTTTGAGGAGATGTTCGACGTAGTTGAGCGTAGGTATACTATGGGAGAATACCAGTACTTTGTCCCCAGCCCGGACAGACTCGGCGACAATCCTATTCAAGATCTGTGCTCGACAAGACAACACTGGTGCGTTCATGTCAGGGACAGCGGAGAAAAGTCGCTCTTGTTCAGGCACTAGATTGTCGACATCTAGGCCTAATTGTGTGATAGGCTCATCGCCAGGCCCTGGTTCGACTCCCTCGGCCATCTTGTCCAGCTTCTGTGCATCATTGGCTCTACCGAGCAGCTTATCCCTGAAGCAAGCTGGGTGATTGCAGCAAAGTCCCAAAATGGCGAGCCATGACATTAGCTGAACCCTGCTGACATCACTCTTTCCATGTAGAACCGATTCCACGTATAGATTGTATGCCGCCTTCTGCACGTCAGTCAATGGAACAGTGATGACAAATTCAACTTTGGGAGGCAAGCTGCCGGCAAGGACGGAGATATCTGCGCGGTTGATCTTGGGGTCGAGGATGGTGTTGAGAACCTGAAGCTTCACGAGTGACCTCCGCCGCTCGGTGTATGTGCTATCCATATACAGCCCTTCCTCGATAGGTTCTAAGAAGTTGGCCTTGAATTCCGTAAACTCTCCCAGGTATCCCTTCGCAATCCAGTTGACCATGGTGAAGTAATCGACAAGGTTATTTGCCAGGGGAGAACCAGTCAATGCAATGCGGCTTTGGGAACGAAACTGCATGGCTGCAGCGGTGATTGCGGATGTAGGGTTCTTCATCTTGTGGGCTTCGTCCGCGACGATGATCCTAGCCCCTTCTAGGAGCCATTTCTTGATGTTTTCATGTTCCTCATCCGACAGAGGCTTGGGTCGTTTGGTTGTTTCTTTATTGAAAACCCATGACCGAAACATGTCATAGCTGACGAGAAGCACCCCGCCTTCCTCGTTCCAGCGAGCAATTGTGTCCATTCTTTCCGGGTGCGAGGCAGAGCTTGTCACCTTATTCACTGGGCCGACCGCCGAGTCTATGGGAGTCCACATGAGAAATTCCTCATACCAATTCTCGATCAGTGACGATGGACAGAGGATTAGGGTCTGGGACCGAAGGAGATCCTTAGGGACCTTTTGCCTTATCGCAGGATCCTTCGAGGCAGCAGCGTTTGCAATCGTTACTAGGAGGGAAATGACTTGCATCGTCTTGCCCAAGCCCATCGTGTGAGCGAGTAAGCAACCTTGATGCGTCTCGTCCTCTATTAACTCTCGCCACATGAATTGAACGCCATTCAGCTGATGAGGCTTGACCCGTTGGCCGATATGAGAATCCAAGTAGATGACAGGGTTCCCAAAGCTGACGGCCTGGCGAGTGGCGTCAGTATTGCTGACCCCCATACTCTCCAGATTCCGCTCGAGCCTCTGTCGCAGCTTTGCCTGGACAGCAACCCGAAGCTGGGCGCTTTGCTGGTTCATTTTGGCGGTTTGACTCTCTTTCACCTCCCTCTTTCGCTTTTTGTGAGGGGTATCGTCAAGTGCTGACTGCGATTCTTGCGACTCGCCCGGTTGGTTCCGCTCCCAGGTACGTATCGCATCTAAGCGGGCGCAAAGCTCCTTGTAAAACTCGGGAAATTCCGTGATCCTGGCCCTTGCTCTCTTAACATCCTTCTTTGGCAAACCTTTCTCCAGATAATGGACGCAATTTACCCATGAGACGAAAAGAGAGGCCGTGCGCAGGATCAAGTTACCCTCCCATGTTTCCATATCAGGCATTGTGTCCCTCCCTTTGGTCAATTGTCTCAAAGCAGTAAGCGTGAGTTCTTGCAGGTCGGGCACGTCATATGTAGGGATTTTTCTAGCTAGTCTCCTTCGCTCATCATCCGCCATGGCCAATAGCTGCTTGGCCAGCAGCCTGCGACGATCGTGACGCTCTTCGACAAGCCTCCAGGAGACCACCTTCAAGCTGTCAATATCACTGATCTCAGGTAGACTTGCCGATCGCTCTTTATGGGTCCTTGAGCGTTCCACCTGATTGGACTTTGGAGTTTTCTCTCGTTTGATGGGTGTTATTTCGACATACACTCTAGGGGGGAGGTCGGGGACAGGAGAGATGTCTCTAGACATGACATGTTCAGATTGAGGAGTCCTCGGTTGCGGTGGATTCAGCGGAGGTGTCTCCACTCTGAATTCTTCGTCTTCGGGCACAGGTGAATCACGGGTGAGGTCAATACACTCTACTGGCGGTTCAAGAACCGGAGCTGGAGAAGGGGAACTGGACTCAAGAAAGGGATGCCCACGAGCCATGACTCTCCGATTCCTGAATTTCCGCCTTGCACCGGAAGGGCTGATGATATCATCATCAGACGACGATGAAGGATCTGGGCTTCCGTGGAACACGCCATTGTTATCAATGAAGTCATCCATAGAACCTGTAGATGCGCCATCATCAGATTCCGAGGCGAGAGACTCTCCATCCTCGTCAGTACTTTGTCGCTTGGGAGGTAAGGGCCTCGCAAGAGCAGATATCTTGGGGGGGCAATTTTCTTGCTCGAGAATGGAAATGCGCCATTTCTTCTTCTGGATGTTGGTCACGGTGTTCTCCAAGCTGCGACATTGAGTCTGTAGTTCCTTGGGTGTACTGTATTCGCCTTCCCGGATTGCTTTGGTAAAAACCCCCAGGCGCCTCTCCAGAAGACTGATGTCGCGTGTAAGGCTTTTGATTTGTTCGTTGTTGCACTTACCTCTCCTAGCCGATAGCCAGATTCTCCGTGCCTTTGCCTCCTCTTTTGACTTTCCATGTTGAAGCCAATTGTTCTCAAACTCTGCAATGCAACCTGCTATGATAGAGTTAACCTCGGCTGGTGTGAGTGCTTTGTGTTGTGGCAACGGTTCCCGGCGTTCGTCCTGGATTTCCTGCCAAGTTTCTTCATCAAACTCGCCTTCTGATCCAGAATCTCCGTACAAAGGGTAAGCATTCGGGTCATCATCATCTTGTGCGGGGTATCTGTGTAGGAGGTAGGCATAAGGATCGGAGGTCTTCTCGCTCTCAGCAGTCTCAGATTGGATTAACTGCGGCCACTTACGCAGCTCGTCCTTGGTGACCGTGACATTGCCATTGCTGACTGTGAACAGAGTACAGTACTTTGGATTGCTTGCAGCTGCTATTAATGGCTTCTTTGACGGTTTGCTTGTTTGCTTGGTGAACTGTCGATAAGGAACCAAAGCCGACTGGTTAGAGTTCAGCTTCACAGGTCGCTGTTGGTAGGAATAACCAAGAGCCTTGTTCACAAATCTGCGTTGGGCAGTTGGGAATTTGGAGCCAATCATAGTAAAGGTCTGATCATTTTCATCGGAGTCAGAAGCGTAGAATAACTGCGAGACATTGATTTCATCCGGTCCAATATACCACCCTTTTGCAGTTTGTGGACTGCTTGTCTGTCTTGAGGCAGGCTCACTTTTCTGGTCCTGGTTCAAGGAGCTTAGGTTCAGTTTTCGCCGTTTCTTTCCCTGGCCATCAATAACCATGTCCTCACCCAGGCGGGTGCGTCTTTCAGGGGACTTTTGTTCCGAATAAGCCTTGTTTCCTTCATCCTGATCTGTCACACCATGACGACTTGCAGGCCTATTTGATCCACTATCATCTGCAGGGCTAGGTCTTTGCTCCATCGCAGAAGTCACCAACAGTGGGCCACTGGATGTAGTAGGGGTCTGATGACGGGTACTTTGGAGAGCTCCCCGTTGAGGTGTCACATCTTGAGACTGAGGAATGTGATGCAGTGGGGAATTGAATTGAGAAAATGCCGGGGTGGCAGAGCTGTACAGGTCTTCAGGGAGAGCACCTAGATGAGTTCTGGTGTCCTGGAACTTGGGAGAATTCCGCTGAAGATATCGTATTGCCATGAGCACACAGCTACGATGGCCAAGAGCCCTCAAGCCTAGATCTTCCCGGAGGGTTTCCTTATCTACATCATGCAGAAGAACTTCACCTGTAATCTCATGCTCGCGAAGAGTAGCTTCAAAGGTGACAGGGTTTGGTCGTGGCGCCCGCGAGGATGATCGAGCCCATGGCGTCTGAGGATTCCGGCACAGGAACTGCACCACCTCATCAACTGTCCAGTCAAGGGGATCTTCGCTGAGGTGCATTTCAACTGGCCGATTCCCAAGTTTTGGATCTCTGTGTAAATCTCTGATCTTCTCAAGCATCTAGATGCCCATTTCCGTTCCTTGATAAGGCATCGAAACGGTGTAAGAGAAATGGCATTTTATAGTGGGTTTGTGCTTGAATGACTGTGCAAGTGAGCGCTGAGTGAGACCTATGGTAGCAGTCAGTCCACAAGAGCGAGAGAAGATCCCGCCAACGGTGGGCAGCAAATGAGGCCTCGACAGAAACAAAGCCCGGCGCGCCGCGAAGCCAACGCGTCATTCAAGGTCGACCCGACAATTTCAGTCATTTCTGCCACTATCCCAGGGCGGCAAATAGGGCGGTGTGTCGGAACCCGCCTCCGCAGGGGACAATCGGGATCCGGAATAAGACAGATGGATAGATGAGAATCATTAATCAAGTCTCCGGTAGGGACTGTTTCTGTGTGATAGAATTTCACCATCATGGCTCAGATCTTTCAAATGATTCAAGGAGAGCATGCCTGGATTTTACTCCGCCGTACTCCGGTACTCCGGAGAGGCTTCTGCATCGTAACTTCTCGCGATAATACAACTGGTTCTCCATACAATCAGAGCCTTATCGCAGCCAGAAGCAATTCGATTCCTCTGCAGTCCTATATCAAGCCAGAAACCAACGTCAAACAACTGAGTTGCGGCGGCTGGATACAGTCACAGAATCATTCTCTAGAAGGAGAACTGTGAATAACCCATCCAATTGATCATTTCTCAACTAGATACATCACTGTACATCAAATTAACCATGCCATCAATCCCGTGGTCTGTACTTCATATTCACGTTGCCAAACGGCCTTCCATCGGACCCGACTAACAGCGGAACCCCTCTTGGCAGGCAACCTTATCCGAACCGTTCGCGTCTCCTTCATCTCACTCTCAATTTATCCTGCACCCTGCTAAACAAGATCTCAAGAACCCGGTATCGGACGTTAATCTATGCAAGTCCCATCAAAACAAAGGAATCCAGACTCCTTATGAGAAAAAAAGAATGAAAGAGACGAAAAAGAAAAAAAAGAAAAGAAAAAACACACACTGGCTGAACCAAGCAGGCAAGACTTGTGAAAGCCAGCGAGAAAAAGAAAATGCTAATGATGCAGAAGCGTTCATTTATATGATGAGAATTGGCATTTCGCAAAGATTTCGCTCTCCATCATAATAGTCTTTCAGACAAAAATTGAAGACCATATTGTGGGCATACTCTGGGAACATGCCCAGAGAGAGAGGCTGTTTCATCCGGTAAAGCCCACCGGTGGGCTGTAAAATCTCCCCGGGTGCATATTGAACCTGGACGGGGTTTAGTGGAAGCGAGTTGTCATCGAATGTGTCGAGTAAAGTCTTCAATCCGGACTCAGGATATTTCAGCGTCTTGGGTCCTCTCTGACCATGCCTCGCTCTGCGTCCAGCCGTCTGCGACACTTGATCCCAACGGCGGCATGGTTTCTTGACAGCCCGAGACAAATCGAGATCCTCCAAACAGGCGAACTCGGGCAATTCATCATCCGGAATATCGTGGCGAAAGATTGGCATCGGTCCAGTTGGCTCGTCCAGTTGTTCATCAAAGGGAACAAGAGTATATAGAAGCTGGTCAGCCTGGGCTGCTCCAACGGACACTGGCCAGTCATGGCAGGTACTCGGTTGACAAGGCGCTGGAACCTCGGCGATAACGGAAACTTCTTCAACGGAAACTTCTTCGACGGCGTGACAGACCTTGACCGTTCCGTGCACCTCGAATCCAGGAACGCTGCAATTGCTAGAAACCATAGTCGGCAACTCAATGTTCTGGGGCGCTGGTCCAACTCTTTGGAAAACACGAAGCGCTGCTTGGGCCGTTTCAATCAATTTTTCCTCTTGTTTGCGAGGAATTTTCTTTGGTCGGACGGTTCGCGTCGAGCGTTTGCGCTTTTTGCGCTTTTCGGGAGAGTAAGTCGATGGCAGGCCGATGCGTCCGCCAGCCTCGCCAAGGGCTGGGTTGATCAACCCCGGAGTCAGTCCACGAGTGGTATTTAGGGACGGATTGATTCCATGCTGTATCAGTGCATTGATCAGCTCGGCTTCCAGGTCACGGCTCAGTTTGTTTCCTGAGTCCCAAGCAAGCATTCGGAATGCCTGTCGGAATCGTCCACCGCGTTGCTGCAGGGCGTTGGGCGCAATTCTGAACTCAACTCCCATGCGGTCAATGATGTCGCTTAGGCGAATGCGTCTATCAAGTCTCATCCAGGCCTCCACCCGGAATTCCTCGACATCCGAAGCGATATGATTGGGCAGGACAGAAATCTCCCGAAGGAACTTGCCATTGATCGGATAAGTCATTGTCGGCGGCTCCACCTTGCTCTTAGGGCCAAAGGGCTTGAGTTGGTATAGTATTTCTGGAAGGTTGTCCCACGACCAATCTTGCTGATCGGGATGGAAGGAGGTAAGGTCTCGATGTTCGACAGGTTCTGGACTGGCCGGGTGATAGACAGCATCAACTGCTCCTTGTTAGGATTCCGATTTCAAATGCAGATATTGACTAACCCATTTCAAAGTCCTGGGTATGCATGCCCTGAGGAACGTTGGCACTTTGCATAGAATAGACGGCCATATTAGAGGAAATTGACCTGTGTCAATGCGGTGTTGCTAGAAACTAATGAAGCTCGTCTCGTGGGTTCAATTGAAGCTTATCTGCTACTATCAGATGGGATTGGACGGATGAGAACGATCAAGACGACGGGTGTTCTGTATGTGAAGCAGTAAGCAGTTCAACTTCTTCTTGAGGCGAAAAGAAAGAGGATGTTATACTGGAGAATTCTATTGTCTACCTTTTGACTCCTGCGGCAAATAGGGGGGGTTGGTATAGAGCTCCCTATAGGGCATGGTGTATCCAAAAATGGCATCTCGAACTTGGAAGGTGGAGGTAGAGTATTCACTGTGAACACTCTTTGCTGCTCTCCCAACCCCCCTCCCCCCCGGGGTGCGATATCTCTTAAAGACGATTGCAAAAAGCCCCATCAATAATTGACGCTTTTACTGATAGTTGTAGATTGACTAGGCCCTGCTCTATCCAATGGAGCCAAGACTGTCTATTTCGCGCTTACTTTGGAGTGCACAAGACTGCACAACTGACCATGCGATGATGCCGGCCTGGCAGTAGCATTGAGGGAGCAACGCTCAAACCCCCAACTGGACCCGCTTTTTGAATGGGCTGAATACTCTGGTATACCAGCCGCTTCTATTACAGTCACTGCTTCCATAGCTCCAAATTTCCCAATGGGGCCCCAGAGGCCCATAGGGAGGCTCAGTCGAGTTCACATTGAAGTATACAACTCAGCGGGAACAAAAGCAATCTAATGTGGGGCTATTGCCAGCCGCCCTCTATACAGTCATTGACTGCATGTCTTTGTTCTCCGGTGGGTCTTTATTGTCTCCTGGCAGGCTGAATAGGGCGGCTGGTCTGTTGAATGTGATTGAACGTGTGCTATTGTCTTTGTAGTTAGTGAGAGGGCATGATTTGCTGTTAATGGATTCACAGTGCCAATCAGAGTAAACGTTTTGACAAGCGGCCGGGAAAGTTCTCCCAATAGGAAGCAATTGCAAAGCGACAAGGTTGCGGACCATGGGGATGGCATTTAATGTGATGCTGAGAAACAAACCCATCAGGATATGCCAAAGAAGTTTGTGAAAATAGTCACATAACAGCATTCTTCTTCTTATAGATTCTTGGAGCGAGACCCCACTATTACAGTTCAATGTCATCTCTGTAGTAGTCCCATCAGTTCGTCTCTATTATCCTGATAGTTCTTAGCGAAAAGCCAGTCGGCTCAATAAAAGGTCGCATTAGGCTGCTAGAATCATTGACATGGACTCATGGCAACACGATTGGCTTGACACTGAGGGCCAGCTCTTTCTTATCCTCACTTTCAATGAAGTTCTACGGTGACATACTAAAGTATAGGTAACTAAAGTACTATAGTAAATACCTCCGAGTAGCCAATGAGGGGGCTCCGATATACCATCCGCCGGGCAGCTTTCCATCTTCACAACTGAACATTCCCCTCGGATCTTTCTTCCATCCTCATTTTCACTCGATAGCTTTACCTATCTGTATAGCCAGACATCCGCCTAGCGCTGATCATGTCCAATCCTTTCCCTCTCCTCCGTCTCATCCAAACCGTCACCACCAAATCCCGAAACAACGCGTCCCTCCACCCCAAGCGCTACAGCCTCCAAGTTTCCTGCCACGTGAGACCAAATGCCTCTAGTAATCGCGAAGGCATCTATTCCATCGGCACCGATCGCGTGAATGTCTGCGTCGCCGCGGTCCCCAGAAAGGGCGAGGCGAATGCAGCTGTATCGCGTGTTTTAGCGCAAGTCAGCATCTCCTACACACCACGGAATTACCAACTTCTCTCCAGGAGCAAGCCAATTGACACATATCAGGTCTTCCAAGTGCCCAAATCAAACGTAGAAGTCATCCGTGGTCTGAAATCCCGAGAAAAGACCCTCGCCATCACCGACCTGAATATCGGTTTGCAAAGCGAGGATGAGTTTCTCCTACAAGCGCGTGGGAAATTAGAAGCGGCAATCATGCAGAGATAGTATTCTACAGATACATCTCACTCGGTCGCTTTGGTGATAAAGAATAATATAAAAAACTGCGTTCTATACTGGCGAAGATTATCGTCTCCGGCACGCGCCGTGACATCACGGGGAATCATCCCGACTTTTCTTTCTTGCCGCCGATCAAGCAACTTCCGCCCGCATCTTCCAACATTTCGTTCGCATCGCGCATCGTCGCATACACCACCACACCACATACACCCCTACAATTTCCCTCCTCTCTTTTCAATATACCCCATCTTCTCACATCAATCACAATGACAACCTCCACCTCCAACCCCACCACTACCACAACAACAACAACAACATCAACCTCAACACCAACAAAACGCAAATCCTCCACCTCCGAATCAACCCCCAAAACCATCCACTTCGCCGCGCGCACACCCACATGGACATACCTCAAACTCCAACTGTGCGCCCCTAACTCCTCTACCCTATCCAAACCACTCAACTAACCTCATCAGCATCAACCACGACATCACCTCCACAACTCCTACCCTCGACCCCCTCACAGCCCGAACTTACCTCTCCGCCGCCCTAAGCCAATTCCTCGGCCTAACCGGCACCGCCATCCCCATCGACATCCTCAAGGTCTCCACGGAACACAGAACCCCGACCGTTTGGACGCGAGTCCCCCGCGACGACGCCTCAGCCGTCGTTGCAGCGCTAAGTTCCTGGATCGGAGGGAGTACAAATACCGGGGGTGGTAGTGATACGTCGGCAGGGAATGTGGCTTGGCGGGTCTGCGCGAAGGGGAATTATCTAGGGGCGCTGGTGCAGGGGTCAGGATCAGAGTTGTTTGTGCCATAGGGAAGGTGGGGAGATATAACTGGTTGGTGATCGAGGTGAGAGGCTCTCTCGACGATACACATGGTCTACTTACAAGCGTGATGACCACGGGCTGTCATTGGATTGACTGTCATGAAGGGCCAGATATCGCCAGAACCTGACGTGCGCTCATATCACCAAACATGAAATGACAGGTCAAAAACGCGAAGGATTGATTACTCCGCATTCGGACATCGATAATGGATCTCTATGTCTACTGGGAGTCCAGATGGGAATGGGGACCTCAATCCGTCCTTGCGAATGGGAGCATGGATCGATCCCTGATGGGATTTTAGCTGATATACCCATTTTCAGTGCAAAAGTCTAGGTCATATATTGTATCCAGCATGGTATTCTGAGTATTTCAACTACTTATATACACAAAGTCAGCACACCAGAAATGTCAGCTGAGTTGTGATCAATCCCTGTATAGTATATTAAATATCAACAAGCTTTTATGCAAATATATCCCTTTTCACAATGGCCAAATATATACTAATACAATCCAACCCAATCGCAAATATTCACACCGAAAGACCCAATCCAATTGTAACGAATGCCTCGCCATGCCTTTTTTTGTATAACAGAACACCAGACTCGCATGCTAGCTCAATTCCCAGTAGTGACACCACCCGTAAACATCATAAACGAACAACAACCCGGCCTGTTTCCTTCCGTGACTTTGTACATTTTCATATTTGTGTGTTTGGACCTGGTCTGGTGGGCTAGACAGACTGCTTGCTTCGCACGCTTCCGATCACTGTCGCCGCATCCGACATCGTAGCTCCTGGGTAATTTGCGACGACCTTGGTTCTCAGGGCGGCACGAATCTCTTCGACACTGCGGTCCTTCCATTCAGGGTAACCGCATGTGCTGAGAGGGTATAGGACGTAGTTGTCGTCGCGGGTGCCGAAGTCATCCAGTCTGGGAGGGGGCATGGCGGTGATGATGTCCAGTTCGACGGCGAGTTGGCGGCAGTAGGTGTCGAGTGGGAGATCGTTCACGTCGTGGCCGAAGGGGTTCTCGATTTCGCTGCCGATGAAAGCAAGTCCGAGGATGATATAGGCGGCGACTGTTTTGGATTAGATTAGAGCTTTAACTTGGATCGGTAGGGGGGGGAGGCTTACCCATTGAAGCAGGGATGGTGACCCAGTTCAGGAACTCATACAGCTGGAATGGCAGCGCGAGGACGTAGATCCAGGCAATCTGGGCAATGGAGATACTGTAGGCGGCAGGAAGAGGGGTGTCCAAGACACGTTCGGTACCGGTGAGGACTTCGTTCAAGGTAGAGATGGCGGTGACTGTGCGGGAATTAGACAAATGTCCGTCGAGTAACTGGGAAATGGTACGTACTGGCTTGACTTTGGTGGAGACTGACACTGAGAGTTCCGTTCGCGATACATCGGTCGATATATGCGGAGAGGTGGTTCAAGATCTCAAGGGGAAGATGGCCCAATGGCTTCTTGGAGCGCTTGACAAGCTTCCTCGGGTTGGATTCAGCGAAAGAAACACCCAGGTATTCACCGAACGACTTCCATGGGGTCTTCTTCGGAGGTTGAAGCACCTCGCGGTCGTGCGCTTCTTTGGCAAATGTGTCGAGATGCCCAACTAGACCAGCTAGATCTTCGTAGCCGACGTCGGGTTCGAATCGTAGTTTGTGCTTGAGGGAGACGGCAAAGGCCAGGATGAGATTCATGGCCGTCCTACCTTTGTTAGCGTTGGGCAATGGGAAGAATCCGGTGTCTTACAATTTTGACAACAAGTCCTCCTTTCCTTCCTCTCCATTTCGTTCTGCGGTGTTGATCCAGATAGTCCGTGCAAGATTGCGAGATGTCTGATTAAGGAGTGCCCAGTACTTTCTTCCGTCGGCCCATCTATGGAGAGGTTAACTTGCTGTTTTCTGATCGAGCCTGGAAGCTGCAGCTTACCTCTCATAAGCCGTCGAACTGCGAAACGACAGCGCCAAACTGACCACGAAACCCGTCACAGTGAGCAGAATGTCGTTGATACCGACTAGAAGATTGAGTCAGCCAGGCTCCGTCAGTCTGATCTGGACAATACCTACTGTTATGTACAAACTTTGCGATGCAGGTGATCAAAGTGGCCCATGCCGCGACAAAGGCAAGTGGCAAGATCATTTTTGGCATGATACTGCCATGCATTCGAAGGAAGATGGGCCATTTGGAGTGTCTGTCGAGATCTCGTGGACCGTGCTATTTTCCACACCCGTTAGTCCAACCAAGTTTCCTCTGCAGGTCGACAGCGGGATGACTTACGAAATAGCGATCCAGCTCGCTGGAATTGCGTCTGTCCAGCATGAACTGCGTGGCCCGTGAGCTGGCCAGGTTCTCCAGAAAGCTTGGACGGGGAGTCAGGCGTCCTGGTCGGGGCTCTTTCTCAAGCTGGGGCCCAACGGCGGGGAGCTCGACCGCGACAGGCGCCAAAGAATCGTGGCTCGCTTCCTCGGCCATGGCTTTGATTGGGGAAGGAGAAGAAGAAGCTGGATGGGGAATAGAAGAGAGAAGATTGGGGGTGTTGTTGTCGAGGATGAAAAGTGAAAGAAGGACCGGCCTTCAGTAGTAAACGAGCGTAAAGATCGGTGGAGAAGCGAAGGGAATGAAAGGATGAGAAATCCCCCCGGAGCAAAGATCGATCGAGGAAAGACGGTGCGGTGCGTCAGGGAGTCGTTCTTCGAATGGGAGACGATCTAGTACGAAACGCTCGTATATTAATCCCTGGCACTGCAGGCCGGCAACTGCCATGCGTTAAAGTTTCCGGTAGATCCATAAAACAAAGTTCGCAACTTCCAAGTCGCCGTCTTGCCAGTCAGTCAGTGGTGGTCCCGAAATCCGGTAAATACCGATGACTGTACCCAATACCCATACAATCATACATACGTACTACACAGCTATTTTTTCCTCGTTGGGATCCCACCCGCTGCAGAAATGGGAGATATAGAGAGAGCGCGTTGGACCAATGGGAAGGGCCAACCGCCAGGAACGCTTGGCGATCCGCACTCGGCGAGCGCCTGGCCAATAGCCGCGGCGGTCCAGACCCCCTGTTTCAGGCAGTCAGGCCGCGCCACGCGGGCCAAACGTCAGACGGCTGCTTCCGCCCCATTCAACGCCGCCCTCTTATTCGCCCCCTCCGCCTGGCCAGGCCTTCGTTGGCACTGCACGAGTCGAATTCCCTCCGTCTGGGCAGCCCGGCTGAAACCGTGAAACCGTCAAAGACCCAAATTTCATTTTCCAGCGTGGAGGAGAATTATGAAAGGCCTTTGAGCCCGGGGACTTGACTCTTTAGACAGGTCATTTCCTGATGCCTGGAGAATTTTGATGGCTAACTTGTCGTATTCGAATTCACAACAAGAATTGAACACAACACTCAACTAGTGGCAATTCGGACACAACTCAGCCTCTTCGACAGGATCACGACCCCTCCAACGCCCCGATGCAGGAACGGAGGACTCTGCGCCAACATATCCCCTGTCAATTTGACGCGCGGAGGACACAGCATCGCATCAAGATTCAAGAATCGTTCATGTCCGATTGTACAGTTCATTCATAATCAGTCAATATCCTAACAATACACGATCCATTTCGCAGCACATGCTATTTCCACCTGAGTCCCCTGACTACAACTTATAAATTCGGCGATGACCGCCGTCAATGAGCCTGAGACATCCAAGATCACCATCAAGAAAGCTATTGAATGCCACAGCAATACGAAGATAATTTGCACAACAGTGTCAACATAATACAATACCTGGAAGTCCTTGTCATGTTGCACACACACATACCGTTGTTTCACAAATATCGCCAGAGAGCGCAACCTGCATAAGTATTTCTTGGCCACACCAATCCAAGCCGTCACCCTAGTAGATTGATAAATAACTGACAGCACCTACCTATTTATGTCATCTCCTTGACAGGGAATATCCCTGTCGCCTCTACAACTACTTATATTATTTTCGTTTCACCATCTACCCACCCCAGTAAATTATAATAAGCACAGAGATCAAAGCACCATAGTGCCCCGTGCCCCAGATCACGATCCACCAAGCAACTTTTCCCTTATATCACTGTCGCATTAAGATTTCCCACGGAGTTCAAAACCAAAAGCCACCTCATATCCACAACATATCTCCAAAAGTTTAAAGTTGTGAAAGAGAAAGGAAAAAATATCCATCGATGCATCCAGACCTCCTCCCGCCACTCAAACTCAAAAACCTTCATTTGGCGTACGTAGGTTTGATTACGTCTCATGTTTTCTGAATACGAGTACTTCTCAGTAGACATCAGGTGACATTTCAGTCTTGCAACTTGTAGGTCTATATTTACTTCTGTGCTTCCAATCCTAGTACTAGGTATGGTTTGTTGCCAGCAACTAATATGTAGCTATTTTTAGGACGGGGGTGGGTCGGGGTCTTGGTTTTCATCTACCCGACGGAAAACGGGCTGTGCTTGTTTTGTCTAAGGTGAACTCCTAGTGGTTATTTTTCGATGTGGTTAGGACTGCTGTCTGGACTTTGTAATGGGGGTGGCCGGGGGAGGAGGGAATAAGATTCCATCATTCCGATCACTGGGTTGGGAATCTTGGTTAATTATGTGGTGGTTTATGCCGATAAAACTTAATTGTCGGCTCGGCTACGCAGTGTAGTGGAATTTCTTGCGTGTTGGGTGATTTAGTCGCCTCTATGCTCTTCGTGTACTATGTCTAGTGGGCCCTATTTTTCTGCCAACTCACCAATATCACATGTTGATATTATGTCCGCAACTGCTGAATAGCCTCACATTATCAATTTACATAGTAAAATGGAGCGGTAGCACCCAGGGCACATTTACTATTCATTGGCAGACCAACTGATCCCACTCACGACTTTATTTCAAGATATCATACATGGTACTTTAATTTTTTGTGGCTTTGTTGTCCCATCTCATCTTCTTCAACGAAATATGCAGTCGAGACAGGACCTATTCAAGACTTATCCTGTCTAGGCTCGGTTTATACTATACATCGATAGTCTCTAGACCGTCTGAATCAGAAGCGCTTACGTACAGAATAGTAGGATGAATGAACAACGAAATTATAGATGGATATTTCGGGCTTTCCGTACATGCATACTCTCGCTCACACGAACATTCCAATCTTCTCTACATCATTGAGGCGGAGTATGTATTATGTATCCTGTCAGACCATGAACGCAGATATGCATGCAGGCATAATTGGAATTTCATACTCGACTGCTTATTTGAAGTTTGGTTTCTTAGTCAGATCACGGGTGCTGGATATGATACTCATCACACTCCAGATTGAGTCACCCAGAAATATTTACTACGTATATTAATTAGGTCGAGCAAGCTGTTTGGGAGAGACATAGGTGGAGTGCTAGAAGTTGAAGGATTGATCTTGCGGAGAAGGTGGCTCAATGGTTATATGGCTTATTTGGTTTTTTTTTGATGTGGTATAGGCTTTTTTCTTTATGTGAGTGGTATTGTGGTGGTTTATTCACTAGGAAGTGAAGAGCTTTGATTATATGAGATATTGTTCTTGAGTATTATAGATGGTACAGATGGTACAGATGGCTCCTTGACGACCTAGACTTTTTGAACTTATGTTGTTTGGCCAGACTGTGAAAAGGAATTTATAGAAACTTACGAAAAATCTATTACCGATGTCTTTTTTTTTAAAAAAAGAAAAGAACGAGAAGAGATGACTGAATTAAAACTATCCGACAGATCGTTCTTATCTGTTCTATATGATATTCAGGATGTTAGATAGATATTATTCTAAATCCTCTGTAGATCATTTCAATGATTGCAAGTTATAATAATTGCAAGATTCGAACCTATGGGGTGATTCCTTGTTACAGATTTGGGTCAACGTTCTCTCCAATCAGTGATCTCTTCAAAGCCAGCCCGATGATCTATGACCTGACTACCATCACCTCTTTGATGGTGCTTTCACCTTTCATATTCAAAGCGCAAATGGTGAAAAACCTAGATAAATCGTATTGCATTAAACGAATTTTATGAACAAAAATCTTGAATTGCGTGTAGGATAGACAGACCACAGAAATAAGATCTGTAGTAAGCTGATGAGCATCTAACACTGGCAAGCAATACATGATCATTTGTCAGATCAGCCACTGAGTGGTTGGTCTCGCTGGGGACATGTCCTTCTGGCAGGGTGGTTAGTTCTCATTATTAACCAGCGATTATTCGGAGACTTCGTAAAGCTGTGATTTTATAGAAAGAAGATGTGACCAGGTCTCACCCGAGGGCAGGTAGGTGATAGAACGACAAATGAGAGAGACAAATCAAAAGTAAAAAAGAAGGCCTAACTCACTAAAGTACCTAACTTATGTGAGTAGCTCAAATCCCTATTTTTGATATCATAGGAATGGTTTCCTCATATTGCTATACTCAAACTAATCCAATCAGTTGAAGATCATTGAAGTATTATGTCTTGATGCATGTCACATGTTGTATGCATACTGTAGCTGACGCAGTCCCAGACGTAGTGGAGGACAAGACTGGCACATGGGTAGAAAATAGCTAGACAAAGACAATAACAACGGAGTGGGAGTGGGGATATGAGGCTGTTGCCAGAAGCAACCAGAGAGCCCCGAAACAATTCTCCGGGATACACACAAGGTGATGGAAAGGGGAGACGAAGTGATAGCATACACGGAAAGAGAGGAAGAATAAAAGCAGAGGGGTCAGGTAAATCACGGGGTGGGGGCCTCGATAAAACCTTCCTCCGGCACATAGATAGAGACAGCTTTTCTCACTCCTCAGTAGATGTCTGTCATGGCAGAGCCAAGAAGTACACATGGGATCAGTCAGGGACCATACCATAAACAGAGAGAGCTACAAAGATGATGTTGCAGATCACTCTTTGCAACATGCCAGTCCAAAGCTCAGGAAAAAATCTCCTTCTTGGATCGGCAGCTTGAGCTCGGCTGATCTGTATCACATGCTAGATCCATCCATGTGTTTCAGCAGCATGTGGCACTCCCTGCACCCGAGTAATTATTGCATGTTTGATATTGTGAGATGAATGACCGCAGCCTTGTCAGTTGTTTCATTGTTAAGGCCACGATACGGTTTCCAGTTTTAGCTGTGAAACTGTTGGGAGTTGAGAGTTTTACCAAGCAGAAGCCTTATATGAAGCTGGAAGGCCTGAGATAGCTGTATGGGATGATGGGTGGGACAGAGTCAGTATGATATTGCTGAGGGTCACTTATGGTTGTGAGCATGTATATGATCGGTTTTTTTTCTGTAGTATTAATCTTGCTGTGGTGGAAGTGAACGAACATAAGAATATGATCTGGTCACAGCCGGCTCTCGGTCTCCGTAGAAATGGAAAATAAGATAGTGAGTCAACGTCTGGATAATTTGCAAAGAAAAAGGGGCTAAACTGCGTTCCCAACAATGCTGTATACCAACAATCGGCATATAAAGATCAGCCCTGTGGAATCACCCCTACCGGATGAGGATACCTCCTCACCAAGCCAGTTGCCACCCTCCAATTAAACAACTTGATAGCACCGGTCGATCCATATCAAAGCAGCAGCACGTGGGTGCAGAGTCTTCTTCTTCTAGGTGACTACGATACTATTGCTTACTAGCCGAGCAGATGGTGTTCCTTCGTTAAATAATCAGGGCCCTGACACCTTGGCAGGGACAGGCTAACTTTCCCCATTATCCCGATAAGGTTCGGGTCCAGAAACGGCATGCCGTTGGAGGAAAGCGCGACCCAATTTTGAGACCGGATCCTTCAGGAACCCGATTAGGCAAGAGTACATAATCATCCAATCCGTTGAAATATCGAGATCGGGGAGAAGGCTGTCAAGCTGACTGTGATGTGGCGACACCTGGAAGCAGCAAGTCTAAATATTTGGCACCAGGGGAACTGTCGAGGGTTGTATACAGGAACATCAGCATCCTTGACCCTGGTTACTTGGGTGGAAGGAAGATTTATCTGAAGTCTAAACCGGTATGCTGGCAGTTGTGCCGGGTGTAGATTGCCGGGCTCTTGGTTGAGGTGGCGAGGAGATGCCCTAAACCACTCTGCTGGGAAAGCTTGTTGGTCCAAGGCATTGAAGTCAATATTGTTAGAGTATTCATGCAGTCCCCTATGGGGCGTACATAGTACATAGTAGATTGTTGGGTTTCAAACCAGTTTTATATTTGTTTTATAGACGTGCTGCCTGGTTTTCGTTTGGGAGTGAGTCTAGGCGTTAAGCTGAAACAACAAGGTGCTTCATGAACGGTGGGCCATCGGATGTCTGATCCGCATCAGGACATATCTGCTCGGTGCTCTCTGAGATGGTGAGACCATGAAAGCTGTTCTGGAGCTGGGTGTAGATCTCCGCGGACCTGTCACTGAAGTCCTGAGTCATGACGCATCCCTCGGTGATACGGAAGTCATCCAGTGGACAGACATCCCTGATTCCCGGGTGGAGAGCTGGCTGGCTGATAGATCATGGAGGTGTCAATGAAGATGCGCACGCACAGTCAAGTCTTTTTTTTTTCGTGTGAACTTGGGTCAGCCCCAATGATCCTCAGCCCAGGCCTGAGGATTCGTTCCAGGCGGCGATCAAGCAATAAAGTTTGCGGCTAGTCCTATTTATGGGGTGGAGAGCCAAGCGGTTTGCCGCCCAAACGGCTAAACGACGGAATGCCGTGGAACGGTGGAAGGGAATGCATGGAAGCATCTTCACAGCCTCAACAGGGGTCGAGAAGAAAGTATGGGACACAGGGGAAGATGTACAATGATATTGAAGTTAATTGCTTTGACAAGTTTATTCCGATATATATTGGGGTTGGTCCATGGAACGAGTCCAGTCAGTGTTGCCTAGAGTCCTACCCAAGGAACCCCGTCGATCATCGCACTATTCGGATGACCATATTCGCTGTTGAACGTGAGGGCAAAAGTATTGGCTCTATCGAGAACGGGGTGTTGAGGACGACCCATGGCTGGTAAAGATCGCCATCTGGTCGCCTTGGGCTCTGACGCTTTTTGGAATTCCGGCCCCGTTACGGGAAGATCACCTCACTAACTATTGGCAGCATCCATTCCACTCACCACGGAGAACAGATACCACGATATGTACTGTGATACATGTCGTAAAGATTGTAAGTGGGCCTCCGGTGGCGATTCTGGACACCCCTTCCGCCTTTGTACCGCTTCCCCTAATAGTAAGGATCTGAAGCCATACACATCATGTAATCATATTTATCACTACAATCTTTACGACATGTATCACAGTAGAAAACACTTTTAGCCAATTTGGGAAAGGAAGATTTTGTCTGCCTGCCAAGCAATGTGCAAACTGTGAAGAAGCTCTAATGTTCTAATCCATGGATCGACCAGAGAATGAACTGTCGGTTGAAGTTCCAGCCAATGTTCCGAATGGTACCAGCGACAATCCAAGCAATAGTGGCTCAGGGAGTATTAGAGAATGGGCTGCTCGAGTTCATCCAAAAGGTTTCGATGACTGGCACGATCGATGACACTAGATGATGACATCAGCCTCCCAAGGAACTTCGGATGATCATCACACAATAGTCAGGAGTAGTCAGGGACGTGCAGCTACCGACTCAGGCTGCTGCCCACCTGAACGCGCATTGACGCCGAGATGGGGTATAGAAGTTAGACACGATAATTGTTTGGAGTCGATACTCGATAGGCAGTACCTATAACCTATCTAGACGAGCTCAAAAATTATTTTATTCTATTGTCGTAATTTTTTTGTCAGCAAGGATACCGCAGCACTAATCATTACCGCAATAGGATGGGCTATGACTCGTGGCCGCACAGCATCTCCATCGCATGCAAGACATCTTCGACCACATGCAGATAGCATACCATTCTAATGCAGGGGGATATGATTCCCGTGCCATGTTCCCGTAAGGCTGTTGCCACCACACGAGAATTATGGCTTGGCCCTCACGGCAGTTGGATATCATTCTTTGGATTTGATGGAAGCACTATCGGGCCGACAGAGAGAGAGAGAGGAAAAGCCGGGCAAGACAGGCTGTCGTGCGGGGCAATCTGGCGCCCTTCCGAAAGCGGCAAGGACTACTCACCAGATAGGATTGGCTTCCGGAGAAAGTGGGATGGGATCAATTGGGGTCACGGGTGGAACCCCCCCCCCCGCCGCCGCTTTTCCTTCCGTCTTTCTCTTCCTCTCACATCTCTCAGTCTCATCAGCTAAGATCAAATGGGCCGCTCCTACCTAGGAGTCGAGGCCACTCTCCTTCTCCTGCAATTAGACTGTGGAGCTAAAATCCTTTGCTTCATCTGACCATCTCTTACGTTCGCTGTCTGAAAGACCGGAAATAACTCGATTGGAGTCTCCTCCCCCCGGTCATTCTTGTCCCCCCTCAGAGTCAATTTCGCCCATCCATTGTCCCGACTGGGCTGGGTTGTTCCAACCCGGGAGCGCCCCCTTACCCGCAATTTTCAGACAAGCTAACCTTTGACTTTCTGGTCCTGGTCCAACTTGTATCCTTTAATCCAAATGACATGATGCCCGCCTACAAGGCCCTTCTCAATGGCTCGAGATGCTCAGATCGCCTCCCTGGCATGTGGAGAAGACCGTGAACGACGGGTCGATGGGTCTGCCTATCATTGTCCTGTGCTGGTTGTTTAGGACCCGGCAATTCTCGGTTCTGCTGCTCACTTCGCCATCGGTTGGATAAAATCGCCCACTGTGGAGGTTCATTTGAAGCCTGATTGGAGGGCTACACTTCCCGCCTGGCTGGGATATTGAATCTGATTTTGAACACACTGGGGGAAAACCATTAAAGTCAAAATGACACACAGAAATCAACACGCCCAGTCCATGGTTAGCGGAGGGACCATTTCTGTCCCAGCTTGTCTAGGCCAGGAGTGGGGACCCGCCGTCGTGGTATATCATCTCCCCGGTTTCCCCTTGTTGCTGCTGCTGTCAGCATCCAGTGGCCTCCGTGCACAATCAGTCGGTCACGACTGCATTCGCTTGCTTTCACCTGAGATTGTTTTTGATTGTGATAATGGCCAATACGACCTTCGACTACTCGACTGGGGTTGCCGATGGTTGCGCTTGATTCCAATTAGACAATCGCGACAACAACAATAATAACAACACTACGTTCCTTCGACCTGAGAAATACATTCCGCCTACTCTCGCTAGTACCCATACTAAATCGTCATTATGCAACTCCCACCTCCTGAAGTCCTGGCATCATGGCCCGTGCCAAATTACGTCGACCCTGTGACGCGCGGGCATGCCGTGAATATTGTGAATATCGTCCTCGGCGTTCTGGCATTCATCGTGACTGTCCTCCGCCTTTACACACGTTTCAAAATTACGTGTACCCCTGGCCTTGATGACGCCCTGGTAGTCATCGCTTTTGTATGTTTTACAGCTGGTTATGTGCTTATTCTGTGGAATTATCTAACAATTGACAGGCTTTTGGAATTGGCATGTGTGTTGCTACGTCCCTGGCGACCGAGCGCTGGGGTGCGAATCGACATATATGGGATGTACCCTTGTCCTGGATCCCGGTTGTCACCAAGTACAATCTCGCTTTCCAGCTTACCTTTTCTTTGTCCTGCTCAATCGTCAAGCTATCGGTTCTGTGGTTCTGCAAGCGCCTTATCGGAACTGGGAGTAAGGGACTATATAAGGTATACTATATAGTCCTGCTTATCTCCTTGGTGTTTGTGGCCATGTGCTGCATTGTCTTCTTGTTGGTCAGCATCTTCCAGTGCACGTAAGTTGACTCTTTTTCCCCACTGCGGTATGTTGTGTTGACTAATAATTTTTCTGGGCAGACCTATTCATGCATTCTGGGATCTGGAGCCTATGTATCCTCATCATTGCGTCAATTATGGCGCAGCGGTATTTTCTGCTAGCGTTGTCAACATCTCCACCGACTTCCTCTGCACCATCCTTCCTATGCCATTGATCTGGAATTTGAAGCTACCTGCCCGGCAACGCCTTGCCGTAATCTCGATCTTCGGTCTTGGTATTGTGGTCAATGTTGCGGGTACCGTGCGCACGGTATATGTCTGGAAGAGTATGATGGAATCTTACGACACTACTTGGATGGGATGGCCGATTCTTCTCGCCGGATCGATAGAGATCAACTTGGCTATGGTATGTCGATAATAGAACCGAGCGTGCTCGTTTCTGTGCTGACTATATACTAGATCTGTGCTTCTGCGCCTGCACTCAGACCTCTCATCGGATTTGTGCTGCCCCATCTTCTTCCATCGGCTCGCGGCTACGGATCTTCATTTGGCAACAATGGTCCAGAGCAGAAGCTGTGGTCCTCGACTGGGCCGTCAAAGCCGTCCCGAGTTTCTAAGATTGAAGATCGTCAGTATGGCTACGAAGGAGACACGATGGTGGATCGGATGGATATAGTACGCACTGTTGAGATGGAAACGTGGACCGAAAACAGAAGACCCAGCCATAACGACGGCAACAACTCTCAAGTCGTATCCAACCACACGCGCGTCATGACGCCGACGCACCACGTCGATCTCAAGAACGATGGAGTGGTTTACACGTCGCCGGGTAGCGAAATATCCTCGACTTCACTCACCCGTGACTCGAAGGGAGAACATGCATTCTATGAACACAACAACCCGGTCTAGGGTTCCCACCCTTCCTTTTCTTTTCTTTCCTTCGATCAAATCATCTGGTTATGATTGGGTTATGAACATGTATAATTTACACACCATGTACACTTTTGGGGGCTGGTAGCATATATATGTACAGATGAAACGTTATGAAGATACCAAACCATCTATCAATCCAACTCACAATTCACATGCCAGTCCATCGGATCGAATGAGTGGGTCTTCCGATCCGCTCCACCGTCGGGGCTTGACTCCACTGGTAATCCGCTCACATGCCAGTATGGCCTGATGCTGGGTCCGGGCGTCCATGGATGCGTGGCTTCAAATATCAAGCGCCTCCCAACCCGGCTCTGGCCTGCCCCAAAAAGGGGCCTGCCAGATGCGTCGAATGTCATTGCGTCGATCATCTGTTTGCGATAAATGAGAGGCACCGGAGCTTGTGGCGGACCTACTCTAGCACGGAGTGCTACCGTGCTAGCTAGAATCCGTCTCTGCGTCTAACGCAGGAACCAATGCAACTAGGCTCTGACGTCGGCTTGGCTTTGGATTTCTTGTGAGGCACGTCTCACTTACGATCTCGTCCGGGGCTTTGGTCTCTTGGATCTTGAGGCCGTTGTCCTGGGCAGGTCGAGTATGGAGGGTTGGCTTCATCCAGTGCTATGCGTGTGATGTAGCTGAAGTCCCTGGGTGAAGGAGGGCCATTGAACGCCGGACATAATTTTCTAAGAGGACACATGTCAGTGGGGATTTCCAACACTCGCTAGCTGGACCTCGGCACTACGATGTACCCTAGTCCCTAACGTTGCCGATGCCGCTGGCCCGCTAGGTACAGTCGGAGATGAACAGATTCCCGGTTTCTCGCTAAGCGAGATGAATTTGGAATAACGCATGCATAACATGGGTATTATACCCCGCTTCCTGCTTTTCCTGGTTTGCACCGTAATGTCGGGCCATGGGGGGATTCTAGATGCTTGTACGTAGTGAGGGGAGATGCTGATTGGGCTTGGTTGTGCGTACCCAGGAGGACTTGATGTCTTGGTACTATTCTTGGTGCCGCCGGTGCATCTGAAAAGTTTAAATAATCAGATGCTGGCTGATCCTTTTTTGGTGACATCGATTTTACTCTATTCTTCCGCTTCTTGTTTCTTAGTACTTGCTTGTTTGGAATGTGGGGTAAGGTGCTGGATATTATATTTGCCTCGATTCCCCGAGACAGTCTTGTACCTGACGCCTACCCCTAACTATGTACCAAGACGTGAGAATGATACAACTGTATCTAAATGCTCTTGTGATGAACGTGTTTTCATTGATGTCTAGAAGGAGAGCCCTGTCTCTGGATGTCACCTCCACCACCTTGCGTCGCTGCAAGCCTATGACTTTTCTTTACTCTCTTCCCAGCTACCTGAGTCTAGGTAGACTCCAGAGGACTCAATTGACCTTATTTGTGGTTTTTCTTTCCGTCCTTGCATAGTACAACAAGTTTCTCATCTTGCTTTACTGTTCGTGTGTTGGGCCTCCAGGTCGCTTACCCGGGATGCGGGTAGAATATGTTTCTGGCAATCGAGTCAGAGGCCACCTGAGCTGAATCATCCAGTACTTATGGTGAAGCTCTGACATAATATTATACTAAATCTATTGCCCCAATTATCTCTCGATGCTATATCATTTGGTCATGGGTCACCGCACAGAGCTATCGCCGAGGAGGCGTGAATCATCATCGGAGGTTGTAGCGAGCGATCGGGCGCCTTATCGCCGCCTCCGCCACCGATAAGCCGGTGCAGATCCGGCGTGTTGTATGTAGTAGTAGTACTTACGTCAGGCCCGTCGTGGTGTTTTGTTTCCAACCGTCATCGGCACTCGGCGGATCAGACAGGAATCCCTCTCTCGATTGAAAGGGTCCCAGGCCAATTGATTGGAGCATTCAATTCTCATTATCATTCCGAATTATCATCGGTGCTCCAGCCGGACTGATTGGGAAGGACGTCCCTCGGGGCATTTGGGCTGTCGCCGAGCACGGGGCCAGCGCGGCCGCTGATTGGCGCAGATCGCCGAGGCAGGTGCTCTGCGCGGGGCAGCTCCAATGGAATCGCATGCCCGCCCGGAGCTCTCCCTTCTTCTAGCTGCTCCCTCGCTGTCGTATATAAGCCTTCGCGCGGCCTTTTTTTTCTCGGGTCTGATCTTCTCTCTCCAAATCCATCTCAATTGCACCCTTTGATCACGGAATCGGTGCTGGTTTGCTGTGCAGCCGGTTGAGCGTCGATCAAGGAGCTCCTTATCAATCATCATTGCGTTATCGTCGCGTTCCCCACATCCCTGTTTTCCAGCTGGGTATTTCTTTGTGCCTGGCCCCCCTGACTTGATTCCATCCGACAATTCCTCTTTCCTCTCAATCAATCTATCACAATGGCCGCTCTCTTCCGCTCCAGCCTGAAGCTCCGCCCGGCGACGCGCCTGTCGGCCGTCCGTACCCTCACGACTACTCCGCACCTGCGCGCTGCGGAGAAGCCTTTCTTCCCCGATGAGCCGACCGCTCCCAAGCTGGCCACGGCCATTCCCGGCCCCAACAACAAGGCTGCCGCGGAGAAGCTGGACAAGGTCTTCGATGTTCGCAGCTTGAACATGCTCACCGACTACACCAAGTCCACCGGTAACTAGTAAGTTGTCACGCATCCCAATCCCACCCGGCCTTTGCGGGGACGGCATGCCGAACAAGGACTGACATTGACCCAGCATTGCCGATCTGGACGGAAACGTGCTCTTGGATGTGTAAGCTATTCAACTCGACCCATTGCTAATTTTCGTGGTAATGTTTGTCTAACGCCAATGTCCCTTCCAGTTATGCTCAGATTGCTTCGATCCCCGTCGGCTACAACAACCCTCACCTCCGCAAGGTGGCCGAGTCTCCCGAGATGATCACTTCGTTGATCAACAGACCTGCCCTGGGTAACTTCCCGTCCCATGACTGGGCTGACATCCTGAACACTGGTATCCTCAAGGCCGCCCCCAAGGGTCTTAACCAGGTGTTCACCGCCATGGCTGGCTCGGATGCCAACGAGACTGCCTACAAGGCTGCTTTCATGTACTACCGCCAGCGTGAGCGTGGCGGTCCCGAGACCGAGTTCACCGAGGAGGAGCTGGAGACCACCATGAAGAACCAGTCTCCTGGATCCCCTCAGCTGTCCATCATGTCTTTCAAGTCGGCCTTCCACGGCCGTCTGTTCGGCAGTCTGTCCACCACTCGCAGCAAGCCCATCCACAAGCTTGACATTCCCGCCTTCGACTGGCCCCAGGCTCCCTTCCCCGCCTTGAAGTACCCCCTGGAGGAGCACGCTCAGGAGAACGCTCAGGAAGAGCAGCGCTGCCTGCAGGAGACTGAGCGCCTGATCAAGGAGTGGCACAACCCTGTCGCGGCTGTCATCGTCGAGCCCATCCAGTCGGAGGGTGGTGACAACCACGCCTCTCCGGCCTTCTTCCGTGGCCTTCGTGAGATCACCAAGCGTAACGATGTCCTCTTTATTGTCGATGAGGTGCAGACTGGTGTGGGTGCCACCGGAAAGTTCTGGGCCCACGACCACTGGAACCTCGAGACTCCTCCCGACATGGTGACCTTCTCCAAGAAGGCCCAGACCGCCGGTTACTACTACGGTAACCCGGCTCTCCGCCCCAACAAGCCTTACCGTCAGTTCAACACCTGGATGGGTGACCCGGCTCGTGCCCTCATCTTCCGTGGTATCATTGAGGAGGTTGAGCGCCTGAACCTGGTTGAGAACACTGCCGCTACCGGTGACTACCTCTTCGCTGGCCTGGAGCGTCTCGCCAAGCAGTACCCCGAGCACCTCCAGAACCTGCGTGGTAAGGGCCAGGGAACCTTCATCGCCTGGGACACCCCCAAGCGTGACGAGTTCGTGGCCAAGGCCAAGGGCGTTGGTGTCAACATCGGAGGAAGCGGTGTGAGCGCTGTCCGCCTGAGGCCCATGCTGGTCTTCCAGAAGCACCACGGTAAGCCTCCTTGACCCCTGATTAACACGATAGTGATGCTAATATATTGCAGCTGATATCCTCCTGGAGAGCGTCGAGAAGATCATCAAGCAGCTGTAAAGTAGCTTGTCGGTCTTGTGTTGTTTTGTTGGACTCTAGTCTGTGATTGTATGGCGTTTTAACGGTATTGGGTGGGGAGCTTTTTTATGATATCTTGGGCCGATTTCCATGGCTTTTTACAATATGATTTATGTCTTAGATGTTAACCTATCTATCGAGCAACGATGAGATGCCGTCAAGGCAACGTTGATCTATCTATCCGGGTATCAAGCAGATATCCCCTCGGCATTAAAAGTGTCCGAGTAAGCGTAAAAAGAAATAGAAAACTCCCAACACAGCGGCAATGCGTCAAAGCAAACCCCATTTACCGTACAATTACAAGTCCCAAACTCCAGTAAAGTGCAAGCAGGAAAACCACCTTCCTGCCGAAAAGATAAGCCGTTGGGCTGTGATATAGTCGCCGATGATCGTGGATGCAGGTAGCCAGCAATAAACAAATCTCAGCCGAAGTCTGAAGCACTCAATTTTCCTCTTCGCCCGTGCTACCGTCCCTCCTATACACACACCGATTAGTACTCGTCAGACAACCCAAAGAGGGGACGATCCAACATACGGAATATATTTCACGCCCGAATCTTCCAAGCTCGAGATAATTTCATCGGGAAGCTATAAGAAAAGCAACCGTTAGCTCAGCCACCTACTTATATCCACGAAACTCGATCCAACCCATCCCCACCCCCATATCGAGAGACAAGTGTACTCACCGAACCCGTAACCTTCACTGCATACGTCCCAGGCACATAACTATCCAGTCTCTGCCACCTAGCGACCCAACTCGTCGTCGGATCGCGGAGCGTAACAAGTCCTTCGAAGACCTGAGACGTGCATTCCTGAATAGCGTCGTTGTTTCCGCGGAGACCGAGGACATTATCGCAATTGGGACAACCTTCGCGCATAAATTTCTGTATCGAAAAGTGGGGTTAGATTGAGCTTTGTGCTTGCTTGATATTTGTTGTTGTCGTTGCTGGGAGAACTCACGTTGTGCAGCTGAACGAGAGAACAAACCATGCAAGCGCGAAGAGTGCGCTGCTGACTGGGGGCGACGTAGAAGGACATCCTGTCGTGAATTATCCGTGATGATGGAAGAAGAGAGAGTAAGACGTGAGGCTGTGTCGTTGCTGTTGCTGTTGCTGCTTCTCGGAGGATGAATGCGGCGAGTCGCCCCGAGCTGCTGAGCAGCACAGTCGAGGGTTCTCGAATCGGAGCGGCGATGCCAAGACCGGAGAAAACGGCCGGACGGGGGTTTGGTTTCAATCAATCATTAAGCAACAGCCAGGAACAGAAAGTTGGTTTGTCTGTCTTTTCCTGAATTCTTCTGGCGATATAATTTTTTGGCTAGGTGGCTAATCGATTTACTCACTGTACAGTTTGCGCTGGTGCCTTCCTTCGTCTGCCCTCGTGCCCGCCTGCCAAAAACCCCTCCTTCGTTGCTTTCGCTGCTTTCGCTGAACACAGTCCGCGCGCCCGATGGCTTCTCCCGATCTTGAGGCCGCCACTGCCCTGAAGGTGCAGGGAAATAAGGCTTTTGCTGAACATGAGTGGCCTACTGCGATAGACTTTTATACCAAGGCCATTGAGAAGTATGACAAGGAGCCGTCTTTCTTCAGCAACCGCGCACAGGTACGTGGTGGCGCTGGTGGTGGCACGGGAGGTTATGAATGGGGTGAAGGGAGGATGCTGACTGCGAGGTTATCTTAGGCACATATAAAACTTGAGGCGTATGGCTTTGCGATCGTCGACGCCTCCAAGGCGCTCGAGCTCGATCCTAACTACACCAAGGTTTGTCTATGTTGGCTGGGTGTGTCGCCATCCTGCTAACCTGTCTAGGCTTACTGGAGACGAGCCCTTGCGAACTCCGCTATTCTGCACTACAAGGACGCTCTGAGAGATTTCAAGGCCGTAATCAAGAGGGAACCTCACAATCGCGATGCGAAGCTGAAGCTGAGCGAGTGCGAGAAGCTCGTTCGCCGGCTGGAGTTCGAGAAGGCGATTGAGGTCGGCGACCCGCCCTCCGCTTTTGAGAGCTTGGATATCGACTCCATGGCCGTGGATGCTACCTATGATGGTGCGCCACTTGGAAAGGCCATGACGCAAGAGTTCATTGACGATATGATCGAGCGATTCAAGAACGGCAAAAAGATCCACCGCAAATACGCGTTTCAGATCATTAAGGCGGTTAAGGACCTCGTCTATGCAGAGCCAACAATGGTCGAGATTGGTGTGGAAGAGGGTAAGAGGTTAACGGTCTGCGGTGACACGCACGGTGAGTTCTCTGGTTCTGGTCGGTAGTAGTGGGATATGGCGGCTGACGTGTTTAGGTCAATTCTTTGATCTCCTGGAGATCTTCCGCCTGAACGGATACCCTAGCGACACCCATGCCTACCTTTTCAATGGCGATTTCGTGGACCGTGGATCATGGTCGACGGAGATCGCTCTACTCCTCTATGCATACAAATGGCTGCGGCCCAACGGGATCTTCCTGAACCGTGGTAACCACGAGACCGATGATATGAACAAGGTGTACGGTTTCGAGGGCGAGTGCAAGGCCAAGTACAATGAGACGGTGTTCAAGGTCTTCTCAGAGTCCTTCTCTGCTCTGCCGTTGGCTACATTGATCGGCAACAAGTTCCTCGTGCTGCACGGCGGACTATTCTCCGACGATAAGACTACGCTGGATGACATCCGCAAGCTGAACCGCCACAACCAGCGCCAGCCCGGACAGCAGGGCTTAATGATGGAGATGCTCTGGACGGACCCGCAGACCGAACCCGGTCGTGGTCCCAGTAAGCGCGGTGTTGGCCTTCAGTTTGGCCCGGATGTCACCAAGCGGTTCTGTGAGAAGAACGGGCTGGAGGCGATTATCCGCTCGCACGAGGTCCGCATGAATGGATATGAAGTCGAACACGACGGACGGTGTATCACCGTCTTCTCTGCCCCGAAATATTGTGATACGACGGAGAACAAGGGTGCCTTTATCAAGATCGGGCCCGAGCTCAAGCTGGAGTACCAGGTCTTCGAGGCCGTCCCTCATCCGGACATTAAGCCCATGGTAAGTTTGTTGGATATCTATAGATGGCTGGACCCAGGCTAATTCTCCCCCAGGCTTATGCGCAAAGCTCCCTCATGTCGATGATGTGAGCAACTCGGCTGCTTTACATGCTGGCGTTCGAGGGGATTGGGCGCGAGATAACCTCGCCGACCGGACGGAAGGAAGTCAGGGAATTCTGGAATTCGGAATGGATGCTGAACCCCTTGGGATCCACAGCACGAGGGCGATGTATCTATGGACTGATTGATGACGATCTTGTGGACTTTGCATAGCGGAATGACCATCTATATATTTCTATCACTATCTATTTTGTTTCTCCCTCGTTGCGTTCTCTTGCAGGTACAGGCCTGGGGGGTGTTGGATTGGCTGTAGGACTTGTTTTCTCTGCCTGTTGCATGCCGCTGTTGGATAGAAGTTGAAGATGTAGTACTATGTAGTAGTTGGGGAGACTTTCTTCCTGAGGGGAGTCGGGGCTTTCCGACCGCAACAACCCCGCGGTTCCCATCCCACTTCCTCTCTCTTCCACTCTCCTTCTTGACTCTCTCTCTCTCTCCTCTTCGTTCCCCTCTCCTTTTACTCCTCGAGTCGTATTCATCCTCATCATCACCTAATAATATAATCTCGATTCCTCCGTCACCATGGAATACGACCCCTCAACCCGTGAGTGACGTCGCCCCTCGTGCAGCGCCCAACTAACCCCGCGTTCCCCTCCGCCAGCGCAGTATCTGACCTCCGACAAGTCCAGCTTCGCCTCCGTCTCCGCCCGCGAGCGCTGGCCCGTTATCCTGGTAAGCATCCTTTCTTGCCGGTTGAAGCTACATCTAATCGACCTCCTCCTAGACTGGTGCGATTGACGACCTGCATCGTACTGTCGCCGCCGTGACCGACGAGGAGAAGGCCCAGGAAGGAAAGGCGATTATTGAGAAGCTCGCAGCCTTCAAATATGAGCTCCAGCATAACAGACAATTGACGTGAGCATCCTGCATTCCGTCTGCAAGACCCGAACAAATCCAACAGGCATTGACTCAAGTTCAGTCCTCTCCCCGAGGACGGTCAACCAGACATTGCGGAGTACAACAAGGAACTGGAACAACGCGGGAACCCTTCATGGCACCACGTCCCATGGCTCTACTCGGAATGCTACCTCTGTGCGTGCGATTGATCCTATACGGCATACAACACAGCTGACAGCAACCAGACAGACGCCTGAGCACCCTTTTCTCTCTCTCCAAGCACTGGAAGGGCTATGACGTGTTTGCTCGCCAGAAGATGTCCACCTTCAAGTCGTCCCGTCCCGCCGTCCTCGAACTCGCCGCACGATACAAGGAGCTTGCCGAGGAAGCAGAGAAGAGTACAGATGGCAGGGATCCTGAGCAGGTTGAGCAAGCCAACCGCATCCTCTTCTCGGAGATGTGCGAGATCTGTCTCTGGGGTAACGCCACCGATCTCTCCCTCCTCACCTCCCTCACCTACGAAGACATCCAGAAGCTCCAGGGTTCCGAAGCCCGCAAGGCCTCGGAGAAGAACATTCTCGTCAACGACCTCGACGCCGCCTTCGACGTCCTGCAGAAAGCCCGCCGCGAGCGCAAGAACGAGGAACGCCGTGTCGACATCGTCCTCGACAACTCCGGCTTCGAGCTCTTCGTCGACCTCATCCTCGCCGGTTACCTCCTTTCCGCCGGCCTGGCAACTACTGTTGTGCTCCACCCCAAGGTCATCCCTTGGTTCGTCTCGGATGTCACGCCCCCGGACTTCGCGGCCCTCATCGACGCCCTCTCCGACGCTCAGGGCTTCTACACTGCCCCCGACGAATCCGGCAAGAAGTTCGATCCTCTCTCTGAGAAGGAAGTTTCTGAGGTGAAATTCCTCTTCGACCACTGGAGCCACCTCCACCAAGAGGGAAAGCTGATCATCCGTCCTCACACCTTTTGGACCACCCCGGGAGGCTACTGGCGCATGCCCCACACGGCACCGGAACTGTTCAACGACTTGAAGGAGAGCGAATTGGTCTTGTTTAAGGGTGACCTGAACTACCGAAAGTTGACGAACGACGTAAGCCTCCCTCCCCCACCCTCTTCTCTATCTTATCTGATGTGGCCACTAACCTCCGTGCGCGTAACCAGGCCATCTGGGACCCCACCACCCCCTTCACCACGGCCATCGGACCCCTGGGCCCGAAATCCGGTGTTCGCGTGATGGCCTTCCGCACCTGCAAGGCAGATGTCGTGGTTGGTCTTCCCGCCGGCGTCGACGAACAACTCCGTCAGTTACCCGACGGTGGGGGCCACGAGTCCCGCAAATGGGCATGGAGTGGAAAGTGGGCCGTTGTGTCTTTCTGTGATGGCAAAGCTTGAAGTAGATCTGCTGATAGATATAAACATAGATAGACATATATGGTGACTTCTGTATACACGAAGACATACATACACACATACATACCTACCTGCGTAACAAACGTGTTGAGATAAATTGAGAGGAGCACCCATAACCCATTCAGCGTATAAGTAGAAGTATAGTAGTAGGTAAAGGCCCCTGGTATCCATCACCCATCCCTCAATTCATCCATGCATAAGACACCAACACTAAACTAAACTAATATATGTAGGGAAGTAAGTAGGTAAGGTAAGAACTAAAGATTACATACGACCAATAAGCTAAGTAGACAGTAGTGACAACAACAGAGGAAAACCGTACCGTACCGTATCAAACCCACCAGACCGACCAACCGACCCGCCCACCAGACCAGACCAGACCGACCACACCAAACCACCATAATAGAGACAAGGACAAGGACAGTGAAAATGACAATGACAGATACTACCTATTCCATCACAAAGGAAAGGGGGGTAGACAGGGTAAGATAGGCAGGCTACTCATGACAAGAGAATGAATCTTTCGTATCATTCCATTTCGTTCCAAGTCGACGTTTGATAAAGAAAGAAAGAAATCATTAAGAGATAGGTTCAAGCACTGATAATGGTTGGCTTGTGTATGCCCGCATATTCTCCTTTCCCTTTCGGGATTCCTGTTTGCGCTGCTTGAGGCGGGCTTGTGCTTGCAGCTTTCGGTCCATGGGGATCGAGTCCCGGGGCACGACCGCGGCGAGACTTTGTCGGCGCTTGGCGCGGTCGAGGACGTGCGAGTCGGGGAGGGCCGAGACCGCGTCGAGACTGTATTTGGAGGGGGAGCGGCGGGCACGGGTACGGCCGTGGTGGCTGTCGTCTAGGTTGTTGGCTAGGTGGTGTGCGAGGGAGGTCATGGTCGTCGTGGTTGGGGCGTAGAGGCTGCGGTAAGTTTCTGAATGGGTGGGTTTCTGTTTGGGGCGTGAGCGAGTGGTTGGGGCTTGGTGGTAGTCGGGTGGGGAGGAGGGTGGCATGACGGGTTGTTCTTCGTTGTCGGTGTGGTAGCGGGATTTGGGGGGCTTTATGGATTCGCCGAGGTAGGCGAGTTGGTGTTCATCGGTGATGCCCATTGCTTTCATGGCTCGTTTCAGGTCGAGATCGCCCGTTGTTGTGTATCTAGAGGGGTAGGAGCGTCGCTCTTTGGCCCGCGGGCTCGGGCTGGGTGGCTCGTCAATATCGGCTGTGTTTTCGTCTTCTAGGTCTTTCTGAGGGCTCTTTTGCGCAAAGTCGAACACGTGGACGCCGGTGTAGTTTTTGCGAGGGCTGTCGGAGTGGCGCGCTCGGGCCTGGGTCTGTGGGAGGCTCTCGATCGCGGTGAGTTTGACTCTGAGCTGGTCGATTTGCTCCTGCATGCGACGGCGTTCCTCGTTGAAGGACTCCTTCAGGTCCTCCTCATGGTCGCGGTGCTGCTGCGAGGTGGTTTTCAACCGTTCCCGGTACTCCTGGATGCGCGTCTCCAATTTGGCCTCCCGCTGCTTCAGCTTGGCTTCCTTCTCTTTGCGCCGCCCCTCGTATTTGCTCATCTCCTGCTTCACCCGGGCGAGGGTTTGCTTGAGCGATGCATTCTCCTTCTGGAGCTCGGAGGCTTTCTGTTCGGAGCTGCGGGCGAGATCTTGTAGTTTGGTGAAGTCGGAATGTTGAAGCTTCATCTCCTCGATCTTGGTCTTTGCTTCCTCCAGTGCCTGCTGGGTCTTGCAGAGCTCTTGTGTAGCCTTCTCGGAAGAACTTTCGGGTTCAGAATGCTCGGCGATATCATCGACTTCGTTTCCCACGACGCCGTGCCGTTCTAGCAGTTTGCGTAGCGAGGTAACACGGTGCTTGTATTGCAAGGCTAATGCGGTCTGTTTGGTGAGATCCTGCACCAGCTTCTCTTTGTCCGCATTGGGACTCTCTCCGACCATGGTCGATGCCAGTTGGGTAACATGACGCTCCATCTCGGCGACTTTAATTTCTTCCTCCCTCAGCTTGTCGGCCAATCGCGACGCTTCTTCATCCTTCTTCTTGGCGTACGTTTTCGCGGCCGAGCGGTACTGGATGAGCTTCTTGATCTCCCAGGTGGTTTTTGTCCGGTAGTTATCGAATTCGGCCTTCCAGTATTTTCCAGACTGCGACCGGGGCTCGTTCAAGTTGATGGTATCATCGTTGTCGTCTTCCGCTGGCGAGAGTTTGGGTCCGACCTCCGATGAGGGGTTAGGCTCGGCGTCCTGCGACAAAAAGAGCTCCATGCCCTTGGAAGACCTGTCGCGCGAATCCATCAAGGCTTGGGTGAGTTTACTCCGAGGCTTAAATTTGCCGTCCGATAAGTTAGCCGACCACTGGTTGCTGAAGTTGCTGGATGAGGATGTTGGTGTTTTGGAAGATTTCGTGGATGGGTCCTCCCGTCTGCGTTCGTTATCAACGACGCTGTCGCCGAAGGATACGGTCTTCCGACGGTTGGATGCGGTTCCGGGGGTCACGAGGATGCTTTTTGTAGGCGAGGCCATCGCGTTCATTCCCAGGTCCATGTCGGCTTTGGCAGCCCTGGAAGCATCTCTGGCGGCTCCAGTCGATGGCTTCAAGGAAATATAGTCATTCAGGCGCCGATTGGCGGATGGCTTCTTTGTCTGGATGGTACGGTCGGCGGTCTCGTCGTCATCGGCACCGGGGGTGCCAAACAAGGCGCTCTTGAAGGCGCGGATCGCAAACACGGGAGCGGGCGTCTCGGGTGGTTCTCCGGTCCTTGAGTTGTCTATGGGGATAAACAAGTTAGAAAAACAAGTCAGGGCGCGTTGGCCGCGGTTGGGAATCGGTCAGATAATTGCACGGCCATTATTGGACCGCAATCGGGGGAGGGCGCGCGCTCCAAAGCAGCTCGACGGCAGACACGCACCTGCGACCTGGTCTTCCTGCCCAGTGATCCACCCCAACATCGCGTCTGCAGGGGACAAGGTTGCGTTCAAATTACCGGACTGGACGAGACACGCATGACACCAGCGACACCATTGGTGACGGGGAAGAGGGTCGATGGGGGGAGGGGATTGACGTGGAGCGCTGTGCTTTGTTTACGGGCGGTGATGCCCCAGTCACGAGCTGGCCGCCCCAAAGGCGGTCGGCGGAAAAACGACGGGGCGGTGCCCCTGGTCGGGCGTTCATATACGGGCCCAGCAGGAGAGAGACCGCTTTTTTTGCTGCTGGTGCTTGCTGGCTTCCCTCACAATCCCTCCTTCTTCGTTCCCGTGCTTCTGCTCCCTCCCTCCCTTTCCCCCCCTCACCCACCTCACCTCTTCTCTTTTTTAAACCTACAATCCTCCCCTGTTTCAGACATGTCCCCTGCTGAGTTATAGAGGGCTGCAGCTTCGGCTGCATCTTTGTCACCATTTTCCGTGGCAAAGGCCAACTCGATCTAGGTGCTCATCTCCCACACCGCCCGACAACGCCCCGCTATGCCTCACAAGCAGAAGAAGAATTTCAACAATGCCTCCAAGAACGGCTCTCCCCGAGTGGAGAAGAAGCAGCTCGTTCCAGACTCGCCGCCATTTTCGGCCCCCGTATTAGCTCCGACCAATTACCAGGAGATCCACCAGAATGAAGTCGAAGCTTTGCGCTCCATCTACGGCGATGATTTTGAGGAGGTGCAGCACAGGCGCTCGGCCTGGCAGGTATGTCGTCGCATTGGGTTCCTCTTGGGAATTACTGACCATGTCTAATCTAGCAATCATCCGAGGTCGCATTCAAGCTTCACCTGCGAGCCTTGTCCAATCCCGAGGTCCACCTTGAATTGCTGGTCGAGCTGCCGACCACCTACCCCAAGACCTTTCCCAACATTACCCTGGAAAACCTAGATGACCTCCGGCGAGGTGCTCGATCGAGAGTACAAGACATTGTCCGGAACAAACCGAAAACCCTCCTGGGCTCCGAAATGATCTATGAGCTCGCCGTGTCTATTCAGGATGTCCTTGAAGACGTCGCGGAGGCTCAGGCTCAAGACAAGGATCTCCCGAGTCTAGAGGAGGAACGGATGGAGCAAGAAGCTGCCGCCAACCAGCGCGCAGAGTTGGAGCGACAGGAGGAGCTCCGGAAACAGGAGGCTGCCACAGCAGAAGAGGAACGTGCCCTACAGCAGCTCTTGGAGGATAAAATCCGACAGCGGACAAAGGCACGCATATCTCGACGTAAAAGTCGCACTTCTGGTCTGGATGCGATTGGAGACACAGATGCGGTGGGCAATATTCCGGGCGCGATCACCTTCGACCCACCACTAGCTATGACGGACACAGACCAGGCCACCCTGGTCTTCCAAGCTGTTTACGGAAAATCGCTCCTCCAGAGCGGTCCCGCGAAGGATACGTTTACTGTCAGACCTGTCGTCTCCGACAATCGGTCTCATGCGCCTCTTTTGGTCCTGAAAGAAATTTCACTTGATGAGAAGGGTATTGAGCCTCTCGGGTTTCGAGAGAAGATGCGCTCGAGTGAGGACAGGCTAGAAGGCCTGAAGAAATTACGGCACCCGAATCTTGTGGATTTTGTTGGGTTTAAAATTTCGAGACCCTTGGGTATGCAGGATACTCGGGACAGCATCTGGACAGTCTACGCCTTGCTCGAATATTCGAACAAAGGAACACTGGCTGAGTTTCTGGACATTGTGGGGACAGCACCCGTTGAAGTACTCCGCAGCTGGACGATCCAGCTGCTGGAAGCTTTGGAGTTCTACCACCGCAGTGGATTTGTCCATGGCAATATCCATTGCGGTCGCGTCCTACTATTTCGAACTCCCACGGGAGGGACCATTGTTAAACTGCGAGCCGCAATTGAAGAGGCTCTCCCCGACTCTCCCGCTAGCAAGCGACTACTAACGACGTCGAAGTCACCATTCTGGATGCCACCCGAATTGACATCGGAGGGTGCACCGCCAACCATGAAGACTGACGTTTGGGACCTGGGTATCACCTTTCTTCAAATGGGATTCGGAATGGATGTGCTACAGCGTTATACGTCAGCAAATGCGCTGATGGGCACACTCGGTCTATCGCCTGCCCTGCAGGACCTATTGCATGAGTTCTTCAGGCCCGACCCAAAGAAGCGGCCTACGGCTTTCCAACTACAGCCTTCAGAGTTCTTCCGTGTTGACACGCCTCTGATTGCTCGCACAAGTGCCTCAAACTCAATCTCCTTGCCGAGACGTCCACGTATCGATTCTTTCGGCGGCTTGCCTGCTTTTTCGCGGTACAACCAGGATTTTGACGAAGCTGGACGACTGGGGAAAGGAGGGTTTGGTCAGGTGGTTAAGGCGAGAAATAAGCTCGATGGTCGCTTCTACGCTGTCAAGAAGATTGCTCAGAAGTCCACCGCGGCGCTGAAAGATACATTGTCGGAGATTATGCTGCTATCCCGGCTAAACCACCCATACGTAGTACGTTACTATACTGCGTGGATTGAGGAAGATTATGATTACGTAGACGAGGAAGCCATCTCCTCCACAGAGAGTGACGTCTTTGCTAGTCGAGACACGCGCGCCTATGATTATAGCACGGGCGGGCTTGACTTTATCAGCTCGAGCGGATACCCTAAGGTTGAGTTTGGCTCGGACAGCGACGAGGATAATGACGGAACCCTGTCGAACGGCGACAAGGGCGACACGTCCGGGACCTATGAGACTGAGAGTGGCACAGGCAGGGAGCTCAGTCGGACGAGGTCCGGTTCCCAGGGCAGGCCCGTGCTGACGACGCTCTTCATTCAGATGGAGTACTGCGAGAAGCATGTAAGTATATCTGTGGTGGTTGTTAGACTTTGCCCAGCCGATGCTAATCGCCCCAAGACCCTTCGTGACCTGATACGGAATGGCTTGTATGACGATGTCGACCGGTCCTGGCGTTTGTTCCGGCAAATCCTGGACGGGCTGAGCCATATCCACGGCCATGGCATCATCCATCGCGACCTCAAGCCGGACAACATCTTCATTGATGTAGCCAACAACCCCCGCATCGGAGACTTTGGCCTGGCCACTAGTGGCCAGTTCACGACAGCCGTACGCTCTTCTTCTACCGCAGACTTTGAAGGCAACTTCACTCGCAGCCTGGGCACAACATACTATGTTGCACCGGAAATGAAGTCTGGTTTCACGGGCAACTACAATGACAAAGTCGATGTGAGTACAAATCATCAGGAACTGGGGGATTGCAGTCATTTAACCCGGGTATAGATGTATTCTCTCGGTGTTATCTTCTTCGAAATGTGCCACTCCTTACCCACCGGTATGGAGCGTGACCAGACCCTGCGGTCTATACGGGAAAAGCACCACGCGCTGCCATCCACGTTTCAGGATTCGGAGAAGGTGGTTCAGGGCAGGATTATCGAGTCATTGCTCAGCCACAACCCGAGCGAGCGTCCTTCAGCCTCGGATCTTCTTCATAGTGGACAGATTCCTCTGCAGGTCGAAGAAGAAACCTTCAGGCGTGCAATCATGCATCTACTCTCCGATCCTAATTCGCCTGACTACAAGAAGATCTTGTCCGGGATCTTCTCCCAGTCGCCAAAGAAGTTCGAAGACATTGCCTGGGATATGGACTCTCGCGGTACCCCAGGGGCCAACGAGTTGTTGATTCAAGGGCTTGTCAAGGAAAAGCTGACGTCGATCTTCCGCCGGCATGGAGCGGTAGAAACTCCAAGGCAGATGCTGTTCCCCAGATCTCAACACTACAATAACGGCGCCGTCCGATTGCTCGACTCTTCTGGCAATTTGCTTCAATTGCCCTTTGACTTGACCATGCCGAACGCGCGTGCTATTCCACGGCAAGACCCCTCATTGGAGAAAACATTTGCCTTTGGAACCGTCTATAGGGAGCTACCTCATGGTGGCGAGCCCAGGACTCACAAAGAGGTTGATTTCGATATCGTGTCACATAACGCTTTGGACTTGGCATTGAAAGAAGCTGAAGTCATCAAAGTGGTCGACGAGATTATCGAGGAGTTTCCTCCCCTGAGGTCGTCACCTATGTGCTTCCTGATTAATCATTCGGACCTGCTTCAGCTGATTATGGAGTTCTGTCGGATAACGCCGTCTCAGATCCCTCGTGTCAAGGAAGTCGTCAGCAAATTGAACGTTGGGAAGTGGACCATGCAAAAGATCCGGAGTGAGCTTCGCTCCCCGGCCATCGGTGTTGCCTCGACCTCGCTAGATGATCTGGCTCGGTTCGACTTCAGAGGTTCGTTGACCCAGTCTTGTCGGGGTAACAGCATGACTAACCTGGTTTAGACTCCCCAAAGCAAGTCCAGAAGCGACTGCGAGTTATCATGCAGGGCACAGAGTTTGCCGAGCGCCTGGCGCCCATCTTTGCTCGCATCAACCTACTTGTAGCTTATCTGCAAAACTTCGATGTAAAGCGGAAGGTTTACATGAACCCTCTTGGAAGTCTTAACGACAAATTCTTCCGAGGCAGCATCCTTTTCCAATGTGTTTTTGACAGCAAGCGGCGTGATGTCTTTGCAGCAGGCGGGCGTTATGACTCGTTGGTCCAAGAGTTCCGCCCAAAGGTCTTGGCGAGCCGGCCTCAAACTCATGCTGTAGGATTCAATCTGAGCTGGGATAGACTCAGCTCGTCTATGCTTGAGTATCTTGGGACACCTGCCAAGACTCCGACGAAGCATCTTGATATGGAGACTGGAGCTTTCTGGAAGACACGAAGGGTAAGCCGGATTCACTTTGTCGGGTATTCAAGGTTCTAACTACTGGCAGTGTGATGTGCTTGTCGCAAGTTTCGATCCCACCGTGTTGCGCACGATGGGCATCAAGATCGTCCAAGATCTATGGCTTAATGACGTCAGTGCAGAGCTGGCTGTGGATGCCTCTTCGCTGGAAGAGCTTTTGAACAAGTACAGAGACAACAGCCATGGCTGGATTGTCATTGCGAAGCCAGACAGTCAGGAGAGAGGCTTCAAGGTCAAGAGCCTCTTCCCGAGGGAAGAGTTCGACATTCGGGGGTCTGAACTCGTGCCTTGGCTTCGAAACGAGATACGTGCGCGCTACCAACGAGAGGGCGCAGTAGACCCTCTCCGGCAATCTCGTCTCCCCAGTCAGGCGGACCCTGGACCCGCATTCAATGAGCGGTTCAGCGACGTGCGCATCCTTGTGCCCCAGCACCGAAGCAAGAAGTCGAACCGTAGGAATATTGTTGAGTCGGGTATGTCATCAGCTATCTATGATCCAAGGGCCCTGCTAACCCCCATCAGCATTGTTCCGATCTCGCGAGGTCGTCGAGGATGCATTGAACGGCCCAGTTGCCGCCATAGATACTCGTGATGAGCTACTAGAGGCCATCAGGGACACCAGGCTTTCAGATCCGGAAAGTTGGCGCGCGGTCATTCAAAACGCACCATTGACGGAACGGAAGTACCTCACGCAGGTCCACGAATTGCTGTTAGACCTTGCCACCGAGAGCCGTGTAGATGGGATGGAGAGTTTCAGCAATGCGTTTATATACAACTACCGAACCGGGTCATGCATATATTATGATCTCGGATGTGGAAATGACAGGTGATTGATGTGAGATGTTGCATGTGTTATGTGTCTGTTAATAATCGCTGTTTGTTGAATTTCTCTTCTCTGAATATACCCACAATTATGCCATGCAAACAAGCGTTGATATTAGCCATCAATAGAAGTCATATAATGAATTGAACCCCAGTAAAGCACATTTTCAGGTATCTCTGCTATAGTACAGGTAAGAATGCACACAACGTACGTAAATCACTCGCTGTCGTCGTCACTCCCGTAAGCGACCAGAGGCCCGGCGGCTTTGGGTGCCTGCTGTGTCGTGACACTGCCGCCTGCTAGCCCCTTCAAAGCTGCCACGGAAGAGCTGGAGAAGATTCCACTGCCCTCGTATTCCTGGGGAGCAACTGCCGTAGACGAAGACGCCGACCCAATCATCAGAGGCTGCTCCGGAGCCTCCAACTGGGCAGCACCCCCGGTATCCTCCAACTCCTTCGTCCGGGAGAACCACACCTCATCTGGTGGCTCATATCCTTGCAAGCCGTAACTGCCCTCGATCTTCTTTCGCTTTTTTGCTTCCGGATCTCTTCCCTCCAACTCAGCAACAAACTCCGCTGGCAAGGCCCTCCGCACCGCCTCAGCAGCCTGTTCCTCCAACCTTCTGGCCTCCCGCTTCTGCGCCAGTGGATTCGGATCAACCGTTGCCCACCGCACGTTCAAGATCTCATTGTGATCCAAGCTCTGATGTGCCATGGCCTCCTTGGCGAACTGCGCATTCGCTTCATTCGTATAAGTCACGAACGCCACACCCCGTGACGTCAACACGCGAATGCGATCAATCTGACCCCATTCGGCGAAATTCCTGGACACCACCTCCTCTATGTTGTCTGTAACGTGGATACGTCCGACGTACAGAGTGCGATTCTGCCTCGTAAACGATCCCACACCTCCCATATCATCCCGATAATCGCTGAACTTATCCCGTCCAAAACAATCCACGTTCGGGTTGAAAAGATCATGCAGTGTCGGGAGCCGGTGGAGATACTCGCATTCCGAGCCGCGTGGACACACACCGCGTGCGAAAAACAGACAGAAATAAGATCCAGGCACTTTGTCCGCGCGCGTGTATCCGCTGTCTCGGGAGATGTTGCACCGCGATGGCGCGGCGGTCTTACTTAAATATGAGTTCTCGCGATCGCCTCCGCTCCATTTATTGTACCAGATGTTAAAGATCTGCCCAGTCTGAGGAGGAGGTTCCGATTTGATGGTCGCTGGGTCGACTTGGGGGCGAGCTGGACGACGCTTGCGGCGGATGATCTTTTTGGTTTTCTTCTGGGTCTCATCTGTGGTAACGAGGGCGGTTTCCGAAGCATCCTGTTGCTGATCTACCTCCGTTTGCTGTTCTATGGCCTCCTGAGGAGGAGTGACTGCTGTTTCGGCCATGGCTGCTGTGTTGTTGAAGATGGATGAAGTGAGGTTGAAGTTGAACAAGATTCCGCCGGAGGTGGTGAGGTTACGTAAGCCAGACGTTGCTTGGCGTCGCGGACGATTTTGAGGTGATTTCCCCAGACCAGAGCGGCTCTCGATCTTGCGCCGCGATCACGTCAGTCTTCGGGGAGATTTTCGCTTGTGTGATAGAGACTTGAGAGCTTTGGCTTGCTGCGAAATCCAGCCCCCGCTGTCTGGTTGTGCTGTTTTCTGTATCTGAGAAATCGAGTCCGCGGGGCTCCTAACCGTCAAGATGGTGAACATCACGGAAAAGATCAAGGAGTATGTCTCTGATATCACAAATCAGCGGTGAGGATTTGGGGGATTGACCTGGCTTACTCTTATTTGTTGCTTGACAGGATTGAAGATGAGATGCGCAGGACGCAGAGTAAGTGTCCTCATTATATCAAGTCTCGATAGCCCCGCCATGCTAACCAAGCGCAGAGAACAAGGCCACAGGTGCGAAATGATGCCCCCGCTGATTATATTGTAGTATCATCCTAATGCACTCTTAACTGCAGAATACCATCTTGGTCTACTGAAAGGGTAAGCGGACCTCATCCCCATTATCACATCTACCCCGCCATATAGAAGCATTACTGACTCCCCCAGAAAACTTGCCCGACTACGCGCCCAGCTCCTAGAACCAACGGGTGGTTCCAGTGGCGGTGGTGTAGGTTTCGACGTCAGCAAGAGTGGTGATGCACGTGTGGCTCTCGTCGGTTTCCCGTCCGTCGGTAAATCCACCTTCTTGAGCAAGATCACCAAGACGAAGAGTGAGACGGCCGCGTATGCCTTCACCACCCTTACTGCTATTCCAGGTGTCCTGGAGTATGGTGGTGCGGAGATCCAAATTCTCGATCTTCCGGGTATCATTGAGGGTGCGTCTGAGGGTAAGGGACGAGGAAGACAAGTTATTTCTGCTGCCAAGGTTTGTTTCTTTGCACTGTCTATGGTGTTTTTGTATCTCTTGGGACTAACTTCTGGCTAGACAAGTGACCTCGTTCTGATGGTCTTGGATGCCACGAAACGAGCTGAGCAGCGAGCGCTTCTGGAGGCGGAATTAGATGCCGTAGGTATCAGACTGAACAAGGAGCCTCCGTGAGTATACCACTCCTGCCAGTCATGCGCATCTGGCTAAACCGAGGCTGCAGGAACATCTACCTCAAACAAAAGAAGGCCGGTGGTATGAAGATTACCTTCCAGACGCCTCCCAAGTATCTCGACGAGAAGATGATCTACAACGTCCTCCGCGATTACAAGATGCTCAACTGCGAAGTTTTGGTCCGGGATGAATATGGTACGTTTCGCAGTCCATGATCCTCCTATGTAGCATGAATAACACCTATCCAGCCACAATCGACGACTTCATCGACGTGATCATGAAAGACCACCGTAAATACATCAGATGGTATTCTTCCCCGTCTATCTCCATACTCCTGGAAAAGTCTAACCCAAGCCCAGTCTTTACGTCTACAACAAGATTGACGGCGTCAGCCTGGATTTCCTCGACCAATTAGCCCGCGAGCCATACACTGCTGTCATGAGTTGTGAACTGGATCTGGGCGTTGAAGACGTCGTTGATCGCATCTGGAAGGAACTCCGTTTAATCCGGGTCTACACAAAACGGTTCGTTAATTCAAGCCATACATTGGTTGTCGCCGACGAGCCAGAGTGCTAATGGTCCTATAGGAAGGGCGAGGAACCCGATTTCTCCGAGGCTCTGATCTGCCGCAGCAACTCGACCATCGAGGATGTGTGCGATAACATCCACCGGACGTTGAAGGAGACATTCAAGTATGCGATGGTGTGGGGAGCGAGTGCGCGACATATCCCCCAGCGGGTTGGGTTGGGGCATGTGGTGTCCGATGAGGATGTGGTGTCGATTGTTGCTAAATGAAGCGGAAGATAGTTTAACACGATCGATATTGCGTTTTACAATGACGTCCGGAGTAGATACCAGGTATGGAGTGTTTTTCTGCAGATCACTTTCAAGTGGGATGAACCGCGGAGGCCCTACGGAGCCCTTCACCCGGCCGATAAACGGGGATGATGGTGTGGTTGACATTGCCCCAGCAAAGGTCGTCCGCAGATTGGTTCCGGGTCTCCCGATTTCTTCACCTTCTTCAGGCTTCTTCAGAGTTCAGGCTGGAAGTGGATCCACCGGAGGAAAGCGTCATGGAAAAGTAGATTCCCTTTTTGGTGGATTAAGATACACCGTAAGTGGGTTAGCACTTAGCAAGAGTGCCCGCCTGTCAGGGCACACGCGGCACCCATGCCCCAGGCCGCCAACTGCCGGCCGCCCACCGCTTGGCCCCGCAGGCCTGACCTTCCTAGTCCGTCCAAATGGCCCGACGGGCTCGGCTTTGATCACCCCAGCGGATAAAGCCTCATCCTCGTCTTCTCGTCTCTTCCCATTCGCATCCACCGTGTCAACTCGCCTTCTCTTTTTACCCTCAGCCAAAGTGATAACAGTCGTGATTCCCTTCAAGAAAGCTACTGCGGCTGTTCATCTTCAAAGTAGGTAAGTAACACTACTATCCAGTCTGCAAGGGGAAACTCACTGTAGGCAGTGTACAGTTGATCCCGAGCTAGCCGGTCCGAAAGATGACACAAACCACGCCTGACGATCTCTGACACGGGACAGCTGCTGAGCACCTCCATCCGACTCCATGGGACGCGTACATCTCTCGCCATTGACCAATGGCTCGTCCTTCTTCTGCCTTGCTCGCGGATCGCCCGCAGTGGGCCTGCAATGCTTGGCCTCCTTAATCTAGATACAACGACGACAGTGGTGATGAGCAATAACAACAGTGGTAGCAATGGCATCAGACAACCATGGTCCTCGAGCCTTCGACTGGTATAAAACCGCTCGACTGCCCGGCTGAACTCTGCCTTTCTCTCCTGGCAGGCACTCTCCTTCCAGCATCCACTTTCCCTCCTTTCGTCCCTCTCTTCCACTATGCGCTCCAGGATGAGCCTGTTGGCCGGCACGGCCACCCTCTCGGTTGTACAGGCGAACAGTCTGGCGGATGTCTGCACATCCACCTATGCTAGTTCTGTTGTCCCCAGTAGCCCCCTCATGGGTATCACCGTTGACACCTCGTCCGTCACTGCGAACCCCGTCTACAACTACAGCTCCAGTGCTACGGCGTTCTGGGCGGCCTCCACCTTCGATTTCTGCAACGTCACCCTGTCCTATAGCCACGACGGGCTCGACGACCAGGTTCTGCTGCAGTTCTGGCTCCCTGCCCCGGCTGACTTCCAGAACCGCTGGCTCTCTACCGGTGGTTTCGGTTATGCCATCAACGGCGACGGTGCGGACCTGCCCGGTGGTGTCATGTACGGAGCTGCCTCTGGTCAGACCGATGGTGGGTTCGGCAGCTTCTCCACCGAATTCGACGCCGTTTTCTTGAAGGCCAATGGCACCATTGACCGCGATGCTCTCTACATGTTTGGATACCAGGCCCACTACGAACTGAGCGCTGTCGGAAAGGCCTTTACCAAGAACTTCTTCAACCTCGGCAGCTCCGAGAAGCTCTACGCCTACTACCAGGGTTGCTCTGAAGGTGGTCGTGAGGGTTGGTCTCAGGTCCAGCGCTTCGGTGAAGAATGGGACGGTGCTGTCATTGGAGCCCCCGCCATCCGCTACGGCCAGCAGCAGCCCAACCACCTCTTCCCGGGCCTTGTCGAGCAGACCATGGGATACTACCCCCCTCCCTGTGAGCTCGAGAAGATCAACAACCTGACTATCGCCGCCTGCGATGCACTTGACGGGAAGAAGGACGGTGTTGTCTCCCGGACTGATCTCTGCAAGCTTCACTTCAACATCAACAGTACCATCGGCGCCCCCTACTACTGCCCGGCTGAGACGACCACCACTGTCCTCAAAAAGCGCCTCTCCACTAGCAACACCACTCCCGCCCAAAACGGCACTGTCAGCAAGGAGGGTGCCGCCGTTGCTGCCAGCATCCTTGACGGCCTGAAGACTCTTGATGGCAAGCGCGCCTACATCTGGTACCAGCCCAGCGCGACCTTTGATGACGCTGAAACGCAATACAACTCTGAGACCGGCGAATGGGAACTGGATATCACTTCCCTGGGCGGTGAATGGGTCGCCAAATTCCTCGAACTTCTCGACGTTGATAACCTCTCCAGCATGGATAACGTCACCTACGACACCATGACACAGTGGATGGAACTCGGCTGGCAGCGATACGAAGACGTCTTGCAGACCACCTGGCCCGATCTCACTCCCTTCCACAGCAAGGGCGGCAAGATCATCCATGTGCACGGTGAATCCGACCCCAGTATCCCCACTGGCTCCTCCGTTCACTACCACGAATCTGTCCGTCAGCAGATGTACGGCTCCTTGTCCTTCAACGAATCTACCGCCGCCCTCAACGACTGGAACCGCCTCTACCTGGTCCCGGGTGCCGCCCACTGCTCCTACAGCAGCGACCAGCCCAATGGCGGCTGGCCCCAGACCACTCTTCTCACCTTGATCGACTGGGTCGAAAATGGTGAGAAGCCTGACCGCCTCAATGCCACCGTTCAGGAGGGCTCCAACTACGGCGAGCACCAGGAACTCTGCGCCTGGCCGCTGCGTCCGTTCTACGTCAAGAACGGCACTGAGTTGACCTGCGTCTTTGACGAGGCCTCCTACCAGACCTGGGTGTATGACTTTGACGCCTACAACCTTCCTCTGTACTAGATGGCTTCAAATCTGGTGGACCGATCGAATGCTATCAGACTTGGAATGGCCTTTTCTGTCTTCCGAATATGTATTTGTGACTAGACTCGCACTTTGACTTATATGATATGTATAATGTATGGAATTAAATTGACTCCTCTTCGTCGTTGAATTCATGTGTCCGTTGGTAGAAGCTGGTTTTGAAAGCACATACATAGTGACCACTACCTCCTAATCCTCATACTTCCTCCCATCCGGATACCCCATATATCCCTCCAACTCCTTTAAATCCGGCATACCTGCAGGACCCGGCATATACCGCCAATTCTCCCTGGTGGTGGTCCCATTCCACCAAATCTCATTTTTATGCAACGCATCCATAATCTTGGGGGCATCGATATAGGTCCGAATTTCGACCATTTGATCCTCATACCACCTCGTCACCCAAACATTCACGATATCAAATTCATCACCTACAACAAACAACATCAGCCACAGACCTTCACCTCCACCTTTCCCCCAGAAAACCCTATGAAAAAAAAAAAAAAAAAAAAAAAAAAAAAAAAAAATCAAAAGAAAGTAGATACCAGAATTCATCACCCCCTAAACTCCACCTCCTGAACCGACCACCGACTCTCACACCCCCCATGAATCGCCACAGGATGAATCTCAAATTTATCCGCATGATCCATGAACAACACACTGACTCGGCGTAAGGCATTCACATAGAAATGCATGAGATCGTTATAGTGGCCTGCAATCGGGTGGTGACCCACCACAGTGAAACTCACATTCTTGTGGATCAGCGTGAAGAGCTTCGTCATGTCCTTTTCCAGGATCTTGAATGAGTCCCAGATGTGGGGTTGGGAGGCGTAGGCGCAGTTCGTGGAGGGTTTTCGAATTTGAAGCCCTCCCGTGAGGGGTCTGGGGTTGGGGAGGGGTCTGGGGAGGGGGGATGAGGCCGTCGCCGGTGCAGTGCTTGTTCGGGGGGTGGGAGGGGTCGATTAGTCCCGTGCCGTCGCAGGAGGGGTCGTCTTGGAGGTTGGGGGGGTTGGAGGGGAGAGGGAGGGAGAGAGGGTTAGTTGGGCTTGGTTTGGGGGTTGGAGGTGGGCATGGTTGGTGTTGGTGTTGGGATAGGGAAGGGGAAGGGTGAGGGTGAGGACGGTGGTGGTGAGGGATAGGGCTGGGAGGAGGTGTTGGAGGTGCATAGTGGTGTATAGGGTGTATAGGATAGGTGATGTATTGGGCTATCCAGGTATCTGGTTACTGTTCCTTCTCATATTTATTGTATGGAAGTCTCCGACTGCATTAATCTGCCGAAATGTGTCACCATTGAGTACTACCTATATACATTGTAGTATGGGGAGTGCGAGGCAAGTAGATGTGCCCTACTAATATATGATGCACCGCAAAAAGAGCCGATGCTGCTTCTGCTGTCGCTATCAGAGGTGGCAACTTGCCGATAAGCAAGGCGTTTCAGCGCCTTGATTGGCTCCACGGGAGTCGTACGCCATCTGCAGGATAAATTTGAGCAACATCACGAGTCAATTGGCTTCTGAAAAGGCTTTCTTGGATGTGACCACGGTGTAACTTCCCGGTGGTCGAGGGTTTATATAGTCCCCCCATTCATCCATCGCATGCTGTAAGTCGAACCGACCAGATTGCTTCTTTGCTCGGAGAGTATCAAGCTATGTACTCCGTCCGGAGTACAGCCCCCCATTATCGCCTGGGGTTATACTATTTATATTAGTCAAGAGTATCCATGTTAAGGAAATGGACCTATCACTTAGGTAATGTTTAGTCAAAGGGATCTGCCATCCCAGGGCTATCAGCTTTAGGGCACCCACCGGGTGGAGAGAGTTACATCAATAGTGAGTCATGACCAGCTGTGATGGGAGGAGGGGGAACCAGCCCCTGTGTGTTGTACCCATGGATGGCTGGGACTGTACCTCTTAGCACTTACACATTGTACTACTATGGACTAGGACTAGTAGTAGAGCTATCCAGGAGGTTCGGACGAACTGGGATCCGCCCGACTAGTTGGAAGCCGCCGCGAGTATCGGGCGGGCGTGAGTCAACGCCGTGAATAAAAAACTCGAAACTTTCCCACGCCGATAGCGGGCAAGCAATGGGGGCCCTCCGATTGGCCGGAAGGGGGCCAGTCGGTGAGCCCTTGGCACGTGCCGCCCGACCGGCCCGGCCAGCGAGCGCACTTTTTCCCTTCTTTTTAAGGCCGGGCTCGTCCTTCTCTCCCCCAGTCCTTTCTTTCTCTTCTCCTCCTCTCTTAGTTCTTCCCCCCCAATCCATCCCCAGATCACCAGCCCCATTAAATAAATGTCCATCTAAAGACATTCAATCCCCCCATCTTCCCATCCCCTTTATACCAATCCCAGTGACTGGTAACAGCACAGTCGCGCTTATGCGTTTGGCACCTTCCGTCTTCACTTCTCAGGTATGTTCTCCCGCCACCACAACCCCCCAGTCACAGCCATTGACCTCGCCTTTAAATTGATGCTAATCGACTCTCTTTAGGACTACATCTCGGATCACCTCTGGAAAGCTTCAGGAAACTTTTGAATCCACCCCACAGCAACCGTCTTCGTCTCTCATCTCTCCAAATAAATACCTCCCATCACAATGTTCGCTCGTGTCTTCAAGGCAATGCCCGCCCGGGCTCCCGCCTTCACTTCCGTGAATGCCTCCATCCAGTCTCGCTTCATGGCCACCGTTCGTCAGGGACGTCCGGCCCATGAGCGTGCCACCTTTACGATCCGAGATGGCCCTATCTTCCACGGCAAGTCCTTTGGAGCCCGCTCCAACATCTCCGGTGAAGCCGTCTTCACCACCTCCCTTGTGGGATACCCCGAGTCCTTGACCGACCCGTCCTACCGTGGTCAGATCCTGGTCTTCACCCAGCCTCTGATCGGTAACTACGGTGTTCCCTCTGCTGAGAGGGACCAGCACGGTCTCCTCAAGTACTTCGAGTCCCCCAACCTCCAGGCAGCTGGTGTCGTCGTGGCCGATGTGGCTGAACAGTACAGTCACTGGACCGCCGTCGAGAGTCTCGGCGAGTGGTGTGCCCGCGAGGGTGTTCCCGCCATCTCTGGTGTCGACACCCGTGCCATTGTCACCTACCTCCGTGAGCAGGGTTCTTCCCTCGCTCGTATCACCGTCGGTGAGGAGTACGACGCTGATCAGGACGAGGCTTTCGTCGATCCTGAGCAGATCCACTTGGTCCGCCAGGTCAGCACCAAGGCTCCTTTCCACGTCAGCGCGGCCAACCCTACCTGCCACGTTGCCGTGATCGACTGCGGTGTGAAGGAGAACATCCTGCGTAGCTTGGTCAGCCGCGGAGCCAGTATCACTGTGTTCCCCTTCGACTACCCCATCCACAAGGTCGCTCATCACTTCGATGGTGTCTTCATCTCCAACGGCCCTGGTGACCCGACCCACTGCCAGGACACCGTCTACCACCTCCGTCGTCTGATGGAGACCTCCCAGATCCCCATCTTCGGTATCTGCCTGGGACACCAGCTCCTGGCTCTGGCCAACGGTGCTCGCACCATCAAGCTCAAGTATGGTAACCGCGCCCACAACATCCCCGCGCTGGACACCACTACTGGACGCTGCCACATCACCAGCCAGAATCACGGATATGCCGTCGATGTCTCGACCCTGCCTTCCGACTGGAAGCCCTACTTCGTCAACCTGAACGATGCTAGCAACGAGGGTATGATCCACAAGACCCGTCCCATCTTCAGCACCCAGTTCCACCCCGAGGCCAAGGGCGGTCCCCTGGACTCCTCTTACCTCTTCGACATCTACCTTGACAGCGTGGTCAAGTACAAGAACAACCAGCTGGCGTTCCACCCCAACCGGAACACCGCCCCCAGCCCTCTCTTAGTCGATCTCTTGGCTAAGGAGCGTGTTGGTGTTCAGCCTACCATTGGCATGCAGAACGTGGCTGCCGCCGCCGCTGCTGCCGTTGCCGCTGCTTAAGGGATGTCATTGGGAACTGGAGTCTGGGTTTGGGTTTGGTTGGATTTCTTCGGTTGTACATGAGTTGGTTCGGTAATAAGTTTGGGTTCATTTGGTTTAGGAATACATATCCATGATTTCACATTTCACCCTTTACTATTGTACTACGTAGTATAGCCCCGCATTGTGTAACCCCGTAAAAGTGTACAATGTTCTCCTAAACCAATACGGGTAAGGCCAGCTACTCTGTCTCAGGCAACAAGGTCTTACAGATGTCCCAGCAAGCATCCTCAAGCAGAAGTGTCTACAACAAGGAATAACATATACAACCAACCTAGAGGTCATGTTCACTACACTGATTGACACACAAGTACCCAACAAGATAACAAACCTCTACAGTATAAAAATATTCCCACACGAAGATGCTATGTTCATAAAATAGGGAGGACGTTTGTTTGGGGAGTGGTTGGAATTGGATTTAAGTCAGGTACCAACTAGTAGGGCGAAATAAATTAAGGGTGATGATGTTGATAATGATGTTGATAAGATTAGAACTTGAATTTGTATAGCTATCTATCTAGCCTAGGGACGAGCACTCTGGGTGGGATGTGGATATCTAGTGGTCAGTCTTATTAACTGTGTACTACTGTGTCCTAGGCAGAATTATCGAGAAAGATAACCCACTATAGTTAGTAGTAGCAATGGTGTATATAGGTAACGTACAAACAAAACAAAAAAGAAACATATAGCCATGAGGATAAGTTATTACTGTCATTTCTATTAAAAAGAGAAGAAGAAGAAGAAGAAGAAGCCAGAACCCAAAAAGATCACGCCTCACACCGCACCAAAAACCCGTTTAACTCCTCCTCCGTCCAATCCCAGATCTTTCGCGCCAGGACCATATCCTTCCCCGTTGCCTTGGCCTTCCCCAACACCCCCACGGGCTCATAGTATTCTCCAGATTTGACCTGCGGGGAGACAGACGCCCAGAGCTGGTTCCTGATTCCCTTTTCCACTGTTGCGAGGAGTCCCATTGCATTCGCTGCGTGGAGGGACATTCGAGCGAAGCAGGGGGCGTCGGTGGCTCCACTAAGCAGGTTCGTGCTCACGACTCCTGGGTGGATCGAGGCGACGGTTAAAGCAGGGTATTCTAGGGCTAGTTGTCGCGTCCAGAGGATATTCGCTAGTTTGCTTTGGCCGTATCGAGCGAAAGCGCCTAGACTGTCGCCGGGGGTTTTGAGGGTGTCGAATTGGAAGCCACCTTGAGGTGCGAAGCTGTGGCCGTCGGAGGCGAGGGAGATGATGCGTACGTCTGCGCCGGTGTGGGCTGTTTTCTCGAGCGCGGGGAGGAGGAGTTTGGTTAGGAGGGCGTGGCCCATGTGGTTTGTGCCGAATTGGATTTCGTAGCCGTCTTTGGTTTGGCCGGGAGGGGAGGCCATGATGCCGGCGTTGAGCATTAGGATGTCGAGGGTTTGAGATGAGGTGGTGAATGTTTCTGCGGCTTGTTTGATGGAGTGGAAGGAGGTGAGGTCGAGTTCGAGGAGGTGGATGGGGGCGTCGGGCACTTGTTCTTTGATTGAATCGGCGGCCGCTTGGGCTTTGGTTAGGTTGCGTGCAGCAAGCCAGATTTGGCGGGGATTGTGACGGGCATATTCGAGGACACAGGCCTTTCCTAGGCCGACGTTGCCTCCGGTGATGAGGATGGTTTTGCCGGTCAGGTCGGGGATGTCGCGGTCTGGTCGGAAGCCCATGGTGGTGGGTGGAGAAGATGTTGGGGCAAGATGGATGGAGAAGGGGTTGTGGAGAGGTAGGTTGGAGTGAGAATAATGAGAACAATGAGGTAGCGAAATCGAAGTATACCATGACGGCTCTTTATAGGGGCGTAGTTGGGAGAACCCAGTCGGAGTTGGACTCATCGACACTCCGCTCCGATCGGGGCATTGGATCGGCATCCGACTGGTCAACCTTGGAATGCGCCACATCGTTACCAGTAAGTGATGGGCTACAAGATTGCATCATTACCAGTTCCACATCGTGAGGAATTCGTTGGAGAACATCTCCAGGTCGTCGGCAGACGGAGACCATGAATCCGCCGTAGTCGGGACTATCACCGTATCCCAGGACAACTTCATAGCTTCCATTTTCGCTGCCATGATCATGAAGAAATCGAGATCCTGGGAGCCCTCTGGGTCGAGTCCGGCTGCATCTTTGACCTGGGAGAAGCGCTGCGCGGCCGTTTCTAATACCCACGACACGTCCACCGACTCCTGCACCAGTTTGCGGTCCCATACTGGGTAGTCGCATGTGGTGAGGCGATACAGGTTGACGAGACTACGACCCATATTGGAACATATTAAGCAGGTGAACCCAACATATTCTGCGGGCCGAAAGGTGAGAACGGTCTCAGTCCAGGACTTGATGGTTTGCAGGCAGGCGAAGAGACATTCGAATTGTTGATTAGACTGTGGGGGAAAGATTTGAGGGGCTGAGAAGCCAACCTCGTAGATCATCATCTCCGTGTTCAACAGCTCCATTTGGAGGGTTTCTGCGTGTGTCAGCGAGGGCCATTCACCGAGGGTTAGACATACTGTTATCGGCTAGCTCGGAGGGAAGTCGTGATCTGAAATCACGGAGCTGGCTTTGAAGCGACTGCAAATAAAAAGAGGCTGATGGCATGATGTTGGAATCCGTTGGACCTGTCCATGGATCCATCACCTTTGCGGTGATGAGCCGGAGTTTGACCAGCTGCACCAGCAGACCATCGTGCTCCGATTCATTTTGTTCTTCGACTACACGAAGACACTCGTCAAAATAGGGTGTCCACTGGAGAGGTTCGCCGTTTCCTGAGAGATTAGATCTGGAGTCATTAGCACGGTGTATGTGGGTAATAATTCTGGCACCTACGTGAAGCTCACGAGAAAGCAACCTAGCAAGGCTCTGCGTTCTTTCATGGAGGGCAAGCGAGAGCAGTGGGACGGCCGACTGGTGCCTTTCAGGTCATAGCTGAGAAGAAGACCGGGGTCCTGGGACGGTGGCTTGTCCAGGCCGAGATCATAGAGAATCGCGATAGCTAGCTGTAGCAGACCAGTGAAAATGGGCTTGTCGAAGGAGTAATGGTGATCCCAGGTAACATACACCAAAACCGCCAAGAGAAAGTCGATGTTCCTCGTGCCCTCTACGTAGGCCTCGCGGCCGAATCTCTCTCGGACCTGCATGGACAGGCCTCTCTGCTGCGTGGTCCGGGTGGATGCCACGGTCATTATTGCTAGCCATAGCAGCGGACTCTCCTGACGCAGCTGACTGGCTGTCAGAGACGCTGGAATCACTAGAAAGGGCAGGTGCCCAATGAAGTCGGATCGAAACCGATTCAAATACGAAGCTGCATCGTCGTCGTTGGGCTCAAGAGATGGGTTCTCGGGATGCCCAAAAGAGGGGGCAGGAGTAATGGCTGTGTCTGGTAAGACTTGAACTAAAGGTGCAGACAAGGAGACAGGTTGAGCATGGGTCGGAACTACATGCTCCGGGGTGGACACCACCCCGTTCAACAGGCCGGGCTGAGTCGCAGATTTAAGGATATTGACAAGCCCGTCCAGTTTCTCCTCGAGCTTCTGGACATCTTTGACCGAGGCTTTAGTCTGGTTCCGGCGTTTACGTACGGGAGGGGATGGCTGGCAGGTCTTCATCAGCCGGACGCATCTACACCGATTAGCAACGGAGATCAGTTGGAGCGTGGTCCTGACCTTGCACACGTCCCGGAGTCATGGGGGGTACATCTAGACTTTGCCCGGACGCAGTTGGTGCAGGCCCGTATTGCTGACTTCATATTGGGAAACGTGGATAAGTGTATTCAATAGATGGAATCATCGCTCACGCCGTGTCTGAGCGGAGCGGAGCCTGCGAAGCTCCGACTCCGACTCATTCTCCGGTTGCGTTCCGAAGTCACCTGATGAGACCGGACATGTCACATACGCTAACCGTATTTGGATCCCTTTTCCTTCCACAACTGCGATGAAACTCCTGGTCAATGAACTGCTCAAAATATATGAGCAAACAATGCCTATTAATATTATTGCAGGCTGAGATGAATACAGTGCTTGCTGCATCAAGAAGAAAATATTCAAGATTATAGATCGGACCGGTTCCTTTAGTTCCTTTATAAGATGCAGGTGGCGGTACAGCTATTTCGGCCGCCCGGCTGACGAGGATTTGCTATAGTGATTAATTCATCTCTTCTTAGGTTGAAATGCAATAAATTCAGATAGTAAAGAAAAAAAGAAAATACTGCAGGAATGATTCGTTGGTAGTCACCCACCCAACTACTTGCCCTGGCTTATGCGTAGTCAACAGACAGGTTGTGAGTGCTCTTTCAATAGTGGAATCAGGTGATAAATGCCAGCAATATCACCTTTCGATGATGATCAGCATAGTTTACCATTCTCAAAATCTTCTGCCTAGGCTGTCAGCAACGCCTGCTGCCATGATTGGTGCAAAACCCCGCTCCGTGAGGCACGCACTGATTGTGGCATCTGTAAATACCAATTCATATATTGTGATATATGGAGTTACAGGATTCCATGCAAAATCTAACACCTAGTTTCTTGGATGTCTGCGGGAACCCGGTGCCCCGCGAGCACAAGCCTTCCACCAGCCTTACTAAAAGACATGAAGCCCAAAAGTTCTTAGCAGTACTAACAGCATAAAACCAAAACAGTTAATACTTTAATACCTGATTTATCAATTTTTGCCTGTTCCGGTCGATAATCAGCTTATCATAGTTAAAAGAGGATTTGAGGAGGGGGGGAGGAATAATTGCTGCCTGTAGTGCTGGCCTCCAGGGAGCCCGGCCGATCAGTCTATGCATGACCAGGAGGGGCTGCTTTCGGCGTTTGGGCAAATTCTGCATGCCGGGCTTTTCTCACAAAATTTTCCTCGTTGCTTCTCGTAATCTAGGACTATTGTGGCGTGTCCCTTTATTCTTGATAATCATATGCGACACCACCCACAACAACAGCATATTCTCGGCATGAATTCGCGCTCGCCTAATCTTGTATTGTTGGGCTGCGCTGGCTCCCCACCCTCAGCAGACCGTGATTGAGGCTGCAGGTATCTTAGCAATACACTGTTTGTTGATAATGCATGTGCCCCCCCCCCCCCCCCAACCTCGCCAGGTTCACCCAATTGATATCTACGACTGAGATAAACCTCTCGCTCATATATGTTCGTAGGCAATATTGTGCAATGTGGGATTGCGGAGTTGGTATTAATACACATGTCGCATGATTGGATTGATTGGATGTGCTGAGGAATTGACATATATGTGCATAATAATGCAACCTTGTAAAGAATAGTAAGTCGAGGATTTAGCAATCAGCAGTAGCAAGACAAATATACGACTACTGCATCATCGAATTCAAAAACTCCGACAAACAATCATCAAAACCCATGACCATGCCTGGATCTTGTCCCAGCAGTTCCTGCTGCTGGTGCTGCACGTCCTGCTCCATCTCCATCCCCGCGCCCATCGCTCCATCCCTGCCACTGCTTAACCTCAACCCCCAACTCATCCTCACAGACTCATACTTCCCAATCGAATAGAAAAACACATCCTCGCCCTCTTCCCCACCCTCATCCCCACTCTCCAACTTGGCCAACGCAGCTGCCTGTCCCAGATTACCAATCAGTCGGTCCATAACCGTCATGATATCGGTGGTTCGTCGAACGAGACCCCGATCCCAAGCTGGGTCTTCGAGCGTAGAGAGCTTATACAAGGCGGCTAAGTTGCGGGCGAGTTGTGAGAACACGGGGAAGGGGAAACTGGCGTATTCGGCGGGCGGGATGGCGAGGAAGACCCCCATCCAGGAGTTTACGGCCTCGAGACAGGTGTGCAGGCTTTCGAGCTGTTGGAAGTTGAGGGTCGAGGTGGAGGTCGGGGTGGGGAGTTTGAGGAGGGAGGATTCGTTAAGGGTTAGGATTGTGTTGGAGTGGTGGAGGTGGAGGATTCCTTGGGGTGGATTTAGTTAGGGTTAGTGAGGAGAGATGGGGAGGGGACGTACGGTATCGTTGGGAGTGAGGGGCGAGCTTGATTTGGGCTCGTTCGAATTGTGAGTTGATGGCGTGGAGGTATAATGTCATCGGGGCTTTGAGGGGTTCGTGGGTGGTTGCCAGGCCGGCGTGCCAATCACTGGTGTTGATCTTCTCGTTGACAAGCTGGAAGCGCACCTGCTGAACGAGGACCTCGTCGTTGAGGCATTCTGGGTGCTCGCTGAGGTATTGGAGACATTCGTCCATGTGGGGGGTCCAGCGGAGGGGGTCGCTCTTTTGCAGGAAGAGGGAGATGCTGGACGTGCCTTAGTTGGTTGACCTGTATCTCGGGGGTGGGAAGGAGTACATGGAGGTGAGGAGGAAGCAGCCCAGAACAACACGTCTCTCTTCCATTGTCCGGACTGGTGGTGACGAGGGACTTTCATCTGGATGCGTATGGAGTAGACACATCAGCGATGTCCCATCGCCCTCGGGAGGCTTGTTGAGCATGAGGTCGAAGACCACGGCCTTGGCAAATTGGCTGTACACAGTCAAGTTGAGCTTCTTGAAGATCTGCTGATTGGACCTGTTCGAATTAGACATGAGATCAAATGTAGGAGAGAGGTACACACCATGCCATGTATACCAAGAGACCCAGTAGGAAATCGACATCGCGACCGGCAGCATCATGCACCATGCGCTGGGCCACCGTGTTTCGGATCCTATCGCACAAAGCATGGCGCTGACTCGGACTCTTAGACGCCACCGCCATAATGCACAGCCATAGGAACGGCCGTTCCTTGTGGAGACGCTGTGCCGTCGTTCCAGGCGGGAGATACACCAAGGGCATGTAGGGCAGTTTATGAGTGACAAACACACTCAGACACTCCTCGGCTTGCGAAGGTGTCAGCTCAGGACTCGACGTCTGTCTGCGACCATCCAACTCGTTCCGAGGATCCGGGGCCCTCTGAGTCTGAGTAGATTGAGCCAAAAACGCACAGTCAACACCTCTCTCCGCCGACGAGACCGTCCGCTCGACCCGGATCTGGGGAAGGGTCTGTTGGGCCTCGGGCTCTCGTCGCAAGTCCTCAATCAACTCGACATGATCTGGAGACAGGCCTGCCGAGGACTGTGCGCGCAGCAACGACACCAAATCATCGAGCTTCCTCTCTAGTCGTCCTGACTTTGATAAATTCTTGCGCACGTTCTGTCGTCGATGAAATGCCGACGGACGACATTCTTTGTTCAAGCGCTGACACCTGGCAGCATGGTCAGACTGGACTCGATAGATAATAGACGTCATATGAGAAGGCACCTCTGGCATCGGCCGCCTCCCTTGGGAAGAATGCATTTGCACTTGGACTGCGAGCAGTTCATGCAGGCGCGGCCATAGGGCGCCGGAGCGAGATCATATTCGGGGGAAGACTGATCCATAACGATGGCGGGGATGACGATCGACGAGAGATAGGGAGAGGAAGAAAAAATCGGGATTCCGTCAGATTTGAATGAATTCCGTAGGAAGGATTAAAAGGCCCGATGCCGTCGGGGTTAAGCTGAAGGATTCCCCGCCGGATATTACGGCCTTAAGCCTGCCCTAATCCGGTCTACCCCATAAATATTGATCGAGACTCATCTACAAACACTCATATCTCAGATACAACCTCAATTCAATTCCAACACCAATTCCAATCTATCAAAATGACCCCCATCAACACCGCCGCCTGGATCAAATCCGAAAAGGCCCATCCCCTCACCATCGACACGGCGCCCTACCCCCAAGTCGGCCCCAACGAACTCATCATCAGAAACCACTCCATCGGCCTCAACCTCGTCGACTACGCCCGTCAAGACCTCGGCGCCGCCCTCTTCCCCTGGACCAACTACCCAACTATCCTTGGCAGCGACGTCGCCGGCGAAGTAGTAGAAGTCGGACCGGGCCCTCTCTCCTCACGCTTCAAGCCGGGCGACCGCGTCCTAGGCCTGACCAACGAACTGAAAAGCAACCGGCCCTCCGAAGGCGCCTTCCAGACCTACGTCGTTCTACAAGCCCACATGACCTCGCCCATCCCCAGCAATCTCTCCTACGCCGACGCAGCCGGAATCCCCCTCGGCATTTCAACCGCCGCCTGCGGCCTCTTCCAAAAAGATTACCTCGCACTCCAACACCCTACTGCTCCTCGCGCCGCCTCGACATCCCAGACCGTGCTCATCTGGAGCGGCGCATCCAGCGTAGGCAGCAACGCTATCCAACTTGCCGTTGCGGCAGGGTACGAGGTAATCACGACCGCATCGCCCAAGAACTACGACTTTGTCAAATCTCTCGGTGCTAGTCTAGTCTTCGACTATAAGTCCGAGACAGTGGTTGAGGATATCATTGCGGCGTTTCAGGGGAAGCTCAGTGCGGGTGCTTTGGCCATTGGACCGGATTCACCAGCCAAGTGTGGGGAGGTTGTTGCGAGGGTCGAGGGGAGGAAGTTTGTGACGTTGGTGAGTCCTCCGACGGGACCGTTGCCGGATGGTGTCGAGTCGAAGTTTGTCTTTGGCAGTGATTTGGTCGAGAATGAGGTTGGGTCGGCGGTTTTTGTGGATTTCTTGCCCCGGGCGTTGGAACAGCAGAGTTTTGTGAGTGCGCCGAAAGTGGAGGTTGTGGGCGTGGGGTTGGAGGAGGTGCAGGGGGCATTGGAGATACTGAAGAAGGGGGTGTCGGCGAGGAAGTTGGTGGTGGAGTTGTAGGGATGGGGAAAGTGGATGGGTGGGTGGTTGGTGTATATTAGACTGGAGTTTAATGATAATGATTCTTTGTTTTAGTTCGTCAAGCATAGTGTCTGGTGGGTGAAAATGACTATGGTAATAAGATGCTGAAGTGTATGTGCATCATTGGGCTTTGGGTTAGGAAAGATATCTGCCAGAGGAGAGAGAGGTTGTGATGAAAACCAGTGAGATTTAGAAGTACATACTAACGATGAGGGCTTCTTGTGTGACAGATATAATATGTAGTAAATGAAGGTGTCTGGCGAAGTCCCACTTCGTATGTGATGCTCAGGCTAGAATGTCTCCCCCCTTTGGCCCCGTCCTCGCCTTCTCAATCCTCTCTTCCGACGTCTTGAACATCCGCGGCATGCGCGTCTCCTCGAAGCTCTTCCCCGTCTGAATCATTCCCGCCAGCTCTTTCGCAGACAGGAGAATCACCGGCATGCCGTGGCCGTTGAACCCGGCGCAGATATACTGTCCGGGTTTGTTGGGGACTTGGCCGATGTGAGGGTGCGAGTCGTAGGAGTAGCCCATTACTATATCACTCGTTAGCTGGACCACTTCTAGAAGAAAGAAAAGATGAAGGGACAAGGATACTCACCTCCTGTCCAAATCTCCTTCACATACGCGCCACTGTCCTCCCACCCCCGAAACGTCCGTTGCATGTACCCATCGTAGTAATTTTTCGCGGACTCAATCAGCGTCGTATCATCCACAACTCCATACCACTGTGCCAGATCCCGTTTGAAGGTATACTGCGCCCCACCGACAATGATACTTCCATCGGGCCGCGTAATCAGGTAACTCCCGCCGTTGACCACCTCGGATCCGTACCCGATGGCATACGAGTACGGAAGAAACGGCGCGGTCTTGCCCTCGGGCACTGTGATGTGGCAGCATATTCCCCGACAGGGGACAATGTTGTCGGAGTACTCGGGCAGAAGACCGGCAGTGTAGGCGTTGGTGGCGTAGGCGATCTTGCCAGCGCGGAGGGAGCCTCGGGGGGTGTGGATCGTGTGGGTTTCGCCTTCGGTGGTAATGGAGGTAACGGGGGTGTGGGTTTGGACGTTTAGCTGCGTCGAATGGATGATCTTGTTGAGCAGGCCGAGAATGAACTTGTAGGGCCAGAGTGTGCCTGATGTGTAGGAGATGCAGGCTTTAGCGCCTTTGATTCCGGAGACCTGTACATCATTTATCAATCTCGTCCCATTCCATCATATATAAATTGAAGAAAGGATTGGACTTACACCCTCTGCATCCCTCTGCGACGTATAATGCAAATCCTTGGCCAACTCTACCCCCCGCGCGAGAAGCATCTCATACGCTTTCCGCGCATTCTCTGCCGACACGTCATCCAAATAGGCATTCATGTTCCGGGTGATGTTCAGATCGCAGTCGATGTTCTCTTCCCGGAGGAGATCCTTCAGCGCTTGGATGTGCGCGTATTCGAAGTCGGCGATTTCGACGCCCGCGTCGAGCCCGTAGCGCGTGATGTAGGTTGGGATGTGTCCGTAAATGTCGGGGCGGAGGTGTCCGCCTGGGATTATTATCAGAATTGTAGCATAGTATTGCTTGAGGGTGGAGGAGTACCATTTCGACCTGTCGCGCCTGAGCAAATTTGTCTCGCTTCGAGAAGGGTCACGGTGGTGGTTTTGTCGCCCTGGTCAGCCAGCTGTTTCAGGAGGTAGTATGCTAGCGTGACGCCCGAATAGCCGGCGCCGATAATCACGATGTCGCTTTGCGGGGGCAGGTCGGGGGTGGTGCGGACGTCGTCGAGCTGGTCGAGTTCGGTGCGCCAAAAGGGCGTGATAGGTTTGGCAGGGGGGAGCATGGTGTTGGTTGCAGCAGATTTCGAGGCCATTGTGTATGTAGTGATTGGTGGTTGATGGTTGATGGTTGATGGTTTGTTGGGTTCTGCGTATGCAATATATAGATTGGTGATTCCGCCCCAACGCCGATGGGTCGATGGATAACGGCCCAGCCCCGATCTTATCGCGCTTTATCTTCGGAGTTCGGCTGGGGTTGAATGGGGGCGCTATCGGCCGCTGTCGGAGATGGTTGCGAAGGATCAGAGAGGAGTGCGAACATACTACCCTTGATCATTGTGATGTGTCCTGCATATCTTACTCGCTGTTCCACTGATTTGATCCGAGTGATTTGAGGACTGTGTAACCTGGCATTTTGGTCTTCAAGAGGGAGGCCAGAGGATTCGCAGATGATAACACGGTCCCTCAAAGATACACCATGACCACGCTAACGCTGGCCACTAAGAAACCACACCTGACTAGGCCATGGTAAGATCACACCTATCTATCACTCAGAGACTTGAGTATCAGCAACCATTCGGCAACATCGCTATCATGGCATCAACCGGACACGGCATCCGGCTTATCAACCATGTCAAGCCTCAGTCTGTGTCTGACAGATGCGGGGTTCCGTGATAATCTGATAAGTGATAACACCGGAGAATAAGGCCTACGAAACTCTATTGCAGGTCGACCCTACCAATTCCGTGATCCTTTGTACTGATATTCCAGGCAGCTCACATTATCTGTCAGAGACACAGTTATTTGGAGCTATTGCCCAGCGGGGATGCACTATTTCGAAAACCGAGGATGAGATGCCCCAAATCATCGGGATGGAACATTCTGCACTGAGTACAATTAAGGATCATCTGGAAGAGAGTCAGTCTGTCACTGTTCTGATCGTGAATCCTCTCGAGAGTCAGCACACGATGCGACTGCTCGATCCGGCAAGTGGAGCCTGAGTCAGCCATCCGGAACCGGCAAGTCACCATACCGTATTCGGTAGCCCCAATGGCCACCGCCCAATCCGGGCTAGCGTACGACATCATCCCGATCGGTCGCGTTCAAAGGCTCACTTCTCATGCCCGACCACCGCAGGGGCATCGCATCACACCAACACCCAGCCATGACCACACCTGTCTGAACCTCTCGACCGATCTTATTCCACATACTTCTTACATGCGAGTCTACACGTTGTGCGCCTCCCGTTACAATGACTGATTACGCGAAATGGAAGGTGACCGATCTCAAGGCCGAGTTGAAGCGGCGCGGCATCCCGCAGACCGGTCTCCGCGTTAAACAGCAATTTATTGATCGGTTGGTGGAAGAAGATGCGCAGGAGGGAAAAGAAGCGGTCGCCAATGGAGAGCCGCCAACTGAACAGGATGCTACGCCAGATACAAAACAACCCGTCGAGTCGGAGCCGCCCGCGCCAGAACCAGTCGCGCCAGAGCCAGAAGCAGTGCCGATCGCAGATGCGCCGGATAAACCGGAGCCTGAGGTGAAGGAGAAGGAAGTTGAGGAGCCGGTCCAGGAAGAAATGCACGACCAGGAACAGAGCGACGCTGTTAAAGAGACGAAGCCGGAGCCGGTAGCCGATGAAGTCTCCAATGAAAAAGTTGCTGAGCAAGAGCAGCAAGACCATCTGGAAGAATCTGCGCAGGAATCGCCAAAACAAGAGGAAACGAATGAACCAACGGACACGACTATGACTGATCAACCAACCGATACGACTGTGGTTGAACCCGCCGACACTTCCATCGCGCAATACCAGACTGAGACAACTGCAGCACCGGTAGAGCAGGCTCCTGGAGAGGCAGCATTGGAGCAGTCTACAACAGCGGAGCAGAAAGACGCAGAACCGCGCGCAACTGACGAGACCGCACCGCCTGTTGCAGTGCCCTCGGAGAACACCACCGCATTGTCGACACCCCTGCCCACGGAAGAAGTGCTGGAGGACAGGCGGAAGCGAAAGCGTCGCAGCCAGAGCCCGGTTCCAACCCTTGAAGCGCTCGCCAGTAAAAAGGCCAAGGCCCAAGATGAAACCCCCCGGGTGCTGCTGCCTGAGGACCAAGACGCGATGGACCAGGAACGCGAGGCCCGGCAGGACGGAGGAGATGATGCCGGCCCACCAGGAACCCCTGAAGAACGCGCGGGGCCCGACACCGCGCCTGAGCATGACGCCCCGCCCGTCCAAGATGAAACATCCAAGAAAGGCGCCCCCCTGAAGCATGATGTTCGCTTCAAAGGCCTGTTTGCCGCCAAGGAGACCGAGCAGACCCGCCCGGTGTCTCCCCCACCGGATGCGGTAATGGAAGATGCCGATGTCGAGCCTGCCCTGCATGTCGCTACCGCCGCTCTCTATGTCGGAGGCTTGATGCGCCCTCTCCAACCCGTCGCCCTCAGGAACCATCTGGTCAGTCTGGCCTCACCTCCGGATGCCTCGCCTAACCCGGACGTGATCGTGGACTTCTACTTGGACCCCATCAAAACGCATTGTTTTGTGAGCTTTACATCCGTCTCGGCGGCGTCGCGAGTCCGCACCTCCCTCCATGCAACAGTATGGCCCAACGAACGCAACCGCAAGACCCTGTTTGTGGACTTTGTTCCCGAGGACAAGCTACCGCAGTGGATTGAGAAGGAAGAGGGATCCCGGCAACGTGGTGGCCCGCCGCCGCGCTGGGAAGTACGATATGACCCGACGGAGGACGGAGTCGAGGCTGTTCTGGAGGAGATTGATCCGAGAAACGCTGCATCACAACCGGCGCGCGGCCCTGAGCCCTCAGGATTCTCCCGGCCACCACCAACGGGACCCCGGGCAGAGTTGGGCGCACCGGGTCGGCGTCCCAGCGACGAGGTTCCGGCAGAGTCGAGCTCGCGGCCCGGACAAGGCTTCAAGCCGTTGGATGAGCTCTTCATGTCTACCACCACCAAGCCTAAACTGTACTACCTTCCGGTTCCTCGGGAGGTGGCGGATCGACGCCTAGACCGCTTCGACGATTTGCTACGGAAGGGCGAGTTCCCCCGACGAGGAGGGGACGAGCCCCGTCGCATGACCTTCGAGGACGATGATTTCTTTGTAGACAATGGACCCGACTTTGGAGGAGGAAATGGCCGCAACCGACGAGGCAGGGGTCGCGGTGGACGAGGCCGCGGAGGGTTCGGGGATTCGTGGAGGGATGACCGACGCACTCGGTATTAAGTGGAGGAGATACGGAGGATACCCCTGATCATTGATGATACACTATGGAGCTGCCACGGTTTGGGATTAGGTGCCGTGCCAGTCCCGGAGGCGATTGCAATTTCCTGTACAGTAGCCCAGTTGCCAAGACGGCGGCGTGGGAAAAAGCGTGATCAACGCAATTTGATGGCGATGTAAATTAGGTAGGCCGGAGATGTACACGGTATCTAGTAGTAAATCTAAATCCCAGGAGTTTAGGATGGCCTCCTGGGTTATTTTTACTCGGAATTATGGATAGGGTGGATAACTGGGTATGCTGCCGGTGGAAGGCACCACCAATTACTATGGAAGTTGGCCTGAAATTGCGGTGGCGCAGCAATCATCCGCCATGCAAATGCGCGGCAGTCCGACTGACAACATCGAGATTACTCGCCAGTGCGACACAGGAACCGATGACTTAAATGTGGCTGCCTTGCGGGTCGGCCAGCACCGCTTCAACCTCCATTCCTCTAGTCAAACATCGTACCAGTACACGCTCCTTTTCGAAAGCCACTTCAAGATCCATTGTTTTGATAACAAAGGACCAGCCCGACCGGTGCCCGCCGGTTACACAATTGTCAATATCCCTAAATCCCCATCTATCCTCCTGGGCACGCCGACTTTGCCTGACGTGCGACTACGTACCTCCCGGCCTGCTCCACTTCACCAAGCCAACTAGACTCCGTCACTTGGGCCTCTCTCGTCTCTTTAACTCTCTTCCGCCGGTCGCTGCGATCCCAGCTTGATCATCATCCAGCCAGCGCATCCCCAACATTGCCAGAGAAATACGCGCTACACCAGCGACTCAACGGGCCTTCAGGTTAAAGGCACCAACCACAACGTGACGAAAGCTTAATCTTGGGTGGCTCCCAGGGGTTCATGGGGGCCAAGCCCGGCTGTGCGGATAAGATATCTTAAGAGAAAAGCGACGGGATTTGGGTTCATCACGACGATCGTCTCTCCTCGCTCCTCTCGCCTGCGCATCCCGTCCCTTCCACCTTTCCTCTCCCTCTCTCCCTCCCTCCCCGAGGCTGTTCATCCTTGCAGTTTACCTCCCCTCCTGCAAGAATGGGCTGGCCAGTGTGCAATTCCACTACGGAAGATGAGACCAGTACGTCCCCTCTGTTTTGTTGTTGATGCGACTCGCTGGTTGTTAAAGTGGGCTGACGCGGACTTTCGACAGTCACCGAGGTTGACCTCTGGGATGGTGGCATCACCTTCCATGAGCTCTGCCTGATCGTGGGCGGAGTTTTCGGTCTCATATCCATACTAGTTTCCTTTTACCTGATTGCAATGCATGCCACACATTACAGCAAAAAGATCGAGCAACGGCAGTATGAATCCCACTTCCTTTTTGCCCTCGTTTGTTTCGTGATGACTGACGGTCGCCTTTCCCCTCCAGTATTATTCGAATCCTGTTGATGGTCCCCGTTTACGCCGTCGTCGCATGGCTCGGCACCTACTTTTACAAGAACGATGTCTACTACGATGTGATCGGCAATTGTTACGAAGCATTTGCGATTTCCGCCTTCTTCTCCCTGATGTGCGCCTACATCGCGCCCGACCTCCATAGCCAGAAGGAATATTTCCGCGGAGTCGAGCCCAAGCCATGGGTTTGGCCGATCCCGTGGATGCAGAAGTGTATGGGTGGTGAGAACGGCATTTGGCGGACTCCGCGGAGCGGCTTGACATGGTTCAACGTGAGTGCAGGCAGGCTGTGCGCGGTTGAGATCATGGTGCTAACGGGGTATCTAGGTCATTTGGGTGGGCGTTTTCCAATACTGTCTCCTCCGAGTCCTCATGACCATCGTTGCGGTCGTCACGCAGGACTTCAACTTGTACTGCGAGGAATCCCTCAACCCTGCTTTCTCGCATATTTGGGTACGCGCTCTGCGCCGCTGGTGTTGAATGTCGCTAACCGCTGGCTAGGTTATGGTCGTGGAATGTATTGCGGTCTCGATCGCTATGTACTGTCTGATCCAGTTCTACATCCAGATTAAAGATGATATCAGCCAATATTCCCCATTCTTGAAAATCCTCTCGATCAAGCTGGTGATTTTCTTGTCATTCTGGCAATCGGTCAGTGCAATTCTCCCGACTCGATATTATAGGCATCTAATCTCGCGCATAGACTTTGATCTCCTTTCTCACCTCCGCCGGAGCCATTAAAACGACCTCCAAGATCCAGAACCCCGATCTCAAAGTCGGACTTCCGAACCTCCTCATCAACATCGAGATGGCCTTCTTTGCGGTCCTTCATCTGTGGGCGTTCTCTTGGAAGTCCTATTCGCTCAACAGCCAACCAGCCGAGGTCACCGACTTTTACGGCAACGGCAAAGGCAGTTATGAAGGCGGTCGTTTCGGCATGGGGGCCCTGCTGGACGCCCTGAACCCATTGGATCTCATCAAGGCCGTTGGACGTAGTTTCCGCTGGCTCTTCGTCGGTCGGAAGAGGCGCACGATGGATCCCAGCTACCACCACACCGCGAATGATGCGTTCAATCTGAACGCCACGGAGACTGGAATCGACACCCACGACACTGCATACACCGGTGCCGGCACAGTAATGGGCGGTGGACGCTACAGTCCCCCTGACGATGAAGGGCAGGTACTCTTGTCGCACGCGCAGCCAAGTCCCGGTGGACTCGTGCCCCCGATGGAGGACGACAACGACCCGAACCGGTTCTACAACCATAACCGAGTCAGCGCCACCTCGCTTCTGGAACCAGCGGCGTCACATACGGCCCGGCCCTACTCCCCCTACGAGGAGGACGCATACAACCCATATCTCGTCAACTCCCACCTCGAACAAGACCACTACAACAAACCCAGCCCTGGCAATCCGCCCTACCCAGACCACGCCGAACCGGCCAATCCATACCACCCGGAACCCTACCAGCCAGAACCCATCCGCCCCTACCGCGCCGATCCCACTATTCTCCAAGAACAGCCTCCCATCCCTCTCCCGGAATCCTACCAACCCCCTCCCCCACAGTATGAGAGTGACCACCAACAACGAAGGTGAAGCAACGAGAATCAATTCGACGAGCAAAAAAAAAATATCCGCCTTGGCGGAATGATGACCCATCCAAGTCTTCATGCATGTCTTCTTCCTTCTGGTAGCGAGAGCCAACGCTAGCCGTTATAGCTAGCGTGTTTGTGTTTGTATCCCGGCGTTGGTTTTGTCTGTCTGCCGTATAATACCCTCTGTTTTTGGGCTTGCATCTTGTTCTTTCTTCTTTTCCTCGTTAGTTTAGCTACTACCTATATGAGATCACGGTATGAAGATTGAGGTTTTCATGAGTCTAGACTTATACCTTTGTTTTGTTGGGAGGGTTTAATCTGTTCTGTTCTGTTCTTTCTTTTCTGGCCTGACCTTTGGGGAATGAGAGGTTAGATTTGGAGGCTGGGGTTAGAAGATTTCTTTTCTTTTCTGTTCATATTTTTTCTATTTCTTTGGTTGGATTGTGTCGGGTAGATAGATTTCGTTGTACAATATTATCTTATCTCTATATCTTTTTTTTGGTTTATTGGGGGGGTGAACGTATTTCTCTTTTAGTATTCCTTATGCACATGGTTTACTTGTGGATGGATGGGTTGCTTGACGTGGTTCTATGATGCGGAGTTGGATAATCAATTTTAGTAAGATGATGGTTTAAAGTGTATGTGCATTAGGGGGGATTGGTCACTGTCTGGGGACTGGGAATGGTAAATGGGTATGATCGTGAATTCATTGTTCGTTAAATGCTAGCTAGATCTAGATTGTTGATATCCTATCCGTGACTCACTCCATCCCGAGTGGTAAAAAATTCATCCCCAAAGCGACTCTGCATCGTTAGCTGCGATTTCCGCGATGCCATCGTGCGTCGCATGTTGTTCATGATGGCCGCTCGTTTGCCGAGCTCGCGCATGGCGCTGATGCTCTGGCTGAGTTGTCCTAATAGGGATACGAGGTGGACGTCGTTGCTCTGGGCGATGGCTTCGGCAGTGAAGGCGCTTTGTTCTTGGGGTGTGAGGAGGGTGAGGTGGGATAGGAGGGCGTTGATGTTGCGGAGGATGGGGTGGGATAGAGTTGCGGTTGAGCTAGGGTCTGCAACCATGCTTTCGGGGGAGTATACGCTTGCGAGGTAAGCCTTTATGAGCGAGATTCGGGATTCGAGGGCTCTGACGGCGTTGAGACGAGTGGTGAGGCTGGCGATTACTGAGTGATGTTAGTTACTCATGACGTGTGTCTGGTACGGTGGGCCACTCACGTTCTTCCTCTTCTGGAGAAAGTAGGGTCGACTTTGTGGACTGCTCTTTGCCAGCATCTTTTCCGAGAACTTGCGATGGAACTTGAAGATCCACAGCCGCATTTCTGGCTGTCCGCGCGACCGTGTCGATACCGATCATCTCCGCTTCCCCGGTTTCGACGGAGTAGGGTAGCTCCCGGAATCGGATGGTGAGGGATTGCTCTTCGCCGTCTATCTGCATTGTCTTTCCGCCGTCTGTTGCATTTTCGCCCTCGTAGACGCTCTCGTAGATTGTCACGGGGAGCTTGCCACCGTTGGATGATGCCCCTTGCACCAGGGACGGGTGGAAGGCGAGGAATACGGCAGACTCATTGTGGTTCTGGAGGATTTGGCGGTGGATGGGCAGGTGACAGATGTTGGGGCCGGATGGAGGAGCGGTTGACCACCAACCGACGAGGTCGAGAGCGGGAGCTTTGTGTACATCCTTGACTAGGAGGGGTTAGAGAGAAGACGAAGTGGTGGTGTATCGAAGGATGGGCTTACATTGTTTGACTCTCTCCACGAACCAGTCTTGGGGAATTTGGATTTCCCCATTCGGGCTTTCTGTCACGACGCACTCGAAGGCGTGCTCCAGGGTAATTTCTCGTCCATTCTGTTGGCCTAGAAGCGCTCCGATGATAGGTCCCTGCTGGCAGCGAGCGGCATGACGGGTGATGTGGTCGGAGATGGTGAGGAGGATCAAAGGGTGGAGCTGGATGTGGAGGCCGGAGTCGGAGTTCTTAGGAGATATGAGGGATTCTAGTTGATCGGACATTCTGAACGGTATAGCTTGGAAGCAGATGAATCAACGGTCATGGAGTTGAAACGGGGGAGCTGGAGTGGTCTCGAACTTATCGGGGAATTGGCGGAGATGTCATGTGTTTGCCCGGTTTGCAGCCAGCTTTCCCCGCCGAGGATAAGAAAGCCGTTCCTGACATTGCTTTCTCCTCAGCCACTCCACGGATCGTTATCGGGTTCACTTGACATCAAAATGGCTGTTCCATCGACTTACGATGAAGTCAGGCTGCATCTGCAACAGGTGCAAAGCGATCCCTCCACCCGTTTGGACCTGACCATCCTAGACAAACTGAAGCTGGAGCTTACCGCAAACACCGATCGCAGAGTCCCCGCCACCCTCTTGATTCAGATCTCGCAGCTTCTCCCTATCCTGCAGGAGGACCCAACCCCTATCACCACACTTGCTATCAAGGCTACTACATACCTTAGCTTCGCCGATCTTCGCTCCGTTGACCCTGCGATCGATTTTATTGCCGGCTTCAAAGCGCCGTCGGAGCCTGTCAACTTGTTGGCTCTGTCGTTGCTGGGCAAAGCAGGACAGGCTTCTAGTGATGCCGCCATTGTTGCGGGCGATCCCGAACTCGTTTCATCCTTGGTGGAGCTGTGGCTGTCAACCTCTTCCACGGCGGTAGCCCAGGCGGCCTTTGACATACTCTGGGCGCTTTTGGAGATCGACTTAGCCAGCCCGCTCGAGAATGGCGGGCACGAGAACGATGAGGCTACTGGTGGGCAGGGGCTTGTCTGGAGGCGAGTCTTCACGGATAAGGATGTCTACGGGCTTTTGTTTTCTCTATGCAGTCTCACCGACGATGGACCGGGAACTCTTTCAAAACGCGACAAGACCGTGGCACAGGGAAGGCTGATGGGGCTGCTTGTAAAAGCGGGTCGGCTGCGCTGGGATATGATCTCGAGTCCACAAGTGCCAGAGGTCGAGAGGAAATACCAGAGCAACAGTCTTCTCCAGTTCACCGCTTGCCATATGGTCGACAAGAGTGATGTGCTTATGCATATGACCCTTGTTAACTTTTTCCATGATCTTCTGGAAATCGACGCTCCTGGCCTTCTTGCACGGACCATTGTGCAGTCAGCATCCACTTTCTCCTCCCCTGCTCTGGATTTCCTTATCTCGCAAAACATACACAGCAGACTACTCGAGTACTACTTGGACGAATCAAAGCTGGACCCAGTGGACCTGGCTTACTTGTGCGGGCCTATCATGACCTACGTTGCGCAGTATGCTGAGCTGTACCCCAACCATTTCCTGCAAAACCCGCGGTATCTGCTGGACCGGATACTGTCTCGCATCGCTGCTTCAGTGGCGATCTCATCTTCTCAGTGGGCGCACGGGCCGATCCCAAGCGGGCAGTTGAACGTCCTCTCCTGTCTGCCCCGGGTATTGCTCGTGGAAGCCAGCAAACAGGGGTTGAATCCTGTTCTGGCTGTGCCCACCAGCCCTCCAAACAAAGAGGCCCTCGACGTGCTGTCCAAGATTCTCCATGGTCCAGTAAAACAAGGTCTGGGGGATTCAATGGAGCTCAATGCTGCAGGGCAGATGCCGACCGACTGGCACAAGGAGGCAGCGGCTGCGCGGGCTCTGTACTTTATGTATACCAATCACCACGCTAACTTCTGGACGGATGTTGTTGCCACGGCTGATTTGCTCGCTATGAAGGATGTCTCTTTGGCGTCAATTTCGCTTATGAAAACCCTGATTACCGCTAATTGGCAGATACTGACGGGCGAAGTCACCTCGTCTGTGCCTGGCACATCAAGATACCAGCTCCCCACTGAACAAGATTTGGAGAGTCTGTCTCCGGCTACACAGGGAGTTCTCCCATCGTCCGGTGCTTGGGCAGCCCTGACCCCGCCCGCATTGACCATACTCTTGCCGTATCTGTTCAAGCCCCCTCGCTCGTACGCCGAGTTTGTTGGCGGCGGTGCTGGCGACTCCCAGAACGCAGTCTGGAAAGTGGCCACGGCGAAGCACGAGGTCTTGGTGGCGCTGTATGACTGCCTCAAGGAGAGCGGTGGACAAATGGATGGGTTCGAGGATATCATGCGTACGCTGCGGCAACGCGTGAATGAGGGGCCATGCGGACCTGTATCTCAGACTGCAAACCAGGTTGCAACTGTCGGCCTGTGACGTACTGTGAACTACAGTGGGACGAGTTACGATTAGCGTTAGATACCTTTGATACTTTCTACCATCTACACCGCTCAAGCATAGCACTATCTACTCCCTCCTCAAATATAGAGTATTCCCGTAATCACCCCTGATTGGCCACACAGCACCCAGGGCTACCGCCCCGATACCCTAACACCATTCGCCCCTCCGCAGGCGGTGAGACCTCCCAAGCTCGGCCGGAACTTTTTTCTCGCCATTAGCCTACATTGCATTGCGCTGACGGCCCTCTCGACCCCTAGCCAGAACATCCCCGACAAAGCACCCAGTGAATACTCACCATGTCCCGATTCGGCGCAAAGAAAGGCAGAAAGCTCCCGGGAGCCGAATTTACCTGGGAAGCTTCCGACCCCAGCGGAGAACCGGATACTGCCCCTACGCCGCTGTTTCCTGTATGTTTCCTATCCCATATCCTTGTTGAATTGCTAGTGCATACCTTGCTTTACTTCCAATCAACCAATCCTACTACTCTCCTCTACCCATTGAGACTCCGTCAACCTAACCCAAAGGAAAGAAAGCTAACCATGGCCCGCGGCAAACAGAAATACACCGTTCCGCGAGCCCGACCCCTCACCGCAACCGAACAATTGCAAGTGGATTTATATCGAACGCTACGGGAACGCTTCCACGATGGTCCCTATTACTCTATTCTAGAGGGGGCCGCGTCGGCAAGTAAGAAGGAGAGTGCGGCTCGTGCATCCTTCGATCCGTTTCATGGAATGCCGAGTTATTCGGGAAAGTATGTGAAGAAGAAGAGGGCCTTGCCGAGGATTTTGGGGAGGCAGTATGGTATGTTTCTCTTTCTATCTCGCTCTTTGTATAGGGGGTGTTGATGGAGGGAATATGTGCTGACGGGTTGGCCGTTGGTGATTGATAGTTATGAAGTTCTTCCCTAGGGAATTGTGGGGTACTATTCAGCCTAGTTTCAAGCCTGATGCCGCTATGGATGGGTATGTGCCGCAGGGGGCGCGGGCCGGGGTGAAGCGTGGGTTTGAGGATGATGAGGAAGAGGAGGATGAGGAGACGGCGAAGCGGACGAAGACTGGGGAGGAGGGTGAGGGTGCTGAGGGGGATGATGATGGGGAGGGGGATATTTTGGATGCGGAGGAGGAGGAGCAAGGGGAGGAGGAGATTGAGGATGATGACTTTGAGGATGATGATGATGAGATGGGTGGGGATTATAATGCCGAGCAGTACTTTGATGGTGGGGATGATGAGTATGGGGATGATGGGTTCGGAGATGGAGGTGGTGGTGGTGAGGAGGATACTTATTAGGGAATTAATCTGGTGTACTACTAGTATCTACTACTTCGATTTTGCCGGCAGAATCGGGGGCTAAGCCTATTTAGAAAATGGGCCAGAAATCTAAACTACTATGTACTAATCCATGTATACTTTAGTAATTTGGAGGACAAGATATAATCAAACTAATACTATGAGGTATATGTAAATTTGTGAGTTGTCTGCACTGATAGATTGATTTTTGTTCTTGTAGATCTCGATCCAAACTTTCCGCGCCATGGCTGAGGTGAATATCATCCCAGGTTGGGTTGTGAGCAACACATACATTGTAAGCTTGTATGCGCCGCGGGAGTCCCTGCGGTTATAAAGAAGCGGCCACGGCCTTCAGACGTCCGAGGCAGACCGAAACCTCCTTGGCCACCCTGCTCCCCTCTTCGATCGCGCCATCAATAAAACCTCTCCAGCCGTAGGCCCAATCGCCACTTGCAAAGAACACATTCCCGTGTCGTTCCCGAAGGGCATCAAGGTACCGGAAGCTGTACCCCGGTGGGAACATACACCAAGACCCTCCGGAGAATGGGTCTTTCACCCAATCGTGCCAGACCTAGACAGAAAATCCGTTAGTATCTAATTCGGGTCCTTCTCAGAGGTTGGGATGGACCTAGCTTGGCGCTGCTTACCACTTGCTGGACGGTCACGGGCTGGATTTTGTTCAACTCGGCAGTAGCTTCCTGGGCATTTTGCTGGGGGCTCAGGGAGTCTTTGTTGGCCCCGAAGGTTACGATGTGAGTATTCCCCTTGGGAGTAATCCCGTCGCCGCGACAGCTGAAGATATGGGTTCCGGGCCAATTTGTGGCCACCCATGACAGGAGGTGCGTGTCGTCCACCTCGAGATGGAGCTTTGCGCCAAAGTTGACGTTCCCCTTGATACACGCGGCGGTCTTGACGGCGGGCAGAGGTGGGTTGAAATCCACCTTTGTCAAGATGTTCAGTGGGATCGTACACACCAGGCGTTTGGCCAGCCACTTCTGGCCGGACGCGCACGTTACCGTGACTCTACCAGCTTGGTCGTGAATCCCTGTCACTGCGGTCTGGAAGGAGAATCGAAGATTTCCTGTTGATAGGGCCTCTTCAAAGAAACAACGCGCAAAATCGGACTGTCCGGCGGCGATTTTGTAGGTCTCCGTATATTCGTACAGACCTAAGACGGTGTATCCACTCAGTGCCCACCAGCGCAGGATGTCAAAGAACCCGGTTTCCTTCATGGTGTTTCCTGAAATTGCGACAAGGAACGCTTGCAGGGTAGTAATCTGGACATCGTCCAGTAAATGCCTGATCTGGTCCAGTCGCTGGGCTGCTGAAATTGATTCCCAGTACCGGACATCTGGGTTGTGATGGGGTTCATGCGGGTAGGGCAGGAGACGTCGCCCATAGCTGTCATCCACATTGCAGAACACCTCGAAGGCTTTGCTGACCAGCCGCTCCTTGAAGGTATTGTAAGCTGAAGAAGTTCTTGCATTTCTTCAATACTAGTATCAGAAAAAAGGCAGTACCTGTTCCTCAAGGCTCATGCTAGTCCTTGCTCCATCAATACACGCGGTGAAGAAGGACTGACACCCGATCTCCGCCTCGTTGCTATTGAGCATCTTGGTTTGGCCATACCGGTGCATTTCATGGTACACGTGTGGTTGGCCCCAGTGAACCCAGGCCCCGCCCATCTCATACAAATGGCCATCGACGTCGGCAGTGTAAGTCCGCCCGCCGACTCGGTCTCGGGCCTCGAGGAGTAGAACTTTGTAGCCTATGATTACACAAGGTCAGTATTTGGACTTTGGAGGATAGGTAGAGGATATGTAGAGGATATAGATCCACCTCGCTTACCTAAATTGCACAAGTCCCTGATTGCGGTAAGACCCGCATAGCCCGCACCAATCACGATGACATCGAAGCCATCATCCGATAAGAACCCCGGGAGGTTGGAAGGAGGACTGATAACAGCCGAACATGCAAGACCCTTGGAAAAGCTGCCACAACTAGCCTGGTAGCGATAGCCGTCGTGCGTGGTCATTTTGTGGGTTTCTTCTTATCTCCAACAAGAATTCTGGAGTAGAAGTGGTGATCTCAAAAGGTTGAATCATGGCCCCTGCCATTGGCTTATATGTGTCTGAGGAAACGCACTCTACTAGTATCTATCTATCTCATTGGGTTTCCAGAAACAGAAGGTCGAATGAGTACCTGCGATAGCGTTCTCCCTTATCGCCATTGGCTCGAGCTGCCAACGAGGAGTGAAGTGAAGTGAGTGAAGTTGGCCGCACTAACCACGACAGGAAGGTTAAATGAGCCCTGAAACCCCAATGCGGGGATTTAGGTTTGCCGTTCTTCATTGTTTATCTCGAGTCTGACCAATAACTTGTGCAGTGCCACCCCCGCATTCTTAGTTTCAACTAGTACTACTCCGTTGTACCCTGATAATACGATCAATGGTTTGTTGAGTAGCAGAGTAGTAGATAAGGACAACACTAGACACTACCTATTCTCCTCCCCCCTCCTCCCCTGTAACTCATTTTACCGCAAAAAAGCCACACACACACACACACACACACACACACACACACACATGGTACTATCTTCCTCCGACATGGCCGCAGAATCACTGAATAAATCCCTGGCATACCACGAAAGTGCTAATCAACACGTTGATACCAGTGAAGGCCAAGTGGTGGGCGAGTCCTTCAAACGCGTCTACAATGTCTGGACAGGTACCGTCCATCTGGTCTCTCGGAATCCGGTCTCAATGCTAATCGGCCCGCAATCCAGCCTCTGCGTACCAGGTGCTAATGATGGCGAGCTGGACCTGCAACATTGTCCTTTACGGGACGGTCTTTGACGTCGGAGGCCCGATGATGCTCATATACTCTACGTGAGTCGACTACGGAGGGACCAAACGTTTACACATAGCATGGGCTAATGGTACGGATGGGTCAAACCAGAATCATTGTAACCTTAGGCCAGTGTCTTCTCATGGCCTCGCTAGGGGAAATGTGCTCAATTTGGCCGTACTCTGGGGGTCAGCAGTAGGCTAATATCAGCTCCAGCTAGACGGACCGGCTTTGCTGATTTCTTATTTCTATTACAGGGCGTACACCAAGCACCTTGCTCCCGCGTCGTAAGCAATATTTCTATTCCCACTTATCTAGACGCATCATGCTCACTTCTCGCACAGTTGTCGACGTTTTCTATCATACCTGATCGGCTGGATCGTGTATCTGGGCGAGATTGCGACATCTGCAGGTTGCGCAATGAATAGTGCGCAAATCGTCACTGCCGTGGTCCAGCTTCATTATCACAACTACATTCCCACAGTGTGTGCCTCTTCCAGTGGCGGAGTCTAAAACCAGTTAACTGACATTCTCTGTCCAGAGATGGCATATCTGGTTGATATACAGTGGGATTCTGCTGCTTTCCATCCTGTTCTCTTTTACCCAGAGGCACTTACCAGTAATTGCGCTTATCGGAGCACTTGTCACCGTGGGAGGAGGCATTGCTTGGGCTACCACATTCCTCGTGCTTGCCCAAAAGCACGAGGCAGCTTTTGTATTCAACTACCTCATCAACCGGTCGGGATATACCAGCACCGGATGGGTGGGCCTTATGAGTATCTATACCCCCGTCTACGCACTATACGGAACAGATGGCGTTCTACACATCACCGAAGAAATACACTGTCCCGAGAAAAATGCACCGGTACGTTGGAATAACCCAAGCAAGAGTCGCCGCGAACACTAAACTCGCATTCTGACAGAGGGCAATGATATTATCCATGGTTCTAAGCGGCATCACGTCGCTGATGGGAGCGGTTGTCCTGGGTTTCTGTGCCGGCAACTGGCAGTCATACATGGAATCCGAGTACGTGGTGCAATTCCAGCAGTGACTGATCCTGCGATTACTGAACATGATATCCCAGCCTCCCGTTTATCCCTTGGTTTGTTGAGATTTTGGACAACGTCACCGGCGCGATTGTCCTGGCAATTGTTGTCTTGGTCTTCCTCAAGTAAGCCCCTCGCTAGCAACACTCTAGTTCCCAGGGCACGCATCTAGACCAAGCTGCTGATTCTCCCATTGATAACAGCTTCCTCATCATTGTCGGTATCAACACAGCGGCATCCCGAATGGCCTGGAGCATGGCAACCGACCATGCCCTACCCTTTTCAGATGTTTTGATGCGTATCAACCCAACATTCCAGACTCCGATCAATACGATCCTGCTGACAGTCGCGGCTGAAATGGTAATCGGTACGCCGACGCTCCGGAATCTGTTCAGTCTGCTTGAACCCCTAAATGCCACTTTTCAGCTGACTTGCATATCCCAGGGCTTGTCGTGTTCGGCAGCGACTATGCCTTCGAGGCGATCGTGAGTTTGGGCGGCGTAGCGTTCCAAATCGGATACCTCACGCCGGTGTTGCTAGTAAGACTAACTCTTCCAATGACAGACCTCCCCTTCCTTCTCTCTGACTGCCCACGGGCTATGTAGCTGATCATCCGCGGCCGCTCTGCGCTACCCTCCGGGCGATATTTTGACCTCGGCCGCTTCGGGCTGGTAATCAATGTCTCATCGGTCTGCTGGTCGTCGCTCATCATCGTTATATTGCTGTATGCATCTTAGATTCCTGTCTATTCTATCTACTGATAATTGTACATCGCCAGGTTTCCACTCTATGTCCCGGTGACTCCAGGTGATATCTGTGAGTCTCTCAAGCCTCGCCCTCACGGCACTTGCCCTCTGACCAGGGGGTTTCCTACCTCCGGTTCCACTGACCATTTACAGATAACATGAATTGGGCGGTTGTGATGTGTGGCGGGTTGATCCTCGCAGTAGCGGTGGATTGGGTTTTCCGTGGCCGCTTCCATTATATAGTTCCGGCATTGTGAGGTTGGAGGCGAGCTTTAGAGACTCGGTGACAGGGGTTTCTGTCTGGATTTATGGATCACTTCTCTGGTGGATTCCTTGTGTTTCAAGCTGTGTATCGTCACCAAGAGAGCGTTGTGTGATTTAGAATTTTCTTCCATACATGTGATGCGGGAGTAACGTATAGTATACCTTTGGCTGGAGTCCGCGGGGTTAGGGCGATAGGTAATGTTAAGTTCATGCCAGTACACCAAAACGGAAATCCGCTGGCCATCCAGAGAACAGACGGAACGAAGACTCTGTGTCCCAACTGGTAATAAGCAATAAAAGCCCAGTATCGAGTCATGTCTAGGAAATGCACGGAACACAGGTGTTGTTGAAATGAGAATCTCCAACCGGCGGTGGCAATCGACGTGCGGGGTCATTATCATTATCACATCGAGATAAGGTTCATCCAGCGCAGATAACCAACCTATCTATCTATCTACCACCTACCGCCAGCTTCCTGCTCTATATCTAGTGCGGATTATTTTTTCCTCACTACTGCCGCTTGAATGTCTTGAATATGGTCGAATCCCCTGAAAAGCGACCACGCCCACGGCGGCCGAAGCAGAAAGGTAGCCCCCCCCCCCTCCCCTTGACCATGAAGGCACGGCGCGCGAAACTGAAGGTGCATAAACAAACATGCAGGTTGCCATGAATGCTCCCAGCGTCGGGTGAACTGCGACAGGAAGGAACCGACGTGTGGGAAATGTGAGGCGAAAGGGATTGAGTGCTCAGGACTGGGGATTCGGGTTCGGTTTTGTCATGGCGTTGCCTCGCGGGGGAAGCTGGTTGGGAGGGACGCTTCTGGGGAAAAGTTACCCTGGTGGGTAGTAGTTGGGTTCTCTCGAGATCGACTGACTTCTGCTAATTGGAAGACTGTGTTCAGTCAAACAGACATACCGTCGAGTTCCTCTTTGCGTCGCGATCCGTCCGCCATCCCGGCCGTGATCGATCCCCTGGCTCAGTGGGAACGTATCTTGGTGGACTATTGTAAGCAGCCAGCTATTGAGTCTAGCTAGGACTTTACCAACATCCCTCAGTCAATAAGACCATCGCTCCCAACATGATCGCCGTCGACGGCGAAGCCAACGGCTACCGCACCCTCATCCTACCGGCGGCGGAACTCTACCCCTGCGTCTTGAAGGCTGTCCTCGCATCCTCAGCGCATCACATCGCACTCCGAGTCGCCCCCGACCACCGCTCCGAGGCCGTGGTGCGCGCTCATGAACTCTACACCGACGCCATCAGCGCCCTCCAACAGCTGACCACCGCGCCAACCACCACCCACACTCCCAATGCAATCACCTCTCTCGTTCTACTCATTTGTACCATGATCACAGGCAGTGAGGATTTTCCGTTTCTCTTTCGAATGCTCTCTGCCTCGTTATCCGTTGTCAATCTTGGCCATGACGACCAGCTCGGTCCTCCTCTCTACCATTTCCTCAATATCCAGATGCAAAAGTATGCTGTACTTCTCCAATCATGTATCTTATATCTTACCCCCTCCCCTTATCCCCTGCTAACCATGACTCTGTGCAATCACTTCAGATTCAAACTATACGCCCGGCCATTCCTCCTCCCTGCCAACGACATCCCACAACCCACAGACACCCTTCTCACTGACGGCCTAGCCTGTCTCCTGCTCTGTTCACGCCTCCACCCCGAACACTCTGCCCGACTTATCCAAGCATCCCAGCTCATCCAAATCGCCAGTGAGCTGTACGGACGCCGCGCATGCGGGGAGGAACTCGATTCCCAATCCTCGACTGAACTCGTCGAGCAGTTCATCAACACCCTCGTTGACTACCGCTCCACTCAGGTCGGGTGGAATGTCCTTGTGTGGGCGACGTTTATTGTTGCCGCTGAGAGCTCGCTTCCTCGCCACAGAGCCTTCCTGGCCGCTACACTCCGCGAGCACTACGATCGCACGGGGTTTGGGAATTTACAGGCCGCTTTGCGTGTGTTGGATGAGATTTGGGCCATCGAGGGAGGGGGGGAGTGTTGGACGTTGGTGTTGCCGCGGTGGCGGGTTTTTGTCATGTAATATATCAAGTGTGTGTGTGTGTGTGTGTGTACGGAGTATCATATCCTATATTCCAACCTTACGAGCGATTTCGTTCATTATCTTTCTTTTTTACACTTCCACCGGTCACGATAAAATCAAATCCAGCGCAGCGCGTGATGATCATACAAGACAAGGCGAACGTTAAAGCTTCGGTGAGTTGAGAACGGGCTGCCCCAATTCGAGTGATTTTCGCAGCGCCCTGAACCTCTGCTCCGTCAAAAGCATCGACCGAGGAGTTTCCCCAAGTGTATCCCGGACCGTACCCCCGGCAATAAGGCCCGCAACAAACTGTGCCGTGCGAAACGCCTTGATCATCCCCGTAGCATGGTACCCCCCACACACCCACTGGTGTTCTCGACCCCGACCAAGCAGCCGACCAGCAAACGGCATCCCATCCTGACTGAAGGCGAGAATCCCCGACCAGCCATGCGTGATATATGCCGAAGACCCCAGCACAGGAGAGGACACAACCTCGTCCCCCACCCCACGCAAATGGACCATGGGCGCGAGATCAGTCGTACTATCGTCAGCCGTTGCGATTCGGCCCGTATTGGCACGGCCAATCACAACCCCGCCATCCTTCCGCTGGATTATATAGTCGTAGTCCTTGTCGCCGTAGCGAAGCCAGTAAGAATACTCCGGGTTAAGGCCAAACGCAGACACCCCCGGAGAACGGCTGCCCTCGGCAGTACTAGTCACTGGCCCATAGTGCACGACGTTGCCGCGGACGGGTGAAATATACGGCTGTAGCTCGGGGACGAGATGTCCGATCCAGGCATTCGTAGCATGCACAATGTGTCTTCCTTTGAGTTCGCCCCGATCCGTCTGCACAATGGCGAAGTCGTCTCCCGGTTCCTCCAGAACCTGTTGCACCGTGGTTTGCGTCTGGACATTGATCTTCCTGGAGTCGATCAACGGGCCCAATACCCCGGTCACCCACTTATAGGGCCATAATGACGCAGCAGGAACCCCAATCGCACCAACACACTGCGATGATGATGAAGATGATGCAAGGCCCACCGTCTTCTGCAACTGCGCCAGCCCCTCCCCAGCATAAACGCGGTGCATGGCCGCCAAACGCGGAACATAGTTCTGCATATCCCGCAGTGCGGCAAGACCATCTTCAAAGGACTTCAGGCTATAGTACGCCTCAATGCCTTCCGTGAACTGAAGATCGCAGTGGGCAGTTAGGCCGTCCTGGGCGATTGCATCAGCCATAGTCTGTAGATGACTGAACTCGAACTCGGAGATCCGGACCGCCTCGGCGATCCCAAACGACCGCTTCCGTTCCTCCCACATGGCAAAGGTCATGGTTTTGATGTGGCCGCCGTTTCGACCCGTTGCTCCGGAGCAGAGCGAGCGGGCCTCAACAAGCACGATGTTGAGTGTCGGTTGCAGCGCGAGTAGTGTTCGGATGAGCGTCATCCCTGTGATTCCGGAGCCGATGATGATCACATCTGCTACCTCTCCCTCTCCCTCTCCGGGCCAGGGCGATTGATGGGATGCTCGTGCATGAGGGCTTGATTGCCAGAATGGTGCGGTGGGGGTTTGCACGGGAACCCCGGGGTCTACTACTCCAGGGTTGTAGATTCCTTCAAGGGCGCTGGACATGGCAGACTTGGATGATGATGATGAGGAGGAGGAGGAGGATGAATGAGTGGTTTTTTCCCACTCCTGCTGCTCCCGAAAATGGGCAGTCTTTTATATTAAGTTGCTATGCTATCTATGCTACTCGATATTTTATTCTCCCACCGTCCAAATGATACAGGTTTCATATCTCTCATTTCACCTACCTAATTTGGAATATTGTTTCGCGCGCCCAGTCCCCATGGCTTAGTATGCTAGCCGCACAGCAGGGACTCATTTAACCTTCCGGTTTAGGATGGTATCGGTGCCCGCGAGGCTGTATCTAGATACTACTAAGTGCGTCCGTATCGGATATGGGCGAGTGGATCCGGTACGGGTGTCTCGGGATTTTTGATATAGTAGTTAGTAGCTAGATAGTCGGGCCTCTGAGACCCCAGAGTGGAGAGGTAATCGAGGTAATGAGCAATTAAGCTAAGGCGCGGAGTGGTTGGCCTGCAGTGTAATATTTACTGGCGTGTATGGGGTTGGGATGAGTGCTGCTGGGATGGAGCACAAGTACTACTGTGTAGTGTCTTACTAGCTTTTATCGAGTGATACAAGGTATGTACTGTTGCAATGCAATACATTCAGCATCGACATAGCACTACTCCGTACCACGGAACAGATCCTCCACGTCAGTCAACCGATGACGTCATCCCGCTGCACCACGCCAACTGGTCCATCAACGAGGGGTAAAAAAAAAGAGGACCCGCGACGATAAGCCCCTCAGCCACAAGACCACACCACAGGCACGCAGCATGAACGGCACCCAGCCCGAGCAGCGACGCTCGGCTCTCGTGCTCTATGGCTCGGAAACCGGCAATTCCCAAGAGGTGGCCGAGGAGCTGGGGGCCTTGGCCGAGCGTCTGCATTTCCGAACTCATGTGGCCGAGCTGAATCAGTACAAGCCAGTATGCTTCTCACCCTAATGCCACGCCAATGCTGATGACTTAGTGTAGGAAGTGCTGAAATTGCATACAATTGTTATTTTTGTGGTTTCGACGACGGGTCAGGGTGATTTCCCGGTCAATGCGAGGTCGTTTTGGCGGTCGTTGTTGCTGAAGAGACTGCCTCCGACGTTCTTGGAGGGGGTCAATTTTGCGTCGTTTGGGCTGGGGGATAGCTCGTATCCGAAGTGGGTTTGCTCGATTGTGGGGATGTTGGATGAGGGCTGACTTGTCAGGTTCAATTGGGCTGCGCGCAAGTTGCACAAGCGGTTGTTGCAGCTGGGTGCGAATGAGATATATCGGGCTGGGGAGGCCGATCAGCAGCATCCGGAGGGGTGGGTTGTATATGATGAACTGGGTTTATGCATGCTGACTGGTGTAGGCTTGAGGGAACTTTCATTCCCTGGTTGACGGACCTGCGCAAACACTTGCTGGAGACATATCCGCTTCCTTCAGGGTTGGGTCCGATACCGGATGACGTTCAATTGCCGCCGAAATGGGTCCTGGAGCTACAGGAGCAAAATACGACAGAAATAAAAGAGGATCATATGGTTTCTGGCACCCAGGAATACCAAGCTGCGCCGGATGAATTTCCAAAGTTGACTCGACTAGACCATGATCTACGACCACTGCCCGATACGTTGACAGCGACGCTTACAGAGAACAAACGGTTGACGCCATCAACACATTGGCAAGATGTGCGCCACGTATTGCTTACTGTCCCGGAACACACATCCTATGTTCCTGGGGATATGATATGCATTACACCGAAGAACTTCTCGAGCGATGTCGATGCCCTAATCCAGATGATGGGTTGGGAGGAGCAGGCTGATCAGCTGGTTTCCTTGGTCCCCAACAGCCATATTCCTGCAGAAGACCTCCCCTCTCCGCCCATCCTTGGCCTGGAGTCGTATCCGCAGCTAACACTGCGCGCCCTTCTCGCGGATTATCTGGACATCCAGGCAATCCCACGCCGGTCCTTCTTTGCAGAGATTGCCCACTACACGAGTGACGAGATGCACAAGGAGCGCCTGCTCGAGTTCACCTACACTAGTCCGGAGTATCTGGATGAACTATGGGATTATACCACCCGTCCAAGACGTAGTATTCTAGAAGTACTGCATGAATTTGATACGGTGAAGGTTCCATGGCAGCATGCGGTCTCAGTGTTCCCGATCCTCAAAGGAAGACAGTTTAGCATTGCCAGTGGTGGCGAGTTGAAGAGTGCTGGCGGTGGCACCAAGTTCGAAGTGCTGATTGCGATTGTCAAATACCAAACCGTGATCAAAAAGATCAGACAGGGCGTCTGCACACGGTATATTTCGGTGCTTCGACCTGGAAGCACATTAAAGGTACAGCTACAGCGAGGAGGACTCAATTCCTCCGTCAACCAGCTGGTAGGGCCGACGGTCCTGATTGGTCCCGGCACCGGTTTGGCACCGCTGCGATCCATGCTCTGGGAGAAAGCTGCCATCATCAAGGCGTATCAGGAGGAGAATCCCGGGCTGGAGCTCTCGATCGGACCCACGCTGCTGGTCTACGGCGGTCGCAACCGAGAGGCGGACTTTTTCTTCGAGGACGAATGGCAGCAGCTAGGTAAGCTGATCAAGTTGAACGTCCTCACTGCATTCTCTCGAGACCAAAAGGCGAAGGTCTATGTGCAAGACGTTATCCGACAGAACTATGCGCTGCTCTTCAAGCTGTTGCACGACATGGCGGGATCGGTATATATATGTGGATCTTCCGGACAGATGCCCAAGGCCGTGCGGGAGGCGCTGACGGAAGCCTTCCAGCATGGGGCAGAGGTCGAAACGGACCGATTCAACGAACAAGGCGCCGAGCAGTATCTCCTTGGCATGGAGAAGACGGGGCGGTATAAACAGGAAACATGGTGATGGGCGTGATCACATGTGATTTCGGTCTCTTGGCATGCATAGATAGAGAATCCGTCCAACAGGACATGGATAGATCTAAAATAAGCTTAGTATACCACAACATACCAGCAGCTTCATGATCATGTTCATCCGACATATAGGCTAACCTCGGCTGGAGGCGGGAGAAGAGCGGCGGTGGTTGGCCTTTCGGCCCGCTCGGGCTCTCCGCCCAGGTCACCTGCTTTCTGCCGCGGATGGCAGCTGCTCCGTCGGATCGGCCTCTCTTCACGCTTCTGCTCGCCTTAAGTGTCAATTCCCCTCACGACCCTGTCCCGCCCCTCCTCCATTGACTCTTCTCCGAGACCTCCCCAGCACCACAATCAATATGGCCAGCAGCTTGCGAATCCTTGTCCCCGTCAAGCGGGTGATCGACTATGCGGTGAGTTTTTGTCGCCTGCTCCGTCTTCGGTGAAGAGTCGCTTCCCCGAAGTCGCCCGCACGCCCTGTCCTTGATTCTCCGTCGTCGACCTCCCCGTACTCGCCACCTCCTTATTATACGGTGGAATACGTTGCACAATGAACTCCACTAATTCATGCAGGTCAAACCCCGCGTCAACAAGGCCAACACCGGTGTCGAAATCGCCGGTGTCAAGCACTCCCTAAACCCGTTCGATGAAATCTCCGTCGAAGAAGCCATCCGTCTGCGCGAATCCGGCGCCAAGAACCAGAGCCCCATGAAGGTCGACAACATTCTCGCCCTCTCCGCTGGTGGAGCCAAGTGCGCCGATACCCTCCGCACGGCCATGGCCATGGGCGCCGACCGCGCATTCCACGTCGACGTCGGCGACAGCGCCGATGGCGGCCCCGAGCCCCTGACGATCGCCAAGATGCTGCAGGGTGTGGTCAAGTCCGAGAACATTAATCTGGTGCTGCTGGGCAAGCAGGCGATTGATGGTGATCAGGGCCAGACGGGCCAGATGCTGGCAGGTCTGTTGGGATGGCCTCAGGCGACGCAGGCGAGCAAGGTCGAGATCAAGGATGCGGAAGGCACAGTGGAGGTGACGCATGAGGTGGACGGTGGTGTTGAGACGCTGCGGGCTAAGCTGCCTCTGGTGGTCACTACGGACTTGCGGTTGAACTCGCCGCGCTATGCTACACTGCCCAACATCATGAAGGCCAAGAAGAAGCCGTTGGAGAAGAAGACGCTGGCGGACTTCGGGGTCGAGGATAAGAGACGTCTCAAGACCCTGAAGGTGACTGGTGAGTTTACTCTTCCCCTTAGTCTTGTTCCAGACTAACTCGTCAGAACCCCCGGCTCGCCAGGGAGGAGGCAAGGTCGAGAATGTCGATGGATTGATCGGCAAGCTGAAGGAGCTGGGTGCCCTGTAAGGTGGAGCAGGATGGATAGGTACTTGTGTATGTTTACGACTAGAGCGTCCGGTGTCAGCTGGACTTTATCACTCCGGATCATAATCCTGACGTGTATGTTTGATTCTATGCTTAACTCTATCTGGCTATTGCCTAGCAACTACCTGTTGGAGTACTGCCTCATTGAGCCATTGCAGTCCAATATGCCCCTGCCAGCTGGCACGCACTAGTCCACGGACCGGGGATCCGCCGCAATGGCAGGACCCATCCTCCAGGAACACGAATCGGGATCTCGGAAGAAGACAGACGCAGCCGGCTGACTCGAACCACCGTGCTAGCAAGACCATGCACGCGCTAGGATGAGTCGGTTGATCTAACCGGATGGGATGCCTGATACAGAGACTAGATGATACTATAGTTCATAGCTGAATTGGTGGTTTGGACTGTAGGATGGTCGCTAACCTTTAAGCACATATTGGATTGCTGATATACTTAGTAGAACAGCACACCAAAAGAATTATATACCTACAACTCATCCTATACCCCAAGTAAAGCAATTAAGCCCAATAAACTCAACCCAATCCTCCCCCTATTGCACGATCCCCCTCCACGAGATCCAAGAGCTCACTCCCACCTAGGTACGCACCCCTAACCCTAAGCTAAGTTCCCAGCGAATGACAGAACCCGCAATCCGATGTATCATATCCGGCACGGTTCCTAGTGCGAACTACCACCACGGAGCATGTATGTATCCATTCCGATTAATTATCTCTTCTTACCTCATCGATCGATTACCATCGTCACCGGGGAAGCCAGCCAACTATCTAGTTTTAGTTTGATTAGTTGCGTATACTAGACTCTCTGGGTAGATAGATACCTAGGCATTACGCTCGTCAAATAGGATGAATGGTTCGGTTGGAGTTGCCTCGTCTAAGAATAGCTAGTAGGTAGTAATGAACAGGGATGGCAGCTGTGAGTGTTTCAAGTGTCAGGGATTGTGGAATGTTTGAGGGTGTTCTGGGCTGTGCAGTGCTGTTTCACCTACCTATCAGTACGGATATCTTAGTATGGGGATGAAACAACCTACATCCCAGTCAGTACTCACCTAGTTACCTATCTTCTATAGTATTCTACCCAACTACGGAGTCCTCACTACAGTATAATTTTGAGTAGTAGAGTAGTATCTACAACCCAATCCCGTCCCCCTCGGCCGAAAACATCCAACTGCCTCCGATATGATATGATATAATTAATATGATATGATACGAACGCTAGGTACGAACCGCAATAACCGCAATCCTCTCTCTCTCCTCGTGGCCCCATCCATTCATCCCATGGCATATGATATATCCAACCGAAGAGAAAAATTTTTCACACTCTCTCCTGTACGTCGTCGCACGCACATGGGAAGAACAGAGTTCAGCCCGCACAAATTGTGGAATCAATACGGGTAGATAGTATTCCATGATCCGTGGTCAGTCACGGGGTGTGCTCGATTGGACGAGTCAAATCCAACCAACGCAAAACCCTATACTTTATATGGAATATACTTTTTATGTTTTGTTTTGTTTGGACAATGGGATGGATGGATGGATGGATGGATGGATGGATGGATGGATGGGAACAATGAGCCGAGCCGAGCCACACTCCGGGTTGTTTTACTTTACGGCGTAGCTTTACTTTTTTCAGGTTTGAGGAGATGGAAAGGGGATGTTAGAGAAAGGGACGGACGGAGTATCCCGAGCAACACAGCCCAACGGGTCAGGGCCAACAGACTGTGCCTAAGGACGGAGTCGAGCGATGGGGATGAAAATGGAAGGAGTCCTCCGTAGATACTACTGGTGTGGGACTAGTATACCTTGATTGAGGTGGGGGGAATGGACATGTCAGGGACCTTTTTACTATCTGAGTTAATTGGATCGGGGAGGGTTGATTGGATGGATGGATGGATGGGTGTGGTGTTCGGATGGATGGATAGATGGATTTAACCTACCTGCTTACTTATTTGGTTAGTAGATAGATAGGTATGGTAGAGACTAATGCAGAGAATTTTCTTTGCCGGGGCGACAAGGTCAAGTGAAGCGAGGGGAAAGCCAGGATACAAAGGGGGCTCGATCCATGGATCCAACCAGGGCCAGGCTGGCTGGGGTTGAAGCGTGAAGAACAAGCGATTGGATCTGTCATATTCATCGGGGAAGAAGTTGATACATCCCTTGGGATGCAGGGATGGGCCGGTAAGAGAGGGGAAATTTCAAACGGATCTAGTGGAAGTTTATCTTTTTTTTTTCTAATTTAATTTTAATTCTATTTATGAAGTTGAAATAAATGGTTGAAGAAGAAAAGAAAGAAGGAAATTAGGCTACCGTGCCGACTGCGACTAGGACGGTAATTGACTAGCTGAGGGTCTTTTTTTTACTCCATCGTGATTGACTTAGTGAGTGGATCGGGTACGTAGATGACGCTGTGCCCCGTTGGGCATTCTTTCTTTCAGATTTTCAGTGGATATGCTGATGGTTATGATTCTGGATACTTTGTAGACGTGAAATAGAAAGAGAATCGAGTATAAGAAGAGAAAGAAATCAAAATAATACACATAAATCAAGTAACGGATGGGAAAAAATAGATCCGGATCTAATCCGATCGGCTTTGCGGCGATGCGATGACGATGACGCTACGCTACGCTGCACTGCGCGGCCCTGCCAAATGATGCCATGCATCTCGGATGGACCACTTCTTCTTACTCCCCGGCTCTCTCGGTCGTCATCTGGTTCAGCCTGACTGACTAGTACTGACTCTTCGCTCGCTGCCATTCGGCTCTTTCTCCGGCCAGCCACTCCAGTCCAACCATGCCCTTCCGACCCAGCCGGGGTGGAATCCGTGCCTGGTCGCATCCATCATTTACTACATAGTCCAGTTGTCCACCCGTCCGTTTTTCCGTCTGGCTTGCTTGCTTGCTTTTTTTCTCCCTCGTCTCGTCACTGCATTAGCCTGGTGTCGTACATCCGCCCACCTCTCTAGCTGCTATTTACCTACCACCGCTGACCGACGGGGCGACGGTCGATCTCTCTCTCCACTCTGGGGATTCCTGCCTCCTGCCTGGAACCTCCTACTTACCTACTTACCCACCTCCTACATAAACCGGCTGTCGGCCTGTTGCTCTGCTCTGTCTACGGAAATTAGAGGCGGTCTCATCTGATCGTCCCTGTGGTTCACCTGGCCGTGATAACCTGTTCGGCCCTGGCGAGGCTCAGCCGGAGGTAAGCCGCCCCGATCCCATTTGCCCGTTCCATGGTTCCCCCTCCTTCGCTCTCGTATGTATCCGTTGCCAGTTGCTTGCCACCCATCTGCCAGATGAGTCTGGAACACGGCTATCACGGAGATTTCTTCGAGCTGCCCGCTGCAGTTATATCACCCCCTCGCTGCCCGTACTCTCCCCAGATCACTGATGTTCTTCACTTATAGTTGCTGCATTCCTCCTCCCCTCCGGACCCGCATTCCTCGGTTGTCACCTTGGAAGCTTCAGTTGCATCCTTTCCTGCCTCTCATACATTCCTCCCGCATTGGGCAGCACCTGTTTACTACGGCTCGCCGTCTTCGTCCATCAGCTACCGCACCGGCCATTATAGACTTACTCTCCTGCCCTCTTCCTCCCCAGGACCCAGTCCTGTCATACTCTGCTTGGTGAGCTCAGTAATTCCCCGCGGGATCTGACTCGCCACCATGCCTTCCACCCTGTGGGAGAGGACAAAAGGTACCTCCAAGAAGGGTTTCGATAAAGCATGGCACACTCTCGATAAGCTGGGCGACCCCGTCAACCGGCTCTCCTACCGGGTCGGCGCAGAGGCCTTTTGGCCCATGACCCTCGATAAAGAAAGTGACAAAGCCGCGCGCATCCTGCGCAGTTTCTGCAAGGATGGTTTCTACGCCAACGATGATGCCGATCGGCAAAGCACCGACAGCTCCATCAGCAAGCAATCCGGCAAGCTGGACCGCCCCAAGGGCAAACAACGGGTCCTGAAGAAGATCCCGGCTCGGGTCATCCAGAAAGCCAAAGGTATCGCCATCTTTACCACCATGCGCACTGGTCTCTGGGTCAGTGGCTCGGGTGGCAGTGGCGTGCTCCTGGCGCGCATCCCCGAAACCAACGAATGGAGTCCGCCCTCTGGTATCATGCTTCACACCGCCGGCATCGGCTTCCTGGCAGGCGTGGATATCTACGACTGTGTCGTGGTCATCAACACCTATGAGGCTTTGGAGGCCTTCAAGAAGGTGCGATGCACATTGGGCGGAGAAGTCAGTGCAGCGGCCGGTCCCGTTGGCATGGGAGGCGTCCTCGACTCGGAGGTGCACAAGCGGCAAGCCCCCATCTGGACCTATATGAAGAGCCGTGGCCTGTACGCTGGTGTCCAAGTGGATGGCACCATCATCATCGAGCGTAGCGATGAGAACGAGCGCTTTTATGGCGAGCGCATATCGGTCACTGACATCCTCGCGGGCAAGGCCAGGCATCCTCCTGCAGCGATCCAGACCCTCCTCAACACCGTCAAGGCGGCTGAGGGCAACACGAATGTGGATGAGAAGCTGCTTCCTCCGGGCGAAACCCCAGGGGATGTTGATCTCGGGGCTGTACCCTCGTTTGGTATTCCTGATCCGGAGGATCCCGACCCATTTGGGGTCAAGGCTCTGGAAGCCGAGGGTCTCTTCATTCGCGAGGCTGGATCGAAAAGCAGACCGTCCCAGGAAGTTTTCGAGTTCAAGCCGAGTCCTAACAGCCCCGTCTATTCAACCTTCCGACGGAGTACTGATAGTTCACCACGCAACAGCTGGCGAGCGAGCGTGCAGAGTTACGCCAGTATGGACCGAGGCACCCAAACCGATGACGGCCCAACTACTGCCCCGACCTCCATCAGCCGTGCCTCTTCCCGGAGCTACCGGGACGTGTCGGATCGTGCTGAAACCAGTCCGTGGGACAGCGAGGAGAATCGCTGGGATACCGTGATCCCCGAACAGGACGAGTACCGCGTCCAGAATGACATGGACGACGCGGGGGATGTGGTGGATGACGATGTGGAGGTGCACGAAGTCAGCAGCGCTACTGTCTCGAAGCGCGAGAGTGCCGCCCATTCCCCCGTCGCGGCCGAAGACTCCACTATCCCCCCGGAGCTCAAACGCCAGTCTCCTACCTTTACCCGTGCCCGGCTGGTGACGATCCCTAAGCGACTCCCCCCGGCTCTGCCGCCAAGGAACCCCCAGCGGACGCCGGTTTCCTTCTCGAGCTCGACCCCCAACTCACCCACCTCTATCCCTTTCTCTCACAGCCGCCGACGATCGGTCGCGTCGAGCCCTGGACATACCTACGGTTTCACGGAGGTGCCTCTCTATCACAAGAGCAATGATTCAGACAGTGACTTGTCGGAGTCGTCGAACAAGCTGTCTCCCGACCGGGAAGAATTCCACTCCGTGTCCAGTGTACACGACTCGGACGTGGCATCCGAGATTGAGGTCAAGGGACACGATGCGGAGAGTCGTCACGATTCATCTGACGAGAGCACCACCACCCGCATCCGTGAGACCGAGGACTGGCCTCTGACCAACTCGGACCTCGAGCTGGTGCCCACGAAAACCATCACTGCTGACGAAGATGTCCAAACCCATGCTGCAGTACACCCCCAAGCTGCGTGAACTGTGCCACTCTTGATGGCAGTCTCTTCTCCTTGTATATATTCCTTCTGGCATATTCTTCATGGTCCCGTTGCACATGGCTTGTTTATTCCGTGTTTCGGCTGTTATGTATGCTGAGAGTCTCAACTCTCCTGCTTTCTGTGTGATTGTAATGTTAGCCTTAGCGTGCTGGTTTTGGTTTGGACATGGGCATGGATACCTGGCGTCTCGGTTTGTATACTGGGATGATGGTACAGATGCGATGCATGGCTTGTTTGTTAATATATCCCGCGTGGTTTTTCTTATGCTAGTCAGAACGAGGTGCATTTTCTGTGGTAATATCCAATCTCCATAATAACTCACCTGGCACTGCCAATTCAGCCAAGCAACCAAGAACGCGTTGAAGCCGATTTCCAACCGAGCCACCTACATCATCACGCGCTCCCAACCAGTGAACATCAACGAACCGATCATACCATGCCCGTCGCATCAAGGTTTTCTGGTGGGAGGGTTTGACAGGCAAATAGACTCGGGCCCGGCAGGATCGCTGCCAGTCAGCCAGCATCCGGTGGAGTCATGGACGATCGCAGTCGATTATCGTGACACGGCGATCCGCCGGGGTTTATCGCTTTCCGATTGCGCTATCACAAGCTAGTGTGCACCATCCAGACACTCCTATTTAACTAACTCCTTCGCCGCCGCCGTTTCTTTGTCCAGGAACAAAGAAAAATCCCCGTGCGTCTGGCCATGCCTTTTCTTGCCTCTGTTGTGGCCGTATTGGCTGGGGCCGGTGCCGTCGCGGGCCAGTATTTCCCGCCCACGCCCGAGGGATTGAAGGTCGTGCATTCGAAGCAGTACGAGGGGGTCAAGATCTCGTACAAAGAGGTGAGTCTACCAAGGTACTTGGTCCATAATCAAGGGATATTTTGATGTTTACTGTACTAGCCCGGAATATGCGAAACCACTCCCGGCGTCAAATCATACTCCGGCTACGTCCATCTTCCCCCTGGGACACTCAACTCCCTCGGCATCGCCCAGGACTACCCCATCAATACATTCTTTTGGTTCTTTGAGTCTCGCAATAATCCCCTCAATGCACCGCTATCCATTTGGATGAATGGCGGCCCCGGTGGGTCGTCCATGATCGGCCTGTTGCAGGAGAATGGTCCCTGTATGGTGAACCCCGACTCGAATTCAACGGAGCTGAACCCATACTCGTGGAACAACTACGCCAATATGCTGTATATCGATCAGCCGAACCAAGTCGGGTTCAGCTATGACGTACCCACCAATGGTACGTATGATCAGCTCACGGAGATCTTGGATGTCGCATCTTGGGAGGACGGGGTTGTTCCGGAGCAGAACAACACCTTTTACGTGGGCACATTCCCAAGCCAGGAGGTCCAGGCAACCACGAACAGCACCAGCAATTCGGCGCGCGCGCTGTGGCTATTCGCGCAGACCTGGTTCGCTGAATTTCCCGAGTACCGGCCCCATGACGACCGGGTGAGTATCTGGACGGAGTCGTATGGCGGACGGTACGGACCAGCGTTTACGGCTTTCTTCCAGGACCAGAATGAGAGGATTGAAGAGGGGGCTATCGAGGGTCATCCTATTCATTTGGATACGTTAGGGATTATCAATGGGTGTGTGGATCTGTTGATCCAGACCCCCTCGTTCCCTAATATCGCGTATAATAATACGTATGGGATCGAGGGGATCAACAAGACGGTGTATGACAAGGCGATGCATGCTTGGAGCAGGCCCGGCGGGTGCAGGGATATGATTCTGGAGTCTCGGGATGTGGAAGCAGTGGGTGATCCCTTGATGTATGGGGATAATGAGACGGTGAATCGCATTTGCGAGGATGCATCCCGATACTGCCTGAATGAGATCAAGGGACCTTTCACGAATTTCTCGGGCAGGGGGTACTACGATTTCGCTCATTTCAACCCCGACTCTTTCCTCCTCCCGTACTACGTGGGATACTTGAATCAACCCTGGGTGCAGAGCGCACTGGGCGTCCCGATCAACTTCACCATGTCAGCGGAGAAGGTCTACGAGAGTTTCCACACAACAGGCGACTATCCCCGCTCAGATACTCGCGGGATGGTGGGCGATCTCGGCTACTTGCTTGACTCGGGCATCAAGGTGGCCTTGGTGTACGGAGACCGGGACTATGCGTGTCCGTGGAACGGCGGCGAGGATGTCAGTCTGGCGGTGGATTATGTGGATAAGGACAAGTTCCAGGCTGCCGGGTATGCGGACGTGCAGACGAACTCGTCGTACGTTGGAGGCATGGTGCGGCAGTATGGGAATTTCTCGTTCACGCGCGTCTTCCAGGCAGGCCACGAAGTGCCGTTTTACCAGCCCCAGACTGCATATGAGATCTTCAATCGGGTGCAGTTCAACCGGGATCTGGCGACAGGGAGGATTAACACGGCCCGCAATGCGAGCTATACCAGTGAGGGGCCGTCGTCGACCTGGAATGTTACCAACCAGGTGCCGGAGAGTCCCGCGCCGACATGCTATTTGCTGGCCATGGAGGATACGTGCACCGAGGAGCAGCGGGAAAGCGTGGTTAATGGGAGTGCTGTGGTGAAGGATTGGATTGTGGTTGAATGAGTCACACATGGTAGTAGAGAAGAGAACGATGTGGGGAGAGAGAAACAGCGGATGGTATAGAATCACATGACGTATGACATCGTAAATAGCTACAATCTCCGTCTCTCGATACCTTACAACCCAATCACTAGTCAGCATGCATTATCTAGAACCCCAATGAGACCAATATAGGGAACTGCCCTCTCAATATCCCACCTCTAGTTGAAATCCCCACGATAATCAGTCCCAGCAAGACTATATAAGGCTGTAAGCAAACTCCGCCCCGCTCCATTGCACAGACTACACCGTGGCACGTGAGACCATCACGTGACCCTATCGCAGGTCCCCCAAAGCGGAAGACCAGGACTCCAAGCAAACAACATCATCAATCCAACAGCTAGACGGTAAAAAAGCCCTCTGCAGCTCTAGGAACTCATTTCCAGCTATATCGCAGCGCAATCATACGACCGGGACCGCATCACCACCCCTCCCATCGAGCTCATCGAACTTCTCGAACCTTCGATTGGTCGGCCGTTGTGCGGTCAACGTCACACGTCACCGCAGGCTCACCTGAAAGCCGGCGGCTGCACACGCACGTACATCAGTCCGTTCCTCCACCTGCTTCACTCGCCTATCCGAGTAGCACCCCTTCAACAACGGCCTGGATGTCTTAAATCCATACCTACCTACCTACCTACCTTGACTTGGATTTCCCCGTTATTTATACCTTGGCGATCGGCGATCGCGGTGAATCTTCTACGTCATTCGAGACGACACGAGAACCCTTCCCTACAGCTGTGGTGGGTGGCTTATATGCTGTCTGGATTCCAATTCGCCCGTGTACCTTTCTTCATACCCGTATTTCGACTTTGATTGATTACTGGGACATTTTCTATCGACTTCACAATGGTTGCAGAAACTCGTCTTTACGATGCCCTCTCCATCAAACCCGATGCCACACAGGATGAGATTAAAAAGGCCTACCGCAAGGCGGCGTTGAAGTTTCACCCCGACAAGAATAAGGATAACCCGGCCGCGTCGGAGAAGTTCAAAGGTATGGATGGATATGCACGGTCGTATTTAATTATTGGTTGTTGAGGCTAATATTCTCTAGACGTGTCCCAAGCATACGAAGTCCTATCCGACCCCGAGAAACGCAAAGTTTACGACCAATTCGGTCTCGAATACCTACTCCGTGGTGGTCCCCCGCCATCCAGCGCCGGTGCTGACGGCTCCAACCCCTTCGAAGGTGGCATGCCGGGCGGCTTCTCGTTTGGTGGGATGCCCGGTGGGGGTGGAGGTGGAGGTGGTGGCACCCGAACATTCCATTTCTCGACGGGCCCTGGCGGCAGCGGCAGTGGATTCCGGTTCAGTAATGCGGATGATATCTTCCGGAACTTTGCTAAAGGAGGTATGGGTGGTGGAATGGGAGGGATGGAAGAAGATGATATATTTTCGATGCTGGGCGGCGGGCTTGGCGGTGGTCGGGGATTTAGGAACAGTCGCGGGCCCAGCGGATTCAAGCAGTCGTCGCAGCGGGCACCGACGCCGGAGCCGACAGTCATGGAGAAGGAATTGCCGCTGACGCTGGAGGAGCTGATGCGCGGTACGACCAAGAAGGTGTCGGTGAAGAGCAAGACGTTTGATGCGAGTGGGAAGCGCACGGTGCAGGATGTGACACTGGAGGCGAACATTAAACCGGGGCTGCGAACCGGCTCGAAGATCAAGTACCGGGGAGTGGGCGATCAGGAGGAGGGGGGTCGTCAGGATGTGCATTTGATTGTGACGGAGGTAGGTCCCTTCTCTCTGTTTCACCCTTTATATAGGGAATGCTAACAGCTAGTAGAAAGAACACCCCAACTTCAAACGCCAGGGCGACAACCTCGTCACGGCAGTCGAGTTGAGTTTGAAAGAGGCCCTCACGGGCTGGGAGCGCATCGTGCGCACGATCGACGGCAAATCGATCCGGGTGTCCAAGCCCGGACCGACGCAGCCCGGCCACGAGGAGCGGTTCCCGGGTTTAGGCATGACGATTTCGAAGAAGCCCAGCGAGCGGGGAGATCTGGTGGTGCGGGTGAATATACGGTTCCCGGCGAGTTTGAGTGCGTCGCAGAAGGAGGTTCTGAGGGACGTGTTGCCGTGAGCGAGCTATTTTATGAGTATATTCTTATTCCCTGGGTGAGTTGGGTTAGCAATGTGGCGTTAGGCGCTGAGGTAATTAATAAAATCGATATTTCTGTGCTTTGCATACTTGTAGACAAGTTCCGTAGTACGGAGTAGAGAGAGAGCTTATCTTCTTACTCCCACACAACCCCTTATCGATAAGATAGTCCACAGAACCGATAACGATAACGATAACACTCACCGCCAAATCAACCCGTCCCAATGACACGTCCCGAGGTCAACCAAGCTCCCAGCTCCAGCTAAGCTCCATCCATCCCATCTCCGCATCTCAACTTCCCCATACACACCACATCACCACCACAACACCACCCCAATTCACCACTCACCACCTCCTATCTCCTTTCCTTTAATCTTCACATCTTATATACCCCCCATCAAAAAAGAACAAAGACAAACACGATGAAAACAAGAATAACCTACCTCCAACCCCCCACCTCCCCGTTCACGGCTGAACAGGCAACGCTTTCCAAGAAGGGGCTACAGATTCGGGATTTGGATGCGGCGAAGGAAGTACGTCTTACGATTAACGTTGCTGAGATTAGTGAGGGGGAGACGCTGGTATGTCCATTCTATCCTATCTTATCTTATCCTAGATTTTATGTCTGTTTTGTTGGGGTTTGTTTTTGGTCGTCTTGGGGAATTGGTTGCTTCGATTCAATTCGATTTCTATATTGTTGACTGGTTGGTTGTGTTGATAAATATGGATATTTGCTAATATGTATCGGGTATGGTTGGTATAGGTAAAGGATGTCCTGAAGAAGACAGATGAGATACATATTCGGTGGGCGAGGGAAGAGGCGCTTACGGGATTAAATCCGTTTGGGAGTCGGGTTTCGGGGGGGTTGCACGTGGGATATACTCCCCTTGAGGGGAAGGGGGATAAGAGGGATGAGGATGGGTGAGTTTTTTCTCTTCCCTGGTTGTTCTTGTTCTTGTTTTTGCTTGGCTGTGTGGTCTTTGAGGGATACGGATAGGGATTATACTTGGGATTGGGCTGGGGTTGGGGTTACTATGGATGAATGTAGCTGACTTGTGATAATGCAGGGAAGGAATCTGTCGCCTGCTACGTCGGATATTCAGTGAAGGGGTTCAGTGTGAGAACTATACGGTTTGTCTTTCTTTCTTGTCTTTTTGGAGGACGGGTCGTGTGCTAATATTTGCTGTATAGGAATCCTTCACCACCCCCCAATCCCCCTCTACATCAACGTACCAATTCTATTCCGCCCTCCCTGAACACAATCTAAATGAGTACATCACGAAGAGTATATGTCGTGGGAACGGGCCCTGCGCAACAGCGGGGTGGGATCAGGCCGACTCGATCGATCTTGATTACGATGCTGTGTCAAATACCCTAGTGGTCTCCGGGTACTGGAGCCAGCCGGATAGTGCCAAGGGCTGGACGGAGGAGATCCGCGCGCCGGGGAATGACCGTGACAGGGTGGAGGTTGGGTTACTTGGGACGGAGAAGGCGGTCGAGGCAGAGGAAATCAAGATGGGTGGGTTGTTGGGGGTTGTCGGGGTTGACGAAGCTTTGAGTGTGTCCTCTTTCTCCTTATTCGGTGGGTTGGGTATGCTAACATGTTAGAACCTACGCTGTTTTCCTTCCCCTCTAGGCACCATGTCCTCCCTCCCCAGGCTACCTATTCTGTCTCCTTCCCCCATCCCACAGGCATGCATCCCACCATGACCATCTCGCTCTCCCCCGCCGCGTTGGAGTATCCCGCTGCCCCTGAGGATACCACCTGTGCGCTGCATGCGTATCTGACGCTGCCGTCGTATATCTTCGGGGACAAATATCAGCTGTCCACGACGGATCCGCTATTCCTGGACTCGCATCATTTGGTGGCCTTGCGGGCCGTCAGCGGGGCCACGGATCTGGAAGCCCCAGATTGGTTCGTGTCGCACTGGGGCTCGAACTGGTTGCTCGAGCTGGCCACACCAACTGACTTGCCAGAGGAGTGGAACGTCACGGTTCCCCTGCATCTGCGGTATCTCCGGCCGTCGGAGACAGGGTACCGCGCTGCCGGAGTGCCATGGCCCGTGGTCTTCTGGGCCTGCACAGCAGAAGGGGGCACCAAGATGGGCGTGAACCCATTTGACCGTGTCAATCTAGGCTGGGACGGCCTGTTTGGTCCCCGCACCATGTTCTACCAGGTGCATCCCAGCGGAGAGACGGCTCGCCATGTGGAGGAGCTGGATGTACCGGTGCTCCGGTTAAACGAAGGGGGGTTCTTCCGCAGCAAGGCGGTAGAACTAGGCACAGTAGCAGCCATTGTCCTAGGGCTGCTGTGGGTGTTGTGGAAACTGGGGGTGGTGGCACGGTCAGGCGGACAGAAGACTGACAAGGGGAAGAAGTCGCAGTAGGCCACCGTAGCCAGTGTGTGCGGTCAGACTCCCTCCGGCCAGGCATCCGTGTACATGAACCGCTCCATATCGAAATTGCCCAAACTAGGAATATCAATCAACAGATCACTCAACCACGAGAACCCAGGGTAATCCGCCAGCGAATGATGTGGCTCCGTAGAAGCCTCCTGCTCTTCGACCCGCGGGACAGAGCCCCCCGGGTTAACCTTTAGCACATCCATCAGCGCCTTCGTATCCTCCTCCTTTCGTCGCTGATGAAGCAGAATCAGCAGATACGCCGTACTATAAGCCTCGCGCATCACCTCCGTATCATACGCCGCGGCCACCTCGCGGAGCGTGCGCATCGCATCACCCAGCATCACCAGGGACGTCCGGTTATCGATCGCCAGCAACGTACACACCACCTGGAACGGCACATTGGCGATCTGATGCCACGGACAATTGGACCCGACCATCTCGCGGGCCGCCTGTAGCCCTTTTCTCGACAGCGCCAGCACGCGGTCCAGCAAGTCTCCTGAAATAATACAGTTCAGGGCGCGTAGACGACGGTAGATGCATAGCATCAAGTTACACTGGACGAGGATGAGCTGCGGCAGGACGTGGACTAGATCGAGCACGTTGCGTAAAGACGACTCCAGATCCGGAGAGTCAGTCGTTTTGTTCGGATCCAGACTTTCAGACATGGGAAGGAGGTTGAAGATCTCGGCGGTGCCGGCGATGCGCGGCGTAGGCGGGAGGGATGTGGAGCCGTGCAAGACGACTCGAGACCGCGCAAGCTCGAACGATATCCATACGTTCAGGTGCCGGGCCATGCCGAACAGCCGGCGGCGGGTTTCAGGGTCGCATGGCTCTGGGAGTTGGTTGATGGCGTTGTCGGAGGGGAATTCCAGGTGGAGGCCTGTGGCTTCGATGATGTGCATTAGGGAGCAGCTGGCCATCCAGGCGGCATTGGGGGAGGCCGTTAGTCGGAGGTACGAGACTCGGAGGACCCAGGCGGTGACGATGTCGACGGATGGAGTGGTGTCGGAGAGCATGTTTTGCTCGAGGATGAGTCGGGCTGTTTCGGCGAGTTGCAGTTCCGTGGGACAGGCCTGTCGGCGGGAGAAGAGGTACCCGAAGGCTGCGACGCCGCAAAGGACGGCGTCGTAGGGGCCATATGGTAGGACGGATTCGGATGCGACTGGTAACCATCGTCTGCTTACTTGGCGGAGGAGGTGGTCCCGGTCGATGAAGCCGTAGCATGGGTCGACTTTTTCGAAGAAGACGGTCACGAGGGACCGCATTTCCTCCTGGGAGATGGTGTCCACGACGGGGACAGCCTTGGAAGTGGGTGACGATGGCGGCATGGAAGAAGGGAGGGGATGCCGAGTTCCAACGTTCCAAGCAAAAAGATGCATCTTTGGGGCATTGGATGGGTCGACTTTAAGGCCGAGTCGCCTGGCGAATGCAGCGCCGGAATTGGCATCGAGCGAGCTGAGACGAGCTGCGGTCTCCTCGGGCGATATCTTTGGCTCGGTAAGCCGAGGTGGTGTGCTATTGATAGTGGTGGTAGAGTCGACCGGGGCGGACTGCAGCTGGAACAGCCGGGCATCGCGTTTCCTGCGCGACTGGAGGTCATAGTGGCAGTCGGAGCCAAACTGGGCGCATGTGGTGCATGGCTGGTCGCCGGAGCATTTGCGCTTCCGGGATTGACAGAGGGTACAGGCGACGCGGGAACGCTTCCTGGGGGGTTCTGTCATGTTTTCTGCAGGCCATGTCTATGACCAGTGGAGGAGTTGAGGAGTTGTAGATAAGATGAGGATGTTTGATTCCGGTCACTCGATGCGGAGATGATGCGTGTGCGGTGCATAGATGAGTCAGCGGGTTGTGCATTGCATAAGCCATGAACAAGTATAAGTCAATACAACCGAGGTCGTTCACTTAAACCATGTCAGTGTAAATTCAGTCTCCAATGTGCGTTCCACTTCGGTCATACAATGAGTGTACCATTAATCTCAATGTCTCGTGGTTCGAGGGATCTGTGATTATGCAGACTCCCATAAAAACAAACACTGGCAAGGCTATGCTGCTTTGACAGCTGCAGCATCTGCCAAGAGATTACTTTCTGAGATACCGAAGGAAGTTGCAAGAGATGAGAAACATTTGAAGACAACAGATAGGTGTCCAGAATCATGACACTTCCGAGGCTATGACATGGGTTAAGAGATGGTTGAGTGGGAAAATGAATGATAAGTGGCTGCTCATATATGACAATTATGATCCCGAATCATTTTCTTCGTCATTTGCATTCGACTTGGAAAGATACTTACCAGAGATACGACAAGGCGTTACAATAATAACGTCCACTTTCCGGTCTTTGACGTATGGAATTGATCCCCGTGGAAGGATTTCGAGATTCCGTTAGCCTAGAAATTCTGCTCAAGACTTCAGGGCGACCAGACCTAGCCAGTAGTAGGTTCTACGTTTGCGAGGCCGTCTGGGGGTATGTGTCATCGTTCATACCAGCAGACTAAAACAATATACCGCTAATCTCTAGAGAGAACAGACAGAGAGAAATACTTTATGTCCCAACAGTATATCCACCTTGGCTTTTTGTGATTTCTTCTGCAGTTAGTAGTCAGGAAACCCACAATTTGTTCTCTATCCATGTCTCTATCACCTATCATGTATATATGTGCGAATTGAACCAACCAGTATATTCTACAAGGAGAAATGGCACACCGACAATGCTTGTTCTGCACCGACTTATTCCCATTCGGCTCGATGTTGTATGGTATTCCCTTCCGTCCATGTGAGAATAATTAGTATCTTGGGGACTGTCGTATTGACTTCTTTCTAGGGACCATGTTTATGAAACTATTCAAGGGTGACTGGGTAGTTGTCACTAGATACATTGTCTTGGAGTCTACCTCGGGCCGGGAACCATCGGCATCTTGGGATGTGCACTCGGAAATATCCGGTCGGTCACCGACAGGGGAGAGAATATCATCATTCACAAGTAATGAAATTTCTCGTCTTTATGTAAAAGATTGCATCATCTCAACATACCCACATAAACCACTTCTTTCCATTTCTTCCTCCTTCTCCTCCTTTCTTTCGCTTCCAAATTCCACTCTAAATTTTCCTGTGGGGTATACCCCATAGTAAAAAGATCAGTCGGATCCGAAGATACGAACCATCTCCGAACAGATTACAAACGGGCAAGTGGGTCCTTACTTCCCCCCATCCGAACTACTATTTCTGTATGGCTAACGAATCAATTCCAACCCCTGATGGCCACTGAGCAGCAGCATGCCTAATTTTGTCACGAGGCTAACCAAGCATCCCGTCGGAGTTTTCTCCGATTCACCCGGACAGATGTCCGACTGCCACACTCCCATCTGCTCAAAATTTCTACATTCACAAGTGTCTAACCCAAACCCAATTGTAAATTGAACCTAAACAAAACATGCTATATAACCACCAAAACAACAGAAATCTAATCGAACCCGAAATAAACACCCATAACCAACAAACTTATCTATACCCATATAGATATTCCCCATCCTCAAACAGACTTCACCCCCTCCCCAGCTCCAGCCCCAGCAAGAACCTTCATCCCCCTCCCCTGCTGCATCTGCAATTGTTCCAGCGCCTTCACCACCCGGAGATGTTCCTTCTTCAAGGCCTCGAACCCATCATCGAGTTGTTTGTGCCAGGGGTAGAGAACGAAGACTTGGAAGGCGAGGGCCGATGAGGCGACGAAGAAGTTGGTCAGGGAGATTCCGCGCGTGATGATCATTGTAGCTGTGGTTTTTGTTTTTGGTTTGGGTTTTGGTTTCTGGGTTGGGGTGGGTTGTTAGATAGTGGGGTTGTTGTTTGTTGTTTTGGGGGGGGGGGGGGAACTTACGGTGGGTTTTGTGGGCGAGGTTGAGAAGAGGGGAGATTGGTGGGTGAGTGAGTGAGGAGGTAGTGGTGGATGGGATGGGATGTGTGAAAGATGGATTGGGGTATGTGAATGTAGAAGAGTAGAAGAGTAGAAGGTAGACGGATGGATGACCCGAGGCCCCTTTCATGTGGGAAGCGCTAGGTGGTAGGACTAGGCCGAAGACGGCTAAGACACGTACAGGAGGACTGGATTATTAAATCACTACCTACATTCTGTTTTGGACTAGACTTGGCACTGTTTTTGTGTTCTGATCCTAGCTTATTTTAGACATGAACCTAAAAGTAAAAGGTAATCTTCTGAGCTACTAGTCTACATAATCAAAGATTGCAAATACAGTGTACGAAGCAAGAATCTCTTACTTTTTAGCGAAATCAACAGACTTTGACTGTGAATAGAATGAGATAATTCAACCCCTGGATATCTTTCGAGTGCTAGTATCATCAAATGTAATCATCAGTGAAGAACACTTAACATCCGACAACTACTCCAGTTCGAATTGGGGCTGTCGATGTGGTCGTGGTTTCAGAGGCAGTAGTAATGTTGTAGTCCACCCCAATGCAATCGCCAGCCAACAAAGGATTCCATATCGTCGGTTTTGTTGCTGTGATGCCGGCGTCGGACTCGATATCGTGACATTGATAGTCTAGATGTGGATTAGTGTTTGCTTGGCAGAGTATAGTCGCATCTTCTCCTTTTCGTCTTGATATGCAGCCTGTGGTGGTGCCCGGTGCGGTGGGGAGGTAGCTGGGCGTGTAGATGAATCCGGGGTCGCTGTTTGCTGATGTGATGAGAGTTACTTGAATCGTCCAGGTCCGGGAAAACCAGGGTCTTTGCAACAGGTGCGACAAAGCCGCTATCTGACTGGGCTGCTCACATGAAGCATTCATCTGCGCAAGCTCTTCATCGGTTTGAAGCTCCTTTGCGCAGTGCAGGATCTCGGAACTGTCTGTATGTTCCCCTAGCCAAATGATCACTTGACTGGCGGTCTTATAAACGTCCCTCATAATCTGCACCTGGCGTCTCTTATCATCTGTAGACTGTTGGTCGATGCAAAGCGCGTCTGCCCATATCACTTTAGGCTTTCTCTTCAGCCGTAGTCGGAATAGAGCTGACCAAAGATTCTCGGTGACCTCCATCTTGCAATAGTCAACACAAATTGCGATTGTTCTGGAAGGGTCACCCCAGACATATGAGAGTGCCTCATAATCTGGTTTCTGGGAAAGATCTACCTCAATCAAACGACATTCTATCGGGCTTCTGGACGTGAACGAAGGTAGTAGTTCCACGAGACGAATCGGCTCGATCCCCCCCCAGTGGCTGATATTGGAAAAGGGGCAGTTCTCTTTCCAATGGGTATGGATGGTGATGAACATAATCATTCTGGGACCGTATCATGCTGGGACTCTCCCGGCCGTGAGGAAGAATGAAAGAAATGGCATACTCCCTTTAAAAACCATTACCCATGACAGCAGAACCCACAACCTGTGCCCGCCCATAACAAACCTTCATCCAGCCCACATCCTCCAACATGCACCCATACAATGGCTCAAAATCATCCTCCTCATCCTCATCCTCTATCCCTGCACACGATCCCTCCCCCCAACACCTCTCCACCACCTGCCTCCCAATGACCAACACCACAAATCCAGTATCATTATACCCATCCAACTCCTCAACCGGAATATCCACCACCGACCACAAGCCTTCTCATCTACCATAATACACAGTCCGTACCGTGCTGTATTCGCCACCGGGCCAAAGAGAACGGAACTCCTTGCTCGGATGCACACAGTATACGGAGTCACATGGTCAAACAGTGTCTTATTGTCCATTACAGTCGGCACAAAGGAATCGAACATGTCCAGGTCGTCGTGACCTGCGAGTCGTCTCCGAGTCACGTGCAGAAAGCGAGACATGAATGACTCCCACTCGGAGTCACTTTTGTAGGTGCACCGGTAGATGACCAGGCCTCAGGTCTGGAATCTGTCGATGAGCATGTTGTGCTCGATGACGTCGGCTTTGTTGTGAGTGAAGGGGGTCCAGGGGGTGCGTTTGGAGTCGCGGGGGGGAGGGGGCATGGAGGGTGGTGCTGATGAGGAGGAGGATGATGATAATGGAGATCTAGTTGGGAATGGAAGTGTTTTGTTCTTCGTGTAGGGTTGGGGTGTGGGGTTAGGTGGTGATAGGGGGTGAGTATGACTGCGATTATTCCGGATGAGACGTAGAGGAGATTGGGAAGAGAGTTTTTGATGGGGTCCAGTTGGTGGTATTTCTTGATCGATATATTTCCCATTGGAGGATGTTTCTGACATCCAGGGTGGGGAGTATCATTATGACACTCTTGCGGTGAGTTTTGTGGCTTAGCTGGAGTGGTTCGAGATAGTTGCAGAAAGCTGTATGTGGGTCTTACAGTGATCGAACAAACAGGAAAAGGATATGGCACTGAGGAGGGGCATAGAAGACAATGAACGATGAGAAAAAAGGAATGCGAGAAAAAAGAAGTAGGTGGGAAGGAAGTGAGAGAATAAATAAAGTAAAAAGAGTGTGAGGGAAAAAGAAAAAGAAACTCGCCCGATGCGAGGCTCGAACTCGCAACCTTGAGGTGTGCATTTTATAAAAGCCACACGCTCTACCGATTGAGCTAACCGGGCAGGGTTATAAAATGGGGAAAATGGATAATACTTATAATCCTTTATTCTCCCGTACCCAGCTCAACACTTGTCCGCTGTAAAGAACATTACCTATTGTGCCTGCCTGTGGTGCAAAATTGACATTTCTTTGTTTAACTCTTGGATATTAATATCTAGGGCAATTCTACAGGATTTTGTATAAATATTGGAACATATCCTGAATCTATAATCATAGGCCTAGGCCTGTATTGACCTATTTCCTATCAAGTGCGTACTTATATATTTTCCCGCTACAATACGTATTACTATCCATTTGTGTCCTTGCCACAACTCATTGATACAGGAAGCGAACACTATAGTAGCTCTAATTCAATTTAGGACAGGGAAAACAAAGCTACGCCTAAGTGAATTTCTGTTTTCCGGAGAGGTAATCCCCAGAACCCTGATATAGGTGATGTGATTTTAGACATGCTCTCTGCTGCTGGTAACATAGAAAGACCGAAATACAATCAAATTGAAGACACTAGGTTGAGCTATCTAAATAGCTCTATGAGGTGTGTTTTCCAGTGGGAATAAAACATGAGACATAAACATACAACAGAAGGGATTCGCTGGTGGTCAGCTACCCAACTAATGACCTCCCCGCGTGTGGCTTATGTGCGGCCAGTAGTCAGGTGGGTGCTTCTAAAGATGCCCAGCACGGCTGCGCTCGCACTTAGTACGACTATGTTTTAGAGGGTTGAGGTTCCGTGAAGTTCCAGGCTGCTCCGTGCTATTGCCTGGCTTTGAGACACCCTACTTCATTTCCGCGCAGCTCCCCGAAAAGGGAAGGTTTTGCAATATCATTGGCTCGGCAGTCCACCTGAAATAACAGGCCTTGCAAGGCGTGCTGCGCCTCCGCTAGGCAGCAAGTTTTGGCACGGACCCATCAACCCGTCCCTGTCCAAAAGCAAGAAGATGATGGTGATTGATATACCTATATACATTGAATGGCCTTCCTTATCATCTATTTCTATGCCCTTAGTAATTGGTGTTGACCCTCCTTAGCACCGATGAAGGGAGTTTAGTCGCAATATTGCTTGGACAGGTCCAACGGCTTCTTTCAAGGCGCTTAGCTGGGCTTGTCACCGATGTAATTCGTCTTAGTGACAACAAACACGAATTTAAGTTGGGAGGTTATTCCAAACCAACGAGAAGCGATGGTCTGATGTTTAACAAACCATGTGTGCTTCGAGGCAACTGCAGATGACTATTGCACATGTATAAGAAGTACCCATTATGACGATGTATGATAAATGATTAAGGGATATCCAGCAACAAAACCTTTGCATTCACATAGCAGTACAGGGAAACCTAACCGAATAGGGGAAATTAGTACTAAGGCAGGGGAAGATCTCTGATAGTTGGGACATGTGCAAATAGGCCCAGGGTTGCAAAGGAAATCTGACCATGTGCAACGAGAGAGGGCATCTTTAGATAACACAGTTTTTTCCGATCTCTCTGAGGTTTTCCTGTGATAGTATTGATCTGTATATTCGAAATGAGGCCCTATCATGTAGAGCCCCGTTGTCATATTTCTATGCAATATGAGACAACTTACTGTGAAAATGTAGGTTTTGATTGGATGCTTCTGTTACCGTCCCTGGCTGAGAACCCCTGGCTGAGACTTCTCTTTGGGAACCAACGCCTCGCTGCGAGCGCTGGAAGAAATGGCTTGTTGAGTGCCAAACACAACACTGTGATCAGTGAAAACACCTACTGGGGACGCTCTATATAGCGATACCAGACCCCCTCATCCCAACTCCGGTGAATGAGGCGTACCCATCTCAAAACTCTCGACAACTGACCGGTCAGGCATCACCTTGTTGCGGGGTTCTTTCTTATCACGTAGTTTCCCTCGAAAACACGTATTGCAATGTCGACTTCCATGCCCTTCACCAACAGATTAGAGGCTAGTTGCTGCGATTCCGTCTGTGATCAAGGACAAGCCATCCGAGAAGAATACGGAGAGGCCTCTGTTATACTGCAAATTTGGAAGTTGGGAAGCGAACATACAAATTCTCCAGCCACGGAGACGTTACAAAACACAACAAGCGAAAGCATTTATCGTGACAATTGGGAAACTAGTTATCTTATGGCCAACACCTATCTTATTCACTTGCCTGTTTCTTTGGTGCAATCGGGTCTCCTGCTTCTTGTACTTGCGGGCTTGTATCAACTCTTTTTCTACAGCTAAATTTACCTGTAAAATCAGACATGTAACATGGTCAGATGCGGATTTATGGGGTTCAAGGATGTCTTCGGATATCTCCATATCGGTCATGACAAGGCCCTTTCACGGTGTACAGGGCTAGTACAAAGATAATGCGGGCCACGTTCAAGCCAACACCTTTAGAACTTCCTCCCGATGCTTCTCAAGATACTCCGCGAACCTAGTCAGGCGGATCGGGTATTTTTCAAGCTCCTTGAAGTTGACCTGATACCCAACTTCGTTCGTCCACACTTGGCTCTGAATGCGAAGGTCCGTCAACGCAAGCTCTTCCACCTCTTTCTCATTATAGAATTGGAGGGAAATGTCCTTTCCAGAAACTCGGCTCAGCTCCCGCACAATCTCTGCCGGCGTAAGAGATTCCACACCCAAGTCTATCTCGTGCATGTTATACGCCGACGGTTCAACAATCGCAGCAGCCGCAAACTTTCCGACGTCAGAACCATCGAGTATCGTCATTGCAGTGGTAGGCTTGTACGCCATCAAAAAAGCCCGGGGTCGAACCAAATCAGGAAACATGTAAGACGCCTTTGGCAGGAGATAGTTGAACATCAAGAATGCGGGTCGAAGAATGGTCCAGTACTTTATCCCAGACCCTCGCACCATTGACTCGATTTGAGCCTTGCTCTCCCAGTACCACGCCAGTGGGTAGTCCGGTCCCCAGTTCGGGAACTCTTCGTGTCTACCAGCCATTGTCACGCTTGAATAGACGATAGTGGTAACTGTGCCGGACGCAATAGTGGCATCGATAATATTCTTGGCGTGAATCACCTCCCGATTGGTGTCAGACGAGACGGGCAATATATTAAGAAACACTGCAGTAGCGCCTCCCATCGCAGCCTTCAATGACGATGGATTGTCGAAATCACCGGGGAATAGGTGGGCCCCCAGGCGCTGGAGATCAATGGCAGACTTGGAAGACGGATCCCGAACGAGGGCATGGACTTTGACTCCTGATTTCAAGAGTTCGCGTGCGGTAGCACCGCCTTGATGACCAGTCGCTCCTGTGACAAAGGCAACGGTTTGAGACATGATTTTTCTCAAAGTTGAAAGAGTATTCAGAGATGCGGTAAAGAGGAGCGAGGAGGATGTAATTGATTTAGCAGCCACCACTGGTTATAGATGATGCTCTTGTAGAAGACGATGCGATGAATAGGTTGAGAAGGATCCAAGAACCTTTTAAATTAGTAGTCTGTTGGTCCATCAAGTCACATGTATAACCCCCCGGAAAGGGAATTCAGCTCGAGGTTATGGGGTCTTGTAGGCGTTGAAGAAGGGAGATCCGCATGTGTTGCACTTCTTGCCCCACTAACTATTCTGTATTTAGTAACCAGCTCGATCAGATTTACAAGAATTACAAGAATTATGTTAGGACACGAAGCCGAAGAAAACGAGTGATATTGGTTAACTAGCTAGGAGGCTTCTGCTACGCGGGAAGAAAAGGACAACAACACAGTGGCCAACATGATAAAACACGTGATACGCTTACTTATTAACCAACTAGCTGTTTAGACACAGCCTTTTAAATAAGCAGAGGTACTAGAATTAGTATATATAAAGCTAGACTTTCTATCTAATCAAATAATAAATTATTAATATTAAATAAATTATAATAATATAAAATATTAAGTACATAGTAATTCTACTACCAGACAAGATTTTATATTTAATAAATATTTAAATACAGAAAATACTTCAGAATCAAGTATTTTAATAAAATTATTTATAAGATTTTCCTTTTCTAGAATATAAAACATCTTAATCTTTTTTATTTAATTAGATTTGTTATAAAAAGATAGCAGTTATCAAGCTATCTAATTAACCAATTATAATAACTGTAATTAAAAATAATAAGCAAGTTAATAGCATTACTATAAATCAAAATCTTATTATTTTCAGAAAATTTAAGACTAAATACTACTATTAATTTCTTAATATATAAGATATCTTTAACAGTAATGTTATATATACAGAATTTAGTAATAGTAAATAATAATACTAGAACAGATTATTTTTTTAATAATTAAGTAATTAAGCTTCCGGCAAAGAAGATAATATATTCTTTAATTAATTAATTATCTTTATAATTAATATAAATAGTATTAATATAAGTCTGTTATTATATACCTTATTTAAATATTAATAAACAGATTTTAATATCTTATAATTAATTATAATTAATAAGGTAAGATATCCCTATAATCTAAATATAAGATATTATATATCAAGCCTTATCTTTATAATAAGCTAGTTAAAATATTTTATTAAGCTTTGATAGTTCTTAATATTAATCTTTTTAATTATTATCTTTTAGCAGTCAGCCTTAATATAGAAAACTCTTATTAAATGAATAATAACTAACAAGTTCTATAAATCTATAATAATCAAGAATTTCTTTACATATATAAACTAAAATAATAATAATATTTCTTTATTATAATCTTATTTTATATAGTAGCCAAGAAAGATCTTTAGCTTGCCTAATTCTTTAAAATCAAATACTTTATAAAGGTAAGCTTTGATATTATTAAGATTCTATTAAATTAGACTAATAATAATAAAGTTATTGATATAGATAATAAAAAAGATATCACTCTTTTAATAGATACAGGGATCTTTCTATAATATAATAAATCTAATTTTTAAAACTTACTGTAAAAAATATTATACTATAGAAAAACAGCTTATTAAAGACTATATAAAATCTAATTTAATTTATAAATATTATCAGTATAACCTTTATAATAGCTTGTTAATTATTTTATATAGATCTTTTTATCTTTAATCTTAATATATAAGTATATAAAAATAATATTATATTATTATTAGACTAGATCTTTTAAAACCATGATTATAAAAAATATTTTAATAACAATCTTACTGGTAAATAAAATAAAAAATTTATTATAATCTTTATCAAATATTTAATAATTACTATAAATTACTTAAAAACCTCCTCACAATACTATATATCTTTATAGTCTTAATTTTTCTAATTTAATTATTTATAATCTGTTTCCAATATAACACTAGGGCAGACTTTATAGTTTAAATATATATTATTAAGATTACAATCTTATAGTGCTTGAGTCTTGGATTAGTAATACTTTAATTTATTAAAATTATTTACTTATTATCTAACTAAATAAATATCTTATCTTTAATAGTTTATTAAAAATATCTTACTAGAGAAATAACTTCCAGGATAGAAATATCAGAGATCTAGTGATTTCAAATAAAATATTTAAGTAAACTAATCTTATATTTAGTAAGATTTTTAATAGACTGTAGGAAAAATTTATTACTAAATTTTATAAAAAATGAAAAAGTTTATACTCTACCAGTAATAATATTAATATTCTTAATTTTTATTATATTAAAAATATTCTAATAAAAAAAGTATTATTCAGCTTAATTATTTTCTTTAATTCTGGAAATAAACTTTCCAGAATAATATTTAAAATAATTATTTTAAAATTATTCTTATTATTTTCATTATTTTTATATATTTTATTTTTATGAAAAATAATATTTTAGAAGTACTTAATTTTATTCATTTTTAATATTTAAATATAATAGATATAATTATTATCTTTATTAAATCTAATTAAATAGTTAATTACAGTGGGGGGTTCCATTTTTATTAAAATTATTTTATTTTTCTAAAGATATAAAAATAAAAATAATAATTAAATATATATAAAAAATCTGATAAGACTTCTAGATTAAGTAACTTGTAATATAACTTATACTTATATATTAGAATCTTCTTAATATTATTATTAATAAATATTAGATAATTTATAATTTATATAATTAATATAATAATAAAAAATTATAAATTACCAGAAAGACTTAAATTAATTATTATAATTTTAATTATTTAATTAATTAAAATTCTATATCTCTTAAGAAAACTATTAACTTCAGATATACAGGGTGGAGAGATAATAATATAAATCTTATATTCTTTATAGATTATCTGGTTCTTAAAACAGTTAAATTCTTTATCTCTATCAAGATATTATACTGTTATATAATAATTAAATATATTTTTATATTTAATATTTATTTTGATAAGCTCTTACAAGATATTACTTTTTCTTTTTAATAAAGTAAACAGATTAACTAAATAGTATTATTAATTATAACTAGATAATAATTATACTTTTTATAGCTGACTAGAGATGTTTTTTATATATCTATATATCAGAATTCTACAAAATCAGAAATTCAAAATATAAAATTATAAGATATTAATCACTTTATTTTTTAATTAATACAATTCACAGTATATATCATCTCAATATTTAACTTTAACTTAATAGAATTATACAGTAATATTAACTTATTAAAAACCAGTATAACTATATCAATAATACAGTAATAGAGAGTTAAGAACTACTATCTTAATTTTATAGTTAATAATCTTAATAAATAATACTTTTTTTATTACTTATATATAATTAATAATATTATCAATCTTTATATTTTACAGAGTATAATCTTTATTAATTTTATAAATATTAAAGTCTTTTTAAAAGTATTAAGCTGATAGAAGTCTGTATAGCAACTCTAACTAGTAATCAGTCTTAATATTTAACTCAGTAAAAATATTATTTACTTTTAGAAAAATAATAATATATTTTATTATAGTTATCTTTACTAGAGTTCTTTTTAAGATATTATATATATAATATTCATAAAGCTTAAACTTGTGAAAATTAGCTAGTAAGTAATTGTCAAACCCTAGGATCGCTTCCCTGTTCCTGTTAGCTTAGCTTCACTGGTATACGTACCTTCGAACTGAATCGAGATAGTGTCAGGCTAATAACTATTCTAAGGATAACTAGTCTTGAACCAAGAAAGAGAAGTAAGGCTAGATAGTGTCGCGCAGCTATCTGTAAGTAAATATAGATAAGTATTATTATTAAGCTTTCTAAATATATGATTACTTAAAGATGATTATATTAAGCATAAAGAACAGAACTAGCTAAGTATATAAAAAAGTATTTTTATAATCTATTCTTTATATACTATACTATATACCTGTCAAACCCTAGGATCGCTTCTCCCTGTTCCTGTTAGCTTAGCTCCCGTTCCAATACGTACCTTGTGAACTGAATCAAAGGTAGTCAGGCTGTTGACTATCTAAAGGTGACTTGATCTGAACAAGAGAAGAGAAGTAAGGCCAGATAGTGCCGCGCAGCTATCCGTAAGTAAGTGCGGACGAGTGTTGTCGCTAAGCTCTACCAAAACGTATGGTTACTTAAAGACAGTTGAATTGAGCACGAAGAGCAGAACTAGCTAAGTACATGAAAGAGTGTCCTTATATCCTATCCTTCGTATACCATTTCGTATACCATTCAGGGTAGATCGAGGGTCGATCCAATCACGTTCCTGGATTCCGTATACCATATCGTATACCCTCGATGGTAGATCTGATGGTAGATGGTCACGTGACACAGCGTTGCCTCGGGTGTTACCCCAACCGGGATCTTACTCAATAAGAGTTGCTGGCTGCCCGAGTCCTTCCTGGTCGTTACCTTTCTGCCTGACGAGTCCGCTTCTGCTAGTAACCTGGCTAGCAGGGGTCTGTAACAATACCATTTAGGGTAGATTGAGGATTGATCTAATCACAGTCCTGGATCCCAGTATACCTTGTGTATATTATTAATAGTAGATCTAATGATAGATGATCATGTGATATAATGCTGCTTCGGACATTACTCAGACCGGGATTCTACTTAATAAGAGTTGCTGGTTATCCGAGACTTGCCTTGTCGCCGCTTTCTGCCTAACGAGTCTGCTCTACTAGTAATCTGGCTAGCAGGGGTCTGTAACATCACTCCCCCTTCTTTAAGGTTTCTTATTCTTAAGAGATATAAAGATGTATATCCCTCCCGCATGTTGATTAGGTTTCTCAGTCCTCTTTTTCCCATAATGGGCCAACATATCTTATTATCATGTTAATCATGATCGGGTGAAGAAGCGCATTCACCAGTCTAATAAGATTCGTGAGAATAATTATATTATTAAGAGTTTCTACGAACACTGCTTCCTGAAAGGTATTTCTTATATCATAGATTTAAAAAATTAAAATTATGCTGCTTATACTTGTCACGGTCAGAAATGTAAAAAATAATTTTACAGTAATAGAGAGTAGAATAAGTTAAAATAAAATTAATCAGATATATAAAATGAACTTGCTGAAGCTCTGGCTGAACAGGCCTGCATTTCTGCCAAGGTGGCTCGCCTG